TACCATACAGTCATCTTCGGGTACCACCACATCATCCTTGACGGCGTCAGCTGGCAGATCTTTCTTCAAGAACTGGACAGGTTCTACGCGAATCCCCAGCGACGGCCCTCGTTGGGCGTCGACTTCCTGGATTTCTCGACGCGGCAGCACCACGATCTCACCTCCATCCCCTCCCTGTCGAAGCGACAGTTCTGGAAGACGACCTTCGCCTCCGGGTCCTTACTTGAGTCACTACCGCTGTTCCCCTTTGCGAAAGTACCGGCCCGCATGCCGCTGACGCAGTATCGGGTGACGGAGTACTTTGTGGAACTGGATCGGTCGCTGGCGGCCAAAATCCGCTCCGCCAGCACGACGAACCAAACGACCGCGTTTCACTTCTACCTCTCGGTCTTCAGCGTCATGATGTACCGGATGTTGGGCGTCACCGACCTGTGCATCGGCATGACGGATGCTAACCGTAACGACCAGGCGTTCCTGGAGACGATTGGACTGCTCTTATACATGCTGCCCTTGCGATTCCGCCTCGACAAAACCCCATCTGACGAAAGCGCGTTCGTGGATCATCTTCGCGCCACGCGGGATCTCGTCTACTCTGCTCTGGGCAATTCTGGGGTGCCATTGGAGACGATCCTGCAGGACATTGGCGCCGAGAGCTCGGCCACGGAGCTGCCTCTCTTCCAGGCCGTGGTCAATTACCGGATGGGAGCAATCAAGCACAAGAGCATCGGGGATCTAGGGCTAGAGTATCTCTCCTACGAGGATGCCGGCCACCCCTTCGATTTCATTCTGACCATCGACGAAGACGAGGGTCGTGCGGGTCTCACTCTGTCCATGCAGGACTACCTCTACGACGAGGCCGGTGCGAACATCTTCCTCGACTCGTACATCCATCTCTTGGACTTCTTTGCTACTACGCCAGCAGCGAGGGTCGCGACGCCGCCCGCCTTTGCACCTGCGCTCGAGCGCACCGCCATTGAGCTGGGCACTGGTCCTCGTCTCTCTGGTCCCTGGGAAGAGCTCACCCTCGTCCATCGCATCGACTATATGGCCGCAAAATACCCCTCGGATGTGGCTCTTGGGGACGAGCGCGGCTCGTTGAGCTATAAAGCCATGTCCGATCGCGTCAACGCAATCGCCACCCAGCTCCTCGCTGTCGGAGCCCAGGCGGGCACGCGCGTCGCCGTCTTCGGGACCCCGTCAACCGACAACATCTGCTCCCTGCTCGCCATTCTGCGCATCGGCGCCATCTACGTCCCCTGCGACGTGCGCAGCGCAAACGAGCGCCTTCGCACCATCCTTAATCAATCCGAAGCCACCGTCGTGATCGTCAACCGCGAAACCAGCTCCCGGTTCGCCAAGTTCCGACCGGACATCGTGCAAGAAGTCATCCAGCTCGCAACAGTGCCCAACCAGTCCGCTCTGGTCCATAACGCAGCGACCGCCGATGGCCTAGCCTTCATCATGTTCACCAGCGGCTCCACCGGCACCCCCAAGGGGATCCAACTCACGCACGCGAACTTCCTCACGCACGTGCAGGCCGCCTCGGCGTACATGCAGCTGGGCCGGGAAGTGGTGCTGCAGCAAAGCGCGGCCAGCTATGACGCCTCCCTGGCGCAGATCTTCTACGCCCTGGCCAACGGGGGCCGGCTGGTGGTGGCGGACAATCTCCAGGATACGGTGGCGCTAGCGTCCATCCTTGAGAAAGAGGCGGTCACTTTCACCCTGATGGCGCCCTCGGAGTACTTGCTGCTTATGGAGTATACGGGAGATATTCTGGCGAGGTGTTCGGAGTGGAGGGTGGCTATGTGTGGTGGCGAGGCGTTCCCGCCGCGGTTGAAGGGGGATTTCAGGCAGCTTTGGCATGAGCGGTTGAGGGTTTATAATGCTTATGGTATGTTCAACGAAATATTTTCAAGGGCAGGATTCTTTTGGTGGGAGAGATTTAGCTTTGCTAACCGGATACACGCCGTGACAGGACCCACGGAGATTGCAGTCGCATCGAACATCGGGGAGGTGGCGATCCCACGAAAAGAAGCCGCTGGTGATTCGAATGATGGCGATGAAAGCCACGTTCCCATCGGCTCTGCGCTCCCAGATTACAACGTCTACCTGGTCAACGAGAACCTTGAGCCCGTCCCGCTGGGCTGTCCGGGCCAGATCGCCGTCTCCGGTCCCGCCGTGAGCGCGGGCTATCTCAAGAATGACCCATTAACTAATGACAAATTCCGTCTGGTCGGAGAGAGGTATCATCCAGACACGAGCACGAGATTCTATCTGACCGGGGATCTTGCGCGGATGCTCTCGGATGGTTCGATGGTGTACCTCGGACGCATCGAGTCGGACACGCAGATCAAGCTGCGCGGGATTCGCATCGAACTGGGAGACATAGCCAATACGATTCTCAAGACGTCCCGGGGGTTCATTGCGAATGCTGCTGTCGGGGTTCGTAACCCCGGCCCAGACCAGTTCCTAGTTGCGTATGTCGTGCTGTCCGGGGAGAAGGGGACGAAGACACCGGCGAGTGTACGGCACTATCTGGACCAGTTGTTGGTCGATTTGCCGTTACCGCAGGCGATGAAGCCCGCGGTGGCTGTGGATGTCGGCAGTAGTTTGCCCATGACTTCGAGTGGGAAGTTGGATATGAGGGCGCTTAATGCTCGGCCGCTTCCTGCGTCTGGGGATGGGGATGGGGACGAGGATAGGGAAACCGGTGCTGATGCTGATGCCGACGCTGGTGCGGATACAACCCTTTCTGACATCCATAGCAAGCTTCGCGAGATATGGGACCGTGCCCTGGGCGGCCACACCAGCATCCTTATTACTCCCGCGTCCAATTTCTTTGCCGTTGGTGGCAGTTCGCTGTCCTTGCTTAAGATGCAGGCGCTTATTCAACGGGAATTCGACCTGCGGATTGCCTTGCCTGAACTTTTCCGCACGAGCACGTTTGGAGCTATCGCGGAGCGGATTCTGAGAGGGGTGGCTGCTGGCTTCACAGAGGAAGAGGTTGAGGATACCGTGTCTTCCTCCTCACCTGTTGATATCATTGACTGGAAGAAGGAGACTGCTCTCTCCGAGACCCTTCGATCCTTGGCTTCTTCCTCCCAATCAGACACCCGCAGCCCACCCATGCGTCGCCGTCCCCTGACAGTAATCCTGACCGGCGCGACAGGCTTCCTCGGCCGCGCCATCGCGCGAGCGCTCCAAACCCGCGACGACGTGCTGCACATCCACTGCATCGCCGTGCGCAACCCGCACTCCAGCGCCGCGCTGGAAGTCGAACGCACCTGCGACAAAGCCATCCTGCACGCCGGCGACCTCGCCCTCCCCTTCCTGGGGATGATGGAGGAAGAAGCCCGCCTGGTTTTTGAAGAGGCTGACGTGATTGTGCACAACGGGGCAGACGTCTCGTTCCTGAAATCCTACCAGACCTTGCGGAGACCCAACCTCCGCGCCACGCAGATCCTGGTCGAGATGACCGCCCACCGCCAGGTGCCGTTTCACTTCGTCTCCACGGCCGGGGTGGCCACCACCCTCTCGGGGGTCTCATCCCAGGTGATCGACGAGATCTCGCTCGCGAACCACCCGCCACCCACCAACCGCACCGGCGACGCGGTCCTGATCGACGGCTACGTCGCCTCCAAATGGGCCAGCGAGACCTTCCTCGAGCACGTGCACGCCCAGCTCGCCCTCCCCGTCCGCATCTACCGCCCCTCCAGCATCACCGGCCCCGACGCCCCCGCCCTCGACGTCATGCACAACGTCCTCAACCTCTCACGCCGCATGCGCGCCCTCCCGGACCTCGGGACGTGGACGGGCTGTTTTGACTTCATCCGCGTCGAGACCGTTGCGGAGGAGATTGCCGCTGGTGTGACCGCTACTGCTACCCCGACCACCACTACTCCTACCTCCTCGGGTGTGGAATTTATCCACCTCTCCGGCGAAAAACTCATCCCCGTCGCAGAGGCCCGCAAGCATCTGGAAAAGGAGACTGGTTACGCCTTCCGCACCCTGGAGATGGCCGAGTGGTGCCGCGAGGCCGCTGGGTATGGGCTCCCAGCTCTTGTCGCGGGGTATTTGGAGAGCTTGCAGGGTCAGGCGCTTTCGTTTCCGCGGTTGCGGTCGCGGATTGCGGAGCGGGGCGGTGGTGGCAGGGAGGTGGCTGTTTAGATTTCAGGCTAGAGATGTTGAAATGGTTGAATACGAGTTAGAAGGATTGTTGGGGTGCTAGGTGCTGGGTTTGGAGTCTGATTCTGACGAGATGTGGTTTGGTATTCTTCTTTGATCGAGTCGATTTGGTCTTGTTGTTATGGATTGTCTTTAAATAGACTTTCGCAGAGTATATATAAGACACTTTATACGCTTTGAACATTGAAGATCACAGGGTGTGGAGAGGGGTTTCTTACCTGTAGGGCTTTATGAGTGTACTGTAGTCCAGTGCATTGTTGACAGAGGGTCGAAGTTGAAATAAATCATGCCCGCGGAAATATATGTAGCAGTAACCCATTGATAAAGTGTGAGTAGTATCATCCATAACAATGTTTAACAGTAAGATTTCACAACCTATATTCTCATCACTGAACTTAATGCAACAATGGGGCGTTGCGCATATGCGTAAAGGATCCAGGGTGAAAGCCGGGCAGGCCGCCAAGGAGACTGAGATGTAATTACTCAGTTATTGTTGTGGGTTTGATTCCAGTCCAGTCGAGGAGCCAAGTCTCCATGGGCTCCACAGTAGAAGTGAGGTAGTGTATCTGGTGTGTAAAATGAAGTCGGCGGGAAAGGGGATTTAAGCAGGAAAAAGTTATAGCTCGACTTAGGGTTCGTTCACATCCAACCTGAAACTTACTGTATGGTACGGTAAATACATTACATGACGGTACCTGTGGGCCCATGTCACGCAGTGTAGCACAGCCCCCATTTTATATCTTACTGCCTCGTTCCACCCCCGCATATAAGCACTAAATTGTCCCTGCTTCTCGCCCAGACTCTCCAACAGCTTAATTCCTCTTCTCCCCTGGAACCACCTATCAAGGTGGTCGCCCTATTACTTAGAACATGAGTGACTGTAGCAGAACCAGCTGATACTCGAATGGCTCCTTGCGGATCTGTCAGAATTGCGCTTAAGCCAAGATCCGGATGCATTCGCTCCGTGCCCACTGGGAGCTGCGACCGGTTGGTGCAGCGATAGAGACCTTTGCTATCGCAGTTATTGCTCTGATTGTGCTACATTCGGACCCTCTGCTTAATGGCCTCTGGGTTCAGACCAAATGGTCTTTTCGTCGGTCCCGGGAGAGTAAGATGCAATTAATCGAGGTCGGCGCTGGGCAGGAGGCAAAAGCTCAGCGGGCTGATTCGCGGATGAGTCGAGAGTTTGACCTGTAGTCCTAGGTCTGTTACTCGTTCAATTTGAATCTCAAACGTTACGCGCTGGATGTGGTTGTGGTTGGTTTCAGCCTGTGCGCTGATGAGAAGAGCTGGAGTCAAGCTTGATATGCAGGTCATTCCAGTCCGCGGCATTTCTAGAACAAGAACCTCCATTCTTGATGGTACCATAAGAGCTGCCACCTGACCAATAACTATTTGACTGGGTATCCACTTTGCTGCGCAGCTGCTGCAGGCAGCAGTTGTTATTGCCTAGAGCAAATATCACGTGAGCTATGATATTTTCGGGAAGCCGAACAACCCGCGTTATTCCGGAACAGGTAATTCTGCGCGTCTTTTTCGAATTTTCCGGTCTTATCTCCGATAAATACTTCGTCTTTCAATCTTGCAATAATTCCCAAGGTACTGGGGGTCGTGTAGGCACTTTTTGGGGACTAGTTCATTACTTAGTGGCCTTCCCAGGTTGTCTCATAAACACCAGTTTCCACCCCGTGCTACCCACGGTTCGGCAGGCAACATGACAGAAATTACCTTGTCACCGGAGGAAATATGGTCTGGCGGAATCCCGACAACTGTTCGTCTGCACCCCGGTATCGACTTGGATGATGATGATTTGCTGGAGGAAATCAAAGGCTGGTGCCTGTTTGTAAAGGTTTGTTACTTGTTATATACAATGTGCCACGCATATGAAAAGAACTATATCAGTTCGTACTAAATGTCTTCTAAGGAGTCTCGGGCACAGATCCCCAACCTCGACAAGGATGTGACCAACCGAAGGGGTCTTATCCAGAAATGGGCGTCAGCTGATCAAAGCTTTCGTGATGTAAGGTCTTTTCCGTGAAATCTACAGACAAATCCTCGTCATCTTGCCAGGTACAGTGCAATGAAGAGCGAACTCTAAATGCGATCTCTCCCCTCTCCAGTCATACCATCAGCGCGCCCCTCTTCCCGCAACGGACGTTTGGGATACCCTAAGGCAATCTCCGCCTTTTATCTGTCTCGTTGACCAGCCGTATACCCCGGAGAACTACGTCCGGATCACCAAGCTCTTGATCCTCTTGTATATCCACCTCGGAAGAGACTGCGGCCATCCTTTCTCCCACCATGGCGTTTGGTACCCTACGTCGCAACTTCCAGGATTTCTGCTTGACCCTGCCACAAGCGCGAGCGCAGTCTCCCCGGAGGATCGCGCGCGTCTGCTCACCCCGGCCAACATCCCCACGAGTTCCTGGCTCGAGCCCGCCGACTTGGGGATGATAGCCCTAACCCGCGCCGGGACTGTGGTCTTTCCCAACCTCAGTTGCCAAGCCTTCTACATTCTGGACGATCAGAGCTGCTATGATGGACGTCTTCTCCTCCTCCACTTCGCCCCCAACGGCCAGGTGGCCCACCAGGCGCGAATGCTTCCGTGGAATCTCGGGCCCCTCACCTCGTTCCGGTATAGCCTCTGGCATTCGTGGGCTGAACTCATGGAAGATAGTCCCTACACGCACCCGCGCTGGAATCGTCCGTACGTTTCATTAGATCCGTTGATTCTGCCTCTTTCTGCTCTGTTCTTGATCTTATCTTCCCCCTTTGCCCATCGAAATAAATCCATGGATCGTCTCTAACCACCAAATCAATCAACAGCATTGATATGCACCTCCCGCTCCTGGATATCATGGCCTCACTGACGGCGCGCGAGGACCTGGAGCAATTCAACGATGCTTCCCAGGAAGAATGGGCGGAGGAGTTCGAGCGATTCGCGCCGGAGTTTCTGGCCTATGAACGCCAGAATCGAGAAAGAGAGTACAGCTGGGACCGGCTGGCGGAGATCGCAGGTGACGGCCCGTTGACCCAGTATAATCACCTTCGCCATGTCCAAAAGCTGGCGGCGTTACAGGGGCGCTGTCCGCCTTGGCCTGCTGGTCCAAGAACTTTATAGAAGAACATATGAAAAACGGAAGGGGGGTAAGGTGGGGTTGGAAAGTGGGACACCGACCAATGAATTGTCAATGGGGGTTAGGTAAGCAACTACCATGTTCTTTCATGTATCTTAGAAGGTTATTCTCGTCACGCCTGATAGAAGTAAAAAAAGATGTGTCTTTGATTAGATTAGTAGGCCTATTTGGCATATACAACCACAGGGTGTAGACAATAGGGCTTCTCGTCCGTTCAGCTGAGCTTCAACATTGCTATGTAAAATCAATAAGTCCGCATAAGATTTACTGCTTAACAAATACATTCTAACTATTATTGTACTGCCGTAGCTATTTCTATTTTCAATAAGCTGATAGAGTACACCTTTTTACTGCTCTATTTCCTATCCTATTCCCAACCACGTCACCGGAGCTGACTCTATATATATATACATCTCTGAGAGCGCCTCACTCTCCGCACTGTCTTCATTCAAGGCAAGCCTTAATTGGATCCTAGTTCTAAAATTCAAAATAAAGATGTCCGGGCTCGCTCTGCACCTCTAGAAATGACATCACATAGGCCTGATTTCCACATAGCGAACCATTATGGGGCATAGACACAGTGGCTTTTGCGTACTCAGCCTGGCAATCAAGACCTCTCCAACCCTTTCATTTGTTTCCAATCCTATCCCGACCCGCTTTATCGTACTCAGATAAGATATGTAGAAATTATCACACTGTACAAAGCGCCTTTGTATAACTGCAGCCAGCCCTCTATATCCTGGACCACATCAGGCCTCCTGCACAGAACTCATTCCTTTATATTATATATTCTGCCATTGGTCAAGTTCTGAGTATATTTCGACAGTAATTGCCCATGTGTAATCAATAATCAAAGATCCTATTGAATATCTAATGAAATCATATAGTGGGGTCGCTGATTAAATAGAATCACTCTGAAGATCTTGAATAAGAAACGAGTAACAGCCGCTTGTATTTCCACAAGCCAAAGTAGGAACTTATCGTGATGGTCTAGACACTTCAAGTTGAATGTCCATGGCTGTGTGATATCATTCCGTCAAAGCCCTTCCCAGTTAATCTATGTCCCAACCTCGCAAACTCGCTGCGACCCTGGTACTCCAAGTGCTGCGGCGGGCCGTCCCGAGCCGGGGGCTCGGTGTACAGACAACAGGAATCCCGGGTCGAGAGAATCCCACCCAGCGGCTTCCTGTGGGGTTGTGAATGCCGCCGCTGCTGCTGCTGCCGCTTACCGTACCATTGGTCCTGGATGATCTGGACGGCAGGCGCCCAATCGTCCCTGAGGAGCCTGGAGTCCTTGATGTAGATCACCACGACGGTGACATGGTCGCCGTGCAGGGTGCTGATGTCTACCTCGCCTAGCTCAGTGAACTGGGTGAATGTGTCCGGGAGGTTGAGCATCTTGGGACGTCTTTGTGCTCGTGTTCGATGGATTCGGATGTGCATGGACGGAGTATAAGGGGTTAGTGGAGTTGAGTAATTGGTGGTTTTAGCTAATCGAAAGCCATTGGTCATGATTTATCTAGTTGTGCTTTGTGGGTTAAGAATGCCTTTGTTCGGGCCTTCTATGGCATTCGCCGTGGACTGTAGGAGACTTATGTTAAGTAAAAAGGCCTTTGTTTGGAGCATAGGAATTGGTGATTCGGGGTCGTCATCATAATTCGTCTTGAGTTGAGAGATATGATATACAATACGCTTCTACGAAATACCTTCCTATCGGAGGGCTTGCTAATGGAAGGGATGGTGAATAGGGATGAGGAGAGTGATATATACTTTACACACTCGATGATTGAAAATTACAACTTTTCAATGTGAAATATCAACTCTATTTGCCGGTGGGCAAAGGTAGCGTACGGTTTGATGGAAGCTATATTATACTTGCGAAAGGCGATAGTCTTAGGATAAACCCGAGCTAATCCGGCATGACATGGCCGGGGGGCTGTACTGCAGTCTCAAAAACCCATACAATCTGTCAGCGCTGCTAAGTAATCCGGCCATGTGATTCCAAAGGCCTTTTCATCTTGTTTACATACGGAACGTAGCTAGTTCAACCAACCAACCAACCAACCAACCATCAAGAATCATATCAAACACGTCCCAGAACCTCCCCTGAAGCCTCTCAGTCCGTTGACACAATCCTGGAGGGTTGATATTTTCTTGACAATATACCTAGTAATTGAAGTACCGGTAATAATGGCTTCATGTTGCTCCCTGTCAGATTAGCTCGAACGACAGGAATTATGTTCCGCTGACGCCCGTCATGGCTTTGATCATCTTTATATAGTAGCTCAGGAAAGACTTTACAACACACCACTTTCTATTGTTCCTATAACCATCCCACAAGACGCCGCCGCTTTAGTATACGCTATCAGCAAACAGAGCCTCTCATCTTCCAACACAAATCCTATTCTTGCAACAATTGTACATTCAAAATGTCACACCCCAGCAACTCTAATCAGTCAGGCACGGCCAGTCTGTTTGTTATTTGGCTGTTTACCGTCAGCATATTGACAATGGTTTTCTTCTGTTTGCTGCTGGCCTTTTCCCCCCAGTAAGTATCTTGCACCTATCACAATGCAAGACCGCAAAGAAGTAAAGGATATGTGGGGGCTCACAAGCGAGCTGCTTGGAAGCTTCCTCTCTGAAGCCGCCTGCGTCACCGGGTCCCAGACCCAGAGCGTTTGGTATGGACTGACAGGTGTTGAGGCTGTTGTCGATGAATGGGGCCGTGTGATAGTCGTGTTCCAGCAATAGCTGGATTGGATCCAATTAGCGGTGTGAGGAGGGGGAAGAAGAAGAAAGTGATATCGCTGTACGCCAGACGCTCACTGCTGTTGCTCTCTGGAAGCCTTCACTTGGTTTGCATAATAAAGCAGCCATTGGTTGCTTGATTTAAGATAGCTTAGTACGGAAGACCATCGCGGCCACTCGGCAAATAGGATTTTTCTCAATGTGGCCGCAATGGTCTTCCGTAGCTTGGTTCTATTTTTTGCTAAAATAAAGCCATTCATCAGCCTTTTGAACGTGTATGGCCTTTTTGATTCATTTTTATTGCAGTATTTTATCATTTTTCGCGGTGAAGAGTTAAACAGGCGAGGAAGAACTGTCAAGAATTAGTACCCTTCCCATAAGAGACTCGTCGAATATCAACTCCCAGCCTCGGCCTCGGCCTCAGTCTCGATCCCATCACCACAATCATCGAAGAATGCTTCAAAAGCATCTTGGAATTCCTGATAATTCTCTTCCAGATGCATTTCAACAAACCTATCTACACCCTCGTACTCCCAGCACAGCGGCTGGCCACAGTCCCCACTTCCCACGGGGCCCTCGATGAACATGCGTATACATCCCCGGGCAACGAGAACGCCACCCAGTTGCCTGCTGTTAAGCGCTGGGAATTTGAGACGGCGGTCCCGCCAGACCTTCTGCAAGATCTGCAGGGCCAGCGCCCACTCATCGGCAATAAGCTCGGGATAATCCACATTCTCGAGAAGTAGGATCGCAATGGAGGCCTCGGAGGATACATCTAAGCCGAGCAGATCCTCCACCTCGGTGAACATGTGGATATGGTCGGTATTGTCCTCAGGCTGTGCCATTGTTATGGAGGATCTTGACGTGATTGGACTATGTGGTCGGAAGGAGTCGCGAAAATAATGGAAGATGGTATACATGGGTCGTGAAAATCTTGCCTGGGGTTAGGAGCTGGTGGCTCATCTTATATCTTCTCTCTGAAGTAGACCTGTATGCTTTTCTTTCTAGTTTAGGACAAAGGCGGTTGGCCAGTTGGAGAAAATCTTCCCTACATGGTATCGCAGATAAAGATTTGTTGAGTAAAGACTTTCATATTTCATAAGAGACCAAAGAACGGAACTGAATCAAGCAGAACAGTATACTTGAGGGCCCTCGCTGGGAAGCTTTCTTCGAGGAATTACAGCAGTGGCTGGTAAGATAAAGAAGCACACGCTGGTTATGGTAGTACAGGATAAGAAATCTTGTATTGATGTGACCTATTGATGAAGCTGTAATCGATGCGGAAGAACCTCGCAGGATGCAGTCTACTTACTGTAAGAGCGGGTGGCAGGGACAACAGCAAGGACCAGAATCGCAGCTCACTGATGAATAGAAAATTATGGAGGCTACATCACAGGCTCCACAACTATCCTAAGCATGAATATGCATCGGGCCGAAACATTGTGAATGGTGAAAGCAGATTGTTACAGAAGTAAAAGTTGTTGTAAATACACTCTGAGATATGAAGGTTTTTATTGTTAATGCAGGGCTTGATGCCATCCCACTCTATTTCTTTTCTCGGTTTCCGCCAAGCAAAAGTTAAAGATATACGTCCCCGGATGAAATGTGGGCTTACGTCTCAGTTTCAGGCTCCTCAGGCTCTTCCTTGAAGAGAGTCTGGAATTGGCGCATCGCCCGCGTGAATTCTTCATAATCCATGGTCTCGACGGACCACACGCTCTGACCTCTATACTCCCAGCTCTGGGGTTGGCCGTCCAGCTCCGGAGACTCGACGAACGCCCGAAGGCCGTCGTAGCAGATAAGGACTCCGCCCAACCGTTTTTCGCGAAGCTCTGGGAAGGATTCCCGCTTGAGCTGCCATTTCTCGCGGAGCCTACCCAGCGCAAGCTCGCGGTCGTTGCCGATAAAATCATGCCCCATGTAATTCAGAACAACCACGCGGGTCTCAGTGCAGATGTCCTCCATGGTAGATGCTGAAAATGTTTCGGAGCTTGAAGTGTTCTACCCTGAATGGAGTTGAGTGGCACAGGGGAGATTAGAGTTTGGGAACCGTGGACAGTATCACATCGCTGCAAGGGATTCGGAGTAGCTTATATATAGACCGCGATGCTGAAAGGGAAGTGATTTCTTTCTTGATAGGGTCTACAAGGATATCGGTCGACTGGAAAGGAAGGGTTGCATACAAAGGAGTATCAATAGAGGTTGAGCTGTGGGCTTTCCACACAATGTGATAAAGAATTCATGCGTAACATTCGGCACCAAGACCCTGCCTCCGGGGTCCTAGAACTGGGCCTTTGTCTCACAGCTTTGAGCGTCTACGGCTGAATAGAGCGACTGCCGGTAACATCACTTTCAACTTATGGTTGAGTTCTATGCACAAATATTAGGAACAAAGAGTCACCAGAGCGTAGGATCAATATATTGGCTCCAGACATATGAGTCTGAGGAATGTTCAAAAGTCTCAGCAACATGCTACAGCTGCGTTTATGTAGATAAGTGGGTTGTATGCTGGACAGTCAAGTATGCAGTAAGTATACTGTATAGTATACCTAGTACCTTGGTATCATCCTTTTTTCAGTCAACTAATAGGAGAATGTGCCGCCATCCGAGTGGCCGCGATGGGCTTCCGTACCCTAGCCGGCTCGGGCCGCCGGATTACTTTCCACCCGTCTGATTCTCGGAGTTGGAGAGCGCCCGTGCCGCCGGAACCGGAACGGCTGTGTATCGCCGCATTGACTGGAACCTGTTTCTTATGCTTCAGTCTGCTACGCATGTCTAGCTAGCTGTTACTGTTAAGGGTTGCATGCGCTGCTTCTTTTGACTTCTCAGTAGTATCAAAATACTCAGGATTTACTCTGGGCAATATAAACGTCATAACGGCATGGCAGGTCTATTCGCTCCGGGAGATCTCGATCACGACCTTCTGAGCCGACACCCCATGGCGCAAAATATCGATTCCTTCTTGAACTTTCTCCAGCCCACCAGGCACAATACGAGGATCCGGCTTTGCCTGGAACTTTCCCACTGCCAAGGCTTCAGGAATGAAAATCCGCCACACTGCATTGCCCACGTCCAGATTCACCATTCCCGGATCCAGACCGTTCACTTGCAAAAGGTTCGTTAGCATGCATACTGGCTGTGATATTGCAAATAGAAAATTATCAGACTCACCAAAGACTGCCCTAACGTTCTGCGGCAGCTCAGCCTGCGGCCATAACATCACCGGGAGCGTTCCTCCGCCTGTCCTACCCAAGAGCTCACCACATTTCGCCTGGGTGTCTGGACTTCCGATGCAGTCTACCACATAGTCACCTGGTTGCAAGATACTCGCGATTTGGTCAATCACGTTGGGGTTTCGGTGATCGAAGACCTGCGAGGCGCCGAGACTCCGGACAAGATCGTGGTTGGCCTCACTAGCAGTCGCCACTACTTCGAGTCCCGATGCGACCGCCAGTTGAATAGCCGAGCTTCCAACCGACGAACTGCCACCCCAGATAACAATGCGCTTGCCCGTGCTCTTGGGACTCAGTGAAGGGAAGGGAAGGTCCAGCTGCACGTAGAGAGCACTGGCGGCGGTGGACACTGACAGAGGCAGCACGGCCGCATTGGCTAGCGGCAGGGAGTCCGGGATTTCGGCGACGAGAATCTCGCGGACAGTGGTATAGAGCTGAAAGCCCGCGTTTGTGACTTTTCGTGTGAGTAATGAGTCACAATGCCTTTGTTTGGTCGGTCAGATTAGTATTAATTTGGAAGCCACTGCAGAATATGCCCTTTTTCGTTCGGAAAAGGGCCTTGAGTTGAACCCACCCAATTACTCTCTGCCCGACTTTGAATTGTCTGACCTCGGAGCCAAGCTGCACAATGGTTCCTGCAACATCGGTGCCCCAGATGAATGGATATTCGAGCTCGAAGTACGGGGTGTCTTGCATCTGCATAGTCAAACTCGCTTCAGTATTGCTGGCCTGTGAAAACACCTATCTTCTTTCAAGGGCGTTTTGCTCACCTTCCAATCGGTCGGATTGACCGCCGCATAGGCTACTTTGATAACAACCTCATGCTCGTTAGGGCTAGGAGTTGGTCCCGGGCCGACCTGGAGGGTTCTTGTTCGGGCCTTGGGTTGCCATGCAGCTTGGTTGATTAAGGATGCCATTATTTTGGGTTTGAGGAGCGTAGCAGGATGGATACTGGGAAAAAGATTGAATTACGAGGATAGATCTTGTATACATACGAATGAATGAGGTGGTTTATATATGTGTCATGATCTGCCGGATTCTGGCATCGGTAATGCTGTATCGTATTGTTGATGTTGATTAATCACGAAAGGATGCTGATCGCTAAGCATGGCAGGTTGATTTGTCAGGCTCACGCCAGAGTGAGATCTGGTTACGACTTCCGAAATATTGTGCTTGAAATGGAGTAGGGCGAAATTCTAATACAATGTGCACTTTATGGTACTCTGTGAGAGGCCATATACAATGACTTTGGTCCAGCCCTACCCGGTGTAGGACAACAATGGCTGTGTCGTTACTTTAGCGGCAGGAGACGAAACCCAGCCCAAGGAAGATGAACACCACCGCCCATGGGACATGAAGAACACAACGCTGCCACGCTGGTCTTTATACCATAGTCGGCAACTTGCAATTAGCTGAATGTTACTGAAAAAGTTGTAACGACACACCTATCTTCATACCAACCAGGGTTCCTAGCGGGTGATGCCGCTAGAGAGCGACCCGCGGGCGAATTCAGGTAAGGTGGCAGGGTACCAAAAGCGCGGAGCACTCTGCCAGCCGGTTGCCGGAGGAAGTTCTTTTTGAACAGCGAACCGTAGACTAGACTCAGTTATGCCAGTGAAAGGATTTATATTACCTCACTCTATTAGGAGGCATAAAGTGGCAATTGACGTCACGTGAGCTGTGTATAAATAAGTCTAAGCTATTAATATCGGACATGAGCATACGGCATTGGAAGTAGAATGATAGAATGATTGCAGAAAAAAAAAAACAACATAGCACGTCTGGTTTTGCAGGAGGAATGGTGCCGCTATTAGATCATGATGTTATTGGGCTTTCAATGCCCTGAACATACAGAGTACTCTGTAGTTTACTCCGTTTAATCTTTCTTCCCAACCCCAGAAAGATACAACTTATGAAACACCCAAGGTCCATGAGAAACTTACCAACGCCAAAGCCTTTCGTGCAAGATGATTTATGGAATAAAGACACACCATGGAACCACTGAAACATAACCCAACCCCCCGGTCACAGTGCTATACAAGACCACCTGATTATCAAGCTTCCCCTCCCCCCGAAACCTCAGCATCTCCGTCTCCCGCTTTCCTCCCTGCCTCCCACTACCTTCCACTTTCTCTACCTCGTCAACAGCAACCCCAGACGTCCCTTGTTCTTCATCTTGGCGAGCACCCTCCTGGGTCATCCGCAAAATCCGCCTCAGGGCCCGCCCCGCCCAACGCAGCAAATAGCACCTCAACCCCACTGAATTCACCCACCCGAGACCTAAAGCCGCTGTGAATCACCACGTGTGCATCCACTGATGCGCCGTGTCCGGATCAATCCCCGCGTCCGTCATCAACTCGTAGACCAACGCCACGACCTGCGCGAGCTCGGGCGGCCGCCTGTCGGCTAGATCCTCCCTCCCTATGGGCGGGGAAACGGTCCACGCGCGGAGCCCTAATTCGCCGGCCTTGGCGGTAGTCGCCACGCTGTGATGCACCCCCATGAGGACGCACATGTAGAGGATAAAGGAGAACATGGTGAACACGTATATCATGATGCTCGCGCTGTATAGCTCGTAGAGCCAGGCTGCGGAGCAGAGAAGGAAAAGAAACGCGGATCTGCGGGGGTGTTTGTTCTGGTCTTTATTTTCGGGGGGTTGGCAACCCAGTTGATGAATCTGGTGGCGGTTCCAGTGGTGCGGTAGGACTTATTACTGCTCGGGATGGAGGTAGCTGGGCGGAGGTTCACAATCAACCGGCACACAAGGAAGATGAGGAGGCTTGGCGAGGCGAAGCGCCGGATTGGGTTGAGGGTGCCGCCGTGGCCAATTTTCATAGCCATGAGAATGAGCACATAGACGATCCAGGAGGCGAGGATGACAGGGGAGATAGCTCTATGCGCCGTGTTGAGGTGGTGGACAATCATCCTTGCTGGTATTATTCCTGAAAACGCACGCGATGGTTGAGGAACGTTTGATGGAGAAATATGAAGAATGGTAACTTCAACAACATATACTACTAAGTTCCTTTGACTTGCTCCAAATCCGTTGGAGGCTTTCAGGAACAGGCAGCCGATCCCCTGACACTAGGCAGAACAGTGAATGGTGGGTTGAACTACGGACTTTTAGCGTCAGTCATGGTTTCGGGGTCCGCCAAGACATCTCGCATGCTTTATTTTGGACACACAGTGACACCCTGCAAAAGAACAACGTAAATCATTGTGGGCATTGTAGCAAGTTTGACTTGATCAATTTGTGTTCGTGAAAATTGGAGACTTCGTTTAATAATCCATTTGTGTTCATATTTTTGTTGTTGTTTTCGTTGAGAAGATCAAAATATAAGGTCAGACCCCAGTTATGTAATATATAAGCGCGCGGCGAATGTCTAGCAAATTGCCTGACAGAAGCACTTCTGTTTGGTTTGTGATGATGAAGCTCCAGAAGAAGAAAGTTTTTTTTTTTTTTTTTCTTTTTAACTCAATTCCTTCCTTTCCCATGTCACTATCCTGACGATCTACAGTACATACATCCCACCATTAAGATTGACAACAACGGGCTACAATTGGTGGACCGGAAGATGGCAGTTGTAGCTGACCGGAACGCGGCGGTTGCAAGTCATTTTTGCGCAGCAGTTGAACATCAATTGGGGCTGTGGTTTAGTGGTATAATATTCCCTTAGCATGGGAGAGGTCCGGGGTTCGATTCCCCGCAGCTCCATCTTTTTTGGGTCCAGCTTTTGCTGGCTCGTCAACATCCACCAAATGGATTGCTGTTCTTCGGGACGGGTTTGTAGTGGGTCCGCGAGCGAGCCCTAATCCCGCCAGAAATATGTCGCTCGCAAGGCCATGCAGTCGCCGAAGAGACGAGGAGTGGCTTTCCTAGCCGTCGAACATGGTCCTATCCGGAGAGGCCATTCCAGTATAGTATGGAACTTCATCTCCCTTGAGCGGGAAGATCAAGAGACGGGGCGACTCACAGTAAATCACAACATCAAGGATACCCCTTTGGAAGAAGCCACCATGGAAGGACCCATCTCCCCGCAATGCGCAGGGAGCAGGCGATATTTCGAGATTTGGTCCCCAAGCTAGTAGTTGATCCAGGTGCCTGGTATGGGGTGCCACATGATGAGGACAGCCCGAACTCGGTGGGAATACCTCTCAGCCCGATGCCATACCCTTGGAGGGAATTAGAGTCTGGCCCGCCAGAAATGTTCATGATAAAGGGTCGAAAGCACTGTGTGCTGCCTGGGCATCTGTTATGGACCATCTCAGCCATCCATAACACTGACACAAGTGAACTATAAGTCTGTCTGACGACTAGAAGATACCCTCGCAGTCAGAAAGGTCCACACGCATACTCGCCACCCAGTTGGTTCATCGTGTATTCAGTCTCAAGATCTTCAGGTCACTAGAAAGGTTACGGGAAACGGTCCAGAGGTCCTGGACCGGAGTCCGAGATGATTGACGCCTACCACAGACATGGTCGCTTCGTCAAGGGCTTGACAGGGTGCGAGGGCGGTATGTTGATTGTAGCTAGTGAGAATGACCGGGAGATACGTTAGTTACCGAAATGAGGAGGTCCATGCAGCCCAACCATTAGCCACCATACTTCAAGACTAGGTACTGTATTATTGACATGTGAAGAGCTACTACCATTCTCGAGTCCTCTTTTGCAAGTATGCCCGCGAATTCTACAACCCACTGAAACTTTTGAAGGACATGTTACACCAAAGGACATCACAACTTGCTTTTCCGAGTTTAAGAGTTTAAATAGATGACCTAGGATTTTAGAAAAGTGATGCACCCACCTCAAATCCCAATCAATTAAGAGAATGCGTGTGGACGTGTGGGCGTATGCAGGTGTGGATGTCTATTTGTGAAAGGGAGATGTTTTTACCAGAGCTACTAGGTAGTTCCTTAATATCATCAATAGGAATGGAAATAGATTTAGTCAATAATGAAAGATCATTGGCATCTTTGGGAGGATTTTAAGTTCGAGGAAAGTATTGTTGTAACTACCTGTCCCGGATAGGCCTCATGGGTAAAGAAGACTTGAGTTGGATTATATTAAAAAAGATAGGGTAAAGGTTCGATTCTATGGATCCTTACTTATTATTCAGACATCTAAAGATCGAGGCCGGCGCAATCTGGCGCATCCCTTCTCGACCAGGGCTCGCGCCAAGATCCTCCACTCAACGAGAATCGCACACACCGCCAGCAAGAGCACCGTGACGGCCACTCAGATCCAGATATCCAGGGGCCCTTGTCCAAACTGCTTGAAGCTCAACCCGAACACCGAGGTCACAAAGGAAATCGGAAGAAAGATGAAGGTCAGCCGGTTGGTCAGCTTCGTCAGCTCCCCGACCAGCCGCGATTCCTCCGCCGCGTGCTTGGATTCCGCGATAGAGGAAGTTGCCCATGATCGTCGCCTTTCCGCTGTCACACAGCTCAATCAATACCCGAGCCTCTGCGACGAGGAAGTTCAGGTCACGCCGTTTGAGGGTCAACATTCTTCCCCGTAAAGGGAATATCTGATGGGTTCGTGGAGCTCCGAGGGGGCTTTCGGAACAGTCGAGGTCCAGCGCCTGGCCTAGTGCGCGGAAGTGCGCAGCCCATCGGACCAGGACAGTCTTCGTGTATTCAAAGTTCGAGATATCTTCCATGTTCAACGACGCCACGTCTTTGATCTGGGTGCGATGCGTGGCTTGCATGATGTCCTTGCGCAGCATGTTCAGGTACTGCATTGCCGCGGCGGAATGGAAGATGAACAGCTCTTTGAGCGCGAGAAAAGGGACCTGCTGCACGGTACTCCACTCAAGAGTGTGTCCGTAGTCACTGGCTAAAACCGACAAGGCTTTCATGCTACCCCCATGACGGCGAGAGGCCTTGCTTCGCGATTCCCAGGGCGGAGGGTCGCGATGCTTTGGCCACGTTTCGGAAACCGTTCACGTCGGGGATCGGCATATAGTTGGAAATATCATCGCTAGCTGCATCGCTCCAAGCAAGGACTGGGAGTTTGACACCATGCATAAGCTTCCGTCTTTTCTACCTTCGAAACATGCACAATACATGAGCAGTGTGGTCCCTTACTCTTCGATGCTTAGCTGTTTGTCTGCACACAAACGATAATGGCATGCTCCAGCACCATCGCCTCGCCACTATGAATGTTGACCCCGCACACAATCATCTGACCCACGGGAGTCCCTGTGCGTTCGAAGTAGCTCTTGGACCGTTGTCGCAGCAGCTCCGCACATGCGAAGCGAGCCTGCTGTAGATCATCCGCCGAAACGAACCGACCCTCATGCCCGGCGAACACGATACATGGCATCACGTGCTGGATAAACTTCTGGGATCGGGAGGGTATACTGGGGACAGCGTACCAGTCTCTTTGCCCGGTCGGTAAGAAGTCGAGATGCCTGTGTAGGAATCGATGATCGATTCCGTAGCGCGTCACCACCGCATTCAGCCACTGCGGGGAAGGATATCCGGTAAGGAAGACGAGCTCCGCTTGTTTGTCTTCACCGGCAGATCGGAAGTCAGACACATCATGATACACACGGGGGTCTGGCCGTTCCACATGGGCAAGAGTGTACGAGTCGAGAAACTCATTGTCGCTCCGCGTAGATGAGACGGCTCCTTGATCGGGGAGATATTTTAGGGGAAGGGTTTGATAAGGCTGATTGAGATAACTTGCCAATTGGCTCATATAGACGACAGAGTGTAATGAATTGCAGTTCAGAGACTGGACTCGTGAACCCAAGAACCGAAATCCATTAATGAAAAGTATGTACTATATCAATTAATATCTACTATCCAGCAGGTCTCGCCGCCTGTATGGCTTACTCCCCTTAAACTAAGTATAACCTCTTGTACAATTTAGCACCGGCCACCTGTAGTTAGTAATATATACTAAATAACACAGCTTTCAAGATAACAAGCAGTGCGAATACAGGGCTACTAAAACATTAGTATATAAATTGAGTATTTGTCTGCGGCTCCGCATTCTGCGCCAGACACCACGGTAAAATTTAGAGGTGTGTTTAATAATATATCAGATCTGCTGGAAAGAGCCGGTTACAGTAGAAAAGGTAGGCTATAGGATATCCTGCCAGACAGTATTGTTCTTAGGGCGGTACTAGACTTTGCAGAGGCAATGCCGTGAATTTGAAGTTGCGCGCTACCGAAAATGATTCCTCCCAAAGAAAGTGGCGGCCAGAGCCAAAAGGGTCTAGCCACTAGCAACAGAGCCAGAAAAGCGTGGCAAAGTGCATCTTAAGATAATAATATATACCAGAAATGAATTCAGGAAGGGGGAAGAACCCTCCGATAAGCATCGACCACCAACCACGGCACTGCCGCATGTGGTGAATGAAGGAGCGAGGACTACAATAAGCCCGTGAGAGAGGTTGGAGTGAAATTATCGCGGCGAGTATTGCAAATAATCGCAGTCTAGATTGCATTTATCTTATGTAGATACCTCCTAGCCCTCTTTTCCGGCCCCAATCAAATAGTCTGCATCAGCAAACGTACTTTGGGTTAACACCAGCACTAGGGAGTTTTGTTGATTTTCGGTCTCGTTTCTTCGTTCCGCGAAAGTGGTAGTATAACCTCTCCGACCGTTATGTTAGATCACCACATTTTCCATTACTGAACTTCACAATGTGATTTCATTTCGCCAACTCGTTGCAGAAGTTGTCTGAGTTCGCTTTAATTTCGTAAAGGAATGATGTTCATTTCTCCTAGAGCAGCTGTTTTGTAGCTGATTTCCCTTCTAATGTAATGATCATATCTAGAAGAAAGTCGTAGGTATACGAATACACCTTTTTTTCACCAAAGGCACGCTATTCTTCCGCCTAGGACCTCGAATTTTAAGGAGATGCCATTACAGTACGGTAGGATTAAGCTACCAAGTTTAGCATTTACTCCTGTCTGATACATCTATTGATTGCTGAGAAGGGTCAGACGGCTGCGGTCTGCCAGTTTATATGATCAAGATTATGCTCCGTCTGATGCCACATGCTTGCTCAAGAGAATAGAGGCTGGCTATAATAGAGCCTGCTTTTAGAAAGAAAACTGGTTGTGTGTCCGACGGCGAAGCGAAACTCGCTTAGTTAAGAATGAGGAAAGTACAGACCACTTTGCATGGCAATGTACGTTAATGCAAATGTATAGATACAGAACACCTCCAGGCGTTGGGTCCAAAACGCTAATAGAGACAACCTGATCATACCTACCCCGCTCCTCACATGGAAGACATGCGGCGGGTGGAATATCCCACCAGCTGTATGTAGAATTACCTGAAATGGGTGACTGAAATTTAGAATTTCTATAAAGACACCCATAGATTCTTCCAACCTCATCCTAATAGTCTACTCTGGTGTTTGTCAATATGTCGCACCGCAGAAGGAGAGGGTGAAATAGACTGGACGACAAGCCCTGTGACTCCGCTCTGGATGTACGGTCGTGGTCATTGCAATAAATTCAATAACATTGGTGGCGCAACAGATGACGTATTTTGATAAAGAATTCGATTACCATCTCTCATTCTGTTCAAGCGTAAGTTATGTATTGCGTGCTTTAACCCTGCTCACTATCACTGAAAAAGGAGATTAAGAAACTGTGCCTGCTTAACCACTCGAAGAGGTATAGTGCGGCGCAGCCCCTTGCATTTTTGGGCAGCCCGCAGCGGCCGCGAAATACGAGTGATTCGCCCAAATATCAGGCTTTGAGAGCCGAATCCCTGCTGGAAAAAGGTGAGCAGCCATTTTCAAGCCTTCTAAGTCCAAGGGAACTAGGCTCATTCTTTGCTCTCAAGCGGGGCAAGGCTGGCCAGCAACGTGGTTTGCGACGAATGGGCAACGGTGCTATCAGAGATCCACGATCCTTCTAGTCGGCATGTGTTTGTCGGCAATGGTGGAAGCAGGTCTGTGCCCTTTGGGTTGAACCTTTATCCTGGTAACAGATATAATCTGAATACCTTTGTCGTGTTGAGGTTCAGCCTGTTCTGACAGAAACAGGCATGCGTAATAGGTACCAGATAGTCGGGTGAACCGATTCTAGATACATCTACTGCCTGCGCTCTGACCTCAGTAGTATTGTGTCCAGTAGATAAGGTTCTTATAGCAGAACAAAGGTCAACTCGTCTAGGTAGTAAGCTAAAGAGTATAAATCTATGCTTGCTCATCCACGTATCATCTGCCATCAAGTATGAAGACACGAATAACAGCCTCAGATCAGCTTTACTTTATCACAATCAAAATCCTTACATGTCTTTTCTGTCGTGCAACTTGACAAAATTCACGTCTAATCATCTGGTCCACTTGTCAAGCCAATAAGGATGGAGGCAATTTCGTTTCTATTGTCAGAAGAGGATCTATTTCGCAGGAAGACCAAGGTGGAAGGGATGCTCGGCTATAAATTTCAGATTGATGAGACTCGTTTGATAGAGGCTCTCACCGCGCCTGGTGCTGAGGGAGAGGAGCGACAAGGGAATCGATACTTGGCAGATTTTGGGCTTGATACTATCCGTTCCTGCATTGCTTTTGACGGGTATCAAAAGAAGGATGTTAAACCAAGTAAGTTCTGACGCTTGACTTCTAGTTGATCGAGTAATCATTCAATGCACTGTAGGTAATACTGCCAGCTTGAAACAACGGATCTGTAGCTACTCTCATCTTCAGGAAGTGGCTGAGCGTACGGGCTTCGACGAATGCATCATCTATAATCCCCGATCAGGGAAAGGTCGACCTGTTGTTGTTGGGAAGGCTCTTGCAGCAGCCATCGGTGCTGCGCATTTAGATAACGGTTGGAACTATGAACGAACGCTAAGTATCATTCATAAGCTGGGGTGAGCCCCTAAGAGAAACTTCCCCTGAGGAACACGCTTGTACTAACATTCTCCTAAGATTGATGACTGAAAACGACAATGGTGTTGATCCTCAACTCCTGGGAGTGCAGTCCGAAGTTCCATCCGAGCCGAATGTTACTGACATGTCAGTTGCAATGAATGAGGCCATAGTACAGATCGTTGACTATTCGGCCACTTCTGTCAATGGAAATGAAGAAGACACAGATGCTTCTGTTGTCACTGGAGCTGGAGACGATGTGCATTTGGCTGCTCTCCCAGCTAATGGAGCTCAAGAGACCCCCCTTTCAGAAAGCTCCGGGCATCCGAGCAAGAGGGAGAATGGCAATGTGCCTCAGGATTCCGACACCAATATGCCGACAAAGAAACGCCCACAAAAGGAGGACAGTCGTCTTACGGCTTATTTGGAATGCGAAGAAAGTAGGTGCGCAGATCTCGACTGGCCTTTTCCAACTGAAACGTATTATACCGAAAATATCCAAGTAGCTCTCAGAAGTCAAGCTAAATCTCGCAATCTGATAACCTGTCAGAGGTTAATTCTGTGTGTTGGAAGCGCAGAATCTCTCATCACTCTACGAGAGGCAATTAGGTTTTGGCGCGAAGATGCCAATCAGAGCTTAGGGCTCCCACTGCAGGCGTTGACAGCGAGCGACCTTTTAGGACTGATTGAGAGCAATGCAGAAACCATCTCTTACCACCTGATACTGCAGAGATACTACATCTTGGAACTTTTTCAAAAAAGTGGTGGAGCCGACACGCCATCTTGTACGGGATTCCTAGTTGTGGACTATGATGGGAACAACGTCAACAGAAGGCCAGGCAATCCCGTGCATAGCATGGACACAGATGTGTCCAAGAGAATACTCCAGGAGGTGGAGCCGCTGCTTGATGGAAATTCTCCCGAATACAAGCACAGACTCGAGACCATCAAATCACTTCGGGCTCTGGGCATGAAGTATCACACCTTGACCTCCAACTTCGGCCCAGGAATCCTAGCCTTAATACCATCCAGCGAGCATATTGGACAGATTGGGGTGACGATTTCGGCTTCTGAGTAGGTACAGCAGAAGAAAATTGCGGAATATCCTATTAACATCTTGCTAGTATTTCGCGAGTTTCAATTTCTCTTTTCAAGAGGGTCATCGGCATCTTGAATGATACCCAAGGAATGGAGCTGAGGAGTCTTAGTCAAGTTGTTTGGGACAAACTGAAAGACATGCTAGTCCATTCAGGAAACCCAGGCGGAAGAAGACTTTGGTTAGAGACTATCGAGAGCAGTGATTTGCTCAGATTTCCAAAGAACTCGCCAATCCTAGCACAGCTCTTTGACTATACTTGAGAGATACGTGCTGTTGCAAACAGCACCATTGTCACTTGCTGGTTAGTCATGGTAATCTCAGGCCGGCAGTACTACTCGGGAGTGAATGAGTTACATGTGAGAATGAGATTCTTTTCGTTAGAACTAGACATATGACAAAGATCAAGAGGTGAAAATTCATCGTCTTGAGTAAAATCTCTCTTGCACAGTGCAGTGTCTGTGATTCGAAGCAATGTGGTCGCCAAAACCAAGCAAGCTCGGTCAAATCGGAGAGGCGGTAATTTCCGTGGCTTCACACAAGCCGCCGGAGTAGGATTACAATTAATACACCCCCGTTCGCTTGAAACAAAGAACTTTGAGTTATTGAGACACATCGAGGAGTCGTGAGACTCCTCCACATTCGTCATAGTCATCAATTAGAGGAAGAAGGAAAGGTTATTATACCGCAGGGGAGTACTTCAAGTATTACAGAGCCGTATTTAACCATTCATCCGAATAAAGGATCGTGCAAAGGACACTGCGGGTAAATAAGCAGACCAAGGATCCAGAGAGTCTCTTCCCAAGTAAAGGTTCAATGTCTTGATTTCGGTTGAAAAAGAAATATGCGGGGGCTGAGGTAAGGGGAGGTCAACAGGTGCTTCCATAGCATCAAGCATTCCCGACGTAGAAACAGATGACTGTCTCTAGAATTGTATCCTACTGTCTAACAAGTTGTAGATCTTGGAATCTCTCCATACCCCGCTAGGTAATGTTAAAATGTAGTCCACTGTACAGACTTGGCCTTGACCGCTCGAAATCATACAGTGTTGCTCTTCCTTGCGACATGCATTTCTTCCTGATTCTTGGCAGCGAAGACGATTATTCTTAAGTATTCAGACGTATATTTAACGTACGACCGGCCTTCCTTGTGCAACCTCAGTTCATGATTTCTGACGCTCACGCACTACTATTCCAAGCTACAACCAGAAGACAACTATAACATGGCTTCGAAGGCCAGGCATTCACAATCCTCGGAGCCGGAACCGTCCGATCGTTCGTTCCACTCTATCTTCAGCGACGACATGCGAAAATGTCACAACCAACTCTTGGGATATAACGACTCTCACCAAGAGCTCAAAGAGCAAAACATCTCTTCCATCATTATGACTGGCATATTTAAGGGATTCACGAAGGATATCGCATCGCTTGTTCCTCAATTCGGTCTACTAGCAGGCGTAAAAGATGTTAGGTATCCTGCTCTAGCAGATGACCCCCGCCTGTTATTTAATGTCACTCCTCCATCGAGCACGTTTATTTGCGGTTCCCAGGGTTCTGGCAAAAGTCATACCCTGTCATGCATGCTAGAGACCTGTCTAATCTCATCCAAAGCTGGATATTTGTCAAATCCTTTGACGGGAATGGTCTTTCACTACGACACCTTCATTAGTGACCTCATGGGATCACCGTGTGAAGCTGCCTTTTTATCGTCAAATCCCGATGTGGAAGTGCGTGTCTTATGTGCACCAACGAATTTGCATGCTATCAGAGTATGTAGGGTGCCAGAACGTTTCAGGAGAGGTTTAGTGCTGACTGAAGTGTTCTAACAGGGTGCCTACTCAAGACTCAATGTCACAGTGTCTGCTCTAGAGATTGATCAAAGAGATCTCAATACCAAGCGAATGCTAGATCTGATGGCGGTCGGACAAGACGATGGCCCAATGCCCTTGTATATGCACACGGTAAAGCGTATACTTCGGGAGATGCGGATTTTGCAGCAAGAAACAAAAACAGCGTTTAGCTATAGTGGTTTCAAGAAGAGGCTTCTGAATTCGCCATTGACCCCTGCTCAGCTCGAGCCACTGAAACAAAGGCTAGACATGCTTGAGAGCTTCATGCCACGGTCGCAAACCAGAACTGGTATTGATACAAGCCATTCTGTCTCAGCAGGAACTGATTGGAAGCCAAAGGTCAGTATGTGTGGACCAAAGACAATATCATCTCAACCTCGTCCAGCTTGCCGCATTGACTGACCTACAAGCCAGCCCCGCCGCTTGACAATTTTGGATCTGTCCTGCCCATGTATCTCGCCAGACACAGCATGCTCCCTGTTTAACATTTGCCTGGGCATATTTCTTGAACAAGATTCTCACATCGGGAAGGTTGTTGCTCTAGATGAAGCCCACAAGGTATGCGGTCAATCTGGAAGGTGTCTTCTTTGTGAAATGTACTGATAGTATGTAGTATATGAACAGCTCCATTGAAGCTCGTGGCTTTACTGAAACGCTGCTATCGGCAGTCCGGCTCCAGCGACATCTCGGCATCCGTATGATTATATCCACACAAGAACCGACAATCTCGACAGCACTCTTGAATCTGTGTTCAACAACCATTGTACACCATTTTACCTCCCCGGAATGGTTACGTATTCTTCATAAGCACCTAGCCGGAGCTAAAGAAGATGTTGTGGAGAAACTTCAGGCAGCTGAATCGAACAACTCGTCTACGGCTTCCAACACACAGCATAATTTATTTGACAAGATAGTGAGCCTGCGAGTTGGTGAGGCCATGATATTCTCGCCAAGTGCAATCACCCGAGTAACTCGAGCTGATGAGGATGGTACGCTTTCCTTTGAGCGTCTTGGCAACGGCAACCTCAAGGTCAAAGTAAGGCAGCGACTCACGCTTGATGGAGGTCTTAGCGTACTGTGCCGCTGAAGGAATAGCTCACCTCAATGACAAATTAGGCGAGAAGGGTATGGTACTGGCATTGACATGGAGCAGTCCAGAATTATGGTGGCCATATAGTGTGTGGGTGAGGCGAAATTCTACACAAAGGTTGTTATAAACGGATGGATTCATGCTACTCAGAATGAGGATGAGTTTTTAAATCGGTAGCGCTACTTATTCCTCTCTATTTTACTACATGTTATCATGGCCTTCCAGATAGACTTTGTGCTGCTAAATCGAAGCATGATTTCCTCTTGCTTTTCTAGGTATATACGCCAAACTAGCGAACATAATCTCAGCGCTGGTGGCCCATTTCAGCGTCTGGAAACCTTATGCGTCCTGCTGGATACTCCGGCTGCTACCAATGACTGTTTCTGTTGGCCAACTAGCCTATCTCCCCAGCGTATACAGAGTTCATACAATGTTCACCCGCGGTGATGACAACGGGTTAGCTGGTTCCTGGAAGGTTGTTTTCTGTTGCTTCAGGAGAAATGCTACCCATGTCACAGATAATCCTCTCATTGTCGGGCGAAGGACAAGGCTGGCCCACTGAGTTGAGCTAAAACAGCCTCAGACAAGGTATGCCAATCATTACAGTTTACTTTGTCTTCGCGCGGGGTGCTGCCCAATAAAACTATCTAACAGGCTACTAGCGCGGAAGGGGGTAGAAATTAGCGCGAAGAGGGGTTAGAATGCCAACACTTGCTATGACTCCACTCGGGCTGTGTGTCCCAGCATCAGTTCCTCCCTGTGATTCTGATGGTTGGCGTTTATCAAAATCTAGAGTCATCCCACCCCCTCCGAGCTGTTACTCTCGAGCTGACAAGGCTGTCTCGCCTGTTGGGCGGGGTTATGAGACTGCGCCGCAAATGCCTGAGCATGTACGGGGTGGGTATAAAGGCGAAGAAAAACGAGGCTGCCCCCTTCTTTCCTTCTTATCCCCAAGTTTGATACTCTTGCCATTTAGATTCATAGTCGTATTTGTCTTTCATACCACCACCACCACAGGAGCTCGGTCTAAAATCGCAAGTTTAGAGCTGTCCCGCACCCAACATACAATTCAACAGTCATTGCTCCTTTTCCGGCTCATTACTCCGACAGTGACACCATGAAGGGGTTACTTCCCGTTATCTGCACCAGCCTATTGGCATGCTATGTTCAGGCTGGACCGGCAGCATACGGGATCTGCCAAGCCGGCTGCGCATCTGTGGTCACAGCTTGCTACGCAGCAGCAGGCTGTACTTGGGGAGCAACTCTTGGGGCTACTGCGCCAGCATCCGTCTTAGCCTGCAATGGTGCCTTTGGAATCTGTCAAGGTGCATGTGCCACTGCACTACTGGCACCAACCTTATAAGGTGCGGGAATTGTACGTTCTACATTACTCTTTCTCGTACTTTGCATCTTAACTCGTCCAGTTTCGAAGTCTCTTCAAGACCGTCGGTTGGGGCGAGAAGATAGGTTCCATCAACCTTCAGTCTCGAAAGGGGTTTTGGCAGAATTACTAAGATGGGCTTGCTGATCTCGCGGAGACAGCCAATCTGCTCTAGGGGCTCTAGTGCGAATGTGTTGATGCAATTGTTCTGTGTTACTTTCTGTTCTACTCCAGAATCGAGTTCCTAAAGCTTGTCTTCCTTACTTCCTGTAATGTGAAGGTTCCTCATTTCGGTGGTGATCCATTCGCTCAGGTCCTCTCTCTGACGAGGCTGGAGATCATGGAAACTTGATTCCGAGTCACTCGGCCTGAGGCAGCCTGCTGGTTGAGTGACATTATCTCTCCGGCGAACATCTGCATCAGATTCCTTCCAGTTGCTAATAAAGGCTTGTGCTTGGGCACGTGTCGTGAAGCACTGATAACATGCATGCGGATACCCATTGACTTGTGGTTCAGCATCCCTGATTTGATGCTTGTGAGTGACCTTGACTCGATCCTTCAAATTCATGGAATACGTACTCCCAGGAGAGATATACACCTGGTTTTCGACCAAGGGCCACTGCATAAAATTTCCCTCGAGAGAATTGAGGACGAGTCTCTTTGGGGCATTCGTGAATCACCAATCTAGGCTTGTCTATTCCTTTGGCATTCAAGTACTTCTGGGCTTCAGATAGAGTTACGAAGCCCTCGAAGATTGAATGGCAGCCAGTAATATAGGGATGCGCATCTCCCCTAAATTCAAAGATCAGTGGGAGTTTAATGTCTTGCTCAAGTTCGAATTACCAAGAGGAGAATATCGTAGCTTCGGCAACCCGTCCGGAAACCACTGCATAATATCTCTTCTTTTCCTTTTTCATCACTGACAAGTGATACAACAAGACTGAAGTATGGTTCAATAGAAGTCAACCACTCAGCATTGGACGTCTAATTGATAGTGCTCCCTATCAGTGCGAGAAATTGTGTAAGATGATCATCGACAACTTTAGTTACCTGCGCGGATTTGTGGGGGTTCTTAAATCCTGCCGTGAACTACTTTCTGCCTGGCAATGGTTGCGTAGGGTGGCAGTGGTTCGTATTTGACCCGTTGGAAAGTTTGGTGTTAAGCGCCAAAGCGTTGTCGCCTGATTTCCTAAACTCTGTTGAACCTGAACCACTCGGAGTAAGAAGCTGTAGTATCTTGCATAGCATGCATGAATGACTTCTGCGCGAGGGCTCACGACTCGCACCAGTTCAGAAGACTGTTCACTGTCCGTCAGGGGAGAAGATATTCGTCATGGTATACATAATCAGTGACGGCAACCCGAAGCCAACAATGACTACCTGAACCGTCCGGCATTAGAACATTGCAAGCACCTCCGACCCTTGGTCATGCCACTCAAATATAGAGAGGCTTACGTTGTATTCAAGTTTCAGGATTGAGATTGTCTCTAAACTCACTCATGACATCCAGGAATGCGGGATGAATTGATGGTAACAGAACCTGTGGAGGGAAAGCAGGGGCAGCCAAGTGTAATTGATCACTATATTAACGTAGTACGGTACGGAGAGATAAATGGCAAATACGGGTATGATCCTTGCCGCCAGTAAGATGCCTTGAGAGGGGGTAAAAGAGGAACATCTGCTCGGCGGCTCGCTGTCACGGGCGCGGCCCGGTCCAGACCGCTCACAGACCCCCGCCCCGCCTACCCCGCCTACGCGCCGCGAAAATCCTTATTGCGCCACCACTTTTGTAGTGTCGGAGGACACCATCAATCACTGCGTTTAGTCAACTTTCATATCTCGGGTGAAATACACACTTTCTAGGCAATCTTGAAATTCTACTTTACGCAATACAGAGTTCATGATAGTAGGAGGAAAGGATGATATTGAAAGTAGAATTAAGGCGCCAGAGGAAGCGTTGCGGCTGCATACAAGACTGATAAGACCGACCATTCGAACAAATTCACAAGAAAATGAAACAATTCTCAATGCCTGCCCTTGTAACCCTTGCCTTTCTTCTTTGACTTGCTTTGCCCATAGCTGTCATACCACTGCGGAGAAGCCTCGTGTGACGCCTGCTCGTACTCCATGTTCGAAGGAGCTGCTGGAAACTGGTCATACTCCTCTTTCTGCAAAAATTCACCCTCAAGGTCAGAAGTGAGTATCGCGGGCGGTTCGTCGACTTTTGCATCTCCTTCGCATTGGTCTTCGGAATTTTTATCCTCTGGGCTTGCACGAGCATCTGAGACATCATGATCCGCAAACTGCAGAAGCTGCAACGAAGAATCACGACTGTCCCAAGACTTCTCCTCAAAAGACCGTGTATCTTTGACCTGCTCAGTGTCTATCCCACGATTACCAACAAACCGTCGGCATGTTTCCAAGCCATTCTTAAGGATTTGTTTGTTTCTGTTCAGTTGCTCCCGGAGTGTACGAGTTTCTTCAGATTCGCCGGCGATGCGCGACACCAATGTAGGCTTCATTTCGAATACCTTGACGGGTGTGAAGATGGAAGCCAGGGACCGAATCAGCTTGACTTCTACTACTTCCACCGCGATGTCGTCGATAAATCGTTTCAATGCCATCTACGGAGAAATAAAGATTAATCAGATGAGCAGAATAGGGATCAAAAAGCATTTTGCCGTACCTTGTAATAAGCAAGCATGCAATCCAAAGCTTCAGTCGAAGCTAGTCTCATCATATCAGGCTCACGGCACTGGAGAAGTGAGTTAAGAAGATCCTGTAGGCGGTATACTCCATCAAGGCTGCATGGCGTCTGTAGATCGTCAACTCCAAAGTACTGCTCGATGAGGCCCGTCATCTCGTCCTGCCGTCTACTAGCACGGATCTTCTGCAGTGTGTCCGTGAAATAATGATTGTAGGTGATCGGATGGCCTTTTTGATGGGTTTCGAGGAGCTCTTCAAATCTTCTGATCAAGATCTCCCGCAGTTCGTCCAGTGCAGGTGAGATGACTTCAGCAAAAAGAACAATCGAAGTCGCTTCATCCGAGATGTGACCTATCAAGAGCGACAAAAATCTTTGAGATGCACGCCAGGTCGTGAGAATATGCTCGCGTGTTATAACCTCCCAAGGACGACATTGTTCCACGAATAACTCCCCGACAATCATAGGATTAAATGTGCCGGGAAGTTCCCGTCCTCGTGTCTGCCTCATAAGCTCCTGAATGTGATCGATGAAGCCGCTTCTAGTAACTGAGACCTGTGTTTGAGTGAGGAGCTCCAACTGACTGTCATTATCTCTGATTTTGCGGTAGTTGCCTCGTCTGTTGAGACGATCCGCAAAGGCCTCGTTCAAGTTCTGGATTACAGCGCGAAGCCGCCTCTGGCGTCCCGTTGTGGATTGATTGTCTTCGAAAAACGTCTCGTTGTAGGTGCCATCCACAGCAGCCTTGATTAGGGATTGGAAAGATTGGCTGATGTTTATCAGGTAGGACTTTTGCTCATCAAGCGTGGCCCGCGGCTTACCGAGCTTCCTTAATTGCAGCGTGCATTCGTCCTCCTTTGCTTCAATCTCCTTGATAAGACTTGGAAGCTCGGCCGCAATCTGTCGCAACAGTAACTTGCTGAGGCGGGGTCGCAGCGAGGATATTCCAACCAACGACGCTGGCATCTCTGCCCAGGCTCCCCTGGAAAAAAAGTCCCGCTCCTTTTGATCGCGTTCCGCGAGTGTCCCAGTCCCCTGGTCACTGTCCATATTCCGAAGCGTATGCCAACCCAGCCGGAATTCCACGTCCCTATTTTTCGCTAGTGATATGAACATCCTTTCGCTCTCTGAATTCGCGACCAAAGTATCGGGCTTCGTAATGACCCCTAGGGTTCGATTGCCCGATTTATCAGCGTCCCTTGCCAGCCGGAGCACGATCTGGTTGGCGTAGTCATTCTTTGCTGAGATTACTGCTAATATAATGCTGCGTGGCTCTTTCATGTAGGACTGAACCACATCTTGGACCAACTGAACATCCGCAGCAGATTGTTGTTTTGTCTCAGAGTGAATGAGTCCCGGAAGATCGACGATGGTCAGGTGCGGCCTGTCAGGCCCTGACACCTCAACCCGTAATAGATCATTCGAGAATGCTTTGCCATGGGTAGATATACCCATAGCAGCTTTGGCATTATCGATCAGTCCAGGAAGCCCATCGAAGCCATCAAGCTCCTCGCAAAAGCTACCCAGTGATTGTTGCTCGGATTCGCTGCGCGAGTGATGAGGTACAATAGACACCCTGACCCCGACGTTGGCGTCCTGGCGGAGCACAAGCTCTGTCGGGAATCGTGTACAGAGATTGCTTTTGACGGGAAAAGAAACTCCGGAGATAGCCTCCAGCACAGAGCTCTTCCCTGATGACTGGTCGCCACATACAATGATCTGCGGTAAAGACACGAAATGGCTAATGCCCTGGGATCGGAGGGTGTCAATCGAGTTCAAGAGATCAAGTTGCTCCTCAGTACATAGGCTATCCAGAGCTCTAGATTTAAATTCTCTGAGCACCATATTGGCCGAATGTAAGGATTGATGAGTCTTTTCGGAATCAATGAATCAATGAATCAAGTAGAGAATGAAGTTATGGATCCTATAGAAGCAAGATGGCCACTTGTATTTATAGTCGAATCTGGCCACCAGTACTCAGGGAACTATGGCATCGAATTCGTCTAATCTAGGCTCCTCATTCTACATGGGCCTCTTTGCGTTGGCGCCAAGACGAAAGCAAGGAGCATGGCATGCATGAGTGTTATCTACTCTTGACAAAGCTCATTCGCAAAACAAAGGAAAAACTCACTTGAGATAAAGGAACCGGATGAGGAAAAAAGGAAAGACACGGATGTTGCTATCTTCTGGGTTTTTGATTTGCTTGCGTTGTTTACTTACCAGTCGTTACGGTCGATTCACCCCATTTGTTATCTTGAAGACAATCTAGTAGCCTTGATGAATGTGTGTTGGTCCGACAAGAATGCCAGGCTCACTGCTTCGCATCGAGGAGGAACCGGTCCCTGGCCTCGTAGAAACCGAATCCGCGGGAGCTTGCACGTAGCACGTATGCATGGCTCTTCACGTCGTGCAGCTTAGGTGCGCGATGTACCTCATCTGGACAGAAACGTCTGCAATAGGTCGTTTGACAGCTGGAGCCACTTGATTTGTCATTGGATTCGTGGTGTTCCCTGCTGCAAAGTAAGATCTCTTAGGGGTTCGTCCAAACTATTCGTCGGCGAGAGAGCTACTTACCAGAACAGTGATTAGTATCATTCCAAGCACAGAATGAATCCTGTCGTTCCCAGCAAACTTCTTACCTTTCAAGCCAGGTAGAAAGTGCTCTTGTAATGGCAAGGGAGGAAAGCCAAGGCTCAGCATGTTAAAATGCACGTTAGAAATTTAGTGCGGTCTGCCTGGGATCGTATCCAAAGTACTGCCAGATTAGGAAGTTAAGCAGGTTTGTCGCTGTAACCACCAGAATAGGAATAGTCTGGTCGTGGCCAGGAACCTCCAACAATACACCAATTTCCAGTGATAGGTCAATTTGTCCAATCATAAATACACATGACCTGCAGGAGACACATTCTCCGCTCAGAGAAACAGATGCTAAGAACAAGCATGACGATGCACTTGAGATTACTTTCGAGAACTAAGTTATGTGATACATATTTTCACCAGCCAATGCAATACATCGCATTCGCGGGAATACCGTGATCTTACGTAAATAACGGTAAGATACTGTAGATACTGTTTTACAACAGAACCGGAAATGACAGGCTTGCATTATCTGGAGAACCGAGCTCTAGATATGATACCACTATTTTACCATATCTCTGCGAAGATGATTGTCCACTTATATATCAGCTTCTAGACAAGTATTTTAAGTTGCGGCACATGTATCCCGTGAGGTTCTAGTCATCATGAAAATAGCATTGGAACATGTTTCACTCTCAGTCAGTCAATCATTTTGGAAATAAAAAATGGCTGGATACCAGCTTTGTTTCCACGTCATAGGGCAGTTTCTACAACGTAGGTACTCCGAGATTAAAACCAAGGCCCTGGATCAGAATCATGGCTCAGATCCCAATGGATTACCAAATCTGGCGGCAAGACAGAGCCAACATCACCTCCAGGAATTCGAATGTTCAGAACTCCCTCTTCGTCCTTCTTCTCATTATTGTGCTCAAGTTTAAGCTTCCTATCCTTCATGTGACAAGCAAAAGATGTTATCATCTGCAGTAAAGTAGCAAATCTCTGCAAACTTGGTTGTTGAGCATCTTCCTATTGCTCCAGGTCCTCTCGCACGTCTAGGACTCGAATGTCTTCAAACCTCCCAGCATTATGACATGCAAGCAGGAATCTGGGAGTCTGTCTGATCCACAGCCGAGGGTGCATCTGTTCCTGAAGAATTTCGAAGTCGTGTGTTTTGCCAGAACGTGTCTTCAAGTCAAAAATTGCGCACTGGGGACTATGGCGACCGCATTGGGAAATTTCCAAAGCACTTGACCTCCTGTCGTCGGTGGTAACTGGAGCCTGGTTGGTTGAAATCGTAGCCGCTGCGATGGAAGAAAGGAGATCCTCAGAATCCATGTGTTTTTCGCCAGGGGAGGAATTCTCCTGGGCAGCAATACCAGGTTCAGGGATCAAATCGGGAAGGAAACCATCGGCTTCAAAGCGCACTAAGACATTCATGTTGGCGAACTGATAATTGATAAGTCGCTGGTGGGATTCTGACTCCCAAGCATCTTTGTCCCAGGGCGAATTCTCCATTCTAATTAAGAAAACTGTGTGTCCAATGGCCTCGACTAGCATTCTAAAGGGAAGGGTATCACCGCGCGCAAATCTCAATATATTTCCAAGTGTGCTGCCACAACCCACAACATCCAAGTCCCCGACACGATAATCCGGTTTGTCCACCAGTTTCGCGCGGATCATCGGCTCCAACGGATATGTGGGATGCCTTGCCGAGTTCAAATCGCGAAAGTACTGACCGGAATCCACCGGCAATTGTTTGGGTTCGAGAAATGGTGTCTATTTTGAAGGCTCGCCTAATCAGAGTCAATTGAGGATTGTTGAGTAATAGTTGCTGGAATGGCCGAAAAGAACATTTTACCAGGAACGATTATTCCACGGCCTTCACGGACCCAACTGTAAGATGTTAAATACTGCGTATTGGTAATTCGAGAAGGAGTGTGAGATTCGACTGCGTCTTCTTGCAGATCGTTGTAATCGATTGTGGCAACAATCTCCCCTAGCGGTGGAGGTGCAGCGCGTGGTGCTGGGTCTCTCTGAGCCTCGCCACCTCTCCGCTGACCTCTGCCTGAATGGCGCACATTTGATAGGTGAGTTAGAGCTTACGCATGCTTCGAAGCCTGCATCCTAGGGGCTTTTCGTATTCCTCCTCACTGCATGTCTTTAGTGATCACAGCTTGATGCCTTCGAGATGCCCAGCGAGGGGGCCGTCCAACGCTAGCGATCTGCTAAGCCCCCACCCGACTGTTTCCCTTTCCATCTGCTCTCTCTTGCATATCACAAACAAAAAGCCCCCCCCCCTCCCATTCTTCCATGTATTGTTTAATCTTTTGGCCTTCGAAATTCTCATCTTCTATTTGACATAGAGAAAAAAAAACAAAGGAACGAATTTACGTCTTCTACCATTGAGATGTCTACCACTATTCGATCGGATCGATTGTCCAAATACTTAGCAGCTGTTTTGCGTGGAAACCAAGATATTCGAGATCTCAACCATTTCAAAAAATTTATAGACGCCATACTAGACACAAACGATCCTTGCGTGACCGTGGAGCAGCTGGTTAGCAATCAAAATGCCTTGAGTGGTCTGCAGCATGGCTTGAGGTTCAACCTCACACCGGCCTTTATCAATAACTATACGTCCAAGTTCCTTGGCTTTTTGCGCAAGCCTGAAATCAAGCTTCTATGCAATGGCTTATTCCTAGAGCAGATTCTTCTCATTATATTGGAACCACGGACACTCTGGAGTTCACTTCTCGATGCCTTTTGTACACGGAAGCTGGATGATGATTCAACCCAGGTCTTCTGCTGGCTGACTACCGAAGCTCTATCGTTGCCAGCTTCATCTGGGATAGATATCATGACTGATGCCCAGACTATGCTGAGTGATGGGTATGTTCTTTCGTCCTCATCAGCCTCGCTACGCAATCTGGGACATAAGATCAAGTATCTTTTGGACATGAAATCTTCAGCATCCACTCTCGTCACATCCGAAGCGACAGCCGGGGGTCGCCACGATAATGATTTCGCCGATTTCCGTCTAATGGCGATTCTTCCCACAACCGATGAGTTAAGTTGTGCGGAGAAGCCTTTCTATCGACGCGTGGAGGAGGTTACACAGCTCTCCGGAGTGCAACGCATTGCGGCGCATGCGGACAACCAGTTCCGGCTACTACGCGAAGATATGCTGTTAGCGCTGCGGGAAGACATTCATGCCGCAACAAGCACAAAGAGAAAACGACGAGCGGCGCTACGATTGGGCGGGCTGTCAGTGGCTCACATCTCCTGCATTTCCGCCGGTCAGAAATACCTCCGCTCCTGCACTATTGATATCACTGCAAAATCAGGCCTGGAGAAGTTGAACGGTCTCACCCGAGTGGAAGCCAAAGAATTCCTCAAGAGTACTCCGCAGTTTGTCAAACACCGCGCCTTCGGATGCTTGAGACGGGCCACGGAAATTGTGGCGTTTGCCACAATTGAGCGAAGCATCGATGATTTGATGGCCATGCCACCCGTCGTCAAGCTACGTGTTGCAGGCAGGGAGGCGATGAGGAAAGCTCTGCTCTCACTAAAACTCCACGACGACCTCGAGTTCCTGGTCGTTGACACGGCGACTTTTGCTTACGAGCCAATTCTGGAATGTCTGCAGAAGAGAGTCGAGTTTCCTTTCCCTGAAGAGCTTTTTCTTTACGAAAGAGATCAGCCCATCAGGAATTCCGTCTTGGCGCCTTGGGATGTGATCAATGCGTTGCGTGAGAACGACCGTCCCAATATTCAAGCCACTCTGAGAACAGCCAAGAAAGTGACACTAGACCCATCTCAACGCGATTCCCTATTAGCAGGACTGACACAGAGGGTCAGTTTGATTCAAGGGCCTCCAGGTATGAAGACACAAGAATATCCTTCCTTTCTGTCAGCATCCGCAGCTAACCTTGTGATGTATAGGTACCGGGAAGTCGTTTATAGGGGCACTTCTGGCCAAAGCCCTACGTGATTATACCGATGACAAGATATTAGTGATGTGCTACACAAACCACGCTTTGGACCAGTTTTTGGAAGATTTGCTGGATATAGGCATTAAAGCTTCCGACATTATCCGATTGGGATCCAAGTCAACGCCAAGAACGAAGCCCCTGAGCCTCAAAGAGCAAAAGCTCACCAAACGAAGGCCCCAATCGGCCTGGAATACGATAAATGCACTCAATAGTCAGGGCCAGGACCAGCGAGAGATCATCGAGAGTTCATTCGCAGCGTACCAGAAGCTTTCCGCAGATTCTTTGGCGGTTCTAGACTACTTGGAGTTCGCAGACTCCGACTACTTTGAAGCCTTCACTGTGCCCGAAAATGAAGACGGAATGAGCGTCGTAGACAAACACGGGAAAGCGATGAAGAAGAACTACCTTTACGAGCGATGGGCCAGAGGCCAGTCACCGGACCCTTTGACTGAGCTCCTATCAGCTCAAAGCCTCAAAATATGGGCGTTGGAGCCGAAACTCCGAGACGAGAAAATACAGGCGTGGAAGCGGGCTCTGCTGAACGAACATGCTGCGTCTCTCGCAGTCCAAATAGATTTACTTGACGATTGTCAGGCAAAGCTATCTGCAATCTTAAAGGAGGGAACCCGCGAGATCCTAAAAAGTAAAAGGATCATTGGATGCACCACAACGGCTGCAGCAATGTATGCTGAAGATTTTAAGCATATATCACCCGGCATCGTGCTCCTGGAGGAAGCAGGAGAGATTCTGGAGTCTCATGTTCTTACTGCATTATCTCCAGATGCGAAACATTTGATACTGATTGGCGATCACTTGCAACTCCGGCCAAAGATCAATAGCTATGATCTGAGCAAGGAGAAAGGAGATGGATATGACCTGAACGTGTCTCTATTTGAGAGGTTAATTCATGCTGGATATCCACATATTACCTTGCAGAAGCAGCATCGAATGTGTCCCGAGATCTCCGATCTTGTACGCTCTCTTACTTACCCTCTGTTGGAAGACGATGAGAAAACAAAAACTCGTCCCGAGCCTCGAGGGCTATCCGACCGGGTGATCTTCTTCAACCACCAACATCCGGAATACAATTTTGCGAATGTCTCAGATAAACAAGATGAAGGAGCTAAACAGTCTAAACAGAATGTCTTTGAAGCGGAGATCGTGTTGGCAATTGTGAAATACTTGGGTCAACAAGGATATGGAACAGATAGGCTCGTTGTCCTTACGCCATATCTGGGTCAGCTCTCGCTCTTGCGTGAGACTTTGAGCAAGCAGAATGATCCAGTCCTGAATGACCTTGACTCCCATGATCTTGTTGAAGCTGGACTCTTGTCACAGGCGAGCGCCAATTATTCCAAGCGACCAATCAAGCTCTCTACCATCGGTGAGTGATTGACAAAGATGAGACAGCGACGTTCGACGGACAAGCAAACTGACCCTGGGAAATCAGACAACTACCAAGGCGAGGAAAGCGAGGTTGTGATAGCTTCACTCACACGAAGTAACCGAAACGGGGATGTAGGATTTATGGCTGCTCCCGAACGACTTAACGTGCTGCTCTCCCGTGCCCGGAATATACTTATCATGGTGGGAAACCTAGAGACATTTGCCTCCAGCCGCAGAGGACAAACGTGCTGGACGTCCCTCTTTGATCGACTAAAGACCAATGGACATATCTATGACGGACTGCCGGTCAAATGTGAACAGCACTCTAACACGACCGCAGTACTTCGCACAAAGGATGACTTTGAGCGGGAATCGCCGGATGGTGGATGCTCAGCCCCTTGGTAAGCCCATTTTCATCTTCTCAGATACTTTGATCGATTGATTAGACCCTTTCAAAGTCTCGACCCATACTAATCGTTCGAAAGTGGCATCAAACTCAGCTGCGGAATACATGAATGCCCGTCCAGATGCCATAAGCTCGAAGACCACTCGAAGAAGGTGTGCAAGAAGATAACCAAAAGAAACTGTCCCCGTGGGCATACACTAGCAATGCCATGCTCGATACGTCAAATCTCATGTCGTTCGTGTACCCAGGAAGACATGATACAGAAACGCAAGCATGACCGAGATGTGAGACTTGAGGCAGAGCGACAAAAAAGTCAAGCTTTATACGCCGAAGAACTTGCCGAACTACAGAGTGAAGCCTCATATTTGAGACGCCTTAAAAGTGAGAAATTGATAGAGACAGAGCGAGCGAGAGTCCTTGAACAGCATCGCGAAGAAATTAAGGAGCTGCAAAAGCCCCCGTGCCAAGCCGAGAGCACAGGCAGCACCCCAAGGGCTCAGGAACCAGTCTTGGGCGCGGTTGGCCCGCAGCCAAGGTCACCAGAACCCCTAGAAATAAGGAATGGAGAAAGCCAATCCACCCCTTCCGGTAAAGAACCCAAGCTAAAACCCGACAGTCAGAAAGGTTCGCTCAAGAAGCCTTTCTCGAGAGCAAAGGCCGAATGGGAATACCAGAAATCCTACTACAACTCCCAAAGCCCGGAGATCGACACGTTGATGGATATGGTAGGTTTGGAGGCAGTGAAATCGAAATTCCTGACGATCAAAGGCAAGGTTGATATCGCTGTCAGGCAAAATGTCGACCTGAGCAACGAGAGATTTGGTAGCATCCTTCTTGGGAATCCTGGAACTGGCAAGACGACAGTTGCCCGACTTTACGCAAAGTTTCTGGCGGCTGTGGGGATCATACCCGGGCATAAGGTGATCGAGACAACAGGGTCGAGACTCTCAAACCAAGGCGTCCCCCAGTGTGAGAAGATGATTGAGCAGCTCCTCAAGGATGGCGGAGGGGTTGTTTTGATTGATGAAGCCTATCAGATGGTACAGGACAACAGTTTTTCCGGCAGTCAGGTACTTGACTTCCTTTTAGCCGAGGTCGAAAATCTCACTGGCAAGGTTGTGTTCGTTTTAGCTGGATATCAACGCTCGATGGAGAAATTCCTTGCCCACAACCCTGGACTCCCAAGCCGATTCCCCCATGAGCTTAAGTTCGAGGATTTCGACGAAGCAGAACTACTCATGATTGTTGGATCCTGCATTGAGCAGACATGGAAAAAGCAGATGGAAGTCGATGGTGGGCTGGATGGACTCTACTGCCGTATTGTGGCACGGCGAATTGCACGTGGACGATGTCGCGACGGATTCGCTAACGCGAGGGCCGTTGAGAATGCCATGGCCAAGGTCACGGAGCGACAAACTCAGCGACTGATGAGTCAAAAGCGGCAAGGAGGCTCGCCTGTAAACGAACTCTTCCTTGACAAAGAGGATTTGATCGGCCCAGAACCTTCTCACCGTCTCAAATCATCGAAAGCATGGCAAAAGCTGCAAAGCATGATCGGGCTGGCTGAGGTCAAAAAGACTGTTGAAAGCCTAATCGACACCATCCAATACAACTACCGTCGCGAGTTGGATGAGCTTGCCGTGGTTGACTACAGCCTCAATAAGGTCTTCCTCGGTAATCCTGGAACTGGGAAAACCTCGATTGCAAAGATATATGGTCAGATTCTTGTGGATATAGGACTTTTATCAAACGGGGAAGGTACGTGAGTATCATATATTAAGTCTACAACTTACTTACAATCACTGCAGTCGTTGTGAAAAATCCATCCGACTTCATTGGGGCCGTAATGGGGGAATCCGAGAAAAACACAAAAGGCATCCTCGCAGCTACACTGGGAAAGGTTCTAGTCATAGACGAAGCATATGGTCTCTCTGCCAGCGGTACTTCTGATGGCGCCGGAGCCAGATCTGACCCTTATCGAAGCGCTGTTATTGATACCATAGTAGCTGATGTCCAGAGCACCCCCGGAGATAATCAATGTGTTCTACTATTGGGTTATAAGGACCAGATGGAGCAGATGTTTCAGGCTGTGAATCCGGGTCTGAGTCGGCGGTTTCCGATTGACCAGGCCTTCGTCTTTGAAGACTTCACCACACAGGAGCTGGGACAAATTCTTAATCTGAAACTGACTGAACAAGGGTACGGCATCACTGACCGGGCTCGCCAGGTAGCTTTTGAGATGCTGGAGCGGGCTCGGAACCGACCCAACTTTGGGAATGCTGGAGAGATCGACATTCTGCTCAACGCAGCGAAAATGCGTCATCAGGGTCGCATCTCCTCAATTGGATTCAAGAGCCAGTCTCTAGATTGTGTCTTAGATGCTGTTGATTTTGATGGCAACTTCGATCGCGTGGAGAAAGACGAATCCAAGGTTAGAAAACTTTTTGAAGGGGTAGTAGGCTGTGAAAGCATTGTCTCCACACTAGAAGGATACCAGGATTTGGTCAAGAAGCTCAGAAAGCTACACATGGATCCCCGTGAAGAAGTGCCGTTCAACTTCGTGTTCCGAGGACCACCAGGTGAGTAGACGTTTTGTTTACTGATAGGTTCCTCCTATGAGCACTGGAGCTGTACTGACAGGCAACTTCCTGACAGGCACTGGCAAAACAAGCACAGCCAGAAAGATGGGGCAGGTATACTACAATATAGGTCTCCTGTCCTCGAATGAGGTTATAGAAGTGTCTGCTACGGAGCTAGTAGGTCAATTTGTTGGGCATACCGGCCCGAAAACACAGAGGATGCTGGAACGCGGTCTCGGAAAGATTCTATTCATAGACGAAGCATATCGTCTTGCTGAGGGTCAATTCGCCAAAGAAGCTTTGGACGAGCTCGTGGATTGCATCACAAAGCCCAGGTTCGCCAAGAAATTGATTATTATCCTGGCTGGCTATGATGCCGATATAAACCGCCTCATGTCCATCAACCCTGGTCTTACCAGTCGATTTCCGGACTCTTTTCAGTTCAAAACCCTGTCGCCCAGAGATTGCGTCCATTTACTTAAAGGGCTTCTGAAAAGAAAAAAGGAAGCTATCCGCAGTAGTTCAGGCGCGATTTTCAACATAAGCTGCCTTGATGACTCGGATCTTGATTTCGACAAGAGCTTGACCGACGGATTCAATGCTTTGTCTCACATTGCAGATTGGGCTAATGCTAGGGATATTGAGACATTGGCGAAAGCGATTTTCGGAAGAACTATCAAAACGTCACATTCGCTCGGTGGCTTGCAGCTCGAACTGAGCAAAGATGCAGTGACTGATGAGCTCCAAGGCATGATAGATGAGCGTCGAAGCCGCGAGAACTTTGTGCTAAATTCTCCTGCTGTTGAACTGAACGAGAACAAACTACAAATGTGCGCTGAATCCCTGCAACCCCCAGCCGAGGAACTTCAGAACCTGAGATTGGAAATAAAAGCCCACGACCAGGCTGATATGCCAGTACAAAAGAGCAGCAATCAACAGGATCTTGCCCCGGGACGTGACGCTGGTGTAGCAGATGAGGTTTGGGATCAACTGGAAAAGAATAAGGTAGCTGCTGAACGAATTGAAAAGGAATTTCTGAACATGGTAGAGGAGATTGAGAGGCAAACAAAAAGGCTGTTGGCTCTGAAGGAAAAGGAGGATCAGACGGCCCTGGCAGTGGAAGAGGCAAGAAGGCAGAAGAACGAGAATCTAAGGATCCACCTTGAGAAAGAACGACTACGAAATGAGATTAAACGCAGAAGGCAAGAAGCAATTGCAAGGGAACTCGAGATCAAGCGACGAGCACAAGCTGAAACTCGACGCAAGGAGCAGGCTGTCCAAGCGAAGCTGCGAAGCATGGGAGTATGTGTCCAAGGCTACCAATGGGTCAAAACCCTCGGTGGATATCGATGTGCAGGAGGAAGTCACTACGTGTCAAACAGCCAAATCTAATGAGAGGGAAATAGGAGTTTTGCGCACCTGTCTGATGTTTGTATGCTGGCCGTCGCTGGAGGCAATCTGCAGGGATCACTACAAGGGCGGCAAAATACAAACCCAGGCACTGGCCAACACAGACCTTGACGAGGCTCCGAATTTGTCGGGAAAGTAATAGTTCCACGTTCACAGATGTATATAGAGACTAGAGATAGCGAAGCCCTGCATATCGCCTGAGGCGAGTGGCCAGCGTATGAATTGTCATTATTATTATTATCAAGACTGTACCAGAAGAGGTACCAGTTTAACAGAAGGAAGGCTGGGTTCTATACAGCAAAATCCAGAAATGTGCTGGTCCCTTGCTTCCATCTATATTCCCATATCTGACTATCCGAGTCAAATACTTTCTGGCTACACCAGTCCAAATATTCAGCCCCAGAAGGGTTTAAAAGCGGACTTCTGATTATCTACCAGATGCGTAACAGGAGTGACTTAGCCTATCTCTCACATCTCCAAAACGACGTTTCATTACAAATGTTGCCTTAGAGTCATAGGCTGCTCGCATTATTGCCAGAACATGGCTTTTCTATAGTCGGTTGCAGTAGAATATTGAATATATATAAGATATTAGTATGAGCAATACTAGATAAACTTTTATACAATATTAACTATTTACTCTTATTCAGTAACTGTACTTTTGAATGATTATTTATTCAAATATTAATTACCATACTTCTTATAGTAGGGTCTGTCAAAGCCTTCCTTAAACCTTTATTATATATATATATTTATTCTTTCTACTTTAATTTACTATATAATAGCCACATTCCTCATCTGGATCTGTACATCCTGCTTTCTGCCTACAAGATTGCCGCGCGGACTCGGTTGGAAACCGAAGCCGATTGCTAGGACAATAACGAGGCCTTCACCCAGACCATAGTCTCTTTCCAGAACATTCTAACCTCCATGACTTAGTCAGGCTGCAGCCACAGATTCACGTTGCTAGAATTTGCTCTCACCGTATCGCACTGGCCTGGCACTATTGAACGCCTCTATCTTGGAGTATCTGGGGCTTCCTCCAGCAGATGAACACTTCGCCTCTCCGACAATCGGAGCCATGGGCTGACCTGCTTAGCCTTGCTTTTAACCAGCTGACGCAGCAGCTGGTGACCGTCGAGATTGACAAGATCATGATCGGCCCCGAATTGTTCTGGCTGCCGCTGCACTCCCACTCAGCACCACCCCGATGGTCACGGCTTACCTCGTTCAAACTCGTCTACCAAGCTGTGACGCCATCAGGGCAGTGGCTCTTCAAGAAGGACCACAGCGGGAAGACGCCTACGAAAGAAACGAAGACCCTCCGGCTCCTCAAGACCGGTACCCCAACGCATTCCGAAGCAAGCCGGCGGATATCCTCAACGACCTTCATCGAGCCGCCGGCCAGACGGCCCAGCATATGCCGATGTTTCTGCAGGCTATCCTCCAGCTATATCCCCCCGGGATGGCACATCTGCAATTCGAGGCAATCACGGAGAGTCGTCCGTCGCCTGCCCACAACACCGGCTATTGGTTTCGATACAATCGGGATTGCTCCAGGGCTACGTGGAATAGCAGTGGGAAGTTTCACTTATTGGCGGACACAGTGGATGCGTGGAGACAGGTCGGTGCATTGCATGGGCATGCGGATTTGAATCTGGAGGTATGCTTTGTTCCCCAACCGGTTTCTAGCTTTTTAGCTTCCGCAGTGGTGTGGGTACAGTACTTTTATGCTTGATATACTCACCCGTCGCCCGTGCTTTCCAGAATATCAGTCTCCCGAGCTGCCCTTGCGACTGAACGTTTGACAAGCTGATGCGGGAAGGCCGTCTGGAGCAAGGGCCGAGATATGTGAAGTGGCCCATGCCTTGAAGCATACTGCCAGGTCTCGTTGCTGTCGTGCACCACTGGTACTGTAAGCTCTATTCTCTACTAAGTATATGCCATTCAATCTGATCCGAGTCCTACTGACTCTTGACAAGCAATTCTTCTCGCAAGTTTTACTGGTTTGACTAAAGCTGTGCTGGCTAAATACTGTATACTGGGTAGTAATTTGCTATAAAGCACTTTAAGCGCAAGCCCATGTTGATGGATTGGCCCGCCCCCTTTGCACTCCCTTATACTTAAGCGGGATTGTAATCTAGGTGTCTAGGGTGCACTACTGCCAAGTCCGTAGTCATCAATCCAAAACTTTACAAGCATGGCTCTCTGCATTACAGTGACCGTCCCTACCACTTAGCTATAGATTCAAAACCTACCGTGTTGTGCTGGACCTGCTACATCTGTACCAATCAAGTGAAAATGCAAAATCAAACAGATAATAGCTACTATTCTCATGATATTTGTCTACGAGCTATCCATATCGATTGACAGAAAGTAAAGCAACAAAAACCCCCAAAAGTCCATTTCGCTAGTTGAAGCTAAACAGAAAGCATAAACGCTACCATCAGCCAATCAAATCCTAACCATCTAGTCCGTCGAGACCATCGCTCTAGCTAATGTCTTCTTGCTCTTCTGACACGTAAATAAAACGAAACATGGGGAAGATAATCCCTGATCAACGTCAGGTACCCGTAGCTCAGAACCGCCCACAGTAGTTGGAACCCAGGAGAAGAACGGCGGGAGAGGTGGTGGCACAGCCTTGAGACAAGGTTTGGGTAGGAGGTGGTGACCAGGGTGTGGAGGAGAAAGCGTCCCAGCATGAAGAAGCAGCCCGTGGCAAGTATCAATGGTGCTGGGATTACTGGCTTCTCCGAGGGGTGTTTGTTGTTCTTGTTGTTGGCGTTGCTGCTGTTTTCGTTAGCATTATTGGCTTTGCTTTTGATGATGACGTACTTGCCGTCGATTGGGGTAGTGTTGATTTCTTCCTCCGGCTCTTGGGAGGAAGAGCAGTCGAAGTAGTTGTCGTCGTCGTCGTTGTTGTTGTAGTTGGAGTTGTAGTCATAGTTGTCGTGATTGTCGTAGTTCCAGTCATGGTAGTTGGAGTAGTCGTAGTCCCAGTAGTTGTTGTAGTACTTGTAGTCTGGATCAGAGCCGGAGTTGTCAATGCCATGCTGCTCCCTCTCTGAGACGTAGGTTCCCAGCGGTTTATGCAGAGGGGCGTTGCGCGATAGTTCGTTGCTGCTGTGGAGGCAGGAGGGCGACACAAGCGACTTTCAGGGACTTGGTAGCTGTTGTAGATGTTGAAGGGTGTTGGGACTCTGGTCGGAGCGCTGGTGCTAGGTCTGGTGCTATTTGTCGACGGTGGCGGTGCCAACATGGGTGGATCGATAACCAGATTCGAATCCTGCTGGCCCTCCAAGGTCCTTATGACGGCCTCTTGGCTCGTAATCATCCCCTGCTGGTCGGCGAGCAAGGTCTGCTGGTCAAACAGTAAGGTCTCATGGTCAGCAAGTAAAGCCTGCTGGTCGGCAATCATGACCTTCTGGTCGTCAAGAAGAGCCTGCTGCTCTTTAAGCAAGGCCTGCTGAGCATTGAAGGTCTGCTGATGCTCGGAGGTGGGCCAGCTGCGCTGAGCGGCCATCATCTGGTCCTGCTTGGCATTCATATTTGCGAGGTGGAACAGAAATGCTTCCTCTGCGAAAGAGCGGCTGGGGAGGGAAGGCCTGGTGGAAGGCGTAGGTGATGACGTTGGGTGGACGTGTGATTGACTTTGGATCGCTCGACGGATTGCCATTCTCTCCTTCTCCAACTCAATTTGGTCATAATTCCGGAGCATCTCCTGCCTCAAACGATGAACTTCCGTCTCCTCTTCGCGAGAGCGGCTGGAGGGAAAAGGCCTGGCGGACGGCGTAGGCGATGCCGTTGTGTGGACGTGTGACCGACTTTGGATAGCTCGCAGGATTCGCCTTTTCTCCTCCCCCAACTCATATTGATGATAATTCCAAAGCATCTCCTCCCTGATGCGATGGATTTCCGCCTTCTCGCTGAGAGAGCTGGTCCAGGGAGAGGGGCTGATGTACGGGTAGGGCGCAGGGGAGGACATTGTGTGGGCGTACGACTGAGTCCTGTGAGCCCTATAGGCTGACCTTGCATCCGCATCGCACTCATATTGATGATCTTGAAGCACCTCATGCGTCAAACTAGCACGATCCGTCTCCACAATAGAACTGGTGCTTGATGAGCAACCCATGGCTTGTGATATCGTCGAGTCTTCTTCGTCATCCCAAATCTGGTCCTCGGACAAGTCATCGCTGCAGCTAGAGTAACCCCGCCCCGTCTGGATGAGGTCATCAAAGACATCGTCGAGGTCATCTTCCTCGTACCGCTCGATGTTCGAGAACAGGGAGCTTTTTCTTGTGGCAGGCACTGCAGCTGCTGCTACTGCTGGTGTAGTGTCGTGCCTCCGGAGAGCGGCTATCTCCTCGATGGCTTTTCGTACCGCATTATCCAGCTCTTCCTTGCTGGGTTGCTTGACTGAACCGGAGAGGATATCCATGTTCTGGCTGGGAGGCTCATTGGCAGGTCCCTTGGGGTTGTCGAGTGGGATCAGGCGGGGAGAGACAAGATCCTCATCACCAGGGTGTTTTCTCCGTACGCTTGGACGATGCACATTCGGTGAGTTGGGGGTGGTAGAGGTTTTGGAGGCCAAGATGGCCAGGGATGGGGCAGGCATGGTGAGATCTTTCTCGGTGCTTGCTTGGCTTGTCTTGCGAGTTGGTTAGTTCTGGTGAGAAGGTGGACGGGGTGTTGGATGATAGAGGATGTAACGGCTGAAGTGGGTAGGGACAGTGTGATGAAAGAGGGGTTGGCGATTAGAAAGCACAGGAAGAGGCTCTTTGCTACGAGAGGAGTCCGGCCATCTATGTCATGATGAGCATTTAGGCGGGGGAAAACTTGGGGGAGATATCCGCCTGTATGTCAGGATTGCATAGGGCTGAGCATGTTACAACCCAGACATAGAATCTACCATAATGCGGATTTACGGCGGATAACAGCCGTCATCCTTTAAAGTGAGTGAACTAGTAAGGTATTGACGCTGTTCCTTTACTCTATACTACGAACTCTAGTGCATGGCTTACATTAAATGATATATTACTTCAATGATAGTACAAAACTCTATCACAGACTATAGACAATACCTACTATTTGTAGCTGCTCTGAGGATAACACAATTTATCTTACTCCTTTGACTCCATACCGGCCTTTAGAGTAGCTTTATTACTCTGCCTAGTTCCAAAGGTATCTAGCAGGGGCTTTGCTACCCTACTTAGTCCAAACATATACTTTGGAGAGACCTTGCTACTGTGCTGACTAATAAAGGTGCTTGAAAGTGTTCAAGAAGCCACACGAGAGTAGTAAATTCATCAACTCCACCAGCAGAATATGTAGCATTGTGGTAATAATTGTAAAAGAATTTGCATCAGCAGGATGCCAGCTGCCCTCCACCGGACAAACTCAACCAAAGTCCCCCTCCCCTCTCTCCGCTCTCTCCCTCCCTATTCTATCCTCATCCCCTACCTCTCGAACCCCATACCTATCAATGCTCACCCCCTTCCGAAGGCAGAATCTCCCCCGCGCCTCCCAGATCCTCCCCCAACACCACCCCACCAACCGTCACCGCCTCGCAATCCTGCAACACAAACACCATCCGCGTCCACTCCGTTGGGTGAGGATTCCGCCACGCATGCATCGTAGCCCGCTGCACGGCGATATCGCCCCGCCTGAGATGCCTTGTCTCCCCGGAGTCCAGCACCATCTCGATCTCCCCCTCCAGCACGATCCCGTAGTCCAGGCTGCGCGTGCGGTGCATCAGTGGCGGCTTGCCCGGGGCGAAGTCGACTACCCGGCAGACCGTGCCGCCGGGGTTGACCAGCCCGAGGGTGTTGGTTGTGAGGAGAGCCTCGTGGGCGTGGATGTCGGCGTCGTCGGTGAGGGTCGCCGGGAAGGCGGAGGTGGTGTAGGCGACGCTGAAGGCGAAGGTAGTGCCTTCGACGGCGGTCCAGGTTCCCGGGGTGGTGGAGTGGACTGTTGCAACTGGGTTTTGGTTTTGGTCGGCGATGGAGTGCGTGGTTATGTGGCGGGTGTAGTTTGGGAGGGGGCTGGGGGTGGGGGTTCCTTTGGGTGGATTGGTCATTCTGCGGTTGTTTTTTCGTTGGTTATGGTTTGGGTGGGCTGGGTTGGTGCTGTTGGTTTAGTCCTATTGTGAGGTTTGGGATATATTGAGGAGGAGGGTGGGAGGAGGAGGCAGTGGTGGTGGAAAGAGAAGGAGGAAGTTGTTGGGTTGCACAGGTATACTGAAGTATAGAGGGGAAGGAAGCTGCGTCGGTGGAATAGTTCCGCGGGGTAAGGTACCACCTTCCATGATACCCAACCTCCTCCCGGATGATCTGCATGATGTGCAGGATGACTGCCAATGGTGGTTGGAGGTAGCTGCATGGTGAGCTGGCGGGGATGCTGAGTAACTAACTATGTATGAGTACGAAGATCCTGCCGGGGAGGTGAATTGCTTGCGCATGCACTCTTGTGACGTGGCTAAACGGCTGCGCTCGACTTTATTCCGATTCTCACTATTCAGGATCGAGAAAAGGAAATCATGGGTAGGAATCTGAGCGAGGCAGTTGTGATATGTAAGTTCAGTCATATTTCGACTATCTCGATTGTTTTGATTGCTACCCATTCTTTTTGCCATACCCCTATCCATTAATGCAGATGCACAAACTATGCCACAGATGCTGATGCTAATGTACTGTTGTCAAAACATGCAAACCCTCAAATACTCTTCAGTCTCCGGCGGAATTCCGTCTCGCGGAACGGGGCCAGCCCGCAGTTCACCCGGTTCTCGTGGACCCGACGGTGCAAGGCGCCCAGCGCCAGGATCTCCGTCGAGTTCGTCGTCTTCATCACCGCCCCCGACGCGCCATGCGGGTTGTAGTAGGTGGCCCCGGCGCCAGTCGACGAGTATCCGCACGACTTGATCACGAAGCTCACCAGCCCGGGCAGATGCGTCATGCGCGACAGGACATGTTGCCACTCGCCCGAGTTCAGCTTGACCTGGTGGAGCTCGATGTGTTGGATGGAGTCCTTGCATTGTTCGACCAGCGACAGCAGCTTGTAAGACGAGATGGACACCCGGCGCAGCTGGATGGATTCCAGGCGGAGGGCGCGGCTGAAAGAAGCCCCGTCCAGATCCAGGGTGTCTGCGCTGGCAATGGCGAGCGACTTCAGGTTGCTGGCGTGACGGATCATCTTGTAGAGCCAGTGTGCGTGGGTCTGATTCGACAAGCCGGGGTTATGTGCGGTCGCGCCGGGCGGCGGAGAGGGAGATTCATGTTGTTGTGGCTGAGCGTGTTCGGTGGGGGCGGCGGTGATGCGGAGGCCCAGGTGGTGAAGACGCTCCAGGATGTGTTCGGTGGAGATGCGCAAGGCGCTGGAGCTGATGGTCTTGTGGGGGAAGAATTGGGCGAAATCATGGGTGATGGGGAAGGCAATGTCCAGCTCGGTTAAGTTCGGCAGTGGCACATAGCGGAGGCTGCTGATGACGGTGTTGACAAAGTCTCGGGTCGTCGCCTCGGGTAACGAGCCGGGAACCCCCTGGAAATCAAGCGCCTTGAGTTTGGACAGCCGGCACAGGCAGGAGGGCAGAACCCCCGCCAGATCTTCCAGGAACATCGAGCAGAAATCTTCCGAGTGTTCCGTGTCCTCGAGCCCGATGTCGAGTTGGCGCACGTAGTCGGCATAAGGGCCATGGGAGAGCTCTACGAGGCCTACAAGCGGCGATTCGGAGGTCTTGGACTGGGCGGATTTGGCGACCACGCGGAGGTGTCGGAACAGTCGCGGGGAGGCACTGCGACAGAAGGCGCGGTTGACGAGACGTAATGTCGCGAGCTGGTGCCGAAGCTCGTCGGATTGAATCTTGTGTTGTCGCGTCGAAGCGGCCCACGGCCGGCTATCGACGTCATCCACAAAGGACACGATCTAGGAGGCATTGCACTTAGCATTCAGGCTGACTCGCCTGGGGCGCATCGCATCACTTACCAGATCGTAAATCTCTTGCGGTGCTTGCATGGTGTGTGATGTGTGTGTGTGTGTTTGTTCTCATCACAACCCCAAGTACCATGGGGCGTTGGCAGTTAAATATCTGGGGAACAAGAGGTGGAAACGCATTGAACCCCCTTTTATGCGGGGTATTTGTGGAACAAGTGGAAGAAATGGAATGAATGCTCGTAAATGGAATAAAGGAGAAGGGGATTATGAGGCATATTCGAATTCTCATTATTCATGCCTAGGCCAGTGGCTGTTGGCCTTGCAGCCTGCAGTCTTTTTGAAGACGTAATGAGAATCCCCAAGAGGAAGCTCGTCGTGACCAACGGCGGTGTGAGCCAATAACCGGCCCTGATTCGGCGATGAGACCATCGAATTGTCGATCCGACTCATGGGTCAAGTGACGTGACGCGCTCAATCAGTGCCATGGATGGAGGTCACGGGGAGGAAAATTTGAAGGGAAAAAAAAGCAGAACAAGAAAAACAGAAAAAAAAAAAAAAAAGAAAATAGGGTTGGGGGGAAATGAAGGGGAAAGAAGATTCAAGGGGTTTCTCTAGAAGTGAGGGAGATGTAGTAGCTACTATGTGAATGAAGCTTCATTCTTATCCTGCCTTACCCCGGATTTTCCTGTTGAGCTAGTCTACCGTATCTAATCGCCCTCCCTTCTCCCCTCCCCTCTCTTAACTTATCCATTATCTCCGTCCTCGTTTCCTCTCTCTACTCTACGTACTCGGAATCTCTCCCCGCTGATAAGAATTCGGTATCGGATCCCGACCGGATTCTTTTCCCTCCCCCCGCATTCACCATCACTACTTAAGCCACTAATGCGCTGCCATTCCTCCAAAATGAGTATCAACAAACTTTCATCATCATCAGCATCATCATCATCACCGTCTTTTGAGTCATTACCGATTTCCGCAGAATTGAGCAGATTGACGTCAACATGGGCTCCACTTCCAACCCCAGCGTGACCGCCCAGCCCCATATCCCCCCCGCAGGCGTCTGGTGTCCAGCCGTGACCTTCTTCGATCACGCGACCGACACCATTGATTTGGTCGCCCAGAAGCAATACTATAAATATCTGTCGACGACTGGTCTGGCCGGGCTCGTCATCCTTGGCACCAACTCCGAAGCTTTCCTCCTTACGCGCGAAGAACGATACCAATGCATTGCCGCCGCCCGCGAAGCCGTGGGGCCTGATTTCCCCCTCATGGCCGGCGTGGGCGCCCACTCCACCAAACAAGTCCTCGAACTCGCCTCCGACGCGGCTGCCGCGGGTGCCAACTACCTGCTGGTGCTGCCCCCGGCCTACTTCGGCAAAGCGACCACGCCCGCCGTCGTGAAGCGGTTCTTCGCCGACATCGCCCGACAATCCGCCCTCCCCGTCGTGGTGTACAACTTCCCCGGCGTGTGCAACGGCGTGGATCTTGATTCCGAGACCATCACGGCGATTGTCCGCGAGTCCGAGGCGCAGAGCCCCTCGGGCGTCTCGAACGTGGTCGGCGTGAAATTGACCTGCGCGTCCGTGGGCAAGATCACCCGGCTGGCGGCCACTTTCTCCAAGGACCAGTTTGCCGTGTTCGGCGGACAGTCTGACTTCCTGCTGGCGGGGCTGGCCGTCGGGTCGGCCGGATGCATTGCGGCCTTTGCGAATGTCTTCCCCAAGACCGCCGCGCGGGTCTACAAGCTGTACGTGGAGGGCAAGGTCGACGAGGCGTTGGCGTTGCAGCGGCAGGCGGCGTTGGCCGAGTCGCCGTGCAAGAGCGGCATCGCGTCCACCAAGTACGCCACGGCCATCTTCTCGGCGGTGGCAGCTGGGATTGAGGGCGCGGAGGAGAAACTGAAGCCTCGCACCCCGTACGAGGAGCCTGCCCAGGGGGCTAAGGTCACCGTGCAGGAGGTGATGGGTAAGATGGCAGAGGTGGAGAAGGCACTCTAAGTAGATTATAAGAAAGAGGTGTACATATATCCTAGAGTAAAAATGCAGATGCAGCTCATGTTTGATCCGTTGTTTGCGTTCCTGTTCAATGATGGGGAATTACTGGCGGTGAAGGAGTCAGTCTGGCCAGGCAGGGTAAACGTTGACCCAGCCTGGCCAAGTCTGTGGATACCTCCTGGTTACAGGCCCTTTCGTTTAAACCCCATACGTGCGCTTCTCGCAATTTAAATAAACGGTCCAAGGGCCTGGGACCTGCAGACGACGGGCTTCCTCCCCACTTTAGCCCGATGGGTCTATTGACTGTTTCTACGCAATGTCAACGACAGTGATTGTGACTGCATATGAGCAGGCGAAGGGCTTGAGGATTGATGCGGGTATGAGCGCAGCATCAATAGACGCGACCGGTTTTCGACACGAGAACTTCTCGCAAATGTGCTTATAGAGCACAAAGCCCAAAAATACTCGAGAAACTAGATCCACATGAGCGGAGTCCGTCGCCCATCGCCTCGTTCCTGTAACTACAGCGAGGTTATTGAACTTTAAAGCGTGATGGTTGGCGCCGATTCGAGCCCGTCCCTACTGCTGGATAGATATTTATGCCATAACTGTCCCAGGCGGTGTCAGCCCCGCTCCTCGATGGCGGGGTTGAGTCAATTCCTCAGACTCAGGTCGCAGGCGGCTGATACAATGCGAATTACTCTCAGCAAGTCAACAAGCAGACACCTGAATAAGACCCCCTTTCCCGAATCTTATCCCTCGAGAAGTTGAATTAATCGTTATGAAAAAAAGGTGGGCTGAGCATCGGACCGGTATTAGCGCGGCTGCCTGGGCTGATGGGGGTTGGAACCGGTCGTGGTTGCGCGGAGGTATGCAGTTGCAAGTATTGCTTGGATTAAGATGGGCCTTGTTCGATTGTAAGAGATTCAAATACACCTGCAAAGAGTAGGGTTTTCAGCGATCATCAAGCTTGCAAGAAGCAGCCGTGTAAAAAGCTCCCAGGTTGTTTCTGGTGGATGATGGATCCATGTTGATGGATCATCGATCATGATCGTTGGGAGGCTTGCCAAATATAGCCGAGACAGGGAGGCGGCAAGTTTAAAATACACAGCTGTGACGGTAATTTGACCACTTCCGCCCCGTCCGCTCTGTCAGCGGAGCAAAATTACGTACGGTATTGAAGGGCATTGCTCCTTTGGGGTCGGCTTGCCGGAAGAGGCGTGGCCCGCGATCATACGACTTGGGACTGACGCTCCACCGAACATTGGCCGAGATTCTCTCTCTCTCAGTCACTCTGTCAGTTCTTTCCATGCAATCCATGCATTCGTTCATCCATCATCCATTCTACCTCTGTCTACCTGTCGTTGCATAGCCAACCTCACAGTCATGCGTCCTTCAATTCTGCCTCTCTACCTTCGATCACGATATCATTGATCTTTCTAGAACCTCGCCTCCAGTTGCCCCGAACTAACCTTGTGCTCCAGCAGTGGTTGATCGCCCCGTCGTCGTCTTTATCAATCAGTAAAACCAGGCACCAACTGAGGATCCGGTCAAATTTTTGTCCCACCGGGACCAAAGTTCCTCGAACCACTCATCGCGCCTCAACCCGCTGCGCCCCTCCCTTTCTCAACCGCTCGCTCGATAAGATCGAAGGGGAAGAAACGCCCCTGCACATGTTCAGACATCCACGGGGTTTCTGCTAGTCAGATCTTCATCCACCCTCGCACACCATCCTGTCTCCTGCAACTTCCCGACGAACTTCTCCTCCCCCGCTATCTTACGCAGTAAATTGCTGGATTTCACCCTCGACTGTCCCTATTGTCTTCAATCTATCATCATCACTATCATCGATTGTCCTTGGGTCACTCCACTGTTACGCAATCTAAGATTGGTTAGCGCTGGCTTAACTTATTCGCCTTGCGCGACTTCTTTCCGCACCCAGCCGGCTCCTGACCACACACCCTTCTCAGGTATGCACTTTCACACAGTGTCAACATCCATGACCTCGTCGTCGCGCAGGTCGTCGATTGTCCGTAGCAAGAACTGACCCGAGTTAAGGCAACAGCTTGCACGCCCCGCTCGCGGTTTATTATCGCCGTGCTTTGACTGACTACTTGCGATTCATGGTCCCGGCTCTGGCCGCTGGACAAGATGGCAATGCCCAGCATGGGGAGTGACTTCCAGCTCTTCTCCCCTAACACCAACAAGAGAAACTCCAGAGAATCACAGGCCGAGTCAATGTCATTTGCTCCATCCTCCAGCACGGACGAAGCAACTCAAGATTGGACACAATGGATGAGATGGGATGATCAAGGCTTCGCAGAGGGGGTCAAAGAGCTCTCCCAATCGCCTTTCGATCTGACCTTCTCCTCACCAAACACATCAACCGGCAATCCAAGCACAGGGTTCTTCAACAAATCCGAATTCTCACCCAACATCTCTCTCGACTGCACGAACCTCCCGTTTGACTCCTTCTTCGATCGTGGGTACAACAGTATGTCCAACTCCAAGGGCGACTCGAGTGGAGCCGAGATGCCTTCTACGCTGTCGACTGCGGCGGGCTCACCATTAACCCCGGACGGAATCACCCGCAAACGCAAGTCGGGCAGTGACGACGACGGATCAACTGTGAGTGGCGTCGTGCCACCCGGCAAGAAAATGCCCGCCAAGAAACGAGCACACAACGTTATCGAAAAGCGGTACCGAGCCAACCTCAACGAAAAGATTGCCGAGTTGAGAGACAGCGTCCCCAGCCTGAGAGCTTCGAAGAATGCGGCGGGCAGCATCATCGATGATGACGAAGGCGAGGGTGTCACCCCTGCCAGCAAGTTGAACAAGGCTTCCATCCTATCGAAGGCAACAGAGTATATTCGCCACTTGGAGATTCGCAACAAACGACTCGAAGAGGAAAACACCGCCCTCAAGAACCGACTTCGTCTAGCAGATAAGGCTGCGGAACAGATGATCACATCCACCGCTTCTGTCTCATCACCCAGTAACTACACCGAGTCTGGGGCAAGCTCATCCCCCAGTGTGTTCTCACAGGTCGAGGATTCGCCGAGTGACCACTCTCCTACAACCCTGCATCCTCCCGAGGGCTTGATGAAGGTACCAGATGCCTTCCAGCGCCTCCGAGACGAAGCAGCTGCCAAAAACAGCTCCTTTTCCCAGTCGTATATGCAATTTCCCAGCAGCAACGGCAACAGCAATGGTAACGGTAACAGGTCCACCCAGGGTGGCGGAGGTCGCAGCCGCTCCTACTACCCCAATAAATACATGCTTGGCGCTCTTGCTGGTCTGATGGTCCTTGAGGGCATGGGTAGCGACAAAGATACCGATTCAACCGCCAAGGGACTGCTGGCGGTTCCTGTCAATCTGTTGGGTAGCCTACAGAATCCGACCATCAAGTACTGGATGGCAGTGGCCCGCAGTTTTTGGTACTCATGGCATGCAAGGGCCATTTCACACTTCCTGATCCTTGCCAGTCTGGTCGTTGGCAGTGCTTTTGTGGTTTTTGTTTACCTCTTCAATGCCGGCCCCAAAAGCCAACCAGGCTCATCTAAGACCGCATTCATATCTGATGCAACGCTATCGTCCTCGAATTTCCGCCGTCAAGCGTGGTTAACGAGCATTCAGCAAGTCGGTGTTCCGCGTCATCGGTTCTTCCATGAGTGGTACGTGGTCACCTCACGCTGCTTCGAGTATGTGCTGCGCTGTCTTCTGGGCTGGAAACTCTACTCTTCCATCACTGGGGTTACCGTCGAGGATGACAAGGGCCGCGTGAAGTCATGGGATATTGCCATCGATGCGCAACTGGCTGGTGGAGATCCCGAAATCAGCAAGAGTAGGTTGGTACTCACCATCTTCGCTGCAGGAACCCTGCCTCGCAGTCCAATGCGTATGATGCTCAAGGCGCTACATTGCCGCATCCTTCTCTGGCGAGTCGGTGTTCCGGGATCATGGACTTTCCACCTCTCTAACGATGTCGCACGTTCATTGGCCGGCTACCAATGGGATCTCGCCCGCAAGATGCACGCAGCTATGCCCAAGAATCATCCAGAGGCCCTGCCGAGTCATTTGGCTGCTCTGCTGCAGCTCGACTGTGATGAGGTCATGATCGACACTGTTGTCCAACGAGCAGCGAACCTTACATGGAACCGCCCTACACAAGAGGGAGCCGATGATGACGAGGCCCTTCTGGATGTTGTGGAGGAAGATCCTGCTATTCGGTCCTCCCTCGACGCTCTTGCCGCCTGGTGGTCAAGCCACCTCTTGCAGCGGGCTCTACTCAGATACTTTGAGGCTAGCTCCGGTGGGCCCGATGCGAAGAAGAGCCGTGACTTGTTCAAGGCCAAGATCAAGATCGCTCTGGACGTTGCTCCCCAGCCATCAGCCGCTCATACCCGCGCTCTAGTCATGAAAGCGGTGTTCTTCGACCATGACCGTGCTACCAACATCGGAGCCGTCCTGGCAGCGCTGCCCAAGGACAAAGGAAAGAGTCAGCAGAGTCAGGTCTCCAACTTCCTAGATTCGTCACTTCCGGTCTCCGTGCGGGATGAGATCGCCATATCCGTCCGCTGTGCCATGATTGCGGCCATCTTCACGGCACGAACCACGGGTGACACCTCTCTCCCCGCATCCTTCACCATCCAAAAAGCGATCACATGGTTCAATCAGCTCCCACTCGATCCTGTTGATTTGACTCTAATCGGCTTTGCCTCGGTTTACCATCTGTTGCATGTTCTTGCATCAGACACGGATTACTTGTCTTCTTCTGAATCATCCCCCTCCTCCCCCGCGTCCAGAAGCTCGACCCCATCTTCACTTTGCTCCGATGGCGAAGCTGACGACAGACCCCGCTTTTCCCCGAAGCAGGCGGTTTTGCCTCAGTCCATTCCCAACCTTGGCCGAGTCGCTTCTGAACTGATGTATTGGGCACGGAACGCTTACAACCCCGCATTCTACGGCTTCACTCCTCAGATTGTGAAGGTCATTGAGGATGAATGCACATCCTTATGCCACAGCGCCGGTGTCGACGTGGCGGACTATTCATCCGTTCGAGAGGAGAAGAGCAGAGCCAAGCAGGTCAAGGAGAAGAAAAAGAAAAGGCGCTCGAGACGGGCTTGACTGCCACGTGCCCCGGGAGTGTGCTAGATCTCCTCCCCAAAGCTTGTTCTCCATCCATGATGGCAGTGGCTGCCGCCTGGAGCCAAGCAGTCGCCGAGTTATGGGAGTTTTGAATTTCCAACACAAGCTTTCTACAATATCACCGTTACGTTACATCTCACGAATTGGCCACGATTGGCCCTTCAGTCGACTCAATACCACATGTACATGCTTTCTTGTTCAATTGTAATGGCGCACATCGCTTACCTGCAGGGATCAGTGAAATGGGGGGCACTTCAGTGCCGGGAGTCTGTTTTTTCGGGTTACGCAATCAATACCTCCCCGTTCTTTGGGATCCAACCGATCGAGGCACACAATTCATGGCAGTTCTTGTTTCTTCATAATGCTTAATACTCACTTCATTCTTACGACATAACCCATCGAGTACCCTAACGCGACTCGAAGGTCTTGGCCGCGGCCACGTTTTCTTAGACTGTCGTCATTTCTTAGATTATCTGTACAACAACGAATATTGGCGTTGGCTTGGTATCGAAATTAGAGTGGCTTCATGTTTCTCCGCTTTTCCCCTGGCATTTTTTTCCTGACCGTCGGGGTATGCGGGACACGCGGATCGCGATCTCACATTTGACTTTGTAGCAAACCCAAGCAGGAGCACAATGTGAGCATGTTTTATGGGGGCTCAGGTACTGCCTTTCGTGGTGAGACATCAGGCTCATTGTCGCTGTGTCAAATCCTCTGGTCGAGATTGAACGGCAAAGTCAAATAATTCTCCGGAAAGTGGCAAGTTAGATTTCAATGGAGATGTTCGAGTGTACCAACATCTCATCGTACACGACTTCTGGATATTTTCTCCGCTTCCTTGCTGCCTTTCCTTGTCGCAATGCATAGCTTGAATGACCGCACTTGTCATCGGCCGGCGCAGCGATGACAGCACACTCCCACTGCTCAGGATAGCAAGTCTGGCGACACTGCATCTTGCCTATAGGGACGAAAAACCACGGTGGCATCGAAGCTGGACTGGTCGATTGGGGTCTAGACATTGCCTCTTTTAAGTCGTTTGCTAGTCATGATGACATGAGGTTCCTGCGGCGGTTGCCCTAAGCGGGAGGAAACAATGCAGCTGCCATCCCCGACGTTACAATGGCTTCCACGCCAGAGACAGCGCGCACGATGCTATAATGTTACCTGATCGAAGGAAGATCGGCGCTGTTTCGTTATGTCATCCAACTATCGACTGTGTGCTTCGATTGCATGACGTCAAGTGGTTGGTCCCAGCCTGTGTACTCCTACCCTAAGGATGCGGGCAGACCTCGATCCACCCGCAAGGGGCTGCAACCAGCACCACGGGCTGGTAAGTTTAGCTGTCTCAAACTCTACTATGGGCGCTTACTACCAGAGACGGCGTGTCTAATCTCGGGACAGATTGGGGTTGATTGAAGGACTGGTATGTTGGAGAGCTACATTTGTGTACTGGACAAACGACACCCTCTTCAGCTCGGATGGGGATGGAAGATGTTATGACAGGTCCTTGTCGTCAATTGTCGTCAGCTTGAACGTCATAACCACCACGCAGGTTGGCTACAAGCAGCAGAAAACCTGAATTGAAGGAACAGCAGAGGGAGAGCTGCGCTGAGGGGATTTGGAAGGGTTTGGTAGGGCGGATGCAGCTGACGCGCATATTTCCCTTCCGTTTTCGGCGCTGCCGTTCCATCGCCCCGCAAACACACGCTTCTGTTTCATCCACAGACTTTTGACGGATGCCAAATGCTTGCAGACCCAAGTCCTGCTGGGCGGGCTAAGCAGGTTAAGGTTAACCGGGCAATCTGCCGGGTTGTGCGTACCTGTCGACTATGCCAGGTCCAGCAGTCCCCGAACTTTCCCACCCGACGAATCAAGGGGAGGGGAGGGAGGCACACATTCCACGGAAAGTCAATCCCCACACTTCTCTGAGGTTGCAATGCGGATTTCTGTGCAGCTGGACTCTGCTGCGATGCATTTCCGTTGCATGAAAGCGCCGAGTCTCGAGACGGCAGTCCGAGTCGGCTTGCTGTTCGCTTTCTACGGTATCATCGCACATACAATGGCTCTCCCCCTCCCTCCGCCCAGAGTCGGCGCAAAGAGCGATGGATGACGGCATAGTTATGAAGAGGAGTGCCCTATGCAGCCGCTTGCACGTCATGACGGTCATGGATCTAGAATCACAACTGCCAGTGCTGGTATATGTAGACGGGGGCTACGACGCTTTCCCGGTTTGAGCACTGGTCTTTAATCTGAGGCCTTTCGCTTGTTCTCCGGCGAAAGTGCGCATACGCTTCTCCAATCTCTGGTCCTCTCTCCAGCACACGCCCACCCACCCACCCACATCCAAGGACATTCCAAATCTTCCAACACGGCGATCTTCACAGCTCCAGCAACATGGGGGTAGACTACCATGACGCGGACCAACCGCGGCTTCGAAACGTTCATCCCCCGATGAAAGTCTCCCTGGCGACTCCGATCTTCATTTTCGCCGGCGGCGTGTTCGTGCTCTTCGTCAGCAACCTGTACACACAGTTACAACATCGGCGCCGGTTACGTCGGATACTCGAGAGCGACGACGACGACGACGACGACGACCAGGATCGATTTGCGCGGAGTAATGCGCTGTCCGCCGCGCTCAACAGACACGTCTTCTATGCGCCGCTGCTGTCGACCCGGCATAGTCGCGAGTTCCGGGTGGGGCGCTGCCACATGGGGATCATCCCGCTGCGCCTGGAGGCGATTCTTCTGTCCGTGTATATTGCGCTGAACGTGGGGTTCTTCTTCGCGACGGTGGACTGGTGGGCTGAGTGGGAGGAGGTGATGTACCAGCTTCAGTACACGAGTGGCACGCTGGCGGTGTTGAACCTGCCCGGGTTGATCCTCGCCGCGGGGCGCAACAATCCGCTGATCCCGCTGCTGGGGATCAAGTTTGATACCTTCAATCTGATTCATCGCTGGGCCGGGCGCTTGGTTGTTGCGGCTTCGGTTGTGCATGTTGTCTTGGCGATTATTCCTCGGCAGAAGGAGTGTAAGTCCTGTCTCTGTTTCTTGGTAAGTGAACCACACGCTGACTCTCAATCAATAGTGGGTAGTTTGTCTGCTGTGACACAGGTTGTCTGGCACACACCGTTCTTCGTCTATGGTATGACGGTAAGTCGGACTCACACTGGGTTCTGAGGACAGGATTGTTAATAGCTGCAAGGCTTTCATCGCGTTCGCCGCTATTCTGGTGCAGTCCATCTCGCCGCTCCGACACGCCTTCTACGAAGCGTTCCTGCATTTGCATATCCTCTTGGCCATTGCGTCCATGGTGGGACTGTGGTACCATCTGCGCGGCATGTCGCAGCAGACAGCGCTATTGGTTACGTTGATCCTTTGGGGATTTGATGTAAGCCAACCCCTTTGTACTGACTGGACTGCTCCGACTGTCCCCCAGGACCCATTCCAGCTAACACTACTGCGTCCAGCGAGCCACCCGGCTGTTCATCATCCTCTGGCGCAACGTCGGCAAGCAACGCACGACAGCCACCGTGGAGCTTCTGCCGGGCGACGTCGCCCGCGTGGACGTCGCGCTCGCCCGCCCCTGGACTTTCAAGGCGGGCCAGTACATGTACCTGTACCTGCCGTCGCTGGGGCTGTGGACCTCGCACCCGTTCTCGGTGGCCTGGACCTCCTCGGATCGTAGCAGCCTGCCGACCGAGAAGCGGAGCTCCAACGACTCGATCAACCGGTTGCTGGGTGGGCCGCAGCAGACCACGATGTCGTTCCTGATCAAGCGCCGTGACGGGTTCACGGGGAAGCTGCTGTCGAAGGTGCACAAATCCTGCGACGGGAGCTTCGGAGCCACCGCGTTGGCGGAGGGGCCGTTCGGTGCGTCAACGTTTTCCCTTCTTCTTCTTCTTCTTCTTCTTCTTCTTCTTCTTCTTCTTCTTCTCCTCCTCCTGCTGTCACCTATACATAATACCATACTCACTGTGAATGGAAACTACAGGCGGCCTACATTCGCTCGCCTCGTACGGCACCGTCCTCCTCATCGCCGGCGGCATCGGCATCACCCACCCGATGTCGTACCTCCATGAGTTCGTGACCAACATCACCTCGCAGACCCAGGCGGTCCGCCGCGTGACTTTGGTTTGGGTAGTGAGGAGCTTAGGTGGGCCCCCCTTTTCCTGATGATGGTCCCTTCCCACCCAAACTAACAGCAAAAAAGACCACCTCTCCTGGATCCAACCCTGGATGACCGCCCTCCTCAACCACCCCGCCTTACAAATGGCCACCCTCCGCAAACGCGAATCCTACTTCCAGTTCCCTGCTTTCTTCCTGGGGATCCAAATCTACGTCAGCAAATCCGCCGCCTCGGCGGAGAGTATCGGTAGCACGACCAGCGGCAGCAGCACCGAGGCCAGCCCCACGCGCTCCGACACCAGTAGCCCCGAGGACTTCTTGGGGTGTTCGCCGTGGGCGAGCGTGGCGCCGGCGTCGGTGCCTGTCGCTATCCATACGGGGAAACCCTGCTTTGATGAGATTCTGCGGACGGAGATGGCGAGGCAGGTGGGTGCGATGGCGGTGAGTATTTGTGGGCCCGGGGCCATGGGGGATGATGTGAGGCGGACGGTGAGGGAGTGTCAGGGTGGTGGTGGTGAGGGGTTGAGGGTTGATTTGTATGAGGAGAGTTTTTCGTGGTGATTCTTTTCTCTCTCTTTCTTGGGGATGGGTGAGGGTTGGGGTTGTGTATGGGAGGGGAGTCGGGATTGGATGCGCAAGACAGACAGAAGAAAATCAAGGGGAAGGAGGCGGGTTTGGGTTAGCGAGTTGGGTTTCGGCTTTGGATTTTGGATGTATTTATTGTCTTCGGTTATTGGATCTGGGATTTGGGCTTGGGCATTGGAAATTGGGATCTCGATTGGGGGTGTGGGGATAGATAATAGATTATCTTCTTCGGTTCTTTTCTCCTTCTCGTGGTTTTGTTCAGCTGGGTTGTAGATCCTAGAGTTGAGGGAGAGAGAAAGACTTAAGGTTGGCGTAGGTGATGTCTCAAGTCTATGCTGTTGTGAGTATATGAATCTGTAGTTGACACTTGAAAATGTAGATCAGACAAGATCCTTTCCGCAGACTTCGAGTCATTCTTCCGGATCGTCATATCCTCTCTATAATCCACCACGTATACTTCCCCTCTTTCTCCGGCCCAATCCTCTGTCTCGTCATCTTTCTATATCAGCGACCCTCACTTCTTCCCAAGTCATATATGTGCTGTGTCTTGACACAAGCGCTAAACGCCAACCTCAACAGGTGCTCCCTCAACCGGCACCGCAATCATCAGCGCCAACATCGCCCGCGCCACCTCCGCCGCCGCCAGCGTCGTCGTCTCGCCCGCCGAATCATAGATGGGCGCTACCTCCACCACGTCCGCGCCGATCACCGGTAACCCGCGCAGCCCGTCCAGGATGGACAGGAGCTCGCGTGTCGAGAAGCCGCCTGGTTCGGAAGTGCCGGTTGCTATCGTACCCAAAGCTCATTAGCATGAACTCTAACCAGCCTTTTTGTCTCTTCCTTTATCCTTTCCTTCAGGGGAAGGCCCTGCTCTTGCTTCACTGGAGGAAGACAAGCGAGGAACGGGACGTACCAGGCGCAAACGCTGGATCCAGCACGTCGATGTCGACGGAGATGTACACGCGGCTGTCCCCGACGCGGGCCTTGATCTGCTCGATCACCCCGCTCACCCCCAGGCGGTCGAGGTCACGCGCCTTGATCATCTCGAAGCCGCAGCGGAGGTCGTTGCGGAGGTCGGCGCCGTGCGGGCGGATGACGGGGGCACGGATGCCGACGTGGATTGAGGTGTTGTGGATTAGGCCCTTTCATTGGCTGTTAGGTTCACTCTGTAGATGACGGGGGCAGAGGGGGATACCTCTTCGTGCGCGAGATGGAGGAAGGTACCGTGGTTGACGCCTCTATTTTCCGGTTAGGGGGTTGGATGTATTGGGTGTGTTGGGAAGGGGTACACGTACGCGTAGTGAGAGATTCCTCCGCCTGTTGATGTTGCTTGTGTTAATTCTTGCTGGGCTTTGTAGGGAGGGCGAGGGGGGATGTGCTGTACCTAGTGCTGCTGGGTCCCATGTATCTATGTCCCGAACCTTGATATTAGCTTTTCCGTCTTTCTATATGCCTTGTTCGTGGCAATTGGATTCGGCATACCGATATGACTATCGAAATGGATCACCGACACCGGCCCCCACTTCTCGTACGTGGACCGCAGCGCCGACAGCGTCGTGGTATGATCTCCGCCCAGCGTGATGATGCGCGGCACCTGGCCTTTGGTCGTTGTGTTGGTGCCGCGCGAGGAGACGACCTACCACCCTACTATCAGTCCACCTGACTCTGATTTTTCCGGGGCCACCTAGATTGGGGAGGAACCTTATGCGCCAAATCCAATTGCTTCAGCGCCACCGTATTGTCCAACCACGTCAACGGCGCATCCCCGCAGTCCACCAGTTTCGCCCAGCTGGCGAACACGTTCTCCCCCGTGTAGATGTCGTAGCCGCCCAGGCGACGCGAGCCCAGCCGGATGCCCTGCGGACCGTAGCGGGCGCCGGGCCGGCCTGTTACTGCCTGGCTTAGGGGTTAGTGGTGCTAGTGGGCAACGGTGGATGGACATCTGCGGGGAATGGGGACGAACGGTGTCGAAAGGTGCGCCGAGGAAGGCGATGTCGTATGTCAGGGTCTCATCGTCGACGAAGCAGTTCGCGTACGGGAGGTGGGCGAAGGTGGTGAGTCCGGAGAACTGGCTACCGGTCACAATGTCGATTTTGTTGATGCCGATGTCGTTCTGGAAGGCGTACTGGCTGGAGGGATGGTTGTGGACGGCGGCGATGGGCGGGAAGATGATTTCTCGGGCTGCTGCTGCCGAGACGAGGAGGGAGAGGGAGAGGTGCATTGTGATGTGGGGATGTTGGGACCAAGGTGAATGGGAAGTTGGGCGTGTACCTGTACCTGATAGACCGTTGAAGCGATAGTTATAGTTCTGGTTATAGTTATCGATCACGGCGGTGGTTATCGCGATAAGGCCGTCCGAGGGGTCCGAGGGGACCGTGGAAGGACTTGCCTAACGCGGTAAGTGGGCAGGCTCGCCGGGCGGCACTCCAAAATTCCCCACTTGGGATTTTCTTTTCCCCTCACCTTCGCTGAAGCGTCATCGCCGCACTCAACACAGTCACTGTCAATTTGATCGGCTCCCTATACACCCCACCAGCATAACGGTCCTGCAGTTCCAGACCCTCACCATGGTTCGATCCCTCTTTCCCCCCGCACAATCCCTCGCGCCATCTTACTTAGCATCAAGCATAAACTAACCGCCCGCAAGCCTCACGCAGACTCCTCCTTCTTCGGCCCCAACGCCTCCAAAGACGAGGTCTACACGCAAGTCCTCGAACAAGCCCGCGGCCTAGTCTACGGCCAGCGCAACTGGGTATGCTTTTACACACCACCCCCCCGCGGTGACAAATAATCCAGATCTCACTAACCATCCCAATCTGTCAACAGGTCAGGTAACACCCTCACCCCTCCCCTTCCCTCCCCCTCGAATACAAAAACTAAACAAACAGCAACTTCTCCAACGTCGCCTCCCTCCTCTGGCACGCCTACGCCGCCCTCCCCTCCCCCTCTGCCTCCGTCAACTGGGCCGGCTTCTACATCCGCAGCGACAAGTTCCCTGCCTTGTCGTCCCAAAACACCACCACCGATGCGAACGCGCCAGCCAAACTCCTCCTAGGCCCCTTCCAAGGCCGCCCCGCGTGCCAGGAGATCCGCTTCGGAAAGGGGGTCTGCGGCACCGCGGCGCAGGACCGCGCCACCGTCGTCGTGCCGGACGTGCTGGAGTTCCCCGGCCATATCGCCTGCGATGCGAGTAGTCGGAGTGAGATCGTCGTGCCGATTCTGGTGGGTGGGGAGGTAAGATTTTCTCCCTTGTTCTTGGATGTGGGGTGGGAGCTTGGCTAACCGGGTTTGGGGTCGTGGTAGACGGTCGCGATTATCGATATCGATTGCACGGAGCCCTCGGGGTTTAATGAGACCGACAAGAAATATCTGGAGGAGCTGGCGGGGTTGTTGGCTGAGTGCTGTGATTGGTGATTTACCGCCGGGTTTGTCTGGGTGTAGGGCAGGCTAGGGTGAGGATCTGGGGTATTTGATCTGCGATGGGATGGGCTTAGAGCTGATTATAGACCTTCTGCGTATATATGTGCAGTATATTAGAGGTTGTCAGCAATGGAAAATTCCCGGTTAGGGGACGACAAGACTCCGTCGAAATCTATTCATTCGTCGATCTCTGCCCTCCCTCAGGACAAGCAAAGAAATTAATCCCAAGTCTATCATATATATGCTATATCAATCAGACCACATTCGCTCTGCAACCGATATAAATAAACCCCGGAAGGAATTGGTCCGTGTGTATCCCGTTGTCTGTATCCTTGCCCTGACCGAAAATAACCAACGCCCAAGTACCAAGAAACCCAATGTCACCGTTCTCTGCCGGTAGATTCCATTGGAGTATGAAGAAAGACGCAAGAAAATGCGGCTACATGCTCAGCATGCTCATCTGCCGCTTCATCGGACTGGTGGACCCCGCGTCCCCGTCCTCACTGGGTCCCAGCCCACTGTCCGTCCAGCCCAGCCCGGCGTCGGTGTCGATGTCCCAATCCTCGTCCTCGCCCTCCTCGCCGTACTCGTCTGCCCCGTCCATCACCGCCGCCGACCAGCTCTTCTGCACCGCCCCTCGCGTGTTCCACCGCAGCGCGCGCTGCACGCTCTGGAACCACTCCCCGCTGCCGGACACCACCGTCGGGAAAGGGTATTGGCTCGCCTCGACGGTCACGTAGTCGCCTTGTCGGAGCTCGACGCGGCCTTTGCCGTCGAAGGAGCAGTATGCCGTCGAGCGGGACCCCGGGGGCACGGCGATGCGGAGGAGGGAGGTATCGGAGAGGACCATGGGCCGGAAGGAGAGGGTGTGCGGACAGATCGGGGTGAGGAGAATGCCGGGGATGGAGGGGTGGATCAGGGAGCCTCCGGCTGAGAGAGAGTATGCGGTTGAGCCTGTGGTCACGAGTTAGTTTTTAGACATAGTCGGAAGAGTGGGTGGGAAAAGATCGGGCTTACCTGTGGGAGTAGAGAAAATGCAGCCATCGGCTTGGACAACAGTCAAGAGATCATTATCCGCGTAGAGCTCAAGGTTGGACACATAAGGGGACGGGCCACGGTCGATCACCAACTCGTTGAGCACCTCGAACTGCTCCCCTTCTTCGACGGCCCCAGCCTCGGCGCCCTTGCTCCGGTCCTTCCGGAAGACGGTGCACGTGAACCGCATGCGGAGGTTGACGCGCATGCCCACATCGCCCATGACGGCGTTCAGATGATCCTTGTAGTTTTCGAACTCGAAGTTCGTCAAGAACCCCAGACTACCCAGGGAGAAACAGAGTATCGGCGGCACGATCCGCTGGAACAGCCAGGAGGTGAATAGCACCGTGCCGTCGCCCCCGAGCGTCAACACGAGGTCGAATCGCTCCGGGCACGACCAGCACAGATCGGGCGTCCAGTAGCGGAGCATCTCTTGGTACCGCGGGTCCTTTTCCAGGAGGCCCTGCGCGTCGAACCGCTTGGAGTTGCGCAGTTTCGCGTCCACGTAAACGTTGACCCCGATCTCGTTCCCGTACCGCGGCGTCGAGAGCAGCCACTCCGCCAACTCGCGTGTGAGGTGGACCAGGCTGTTGTCGCGCGCCTTGGTGACGATCATGACCGTCTTGACGGCGCGTTTGATCGGTCGGCGCTGCAGCTGCTTGGATACCTCCCGCACACCCGTCGCGGTCTGCACCAACCGCGAGTGGGACAGCCAGTCGTCATCGGTGATCTCCTCGAGCACTTTCTGGATGTTGACGGCGTCGTCGAACCGTTGGTGGAAGAAGCAGGGCGATTGCAGGGCCAATCGCGCCGACGGGGCCGCCCGGTCGAGGTAGGCTCCGAGTTGTAGGTTGGACAGGGCAGCGGACAGTTTTTGGGAGGAGTTGATCGAGGCGCGGCGCGCAGGCTCGTCGGAGGAGTTGTTGATGGTCGGGTTGGGGGAGTTGGAAGGGAGGAGCCCCAGAGACGCCGCCAGCGGCATGTTGGGGTTCTGTTGCGCGGAAATGGACGGTCGCGAGGCGAGCGCTTTAAGGATGGTTTGACGAGGGATGGAATCGCTCGATAATGCGTTCCGCTGGTGGCCGGAGAAGGCGGAGGTCTTTCGAAGATGTAGAAACGAAGGCGACGGAAGCGACGGCACCACGGACTCCTCGCGGGTAATCTCCGACGCACGACGAGTCTCGCGACGGCACTCGGGCGGCCCGGGAGCCGAATGATCGGTATGGATATCGCTCGTCGTCTCGGAAGGATCGATGTTCAGGGCATAATCGCGCAGGAGCAGGGCCCCAACGGTGGCAGAGCGCTGGATAGGCGGGCGCACCGGAGGTTCTGATAGTGGTGGGGCCGCGCAGGGTGAGGAGGACAAGCAAGTCGGATCTGAAGGAGGGTTCGTGGCGCATGAAGATCTAGGAGATGATTGGGAGAGACTCATAGGGCCATGGTCGGACGGGGAGGACGCCATGGACAGCTGAGGAACGACAGGTGTCTAAGGAGAATGAGATGTTTGGGGGGAGGGGGGAATGAGGTAGATAAAGTAAGTGGAGTGGGAAGGAAGGGGAAGGGAGGGGGGGATTGTCTTAGAACAATCACTAGTAGTTCTGGTAGTCTAATGGAACAATAATACTGAATAATTACTGATATGGGGACGGGATGGAAAAACCAGGCCGAGTCCGGAAGTAACGGGGTTTGGACGGGGTAAAGTCTGTAGAACCTGCGGAGTGACACGCTACACCATCCAACGAACTTTCTGTAGTGTCTGTTACCTAGTGATTCTAGTCATTCTCCCCACATTAGTCTCACCTTCGATGAGCTTCCACAAGCAATTTCGTTCGTGTCATCTGTAATCATCTCGCGGATTGGTTTCCCTGCCAAGTCGGGCGGTTCTGTCACCCCGTAGCAGGCGCCCCTCTCACTCATGCTGACAGGGCAATTTCTACACGGCAGGCGATGTCGTAACTATTTTTATTCACTACTCTACTGTACCGCTGTCTGGAGATAAGCGGAGATCCGCCATGCGTAACGAGGCGTGTGCCTTTTCTTATCTTCAACCAGGTTTCTCAACCGGCGAACGGTTTGCAATGTGATGCTCCTTTTGTTCAAGAATGGATAAAAATTCTACAGTGCGATGTGTCTGTGATTACCTCGCAATTGACTAAACTCCGCGTGCTCCACATGCATCTCTTGAATCAAGCCCAGTCAGATGCTAAGAATACGAACCCAGCTCACTGCAGCACCCCCCACCGTGGCCTTTTGCCTGAATGGATGTCCTGTCACAGCACCATGTCCCACTTTCGGACAAATCCAGAAATGCAGCCGGCAGCCGTCTAGTGCACGTCCCCCCCGCGCCTTGGAAAGTTGGAAGGTCGGAGGGCCCTGTTAATCGGCGCCGGTGCTTTCGACGACGATTCTTGCGCAAGTTTCTTCTTCGTATCCACATGATGGAATGCCATAGAATTTGCTGTCTTCGACGGGCGCCAAGACGCCCCGTGCACACTAGGCCGCCGAAAGTAGTGCCGTTTAGAAAAGCCGACCCTTCGATAGTGGGTGAGAACGGCTCCGATGAGAGGAACACCGGTAGTCAACATGTTCGGGAAAATCGAGTCTGAAGCTCAGCGTGTTCGAGAACTTTCTAAGATAACGATCGATCTGCAGACACTGATTCACAGGCATCGGCATTTTTCCCGGTGTACGTTGTAGGCCTGATGATCACGCAGCGTTGATCTTCCAATTGTAGTCGCGGTAGACCTGATCCTCGACAGTCTCCCGCAGAGTTCCCTCCAGAGGCCGTCCATCGACATCTTCCGCCATTGCAACATCGCCGTCAGCGCTGACCAGTTGGGTTCCATGACAGATGGCCGAGGCGCGCTGGCGCACCTTCTCCCACGTGTCAAAGTCAAATGATCCCTGGCTCTCGTTCAGCAGCAGATGGCCCTTCGAGGAGAACGCGAGGACGTGAACGGACTGCGCGGTTGCTGCATACTCCGCGGAAGGTTCCCGGCGGATCTGCCCCGACTCGTCGACGGCCAGGACCGTGGCAGAGAAGGTCATCGACAAAGGCACAGATGCTGATAAGAGAGCCAGAAGTGCAGTGTGGAGGAGCGCGGGGAGCAGAACCAAATACTGGACGGAAGAAGCAGAATACACTGCGTTAGTCGCTGACCACCAAGCCAATAGAGCGTCCGTCTGTGACCAGACGTGAGAAGTACGAACCGGATCCCCTCTGCCGACACTCTCACCACCAATGATAGCCAGCGTGATGACCACCCCACGACGCGGATAGCCCTTCTCGCGTCCCAGGATCACTCGCCCCAGCATTGTCTTGAGGACTCCCTCGATGTAGCGTTCTCCAACCCCCGCGGGGGCAGTTCCCGGCTTGACGAAGACTTCGATGGTCGCATCTTCGGGCTTAAGGGCGTCACGACGACCGGGGAGCTCGACGGGTGCGTTAACGGAGCCTAGAATGTTGGAGCCGGTCGAAGGACACTGGTAGGAAGCCGACCCGTCGGCGCGGTTCAGAACGGACAGGGTAGCAGATGGCGCGACCATGGTAGCTTGATTGAATGATGTAGAAGTTAGGAGCGATAATTGATGAAAGGACAGAAGAGAATGTTGTTGCTGTGTAAGTTGCGAGTGGAAACTGAACTGGACCGACAGACGAGCTTCTGTTCGCAGCTCCCGCTGGGATTTTTCTGGCCGCGGAGTCGCATGACGGCGGGCTGGCCGCTGATTGGTCTATCCATGCCAACAACGTTGGAGCTCCTCTCAATTCACTGTATGCGAATCATGCGCAGTTCTACAAATAATTTAAGAATGTGCAGAACGGTCTTGAAGCTCAGGCAGTATGTTACATACGAGGAATCATATTAAGAATCTGATGAGAACATCACTTCTTGAACATGAAACTTTTGGATGACCTATTGCACCCGATAGTTATATATGTGCCGGGATAAGTATGACCATCAGTCTCAATTGTTTCAGCAGCACTGCCCGAGGACCTCGGACTGCAAATACCCCGCGGAGTTTCTATGCATTATTAACACCCTTGGCTAACGAACAACATTGCAATCCACCCCCAAACCTTCTCTAAGATGATCCACAACATACTCCGTAGTTGTGCTCGAAGTCGCCGAACTACAATCGGAGTCCTTCGGTCTCGGACTCGGAGCCAATTGCAGCAAGCAGATTGACACTGTCTCCGGAGGTCGAAAGGAGCGCCAACAAACACCTGCAGCAGTGGTCGTGCAGCAGTGGGGGCCGACTCGCGTAACCTTCGCAGCCTCGCAGTCTCTCCAACTCTCTCTGCCCCTCACTTGACCTGCTTGCGAGTTTCGTGACTGTATCTTTCTCCTGCTGCGCTGCTGCTCTCAAACCAACAGATCAAGATGAAGTTTCTCTGCTTACATGGCAAAGGCACCAGTGGTGCGATCTTCAAGTCTCAGACCGGTCAGTCTACCTACACCCCTAATTTTCTTCTCTAGTGTCTCGAATCACTTCATTGACTCAAGGAGCTACTAGCGGCGTTACGCTCGCGCTTGTCGGAATTGAACATCGAATGGGACTTTGTCGATGGCTTCTACACGACCGACCCCGCTCCCGGGGTTGATCTCTTCTACGCACCCCCTTACTACTCCTGGTACGAGAACGACACGGTCGACGAGATAGAGACCTGCCGCCAGCGCCTGCAGCAGTATATCAAGGCGAATGGGCCCTACGACGCCGTCATGACCTTCTCCCAGGGCGCCGCCGTAGCATCCACATTCGCACTACTCCAACTCTCCGAGGCGCCCGGCCAGCCGCTCCCCTTCAAGGCCGCGATCTTCATCTGCGCCGGCTCGCCGCTGCGCATCATGGAGCAGGTCGGCTACGAGATCGCGCCGCAGGTGTGGGAGAAGGATATCCTGACGCGGAAGGCGCTCGCGGCCCAGGCCGACTCCTCGGCGATCCTGCTGCAGGGCTCCTCGCGGTGGAACGGGAACAATAGCGGCGCGAGGGAGTCGGAGGAGGACATCCGGCAGGAGATCACACCGTCGCAAACCGTGCTCTCGATCCCTACGGTGCACGTGTACGGCGCGCGCGATCCGCGGCTCTCGGCCGGCATCCAGCTGTCGCAGACCTGCGACCCGGCGAAACGCAGGATGTACGACCACGGCGGCGGCCATGAGATCCCGCGCACGGAGGCGGTGACGAGCAGTATTGCGGCGTTGGTACGGTGGGCATTGCGCGCGAGTGGACTGATATAAACCTTTCTTGTTGGATTCCATTGCGATATGATTTGCGGCTCTCTTTCCCTTTTTTTGATTAGATGGCAGTGATTTGGGTCATTGGTAATAGTGTGGCTAGAATAGGACATCAAGAGGATTCTTCGGTGCACGGCAATAATATACACAGGATAACAGGATACCTAGCCTCGAAATCACAGATGCGTTGGTAAGCTAGCATACGGAAGGCTCGTAGAGGAGCCCATACACAACAACTAAGCCCCAGTCCGTGAGTGGGTGCTACAGGGAAGCACCTGTGCTCTCATAGTCGTTCTTTTGAATTCTTCGACGGTGTGATGTGGCTTGCATACATGCAGCTTGATCTTGTGCAGGATGTGCTAAGAGTCGCTAGACAAGCAGCCCGGAGTGTTCAGCCTGCTGGATGACTAGCATATAAAGACGAGCTTCTGTCTGTCTCTGATCAGCCACAGTTCATTGTCACAGAGATCAGGGCTTCTAGAATGGAGTACAAGATCGTCAACGATGTGAACACACACCAACACGGCATGACGATAATCTGCTAAGCAACATCACAGTTGGAATTCAAGGGAAAATAGGTCATAGAAAGTCTATGTTGCCCAAGGTCTCTTGTATCATTTTCTCCCCGCGATGAGAGACCATACATTGTCCGAAGGACACAAGGATTATAGAGTTCCGCTATCTGCACTTGCTGGTACGATACCTAGAAGGTGCGTCTCAACTAACTGCAGAACAACGTTCTTCACTCATAGAGTATTAACAAATCACATACGAGGTAGCAGCTTCGGGTTTGGCTAGATGCGAGAACCGCTAGCGCAGGGCAGTGTACTGTTCAGCCTCCCTTCTTACCAGTAGTTGTTCATCGGTTTGAATAGGATTTGAGATAGCACCAGCGATACTCGAAGTAAGCTGCTGTTCTTCCTTGTGATAGCTGTCATTGGATATATCTACTGTACACGTGGATATACAAATTGCCTTCCCCAGGCACTGATATGCCGCCTTCCACCGCCTTTCCAGTCCCCAGGCAGTTCATGTAAACCGACCGTAGTGCTGTCGCTGAACAACAACAATCCTCAGTCTCCAGGCTTCCACTTCCACCCTCCAGCTTTTCTCTTAGCCTTCCCATCCTATCTAAGACGCTGGCCGGCTGATGTCTCTCTGATATAGCTGCGAATCTCGCCCCCGTTGCATCACACAGCCCCCTCTCTAACCCCACTCCCAACTAACTTACGATCCGACCGACCACTGTCCTTCCATAGCGTTTATTGAGCACTCACTCCCACCTTACCTTCCAATTCTGGATTCCAAAATGAAGTACGGCATCTAGCTGTGGCCTTACGGCATTGTCATCCTTCTCCACTCATGCACCACGCTCCTTGTAACTGGGACTTTCTCGCCTCTGGTAGTTATTCTTAAGCATTGAGGCACGGTGAGCTATGTGACTCCGCACTGTCCTCTAGTCCCTTGAGATCTTCAATATGCCACACCTTTGGAGTGTTTACGAACATAAGCAAGGCAGTCACACCATATACCACGCATCAAGTTTACGTCCTTACATCTTTCAAATAAAGAGTGCTTCATTCACACCTAGAAAGTCTCATGATCTCGAGTCAAATGTTCCTTTCGATGTTCCCTCCGGCCAGCACTTCATTATGTGAAACCTATACTGTACGGCTACAACCTCAACATGATCTGAACATGGTGGGTGTTGGAGCTTCGGGCCAAGTCTACAACGTCGACGACCAGGTTGTTCTCAAAACTTGTCGAATATTCGAGCCACCGAGCAGTGATGCCTCACAGATTGACCATTGGCATTACGCTTCAGACACAGTTTTCCACTTCGATATGCTGGAAGACTAGCGAACTGTTCTGAAGCTTTAACCAGGCCCCATCCCCACATCATAGAAGTCATTGATACTGATTAACCCGAGGGCATAGATCTCCGCAAGTATCGACGTCTGGCCGCGGAGATGATCTCCACGCAGTCTCACCGAATCAGATTATACCGTGATCTCACTGATGCTCTGCACTATCTTCACATCCTCGGCATTGTGCACGCAGATATACGGATTGACAATATCATTTTGGATGATCAAGTCTCAGATATTCTTTGTGAATTTAGCGCCGCCAGCCCTTTCGTTCAAACCGACCTGGTTTTTCCTGATCTTCCTGTTGTTGTTAACGGCTCTTTCCCGACTTTGTCTGAGGCATCAGACATGTTTGCGATGGTGTCGTTCATTTTTCAAATGGAGCACGGTGCTGCTCCTGGGCTGTTCTTTGATAAAGGGACACTGGTTCTACCTGTCATAAGGTCGGGGAATCAAGGCATTGATGAAGGTCATCCAGAAAACATGGCTCGGACAATATAGCAGCACCTCGGAAATGCTACAACGCCTAATTCACATTGATGCTCAAACGAGTCACCGTCGTGAAGGTACTCGGCCAGTCCCCGATCTGGAGAGCTTGTCAAAGATCAAATCCAAAGGTGGAGAGTTCACCGTGAGAAAGAGTTTGGTAAGACTAGACCTTTCTCCCCTAGCCAGATGATTAACAGTTCATGTTGGTGGCTTAAAATACCTTCAGGCTGTGTTCTCGCGGGGCTCCTCCCGAGGCATCAGTTGGATGAACAGGCTGATTGCTATAGTAGGGATTTGAATGCAGATTTACGTTTTGCTCAGGATTTTGTGCCTTGATAGCCAAAAGAACCTGTGGTTTGTACTACCAACTAGACTTATGCGCATTCCGCAACTGGAAAGGTGATATATCACAGACGCTATGGCAGGAGGCCAATGAAAGCTATCTTGGTACTCGGCAAACAGATGCACCTAGTGGCAAGCCGTATCAAGCCTGATTAGGTAGTGCCTGATGCTAATGTTGGGAAAGACATTGATCTCACCGTAAAACTTCTGCACGTGTTGCCTCTCACGTTTCTACCTACCTGACATCTCAGTAATCAATAAATTCGTGAGACAAACGAGGTGCTGGATGCAGATCCAAGTCCCTTGTCTGCACGTGAGACCGGACCCCCCCGCGCCACCAGTCTACGGTCACCTGACTACCTACCCCTTCCAACTTGTAAACAGAAGGTCTGTCAAATGTCACTGAAAATAAGATGACACGAATATCTCCCTTTGCTATTTCCTAAAAGTCTGCATACTATCGCCTTCCTGCAAGATTGCCGCGAGTAATTTCGTCTAACTCTTGCTTGAGATGGGCGTCTCGAGCCATGTCTTCCTTCATTGGAGAGGAGAATCAAAGCCCAAATTATGATCCCAGAAAGTATTATCCTGCTCGCGTTGGAGAGACCATAGCCAGGCGAGACCGTATCCTCTCCAAGCTTGGCTGGGGGGCAGATTCTACTGTTTGGCTAGCAAAAGACACTAGTCGGTCAGTATGTCGGTATTCCTGCATACTTGTCTCAATAAAACTGTGAAGTTGGTTGTGGCAGCCGAACCGATATGTGACGTTGAAAATCACGAACTGTGGCGAAGCAGAGCAAAGGTCTGCTAACGAAGAAGTGGAAATCTCGCGATACATTTCTCAGCTGCAGTCTAATCATGAAGGTCGGGCATATGTTCGGCTTGTGTGCGACTCTTTTCGCATTTCACGGCGCGGGGGGAGAGCACTTATGTTTGGTATTTGACCCTTTACGAGAACTGCTTTGGCTTCTAGGGAAACACTTGGGGAGCAACGGCGTGCCTACTGCCGTCTTGAAACCATTCCTGAAAATGGTACTTCAGGGCCTTGATTTTCTCCATTCCGAGTGCCACCTTATACATACAGATAGACTGCTTCTAAACTGTTCCCGACTCAATTATCTTCTCTAATGATAGCGCAGATCTCAAGGCGGATAACCTTCTTGTGGGATTCGAAGACCTGGGTGTTCTTGAGAGCTATGCTCGCCAACAAGAAAGCAACCCTGCTCCGTCTTGGGACGGTGACGGTCGTCCCGTATTTCGGTCTTGTCCAGATTTTGGGCATCTGAGGAAAGGGGTAGGACTAGTCCAGATCAGCGACTTCAGCGCCGCTGTTTTTGGCAACGTTCCTGAGCCTCATAACTATGGTATCCAGCCCCAGCCCTTTTGTGCACCAGAGGTGCTCTTAAAGGCGACATGGACGTATAGTGCAGATATATGGAACCTAGGCACCATGGTATGGCTCCAAGGAAGATGCCTGCGCAAGTTGCTGATACTTTTCTCCTGTCAAGTTATGGGAGCTCCTTGCAGATCGCGTTCTTCTTGATGGGCTCGACCCTACAACCAGCACATGCTCGCGAGAGAAGCATATCGCCCAGATGATACGGCTGCTTGAACCGCCTCCACTGCAGTTACTCAAAAGGGCAGATCGACACATTTGCTCCGAGCTCTTCTCCAGCTCTGGTATGATATCCGTCATATGTCTGTGGTAGAAACCGAGTTTCCGTTTAGGGGAGTTCACAATGCCGGGCTTAATCCCGTTTGAGGAATTTATTTTGCAATCCTTACACCATTCGTCCAGGGGAAGACAAGAGACTTTTCCTGGAATTTTGTGGGCAAAATGCTGCCCTGGGAGCCGAAAGATCGGGCAACGGCTAGAGAGTTGTATAATGACCCCTGGCTAAACTTCAAGCCTTGATCTGGAGATGTGAATCGGCTTCATCTGTATTCAAATTAATCCTGGAATGACAACCCGACCGGGGCAAATACATCGGTTCCGTGTTGTGTGCTTTGGGGAATAAACAACATCTTGTTCAATCACTTTCCTACCTCCGTCATCCGTGAGCATATGCTTCCGTCCTCCTCCCATCCATTCACCACACAAGCACCACTCAAACACACCAAGCAGGTGACTTCGCTTACTGGCTGCCAGGGTATATCAGCCGAAAACGCGTACGCCATTTAGCACGAAGAACCTCGAAATGCTGCCTGCCTTTGAGCAGGGCACTAGATGCTAGGTTTAGCTTCACCTTAATTCTGACTGCGTGGACTGAGCCATGAATTAATTCTGACGGAGCAGATCAGTACCTGGATAGCGCTTCTCAGTGAGACCCATGTCTTATTCTGGATCCACCTCTAGAATGGATCAGGAAGATAGCATGGCATTACAAGCATAAGGCAGACCTGCAACAGCAGGCGCATTTCAAAGTTGTCATCTGTTTCGTAGCCCGACAACGCAGGCGAAATCTACTGAGATCTCCGGATCGGTTTAATCACGTGTTCTAAGGGGTTTGATGGGGATTCTGGGGGGTTAGGCGGTAAATTCTCGCATCACAAAAGCACCACCTACGTAGCTAGCTGCACAAGGCGGGCTTCCCAACTAAATCCAAGAGAACTTGAATCTCGCTGAAATGAGTTTCAGGGCCGGTTGAGAGTGATTGGTCACGTCACTTGACAAGCCGGACTTGCTCCCTCTTCCACATCAAGGCCACAGCGATCAATTGCGCCGCTCCGAACGCCCCAACCGCGTACATCTGTCGATTGTACCCCACCGCGTAGACCTTACGAATTTCCTCCTGGGTCGCCGTCGGAAACCCGGCGAGCAGGTTCGGATCCGCCGCCGCTGCCTCGGTGGCCGGAAGATGGCCCTTGACGTAATCGATCAGGATGCTGTTGACGATGGCCACGCCGAGGGAGGCCCCGATCATGCGCGCTTGGAGCGTCAGGCCCATGGCAGTTCCTGTTGGGTAAGTCAGCGGGACTATTGAATGTGTGGTAAGCACTAGACCTCCCGCTAGAGAAGACTAACCTTGATCAATTGTAACCACCACCGGAACACACATGTACAGGGCCGCAATAGAGATCCCCGTTCCCATGCCCGTGATTACCATGTATCCATACTGGCCCGGCCAGATGTCCAAAGTGGGGGGAATCGAGGAGAGGAGGAAGGCTCCCACGATCTGCAGCACGGACCCTGCCGCCGCGAGATACACGAAGGGAGTGCGCAATCGCCCGGCCAGGAGACTACACACCGCCGCGCCAACGGGCGAGCCCAGGCCGAAGGCGAGGACCTTCACTCCGGCTCCGATTGCCGTACTGTGGTTCACGGTTTGGAAGCGCTGCGGGAGTTCGATGAACAGGATTGTGATCGCAGGTCCTGTCAGGAAGCATCCTCTGGGTGTTGCTGTTAGGCGATGAACGAGAGGGGTAAGAATGGGGGTGGGCCTCAACTCACAGGATGGCTCCCAACAGCACTCGGTTGCGGAGGATGCCCCAAGGAAGAATTGGCTCGAAGCCCCAATACTTGCGATTGGCCACGGACCACTCCCACGCGATGAACGCAACCAGAAGCACGCCCGAGATCGTTAGCATACTGATGATGGCGGCTGACGACCACGCGTACCGGATGTTCGCTTCCTCGAAGGCAGCCACGAATAGGACGGAGAACGCGAGCAGCAGCAGGCATCCAACGGTGTCTGCTTTGGTCAGGAAACTCCATGGCCCATGCACGTGGCTCCTCTCGGCCTTTCGGGCACGTTCAAAGTCTTTGGGGACCAGGATCCATATGATCACCCAGGCCACTACCCCGGCAGGAACACTAGATGGGGCAAGCAGGTCAGCACTAGAGACAGTTGGCACAGATGTCATGGCACATACTTGAACAGGAAAACCCAGCGCCAGGCGCCGGAGCTGCTGATACCACCCCCGATAACTGTACCCAGGATAAGCGCCAGCGTCAGCACACCTGACCCCGCCGCACTGGCGATGTCATACTTGGCCGGAGGAAGAAGGCAGATAACGCCGAAAAGGCACGAAGTAAAGACCCCTGATCCTCCGACGCCCTGGAAGGCGCGGCAGATAATACTATTGTGTGAGAGAAAATCAGACCAAGAACCCGGATTCTGGTAGGGGGGGAGGGGTCGACTAGGGAAACTCACAGCTGACTCATGGTCTGAGCAGCAGCGCAACCGCCTGAGAAGGCAACGAAAATGGCTAGTGAAATCAGCATCACTAGCTTGAGCCCGATGAAATGACTGCATTTAGCCCAGAGGGTGAGGAAGCCCGCGAAGGCCAGGAGATAGGAGGTGATGATCCAGGTGCTTTGGTCGGAACCGTCCAGGTGACGGCTGATGGTGACTAGCGAGGTGCTAATGATTGTGATCTCAGCTGTAGCGAGGAACAAACTCAGCGCGATACTGTGAAAGCAGTAAGTGGTTGGAGCGACACTTGACGGTGCTGGTTGGAGCTGTCAGATCAATTTACACTTACCCGCCGCCAGCGAACCACAGTCGAGGGCCATGCATGTACTTCGGCTGACCAAAGACCTCATTCTCCGGATCTTCGGCCGACGAGGCACTCAAGGATGGCAGGGTGTGCGATTCGGGGAACGAGCCATGGGTTTTGTGATTGACATCCATTGCGCTGGGACTGCTGGTTGATGTTGCAGTGACAACCGGGATTCCCGCGAGGACAGCAGATAGATAGATGCCTGGGGATCACTGACATATAAGGACAAGGACATATTACGGTACTGGAAAACCCACCATGGAAAGACTCTTTGAGATCATCGATCGTCAAACCTTACTTGGCGGACCCGTCCAGAATTCGGCCAGAGGCTTATTTTGCTAGATCGTTCTTGGTATAAGAAATCAGACCCGTACGACGACCCCTGCACCGGGTAGGAGTGAATGTGTGAATCCCCCGGGACCTTGCATTCATTCACTTTACTTTTTCAGTTGAGAAGCAAACAAATAGTGTCACAACTAAATGATCTACATCCACTAGTGGACTTGACATGGTGCATTTTAGTTACTCTGCTTTAGATGCGGCATCGATGACCCGGCGAATGACGTGCACGGTTTGGGTTACATCGCTCCTGGCCCCGGCCCGGGGAATGTCATGCCCTAGTGCATGCACATACACCCATCGCACCCCCGCCGCGCAGATGGTATTTGTCAACGCAATCTCGTTCGCCGCCAGATCCCGCGAGCCCCAGATGTGCGCCGTGGGAATGCGAACCGCATCCTTGTAGGCTCCGAGGTCTATCGGCCGGATCTCCCCACTCTGAATGCCGCCGTAGTCCAGGGGTGGGTGGGTGATCGAGAGGATAATGGCGAACTTGAATGGCAGGGGGCAGTTCGGCTTGTGTTTGGCGAGATACGCGAGGTAGGTCAGGATCAACGTGCCTGCCTGGCTGAACGCGAGGACGCCGTCGTAGGGTCCTTCGTGGTAGAGCAGTTCCTCTAGATGTCTGTAGGCGGCGACTCCACTTCCCGGGTTCTTCTCGTCGAAGTAAGCGTACATTGGCTCATCCTTGGTCGCGATGAGTTCAATCCCTGCGACCACGTTAACTTCTGCTTGCGGAGGCTTGTGCTGGAGAGGGATGGGGAGTGAGGCTTACCCGGCTGCATTGGGGCAGGGATGTTGCCTTCGATGAAGTCGTAGGTGTGGCTATCGCCGAGTTCATACCGGATGGCAGCTGTCTGAATCTCGAAGATCTGAGGCTGTCAGCTGGCCTGGCTGATTCCGGTTTGGGCCGTGATGGGGATGGGAGGTGACTTACTCGAGAGTTCGAGCCGGCTCCATGTAGACTGGCTTCATGTGAGTATGTGTAAAGAGCTAGGCATTGGCTGGTTTGATCTCGATCTGACATACCATAGAATGTGCATGCTGAAGGGCCGTGTAAGTAGAGAAGGTGTTGTTTCGCAAGATAGCAAACTTGACAAACTCCACCCGGAATCAAGTAGCAAGAGGAGAAGGAGAAGAAGACCACACGGCAAGCTGGTTATATTGCTTTCTCGAAAGTCTTCTTGTCACGCGGTGATAGGAATTGGAACAGAACCTGGCTATCTGTTTCGGGATGAGGATGATCCTTAATCCTCCCACGAGTCATGCAATCTCGTTGCACTAATGTCGATTTGGGCCATGCAGCTCTGCATTTTAGTGAATGGACCGGTTTTGACAGGCGGAGTCATGGATAACACATGCTAAACAGCCCAGTTTGGCCAAAATGAACCGGTGTTACTACCGTGAAGAGACGGGAGGGATAACAAAGCCAGGCCGTGCCAACCCAGGCGAACACGATCCTACTTCATTCACTCAACCGCATCTGTGCCGTGTCTTCTCTTTTCCTTCCACTTCATGAGATCATGACTCTGGACACCTCACCCACATCACGTAAGATGTCAATGTGACCCTTCAGACTTCTACACCTTTGGTCAAGTTGAGGAGCAGTGGGGTAAGTCTATCGTGATTCGAGACATCCAGTCTCCTGTCTATACATGACTGTACAGCAGGTGATAACATTTCATCTTTCAAACAGCTTTCTTCATCATGGCGTCCGACACGGTCCCCCCTCTCGCCATCATCGGGCTATCCTTCCAGTTTCCCGGAGATGCAACGAATCAAGATGCGTTCTGGGACATGCTGGTTCAAGGTCGATGTGCATCCACTGAGTTCCCTGCGGACCGAATGAACATCGATGGCCATCACAATCCCAACAGAGATAAGCTGTACAGTATGTGCTGCAGAGGAGGACATTTCCTCACTCGAGATCTCGCGGCATTTGACGCGCCTTTCTTCAACATCTCTGACGCCGAAGCGAAGGCCATGGATCCACAACAGCGCCTCGCCTTGGAGACCGTGTATCGAGCTCTCGAGAACGCGGGCCTCCCGATGGACGAGGTGGCGGGCTCAAAAACGAGCGTGATGGCCGGTTCGTTCTGCAACGACTATCATGCAATCCAGACCAAGGACACCCTAAATCTCCCCAAGACCGCTACCATGGGCAGTTCCCAGAGCATGATTGCAAACCGTATCAGTTGGTTCTTTGACCTGCGAGGGCCAAGCGCAACGGTAGACACTGCCTGCTCCAGTAGTCTCATGGCCGTGGATTTGGCATGTCAGTCACTATGGAGTGGTAATGCGACAATGGTCAGCGAGCCCTCTTCCTGCCTTCCTTCTTCCACGATACTTTCTGCATCGATGCAAATCTAACCTTCCGACCTCTCACATAGGGAATTGCCCTCGGGTGTAACGTCATACTCGCCCCTGAGATGACGATCGGCTTGGATAACCTTGGGCTCCTGTCCCGCGATAGCCGCTGTTACAGCTTTGACAATCGTGCCAACGGATATGCAAGAGGCGAAGGCGTGGGTGCGGTAATTATCAAACGTCTTGATGATGCCGTTGCAGCCGGAGACACGGTCAGGGCGGTCATTCGGTCGTCGAGCTCCAACCAGGATGGCAAGACTCCGGGTATCCTGCAGCCAAGCAAAGACGCGCAGGTCCGCTTGATTCGTGACACCTATCGGAAAGCCGGTCTTGATATGCGTTCAACCAGATATTTTGAGGCTCATGGCACCGGTGGGCAGACTCCAAGTCACATGGGCTATAACATCGCTAATATTGGCTAGGAACTCCGGTTGGCGATCCCATTGAGACTAGGGCGATCGGATCAGCGTTTCAGAGTTATCGCTCATCCGACGACCCACTTTACGTGTAAGTGATCTGTAACTCGAGCCTAGTACTTGCAGTCTGATGCAGCTTATAGGGGCTCTGTCAAATCCAACATCGGCCATCTAGAGGGAGCGAGTGGTATTGCGGGCCTGATCAAAACAGTTCTCATCTTGGAGAAAGGGATCGTCCCACCAAACAGTAGCAATTTGCAGACACTGAATCCTCAGATTGATGAGCAGTACCTTAACCTGAAGGTAAGAACCTATCTCTCCTGAGCCTATGTGCCTCTAACACGAATACAGATCCTAAGTCAGGCGATCTCTTGGCCATCACCAGGCTTACGCAGAGCTTCTGTTAATTCCTTCGGCTTTGGCGGAGCCAATAGTCATGTCGTTCTTGACGATGCTTACAACACCTTTCACATGCACGGTATCAAGGATGGGCGTCACCAGACTGTCATAGAGCCTCCCTTGCTTAATGACTCAGAGGACTCGTTCCAGGCAACCGGTCATCTTGAGAATAACCTCAAATCCGCTGGCCCTCAAAGAAACGGCACTTTCAGCCCAAAATCTGAATCTGCTCTACTAGTGTGGTCTGCAGCAGACGAGGCAGGCATCGAAAGACTGGCAAGCTCGTGGCGGCAGTATGTAGCTACCACGGAAGCGATGAACTGCCCCACGGTGACCCGTATACAAGACTTGGCTTTCACACTGTGTGCGAGGCGGAGCCAGCTTGCTTGGAGAGCCTTTGCTGTAGCCAAGCCTTCGGAAGACTTGCAGGTTACCACGGAGAGACTTAGCCCTGCCATATGTGCCAAAGCAAACTCTCGTCTAGCCTTCGTCTTCACGGGTGTGAGTACCTCCTTCAAGCTACTATCTGATAATCTATCTAACCCCAAGCAGCAAGGAGCCCAGTGGCATGCTATGGGCCGTGAGCTCATCGATCAATACGACGTGTTCAGGAATAGTCTAATCGATTCGGGCAATTACTTGAAAACGCTTGGTTGTGCTTGGGATGTTTCAGGTGAGCGCTTCTGAGCCCCCTGGCTCTTAAGAGTACTGACCTTTTTTGCAGACGAGATGCAGAGAGATGAGGTTGACTCTCGAGTCAACAATCCGACATTCGGACAGCCACTCTGCACAGCACTGCAGATTGCCTTGGTAGAGCTCCTCCAATCATGGCATATCAAGCCTAATGCAGTGGTCGGCCATTCCTCTGGTGAGATTGCAGCTGCGTAAGCCTATCCCTTGAACTAGTTTATCAGTGGATTTAGCTAATATGCCGTACGACATATAGTTATTGCGCTGGTGCAATCACGAAAGGCTCTGCTCTGAAGATAGCGTACTTTAGAGGCTTCCTCAACGGGATCTTAGGCAAGTACCGTACTATGACACCCGGTGCCCTTGCTGCGATGAGGGCAATGGAACGTGGGGAGAAGCGTGACGAGCTCGACGTTTCCTGCTTTGAGTAAGCTGATCCCAGAGTCACGGTGTTTCTATGACACCCGTCCTTATGCTGATGTCTTGATAGGCGATTCCGTGAAGCAAGCTCCGAATCTATGGGCACCAAGGGATACTGCAAACGCTCTCTCGCGTGGCAAATCACCCGGCATCTATCCGGCGGCATGCATGGTGCTATGCTTGCTGTGGGTATGTCGAGCCGAGAAGTGCAGAAATACTTGGAGTCCGTAGCCTCGCAGTTTGGTGAGCTCAAGCTCGACATCGCGTGCATCAACAGCCCTACCAGCGTCACTATGTCCGGGGAGGCAAGCCAGATCGACTTCCTTTATCAGATTCTGATCGAGAAGAAGGTTTTCGCAAGAAAGCTTGCAGTCAACGTCGCATATCACTCATTTCAGATGAAGGAGATTGCCGGCATATATCAGGAACTGTTAGCGGGGCTGAAGCAACCGGCCAAAGCCAAGAAGCCACCGGTGATGGTCTCCAGCGTCACAGGAACATGGATCTCGGAGGAGGAGCTTTCCAAGCCCGAGTATTGGGTAAGGAATCTGGTATCGCCCGTGCTATTCGACGATGCCCTCTCCAGGTTGTGCTCCCAATCAACAACATCGACTCGAAGGTTTGATGGAAGTCATCGCCGCAATGTCGCGCCGGACCACCTCCTAGAAATCGGGCCCCATTCCGCCCTTCAAGGTCCCTGTGGAGACATTCTCAAGGCCGTGGGCAAGCATGACCAAATCACTTACATCCCACTCCTGCGCCGCGGTCGCTCTGCCGTTGACTGCATTATGCACGGGGCAGGCCGCTTGCACTGTAGCGGCTACCCGATTGACTTGCTTTCAGTCAACAATGGACGTGAACCCAGGCCAGAACACAATCCTCGCGTCCTCATCGATTTACCGGAATATCCTTTCAACCACTCCAAGACATATTGGGTCGAGAGCCGCATCAGCAAAGGCTACAGATTCCGACAGTTCAGCCACACGGAACTACTCGGTGTGCCTGATCCTGATGGAAATCCCATGGAGGCCATATGGAGAAACATCATACGGCTTTCGGAGATGCCGTGGGTGGAAGACCATAAGGTCAACAGCAGCATTCTGTATCCTGGTGCCGGTATGGTTGTCATGGCTATCGAAGCAGTCAAGCAACTAGCAGACCAGAGCCGCGGCATTGCGGGATTCGACATCAAGGATGTGGTTTTCACGTCGGCTTTGCAAATTCCAAGCCATGCCGATGGTGTGGAGGTGAGCGTTTACCTCAAGCGAGCCGGAAGTGCCAACAAGGATGCCACGGGCTGGTTCGAGTACCGCGTTTGCATGTATAATAATGAATCGTGGATTGAGAACAGCTCGGGCTCAATCCAAGCTCATTATGAGTCCGATGTGCAGGTACCAAACATCAGCCATGGCGAAGAGGCTAAATGGCAGGCGTCACTTGTGAAGAATTGCCAGCGTGCACTCGAGCAATGTGCATCGCATGAAGACTCAGGCAGATTTTATGAAGGCTTGCACAACTGTGGGTATCACTATGGGTCGGCTTTCAGAGTCATTGAGGGCAGTATCTCCAAGCAAGACGAGGAAAGAGCCATGGTTTCGCGAGTCAAGGTCTTCAGGCCTGACCGCACAGCAGGATCAGAGGTCTATCCGGCGCATACGATCCACCCAACCACTCTAGACGGTGTGATTCAAATGATGGCCGCGCTAGCCACTGACGCCGGACAGCGAACGATTCCCATGTCCGTGCCCACGAGCATCACCCGACTCTGGATCTCCAATACAGGCGGACTGAGCTACCCTTCGGCAGAGGTGATTAATGTGTATGCGACTTCCGTTCAATCTGCCCTTGGCAGCACGCAGTATAAGATGACGGCATATGATCGCAACGTGTTCAAGGCTCTATTAACCTTGGAAGGACTAAAGGTGACCTCGATCGCGAGCCCAGAGACTGCCGCACCCTCGGATCAATTCAAGGCCAACAATCTGTGCCATCACGTCGAATACAAGCCGGACACGGATCTGCTCACCAACCACGGATTCTCGACTGCATTTGGCAGGAAAGAACTCCAAGTCCCGGGTCCGGTGCAGCATTTGCGAGACATGGAATTCCTGATTGCCACCTGTATCAGCAAGTACGCCGATCCGCTAACTGAGATGGACAAAATCAGTCTACCCCCTCACACGATTCTATACATTGAGTGGATCCTAGAGCGCAAACGATTGCTAGAACTCGATGTGTCGGAATTTGGGTCAATCGAGTGGCGGCACCTCATGGACGACGAGGTCTATGTAACAGAGGTTCACAAACGGGTCGAAAGCGATAGCAAGCGAGGTCTACTCGTGAGCATTCTCTGCAAGAATCTTATGGAGATTCTCGACGACCCTCTGTCTCATCTGTTCAAGGACAACCTGCTTACTGATGTGTATTCCGAGATGTTGTACGGCCTGCCAGCGGCAACAGCTCTGACTCGGTACATCGACGCTCTGGCGCACAAGAACCCGCGTATGAACATCCTCGAGATTGGGGCTGGCACCGGGGCGATGACGGAGCTTTGCATCAAGGCACTGGCATCCCCGGATACGGACAATGCACCGCGCTACTCCCAATGGGATTTTACTGACATATCCAGCTCGTTCTTCCCGGATGCTGTGAACCGCTTCAAGACAGAGAAGCGGCGGATGAATTTTCGCGTGTTGGATATTGAGCAGGATCCTGAGACTCAAGGCTTTGGTTCGGGATCGTACGACTTGGTTGTTGCTTTTCTGGTGCGTGTCTGTCCACGGCTGAAGGCGCGGGGTGCTGATATTAACATACTTTAGGTCCTTCATGCAACAGCTGATCTAGCAGTCAGCCTGAGGAACGTTCGGAAGCTGTTGAAAGTGTACGTGACGTGTGAGTTAGATGTTAACAGATGCTGATAAGTACACAGGGGCGGGAAATTGATGCTTTTCGAGATCACGCATCCTGATCCGGTTCGGGCTAGCTTTGTGTTCGGGCTATTTGAGGGCTGGTGGCGTGGTAAGTCTCACTGAATGAATGCGTTCTGGACAATGCTGATTGAGTGAGTAGCGAGAGAGTCTTACCGCCAGAGCCATCCGTGTGTTGATGTCAATCGGTGGGAGTCTTTGTTGAAAGAATCAGGATTTTCGGGGTGCGAGCTTGCGATAGATGACTACGTCGAATCTTCATGTCATGAAGGAGCACTCATCGTTGCGAGCGCCGTGCCCTCTGTTACGAATGCGGAGGCAACGAGGACCAATATGGCTCGAGCCAAACCTTCAGCGCCGTTTACCCAGAAAGAGGTCAATATCATTCTCAACACCGCAAATCCTCGTCAGGTCGCGCTGGCAGAGATACTATCTGAGCTACTTGATCAGACTCGAGTTCTACACGCTGTCAAGCGAGGTCTGGAGGATATCAAGAAACGAGACCTGTCTTTCGGTATCCTGGACATCTCCCTCCTCGACTTCGACTTTCCTTTCACATACAACATGGAGGCGGAAGAATACGAAGGCCTGCAACGATTGATAACCACAACGACGAATCTCATCTGGGTCGACAGTGGAGGAGGTCGGGAGCCTTCGCCTCAGTTTCGACTTGTCGACGGTTTGTTCCGCGTTCTTGCTCGCGAATTATCCAGAGCGAAAATCACTACCTTATCCTTGGAGAACAGCACGATTCTGCACCAGGCAGAGCAGATTACCAAGATTTTCGAAACTGTCACAGCAGAAGCAACGGATGTTGACACAGAGTACAGAGTGATCGACGGGGTAATCCACATCGGTCGGTTGGTCGCCGCTCAAGCTATCTCTCAGACCATCGCGAAGATGAAGCTACCACAGCAAAGAGAGCTCAGAGCATACGGGGTAGACCGGCCGCTCCGCCTCGAAATTGGCACCCCAGGCCTCCTACACACACTCCAGTTTGTCGAGGATAGATATCTGCACGGACCCTTAAAGCCGGACGAAGTTGAGGTCCAGGTGAAAGCTGTGGGCCTCAATTTCCGCGATGTTTTGATTGCCCTGGGCCGCCTGGAGAGTGACACACTCGGTGCTGAATTTGCGGGAATTGTGGTCCGTGTCGGCGCCCAATGCCAGCGATTCAAGGCCGGTGATAGGGTGGCCGTCTTCCATCCGAGTCGCTATGCAAACTACGTTCGTGTGCGTGAGAGCATGTCTATCGTCAAGATCGCGGACGGGGCGATGCCAATGTCATTCGTGACTGCGGCAGCGATCCCTGTGGCCTTCACTACTGCGTGGATCACGATGACGCGGTTGGCGAGGCTACAAGCAGGGGAGTCGGTCCTTATACACTCAGGAGCAGGCGGCACCGGACAGGCAGCCATCCAGGTTGCTAAGCATTGGGGAGCGAGAATCTTCACGACTGTTTCGACCGAGGAGAAGAAACGGTTCCTGATGGAGCACTATCAAATCCAGCCGGATCACATCTTCTCCAGCCGCAATACGCTGTTCGCCAAGGGGATCAAACGCCTGACGGGAGGCCGAGGGGTCGATGTTGTGTTGAATTCACTGGCCGGTGAAATGCTAATCGCATCTTGGGAGTGCATTGCGCCATTTGGACGATTCATCGAGATTGGAAAGAACGATATCCTAACGAACACGAAGCTTCCGATGTTGCAGTTCGAGAACAACGTGAGCTTCACGGCGGTGGACCTTGCCGAGATGGCGTTTGACCGTCCGCAGTTGATTCAGCAAGCTTTGACGGATGATGTGTTCGAGTTAATCAAAGCAGGCAAATTGGATATTCCTCAACCGCTACAGGTCTTTGGCGTTGGTGATCTTGAGCGAGCTTTGCGACATCTGCAGAGCGGGAGAAGTTCGGGCAAGGTAGTGGTGGAGCTTCGGGATGACGAGCAAGTCATGACACTTCTGGATACAGCACCATGTTTTGCATTTGAACCAAACGCCACGTATGTGATTGCAGGCGGTTTGGGAGGCATTGGTCGAAGCATAGCCAGTTGGTTTGTCAAGCGCGGGGCTAGGAATTTGGTCCTCCTCTCACGTTCGGGTCCAAAAAACGAGCATGCACGCGCGCTGGTGGCTAGACTGGAGCGCCAGGGTGCCCAAGTTGTCACGCCAATGTGTGATATCACAGATCGAGAGTCCCTGAAAGTTTTCCTCGCCGGGTGCCGTCAAGTCATGCCTCCGATCAAAGGGTGCGTGCAAGCATCAATGGTGGTCAAGAGCGGCAATTTCGAAGGACTCGACCATGATTCCTGGAAAGCAAGTACAGCGCCGAAGGCCCAGGGCTCCTGGAATCTGCATGAGCTTCTCCCGCGCGGCATGGACTTTTTCATCATGCTCTCCTCCATCAGTGGGATCTGCGGCCCCCTCACCGATGCGAGCTACGCCGCGGGAAACACCTTTCTGGACGGTCTGGCCCGCTATCGCGTCAGTCAAGGCGAGAAGGCCGTCTCCCTAGATCTTGGGCTCTTCCTGTCGGCCGGATACTTCCACGAGAACCCGGACAAGCGCGATCTGTTCCTGGCCAACACCGTGTGGGATGAGATCTCCGAGGCGGACCTCCACGCAATCCTGGACATCTATTGCAGCCAGAAAACCTCGTCGCCGTTGCAGAGTCAGCTCGTGGTCGGCATCACGCCACGCAGCGCGGAGACCGGTCGCGCCAAGGCCGACTGGATGAAACGGCCCTTCTTCCGCCACCTGTCTACCTTGCTTGAGACAACCGCAGAGGGAGGGTCAGCGTCTGCATCGGCGTCGTCGGGGAATATCAGCTCAAACCTGGCGGCCCGGTTCGCGGCGGCCCGGACGACCAGCGAGGCGGTCGAGGTTGCGCTCCAGGCGACGCGGGAGAAGGTGGCGATCATGCTGTCGGTGCCGGTGGACGAGATCGACGTGGACAAAGCGATCCATCAGTACGGGGTGGATTCGCTGGCGGCTGTGGAACTCCGGAATTGGTTCTCGCGGGAGCTGCAGGCGGAGATAGCCGTGTTTGATATCCTGGGGGGTGCGAGCATTGCATCGGTGGTGCGATTGGCGGTGGGCCGGGTTGGTGGTGGTGTGAAAGATGTTGGTGCTGTGTGATTGTGTTGGACGGTATGCAGTAGCTAGGCACTGTCGTGAATGGTAGGATAGGAAGATAGGAATGCAGTCGGCTATTCGCCTCGGATATTGCAGTTGTGCTTGGAGTGGTCGGCCTTTGACGGCTATTGAAGTAGGGTCTGATGGATGGATCGGATACTAACTTTCCCCATGGGGAATACTTCCCAATTCGTAGACGAAGTATACACCGTCCATCAAGTCTCGATAGTCTCCATGAGATTCATACTTAGTATAAGAACACGCACAACCAACAACCGACGTAGAGTACATACAACCCCCAGCATCAATCCCCAATCCCCTCCCCTCCTCTCACCCCCAAACCCTCCAAACCCCCGAACCCAAAACTAACCATGCCGAAACCCAGAGTCCTCCACCTCGGCGACCCCATAAAGTACAACCACGACCTCTACGCCCGCTTCGTGTCAACCTTCGACCTGATCCGGCCCTCGACGGCCGAGCGCGCCCGCCCCGAATTCAAGCGCGCCCTGCAGGAGCGCCGATGGGGCACCTTCGACGCGATCTTCCGGCCGTTCTGGAACACCGGCGGCGAGATGGGCGATTGGGACGAGGAGCTGATCGCGCTGCTGCCAGACAGCGTCAAGGTCATCGCCAGCGCTGGGGCGGGGTATGACTGGGTGGATGTGGAGTGTCTCGCGAGATACGGTGAGCCAGAGGCGCCCGGCCAGCCCCCGTTTGAAGATCGCGCATCACCCTCCCCTCTCCCCTTCCCCATTATCACCAGCCGATCCTAACGATGACTGCAAAGGAATAACCTACTGCAACGGCGCCGCCGCCTCCAGCGACTCCGTCGCCGACGCCACACTCTTCCTCCTCCTCTCGGTATTCCGGAACCTACGGTGGTCGCACGCCGCCGCGCACAGCCTGTCCCCGGTGGCCTTCCACGACGCGCACACGCACTCCCCGCTGACAGCCCGGAACCCCGCCACCCAGGTCCTGGGGATCGTCGGCCTCGGCGCGATCGGCCTGACCATCGCCCGGAAGGCCTGTGCCGCGTTCCCCGGGATCCGGATCGTGTACCACGACCTCGTGCGGAAGGCCCCCGCCATCGAAGAATCGATCAACGCGAGTTTCAGCGAGAGTCTGGACGGGGTGTTGCGGGAGGCGGATTGTGTGGTGCTGGCGACGCCGTTTGCGGGGAGGACGTTGATCGATGCTGACACCCTCAAGAAGTTCAAGAGGGGGGGTCGACTCGTGAATATTGCCAGGGGCGGGTTGGTCGACGAGGAGGCGCTGGTGCAGGCGTTGGAGGAAGGAAGGATCAGTGCCGTGGGCATGGATGTGCATGCCCGCGAGCCGGCGGTGCATCCGCGGTTGGCGACGGATCGGCGGGTTATGATGCTGAGCCATAATGCCGGGGGCACGGTGGATACGCATGTGGGCTTTGAGCGGTTGGCGATGGAGAATATTCTGGGGTTCTTGGGGGAGGAGGGGAAGGCGTTGACGCCGGTGAATGCGCATTTGATTCGGGATGGGACACAGAGGGTGAGGAGTTTGTTGTAGTGCATCTGGGGGAGTCAGGTTGGGGGTGGATGGTGAGCATGGGGGTTTATGTTCTGAAGTATGCATGTTTTTGGGAGGTCTTTCTTCTCTATTATAGGTATAAGTACAGATGCGAACGGAAAATCAAACCTCTGGCCCACGCTACCCGACGCCGGTTTATCAACACACAAACAAGCGCACAGCGCAGCCTTCCACATGAGCACCCTTACATGGGGCATCACTCGTTGTAGTGGTATACCTAGCATCAGTTAGCACTTGCACCAGTCGCCCGGGCCTACAGCACCTACAAAGTAATCCGGCAACCCAAACACCTCGTACCCCAACCGCTTTGCCATCTTGGCGAATCCCTCCGTCTCCACCAGATGATAGAACGGGAACGCCGGGAACATCGCCCCGTCGCGGTGCACGTCCGCCTTGACCATCAGCGCGGTGCCGCCCACGCCATCCAGCTTCATCTCCCGCCCCGGCTGCGGGTAGTCCTTGTTGGCCATGTAGGCCATTAGACTGCGGTAGGTGGGTAGCTCGGCGTATCCCTCCAGCAGGATCTCGTCGGGCCCCATCGTGTCCGCCAACTGCTGCGCCGTGGCACTGTCGATCCACGAGTTGAAGTCGTACGGCCGGACGTCCATCTTCTTGGCGTCCTTGTTGTAGTAGCGCTGGAAGCAGTTGGGCACGATGACGGGGCGGTCATGGCCCGTCAGGTCCTGGATCAGCGTGGCGGGCGTCTCAACGATGTCGGAGTCCAGCCACAGCACCCACGAGGTGGCGGGGCCCAGCGTCGTGAACAGCAGGCTGTTGCGCGCCAGGCTCATCGACTCGCGGCGCGCCTTCTGGTTCTCCAGCTTGTGCCGCTCCTTCTCATCCTGCGACTGCAGCGGCGGCTCGAAGTCCTGCCGCAGGATGCTGACGCTGGCGAACCGCTCGGCCACCGGCCCGTTCTGCGTCACGCTGATCGCGTGCTCCAGCGCCGCGAGCGCCGCGTTGCCGTCCTTGGTCTTGGGGATGATGAACCCCACCGAGATCAGCTCGTGCGGGTAGCTCAGCGCCACCACGTTGTCCCAGTATTCCTGGTAGAACCGCGCCAGCGGCGTCAGGATGAGCACCCGCTCGCCCTTCCGCGCCGCGTCGCTCGTGCTCGTCAGCGCGTTCAGGTTGTAGTGTTCCACCGGCGGCGCCGCGGCGTGGCCATCTTCGCGGACGGCTTGGGATTTGAGGAAGGGTTTCGTCGGGGGTGAGAGTGGGTGCTCGGCCGCGTCTTCGCGGCGGATTTGTGAGGAGTCGAGGTCGGGGGGGGTGTTACCGGCGGCCGCAGCGGCGGCGTTGGCGGCGGGAGGAGATGGGGAGAGCAAAAAGCACAGGAAGCCGAAGGCTAGCAAAGCCGCCAGTAGCAAGGTGATGGGACTAGTGCGACGCATGTGGCGTGCCGCGGCCATCGTAGCCAAGCCCGGCTCAACTGCAAGAAAGATTAATTTGCGACGGGAGTTGCAGGGGGTTGTTGTTCCGGTATCGTATTTGAGTGATTGGAGGGAAGGAAACCAAGCGATCAAGGTGGTTTTGCAGCAGTCGGTTGATTCGGAGCTGGGTCGACGAGCAGGATTCGGGGCCCGACAGGAAGTAGGTACGAATTGACAGCGGTGATTTAGCCAGCAAGAGGACGGAAAGAAATCAGCCACCGTGCCCCAAACATACTGTAGAAAGGAGGAAGAGGAGGGAGAGGAGAGAGTGTGGTGGAGTTGGGGAGTGTATGGGGGGGAATGGAGGGGGAGGGAAGAGGGAGAAGAGAAGGTGAAGATGCGACGAATGGATGGATGATGTGGTTTAATGGCAGGCTGCCGGGAAACGAATGGACGCGCGGACCGAATCCAGCCAAAGGGCAGTAATGAATGAATGTGTAGGATCTGCATCCAGCGAGCTAAAGATGCCAAGCTAGTCTTGTTCCCAGCCCAGATCGCGCCGGATGCGGCCGTTGCACTGCAGAACTGCTGCCGACTGCCTCCATGCCCGAACACTCCCGTTACGGGGGGTGAACCTGATCTGAATTCCCATTCCATAATTAATTCATGGTTCTATTCTCCTCATTCTAGATATGTCTATTCTGGTCTAGTCTGGTCTAGTCTAGTCTAGTCTAGTCTAGTATCATTAAAGCGCGTTTATAGTACAGTAAACGTATACCCTTTCTAGGGCAGCGACCGCATCACCCCCTCGAATGCAACCAGCGCCATAGCATTCGCCGGGAATGCTCGCAAGAAACATGGTACAAATCCCCGCCAGTATCCTTTCAATCCTCGCTCGCGATACACCGCGACCGCCGCATCTTTCCACCGGCGGAACTTGCGCTCCCCGTCCCCAAGGGCCCCGCCCATCGGGTCCGTCATGAGCCGTTGCTTAACCACGTCCGACGGATACGAAGTCAGCCAGAAAATCTGCGCCGAAATTCCACCCGCCCAGAAATTAATCGCGGGGGCCGACAGACTGGTCTTCTCTTTCAACATCCGCGTCAAAACATCGTAAGAGCCCCACCAGAAGAAGAAGAACGACCGGAACACGATCGTGGCGCAGAGTCCGCGATAAAGTCCCGCGATTCCATGCGTTCGAAGCTACCAGACAAAAAGATCAGCACACTGCCCGTGTCCACAACAACATCCGCAGCGCCCTGAAGCGGGCAGCTCGCGACTAGAACCCTTACCAATTTCCGCACGCAGTCGATTGGGCCGGAGTACATGCGCTTCGTCTTGTCCGCCGAGTACTGAATCTGCAGTCGCGCTTTGACGTGTTCCACCGGCGCCGCGATGAAGCTGACCGTCGTCCCCGCCATGATTCCCGCGATTCCGTGCCCGAAACTTGGGAGGGTGGTGGGATCGGTCTGGCGACCGCTAAACGGTGTCATCGCGCGTATGTGCGGCTTCGAGAAGACATTCTCGAGCAGTAGGCGGCGGTATAACGTCAACGACCCCAGCATGCTGAACGACGATGGACATGGTCAGCATTCGGTAGTCCTGTATTTGAGCTTCTGGACTCATCGAACTTACACCGAATCCATCACCATCCATCCGACCAGCGGCGGCGTGGCTCCTTTGTATAATCCGCTTACTCCCTCCTTACGCACTGTCTGTAATACACAGTCGACCGGACCGCGGAAGTGTGATTCATGGCTGGTTTGTAGGCGTACTTTGACCGTATCGAACCTGCGATCATCGACCAACAATTAACTCTGGGAAATGGGGTTATCGGGAGTGGAAGGTGCAGAAGCGTACGGATGTCCAACTATGAAGCAGCAACAGCGAGTTAGTTTGTCTCTGCTAGCATCCCCAAACATAGATACTTGAAAACTGACGTACCTGTTAACTTTGCTATCCCGGAGAACACGCCCGCAACAAATCCCTTGTAATCGCGCTTCGAGCCCGTAGAGGGAGGGGGCACCCCGCTCTCTGTGCTGGCCTGGGCCATTTTTTGTGAGGATGGGCGCTCCACCAGAGTGGTTGATGGCGAGGCGACAGCGGTAGGATTCGACGACATGGGCGGCGGATGGTTCTGAGTATGAGGGAGGTTCTGCTTCCGAATGCAAGGCCAGTGAGGCGTTCCGACTGGCTGCAACTGGTCGACAGGTATAAAACTCGGTCGGGATTTGCGTTCGAGGTCCTTATCGGACTTGAGGATTGATGGGCTAATCGATTCGAATGGAGTCCATGAATTGGAAGAAATAAAACGAGATCAACAGTTTAGCTCAAGATATCAATAAGCAATCTATACAGTTTCTCCGGGGTTAAAGAGAGAAGGGATGCAGTCGTGGGGAAAAGATGAAAAGATGGGGGAGACAAATAAGATGAGGAACAATTGATTGAAGATGCGGCCCCGCAAAATCCGGCGGCTCGGGGAGTTGCAAGCCAGCTCCGGGCGGGAAAACTGCCGGTCGACGCCGCGGGGTGGCTACTCTTTCCGCATCAGTACTAGTCCACCTTCCAGTGAATGGTCGTCTCAAGTCCAATGATCGATAAGAATACCAATGTCAATAGATAAAATGCTTGGAGCATTGCTCTGTGTCAATTTCTATTCCTATTCCAGTCTAGAATCGAGGATGACAGTCTGTTTCTGTACAGTCCCCGGTGAAGTGAAGCTCAAGAAGAAGCTCAAGATGAAGTAGCGGTTATCTCAAGAGATCGAGATAAGTCCAAAGAGAAACATAGGCAATGGTAAACCAGAAAAAAGGCCCGTGGGTAAAACAGTAGCCGAAAGAAAAGAATTGAAAATGTCTGGGTTTGGCGATATGGGGTATAGGCGCATGATTTCATAATACACGAGAAAAGAAAAGAAGGAAAATGAAATGCAAAATGCAGGAGAGAATTAAGTTCTGGCAATGAAATGGCCGTTCACTACCCCTTCAGCCCTTTTCTAGCCTTCTGACGGGCCCGGTCGGCCTCGCGGGCGATGAGTTTGTCCACTGCATCAGGCGCCGGGCCCGAGTAGTGGCTCTCGCAGGCAGTAAGGTCGGAGGTTGTGCCCGAGCCCAGATAGCCACCTGCATCCTCGAGTGCCAGAGGCGTAACGGGCCCAGGGCTGTTCAGCGGGTCGAGACGTGGTGCAGATGGACTGGGTGAAAGTGGGCGTGAGGGGGCTTTAACAAGAATGTTCCCATCCGCCAGATCCCGCCACATAGAGTCGCGAGAGCTGGCTGACGCACGGTATCCATGCTGTCGAGGTTGTCGAGGTGATGGAGGCTGCGCAGACAGGGTCTGGGAGGTCCCAGGGGACTGATAGACGGCTGGATGGAACCGTGGTAGGCTTCCCAGATGAAAGGCTGGGGCTGGCTTGGATGAGTTTCCGCCCCTGGAGCGCGATGGCTGGGGGGAAAGAGGGCGACCAGCTGACGACATGGCAGGAGTAGCGACCGGCGCGTACAATGTCGAGCTATCAGAGCGCATTCTGGACGGTTCAGAGAAGTGTGAACGATGCTCTGGACGGGATGGTCTTCGATGGGTTGGCTTATCACGGCTTCTCTCGATGTGCTCACGGTGGGCAAAGTAGTAGCCCTTGTCAAAGCGTCCGGTCAACGGGGTCACGGGGAAGTCGTGATCGTGTGTGATATGGGAAGGCTTTGGTATAGGTATAGGACGAGAAGCAGAGTGGTGGAGATTGAGACTTGCGAAATAGTCTGTGGTCTCGGAGACGGGCGACTGGGGGGACGGCGGACTATAAGTCGACGAGGTGGCCGTTAATTCTTCGAGGGATGACAACGAAACTCTGGTGGGGTGACCGTGTCTCGCAATAAGAGTCTCTAGCTGATCTCGGGCACGAAGACTAGAGGGACGTTGGGAAGGCGATAAAGGCAACGAGGAAAGATTGGCTAAGAGCACGCGATCAGCATGAATCATTGAGAATGTGCAGAACAAGCGCAGAGCCAAATGCCACACGTGTCCGGCGGGAATAATCTTAATTCCTGCCCACAAGTGAAGCTGAAACAACAAAACAGGTCATCGAGGGGTCAGTTGGCATAGAAGAAGAATGCAAGCAACCCAAAGAGGAGAGTACATTCCACTACTGTAGAGGGGGGGGGGTTGGGTGGGAAGATCTGCTGGCACCAGGTGGGGCAAAAGGATGATTTGACAGAAGGTGCACGACGGACGAGTAAACGGCGGAGGTCGAGGGAGCAGAACTTACCACTGGTCAATGGTGGGGAGTGAATTGAACTGTAGGAGGAGGACGGATAGAGCGAGGGCAAGGAAGATGCAGAAGAGGAGGCCGAGGGGGAGGAAGGCGGAAAGGCAGCCATTGAGGGTTTTATTCTGGAGATTGGATTGTCTGTTCCTTTTCGTACCGTAATTTTTTTGGTTTCTGTTCCCTGTTCAAACTAAATCCCACTTTTTTTTTGGTTTCAACCAGTACCGAGAGTGGGTTCAACGGTTCAACCGATGGGATGGGATGATTTGGATCCAGGCACCCCGGATGCCTTCTCCTGACAGCGGCTCTTCGCTGCCAAGTCAGGCAACCGACTGACTGCTTTGCCTGGTGGTCTTCTCTATGCGAGGTCCGTTGTTGTTGTAGTTGTTTGTACGAAAGATATATTCGAGGTTGTCCCAGGATTACGGATACTATTTCGACTTGAATCTTGTCCTCAACCGAGGGGTGAGATTGTCACGCAGGGGAAAAATAGAAAAAGTTCGGGTCTGTGTCTAAATTGATCGTCAGCTTGCGGGGAAACTCAAACAAAGTTGACAAACGTAAGAAAACCAAGACCCAAAAAAAGCCCATGGCGTCATGGCGGGAGACGCGGGAATCCATTGTTGAGGGGCAGGCGGGTAACTTGTGGTACGGTATGCATCTTGGATCATCATAAAAGGGGGGTTCCACTTCTTTCCGCTGTGCTGCTGCTGTTGCTGCGATCTACCCTCCTTCACGTCGAAGGATGTACTCGCCATGCCAATCGTGTTTGTTCATGAGTCGAAGTCGGCCAAGAAACAAACCAGAGATGCAGCAGAAAGGAAAATCTCATGCACGACCTACCGATCAAGTCCCTATCTCATTTGGGTGTTGGTTGCGAATGCCTTCAACGATTGGTTCCTGTGGAGCCGGCGGGCGCTAGCCACAATCAGGCTAGCCTTCTATGACTCCAGCTTCGAGCGTGGTAAGATTGGAAGGTTCCAAGTTGTAAGATGGTACCGAATTTATCGATGGAATGACGCCAAGTTGGGTCCGGTTATTGGAGTACTCAGGCGAGGAATGACGGGTAGGTGAATGAAACAATGAAGAGGGGAAAGAAGAATGGTAGGTGAGGCTAATGTGGTTAGTGAAATGATGGCTGGTCACACCTCATGTAAAACAGATATTCAGTATAGTGGGAACAATAAGGAGGAAAGAATAGGCTGATTGACAACGCATGAGGGGGTCTTGGCAGGCCTGAAAAGGATTCATCGGTCGTGTTTCAATTCAAGCAGGCATGTATATGAGGTACAGTACAGTAGTGCCGAGCATGTAGGTACATAAAGAAAATACCTCAGGCAGTCAGGCAAGGTGGGGTTTGACTAAGCGGAGGCAGGGCGATAGTGAAGGTGTACTTCGTTCTCAGTACTCATACTTTGTAGATCGTTGTCGGAGAGTTTGTGCGACAGATTAAGTGGCCAGATTACTCGTTCCCTGCATGGGGTTCGGATCTGTTTATAACCTTGGAGAATTGCTGCGGAAGGATCTATTTTCCTCCCGCCTGATGCCTCGTTCTGTCGTTAAAACCTGTTGCAACCACACGCGGGAAACTCGGGTGACCTGGCCTGTTAGTTCTCCCACTATCACCAAAATAAATCCGAGTCAGGACACCGCTTCATCCACAAGGGTGAAGAGTGACTACAGTGGAAACAATGACGATCTCTCGCGCCCTTAGTCTGGCCGACCGAAACTGTTTGGTCTCAGGCGAGTCTAGAGTTGAGTGACTAGCTTACCTTTCCGTTTCGTCTGGGTTGTCGCGTTCTAATCACATCCTCATATCAGTAGCACTTCTGCCGATCCAGATGTATTCAACCTTGGGAGGCTATTGGCCGGCCAGGGCTATCACACATTGACTGTGGCCGGTAGTAAACCTGGTGGGAGACGATCATGCAAGCCATTATCCATTGTTGACAACCCGCGACGATATCCGCGTATCGTAAACCCCAGATCCGAGCAGTTCAGACTGCACAGTCGATCTGCAGCTATCTGTGCCACCATGGACTGGGTTATCACTTCGGACGGGTGGGGAGGACGGAACTTAGGGCTGGAACTTTTTTCATCCTTCTACCAGACTCCTAACTGGGTTGGAGGGGGAGGTGCGATGTGATGGGGCAAGGATATGCCCCCAGCACCATCAATACCGGGCAAGCTTAAGACAGAAAGTGTCTTGCGTCCGACAGTCTGAGTGGATGACCGTTGCCATCCACACGGGGCAGCGCGATCAGCCGACTTGATTCAGATCCCCCCCTCCATCACCGGCTTGCGCGCTTCACATTACTAATTCAGTCGTCACCTATTGAGGAATAAACTTGTGAGTCACCACTACATTTGTGCGATGGCCCCAAGTGATTTATTCTACTGAGTAAGGAGACAAACTGGACGCTCGTTTATGTCCGCCCATGAGAGTGCCGCTGAACACACTACTATGATCCATGTCATTACTCGTAGAGATTTGATCCGGATGCGCGGAACACCCTTGAACGAATGTGCAGGCACCAGCATAACATACCTAGCTTGCACATCAAAAGATCGCTAAAAGGATGACTGTCGTCTAGTCGTAACGGTGTCTCTTCGGGAGATCGACTAGGCCGATGCATCCCAGCCACAAGAGCTTATGACGAGCTCAAGCATAACAATACATGTATTTGGTGACTCCGACGCCGATGGAATCACGCGTCACCGAGGGCAATCTATGTAGCAACACACCAAACATTGGCTTGTCCACTGTGACTGGAACTGCCCCTGCCCAGCTCGTCGAGGTACACTGCCTCTCCGACCTGCGTCACTCGCTAATGTTACGCTTTCTGTCACACCTTTTCCCTTGGAGCTAGCTGTCAGATAACATATCTCGTCCCTCATTCATTGGCGCCCTGGACGATCGTTTCTGCAGGTCGCCAGATTCGGGAATATGACCATGTAAGTCGTTTGCCTCCTCCGTCCCTCCTTCTTGACCATTTCGACGGAGCACTCCTACTATCACCAAGAGTCAGTCGCGCAGTTGACTTGCCAACCCCACACACAACTGCGGGAAAATAGGCCAACCATTCAAATCGTAGGACAATCCCCCTTGCGGGCACATTCGCTCGGCGATGATTAGTTAACTCATCCTCTAGTCCATACAAAGCAGTACGAGTAAGGTCCGACGTCCAAGTCCCGAGGACCTGCACTAGTTTCGCACCCTCCTGGAGCAGGGGTGGCACTTCGCTTGTTCCTGTGATCCATTCTGATTCCGGCAATATTGTACCTAGTAGTGTTGTGAGCCAATTGCATGCGCAGGAGTGGAGCAACGGGTAGGAGCGGATAAGCGGAGAAAAACGCATGTTGATTGTGGCTTTGACACTTTTCCAAGGCGCCAGGCCATGGCAGCCAATTATCCAGATGTCAAGGTCAGATAATTGTCTCAATTGCATTCATGTGCAATGACGGAATGGCGCGTGGTGTTTTCTTACCGGAATAGATATTGTAGTCTTTTGCGTCCACCATAAGACTCTACGCAATGGGGAACATTCTACTAGTGCTTGTCATTATTTATCCTGCCTGTTTATCTACGGAAAAAGGTGTGCATAACTCTTTCACTAGTCTCTGGTGGAGAATATATCACTGAAACATCACTGTACAATCGTAAATAAGGTCCCGTTGATCTAATTCTATGCACTAGTCTGTTACCTTTGTCCGGCACGAGGATCTCTCGAATCATCGATTACTCGCTAAGCACAGATTAACGAATCTCAGTATGAAGAGTAGGTTGATATATCATAAGTTGACCATAATGAATTGCTTGCAACTATAGCCAGTGAGCGCTAAAATACCTCTCATGTTAAAATGGCAGGGACGGAGTACATGCAGTATTGCCTCAGCTCGGTGAAGATGTAAGAGCAATTGCAGGGAATATGAATATTGAGTATGAATGAGTCGCCATCCCGCAGTCACAGTGAAAAGTGGAGGGTGGGTCCCAATCTGACTTGAGGGTCTCCCGCGTGCATTGGGCAAGTTCAGGGGTTGTGCTGTCAGGTCAATTCATCGCTTGCTTTATAGGGGAAGCGATACGGGCGGCAGGCTGGAAACCATCTTCGAACAGTGCCTTGGGTGTCTAGTATGCGAAGAATGATTCCTTTCTAGAGCTCAGTCTTTCTAGCTTCGAGGTATTTATGATTTATCCTACAAACCATCATCGAAGATAGGCTAAATGTATCCTCCTGCCCTCATTCAATGTTCCTAGTAGATTCTTCTTTAGCGACCCAATTTGACCTTTGTCTACACCACAACACCATCCAGAACTACCTCATCCCAACCATCCGGTCAACCCTTGATCCACAGGAATACAAGTCCCATTGATCAAGCTGGACCCTGGCCCGCAGGTGATCGAGAGACAAAGATCTGCCACCTGATCAATATCGCACATTGCCAGCTTGGCAGCTGTCATCAGATCCATCGCCTTGTCTTTCCCTTCCATGTTGATTCCCGTCATGAACGCATCCGTGATATTCGTGTCCATCCCACCCAGCATCAAAGCATTACACCGAATGCCCTTGGAGCCATAGAACGTGGCCGTGTTCTTGGTCAAGCCCACCAGACCATGTTTGCTCGCTGTGTACGCAGCACCTATAGTTGAGCGTATGAGTGACCAACGTTTTTGGTTGAGGAAGAAAAAGATAAAAACACTCACCCGCCGCAAAGCCTGCTTTACCAGCCACAGACACGATGTTCACGATGCGCCCATCCACCACATCCCTTTTCAACATATCCTGCACCGCCAACTTGCTGAGCAGATACGGCGCCGTTAGGTTCACCGCGATCACGTGGTTCCAGAGGTCCTCATCTAGCTCTCCGACGGGGTCAAATCGGTCCATGATTCCGGCGTTGTTGATCAGGATATCCAGCTTCTGAAACCGGGCGACGATCTTCTGGAAGAGGGTCTGCACGTCCGACACGGAGGTAATATCGGTCTTGATTGTCAGAAGTCGGCTGGTGTTGTCCCCAACTGCAAGTTCTTTGGATGTGTGATCGAGGCGATCCTGGTTGATGTCGCAGATGACGACGTTGGCGCCGGCGTGGAGGTATCGGGTTGCGATAGTCTTGCCCAACCCGCCTGCACCGCCGGTCACAAGGCACGTTTTGCCAGTCAAGTTGATGGACATATTGTTTCAAGTTGGATGATGTCTTCTGCTCAGCAATGTATCAGGAGATCGACGGCAGAGTTTAATTACTTGAGGTCTTCAGATCGAACCCGTATTTTCCCATTTTGCGTATACGCTTCCCCACATTTCCTAGAGCTCTTCCCCTGAGCTAGTCTCAATTGCCGTGATATGTCGGTCGTTAGCCCTGAAGACCAGTCAAGTGGGCGCTTGAGGGGGTGAAGCCGCGTAGTGACGGCCATGGAATGTCGTATTGGCGTATTCGGCTCGTCGGGGCGGCGAGTGGATCCCTCCGCAGCTCTCTATGCTTGCCGGGAAAGGAGGGAATACGCGAAATACGTGTGTGGATATACAGCCAATCTCGCAGCCTGGAGCCGACTTGCTGCACCTTTAGGTGTATGTCTGTTGTTTGAGATTCAGGACTTGTTGCGAATTCTATTACTGTAAACCTCCCTCAAGTTAACCTTGTTCACCAAGAGCATTGCAAAATTCATCATTATCGCCAGTTGTTCCGGCTGTGAGCCCTATCTTCTAGGCAAGTTACGGCATCGGTGATGATAACCAGCCAAATGACAAGCCTTAATAATCCAGACAGGTTCTCTTGGAGTGAGTAAGTATCAGATGAGCCATTGCTTGTGCCATAGCTCCTAATTCATCCCCACGTTGCAAGACAGTGACTGATCTTCCGACAGTAGCTTGCCTTTTTCAATTCCAAGACACGGCCAAGAGAGCAAATCGAAGCACCAACTCCAACAAACAGCTCCCAAGCCAAAGCCGAATCCCCATTCATTGAGGAGATTCCCTTCCGATCAAGTTTAAGGCTGATATCTGGGATTTCCCCGCGTTTGATCCATCCTAGGGCAACTTTTGTGGGTCAATCGGTCTTGGATGCATATCATAGATTATTCCGAATTAGCTCAGACGGGGTCCAGACTATGCAGAATCGCACATTCCTAAGGCTTTTGCTTTTGCTATCAAGCGACTTGGCGTGAGCCTTGCCGATCGCTTAGGGGTAACCATGACCCTGTTGGGTATGTGCAAAGTGGCAACCGATCTCTGTCTGACCTGGCTCACTCGCTTCAAACAAGGGGTTTTTCGGCCTTTGACGAGGTTGGCTTGCGAGTGGCACCACGAAGATAAAAGTCGTCGGTAATCCAGCCATGAGGCAACAGCAGAATAACCTACATACATCTAATAAGAAGTTTTTCTTGTCATGATAAGCTTATCATCATGGCATGGCTGTTACACAACAGGATGACTTGGAGCGCAGGGGAGGTTGTGCTATTTGTCCCTGGCTCTCAATGCTCCACCGTGCATCGCGCGAACCTTCTCTTTTGGGTTAAATTGCAGCCACCTGCCGGTTATCTTATCGCTCCCCAGTTACGGTTATCGCTTCCCCAGTTTCATCGGCATTGGTCAAGTATCTACTAAGGTCTTACTGAGCCAGACGGCAGTTGCTGCCCTAATGCTGTCTCATCACGGTGCTTGTCGGTTGATAAATAGTCCTGTGACGCTCATCCCTGAGTGACTGGCGGCTTCTGTTGACTCCATTCACAAAGCATAGCGAAGATGATTGCACAAGACGATGAGATTCAGCAGACTCCCCTGGCATCGACGGGGGAAGATGTTCGTCTGGAACATCTAGGATATGAGCAAGGTATGACTGACCAATGACATAGCCAAAGACATGCTGACCATGTGTCATCGCGAAGAGCTCAAGCGGTCTTTCGGGCTGCTGGGTATGATCGGTTTCAGTTTCAGTGTAGTCACCTCGTATGTCTCATCCTCCCAAGGTATTGTATGATATTAACCTGCTAACTTGGCGATCAGCTGGACGGCGCTTAGCGGTGTCTTCATCGTGGGAGTGACCTCTGGTGGTCCACCTGTCATGGTTTTCAGTTTCATCGGTGTGAGCCTGCTCACCCTTGCTGTTGCCATTCCCATGGCCGAAATGTGTTCGATGTACCCGGTGGCAGGAGGTCAATACTCGTGGGTTGCGGCATTAGCACCTCCAAAGATCGCTCGAGGACTATCATATATAACCGGTTGGTTCATGCTGATAGGTATGCTTGATCCTTCTCCCTGTTCAACGTCCAATGCACATAATCTAACGAGACCTGTCCCGCTCAAAAACACAGGTCTCCTCGCAATGGGCGCGACCAACAATTCCATCGCCGCCCAATTCGTCCTCGGTATGGCCAACCTTGTCTTTCCCTCGTACGAGATTCAACGCTGGCAGACGGTGCTGGTCGCCTACCTCGTTGCCCTCCTGGCCGCGGCCATCAACATCTGGGGCCCGCACCTCCTCAACCGCCTCGCGCGCTTTATTCTGATATGGAACATCGGCGCCTTCTTCATCACAATCATCGTTCTCCTCGCGACCAACGACCACAAACAACCGGCCTCGTTCGTCTTCGTGAACTTCCAAAATACCACCGGGTGGGACAAAGCGATGGCTGCCATCGTTGGCATCCTGCAGGCCTGCTTCGGGATTTGCTGCTATGACGCGCCGTCGCACATGACGGAAGAGATGAAGTCGGCCTCCAAGCAAGCGCCGCAGGCGATCATCATGAGCGTGGTGCTGGGCGCCGTCACCGGCTTTGCCTTTTTGTTAGTGCTGTGCTTCTGCATTGGCGACATCACCGCAACCGCCAACTCGGCCACGGGCGTCCCCGTCATCCAGATCTTCTACGACTCGACCGGCAGCAAGGCTGCCGCCTGCGTGCTGGCCAGCATGATCTCCGTGATTGTCATCGTGGCGGGCAACAACATCCTGGCTGAGGGCTCGCGCTGCGTCTACGCCTTCGCCCGGGACCACGGCCTCCCCTGCAGCACCTGGCTGGCCAAGGTGGACAAGAAGAGACAGGTCCCGGTGAACGCTGTGTTGTTGACGCTCGTCGTGCAGCTGGCGCTGGACGCGATCGATTTCGGGACGAGTACCGGCTTCGAGACGGTGATTGCTATCTCCACTGAAGGATTCTGTACGTTGCTTGCCTCCTTGCCCCGACAGCTCACATACTCCTCTTTCCCCTGCCCTCATCACCCACTTTCAACTTTAGTACAGTGGAACTAACTCTTCACCATAAAAAGACCTCTCCTACGCCACCGCCCTCGCCAGCCGCCTCCTAGGCTACATCACCTCCCACCAGAAGACAATGACAGGCCCCTTCGCCCTGCCCTCCTCTCTGTCCATCGCCCTCAACATCCTAGGCCTGCTCTTCCTGCTGTTTGCCTCGATCACCTTCAACTTCCCCACCACCTACCCGGTCACCGACGATTCGATGAACTACACCAGCGCGGCTATCGGGGTCATCGCGCTGATCGCCCTGGGGACGTGGGTGAGCACGGGGCGGAAGAACTTCACGGGGCCTGCGGGGGGTGCCGCCTCGCAGGGTATGGTGGTCGAGACCGGGAAGGTTGTGGAGGATGCTGAGCCGGAGGGGAGGTTGGAGGGAATGGAGAAGAAGGGATGAAATTTCGTTCATGGTACATGAGTCGTTGTTTGAGCATTTATGCGAATTTTCACAAAGATTAAGCTTTATTGGTCGTTCTATCTGTGACTTGGTTGTGTTGTAAGTGGCGGTGCTATACGTGGAACGGTGTAGGATCCTTGGCATATCGATATATCTAATCTCTGGGACTTGACCCGTTCCAGAATTTGCTACGTCATTTTGTAACATTTGAATGAGTATACTATAGTCATTGAGCTGAATTTCTTCCTCGAGATAATATTTTTGTACACCGAAATAATCTTAGCCTGCGCGTTATAAGGAGGGTCTAGGATAAAAGCCTCATACAAGGGGACAATGCGTCGCCAAGTAGGCGTCACTTGTCTCAGGTGACCTTCGATATTACATTCCAGTCTCGGAGCCATTATTTACTTTACGAAGTATTTAAAAGGTCTTGAACGTGTATTCCTCCCTGGCATAGAGTGGTTGTTGAAGACTGGCCTGGTTCGCCGCTTTAGTTCATTGATGCCTACAAACAAGATAATCCGTGACTCTAGTAGCACCTTTTGTTCATTGATACTGTAGGCAGACCACTGCTCTGATCGTCTATGTACTGTACTGTAGACGTGGCTCCGGCCAGATCGATCATTTTCATCCCAACTAAATTGGTATCCCGCGAAGTAAGTAGGGGCCGGACATTGTCCATATGACCCAAGAGACAGACACTTTTAGCCCAACAAAGAACCAACCCTGAAGCAGACAAAAGAGAAACTCAACGCCATTACTCGCCAAAATGCAAAGAGAATGTACAACCAAATCACGACCGGCTCTTCTCCCACTTGGTGATTCTCCGTTTCAGATCGCCCGCGGTCTGCTGCATGGGGTTCAATCGCCGGTCGCGCGCCATGGCGGCGTAGTTGTCCCCGTGCTTCTCCACCAGCCGCAGAATCCACTCCTCTTCACGCTTGCTCTGGTGGCGGGGCTTCTTGGCGGCGACCTTGCGGCTCTCCAGGTCGGCCTGGAGCTCGAGCTGCCGGACGATCTCGCTGTCGGCCTGCTGCTTCTGTGCTGCACTCATCGGCTCACCAGCCTCCTCATCCGCCGACAGATCGTTCAGCGGGTCGTTCAGCGGGTTGTGGCGCTTGTGCTTGCGGCCCGCCACCTCGATCTCGTCGTCGTCCTCGGGGCGGATCACGCGCAGGATCTTGCCAGTCGCCGGGTCGCGCTCGACGCGGATCTCGCTGGCCGCGTTCTTCTGCGCCACGGCCGTCGCGCTGCTCTTGATGTGCAGCGAGTCCTCCCGGTCGCGCGCAACGCCCCCCTCCTTCGTGGGCCGCTTCTCCGAACCGCCCGTCGGCGCGTTCAGGCGGTGGACCAGGCCCAGGTTGCGGTAGTTTTGGGTGAGAGTCAAATCGCGGTTCCTGTTCAACAGAGAATTCGCATGTTAGCTGGGTTGCGCGGGGGGTCAAAATTTCGTCGTCGGGTGTCTCCCGTTGCGGGATGATTTTGGTCCGTACCAATTCTCAGCGATGATGGCATTTCCCAGAACATTGATCTTCTTCCGGCCGTTCTTCAAAAGACCGGTGCGCTTGGCCTTAGCCTTGGGCAAGCCGGAGCGGTTCTTTCTCTTCTGGCGCACGTTGGTCATGGTGTGTGGGTTGTTTTGTAGAGATTGGGATTGTTGGTTGTTGGAGTAAGATGCTGGCTGGCTCCCTCTCAAGGAAAAAAAAGTTATCGGGCCTCCCGAAAACTTGTGAGGGTTGTTTGCATTGCAGGTCTTGGCGTGTTTGCGCCCGATTGATAAGAAGAGCAAGCAAGATCCGGAGATCGGGGGTTCCGATGAGTCCAACACGCATAGACTAGACTAAGGGTCTTACCTACTAAGTTAGTTAGTTATTTAATTCTCTCCTCCGCCCCCCCTCTCCTCGGTCAGCTCAGCTCTCCATGACCTGTCCATAAGTTGCATCTTTTGTTGATTGCCCCACTGGACTTCCTCACGGCTATGGTTTCCTCTGCTTCTCTCCCAATGCGTCGCATTGGCTTGGCTCTTGCCGCTGGGGTGGTCTTGTTTTCTGCGTTGGCTGTCGCTCAGGATGCTATCTCCGTCGGAGAGCTTTCCGCAGGGGAGATCGAGGATGAGCTGCAGGTGAGTTTGTCTATCTTGCGTGGATCCTGCCAGCAGTGCTACTTCGCCATACTCCCATGATTCAGTTTGGACTGACACGATTCTCAGAAATGCCCCTTGGTCGAGTCTCTCAACGAGCATAAGCGCGCCACGAGCCCCCAAACCACCAGCTTGATGTCCAAGATCTTCGCGGTCCTGTTCCCCGGAAGCCCAGCGGTCAATGCGATCCTGGCCACCATCTACATCTCTGGACCTCCCAGTACGTCAGCCACATCTCATAATCCCAGTTCCAAGAGCTAACAAAACCTCCCTTAGACTTCCTTCTCGCCCTCTGCCCCCCAAACATCGACCCCTCCTCCCTCTCCGTGATGGTCGCCTTCGCCGTCGGCGGACTCTTGGGCGACACAATCTTCCACCTCCTCCCAGAGATCTTCCTGGGCGAAGACGCTCCCGACCACGTCCGCTTCGTGATGGTCGAGCCGAACCGCAACCTCCTCCTGGGGCTCGGCATCATGGTGGGATTCTTCACCTTTGTCGCCATGGATAAGGCTCTCCGCATCGCCACCGGTGGCCAGGGGGGACACTCGCACTCGCACTCGCACTCGCACGAAGACAGCCAGATCACAGAGGCCGCCAGCACCACCAGCAGCTCCGCCAGCAGCACCGCCAACTCCTCGACCGTGAAAAACCGCAAACCCGCCACCGCTGCTTCCCCATCCTCCACCGCCCCCGCTACCACTACCCCCGAACCCACTACGAGCATAAAACTCGGCGGCTACCTCAACCTGATCGCCGACTTCACGCACAACATCACCGACGGCCTGGCCATGTCCTCCTCGTTCTACGCCTCGCCGACCATCGGCGCCACCACGACCGTCGCCGTCTTCTTCCACGAGATCCCCCACGAGGTCGGCGACTTCGCCCTGCTGATCCAGTCCGGCTTCTCGAAGCGCAAGGCCATGGGCGCGCAGTTCGTCACGGCCATCGGGGCGTTCCTGGGCACCTTCATCGGGATCGCGGTGCAGGAGCTCGGGGGAAACTCTGCTACTGCTGCTTCTGCTGCTGGCACCACCTCCTCTGCGCCAACGGCAGGCCTCCTCGGCACGAGTCTCACCTGGGGCGATATGCTCCTCCCCTTCACGGCGGGGACGTTCCTGTACGTGGGCACCGTGTCGGTCATCCCCGAGCTGCTGGAGACGAGCGGCAAGGACAAGCGCACGGAGGTGAAGCACATGATCACCCAGTTTTTGGCGGTCGCGGCGGGCGCGGGCATTATGTTGTGGTAAGTTATTTCCCCCACTCTCCTTCTTTCCTCTTGCAAATTACTTCTAAAGATTTGGTGACTTTGTGATACTGACGGTGTGGTATGATAGGATCTCCTGGGATTGAGGTTCTGGGAACATAGATTAGAGATGTGGGAAGGGTTAAGTGATGAGGGGTATTGTATCTTTTAGATCATGCTCGCTTTTGGATGTTTTAGGTGTTGACCTGTAAAAATTTAATATTATGAGATAACAGTGCATGCTTAGTCTTTGGTGAGATTGATGATCATCGTTGCCCACCGTATACTTGACGTAGCAGGGCAGTACTTCTCCCATTACCTCTCTTGCATGGTATCTGGCTCGTTTTCCTTCATGGTAAAAGAAATACGTAAGCGCTATGGTACCAAACAGAAGCATAGCGAAAAGGGTAGTCTAGCCAATCCTCCTGATTCTCATGATCATTATCCTCACTGCAATTCCCAGGGATTGTATGTACAACTCGACGATACAGCTCGGCATGGGTAGGGGAACTGAATTCCACGTCCTCTTCTGTGGCCAGGTGCGTGCATGCCCACAGTTCCCGGTCCGCGTCACCAAGACGCCCGGCCACCTCCCACCCCCGCGACTGAAGGATCCGGTAAATGTTCTGGCACCACGCAAAGCCCGCCTCGTCGCAACGGTCAAGGTAGCACTTTGACACCACAGCCACTGCGAATAGAAGGACATGCGCGGAGGACATCAGATTTCTCGGCTGCAGGTGATAGGCCACCGTGCGGCGGATTTCGCGGGCTGGCGCGCGCAGCAATGTCAGCATAACGGCACCGGGCGTCGGTTCCTTACCTTCCTGGCACAGCGTCACGGTGTGGTAAATGCGTCTGCGGATCGTCAATGCCACGATCCAGAAGAGTAGATGGGTTTTGGCTGTGGCTAGGCTGGTGAATTGGTACAGTGGCGGGTCGGCGAGGTCATCCTCCGACCACGGTAGGGGCTGTGAATTGGCAGGTCGCAGCATGGTGCGTTCCCAGGGCGCAGAAGGTCGAGTCTCTGAGGAGCAGTTTTCGCTCAACCCATCAGGCGAACATGTGCGCAGCCTCTCTGCCAGATCGAGACAGTGCTGGAGTAACACCTGGGCAGTTGTTTCCTTGCATTCGGAACCAGGTTGGTGGGAGGTTACGTCCAGCCTTTGTTGCAGCCGCGCGCCTTCGGCAAGCAGGGCAGACATCGCGTCAAGGGCTCCACGTCGATCTGGCCCCGTGTGAGGCACTCCCAATCCCCGTCGGTGGCCTTACGGGCAGGTCGTGATGCAGAAGGCCCGCACCTGATGTTAGGCCATCTAAGATTGAACACAGCGGTACTGTCCGCTCCTCAACTTATTGCGGCCACTTCTGTCGAGTGATCATTGTCCCGGTCAGATCTTGAACAGAATGGTCCCTGAAAGACGAATGATTGAGGATCGCCGTCGCGACCCGTACATGAGTCAGGGCAATTGTGCAGAGAAGCTTCACATGTCTGCATTGTCTGTCGGTGGGGCTTGTGTGTCAATTTCCCTTGCCCAAGGGCATTTGTACTCTCGAGATCAGCCACATTACCTCGTAGGTGTGGAAGACGATGGTCGCGTAAAATAGATGAGGCGTCGGAGGAAGCTTCTGGCGAAGTATCCATGCCATCACTCTTAGCGCCTCGCTATACAATTCCCCGCCGTCATTCATCAGCGGGAGGTCGTTGGCTTGCTTCCCCAAAAATGCGCACACGAGGGCCATGATGGACCTGTCCAGCAGCGCCGACTCGCCGGCTAGAGACGGAAACCGCGCCATGAGAAAGTACCAGCTATCATCCCTTGCGTTGAGATCATCGAGATCGGTGTCGGACGCAAAGAAAGTGTTCAAAAATGTGGAGAAGAGCTGGGTTCGAGCTTCAGTGCCCAGATTCAGAGGCGCCGGGAGTGCGAGCGGTTTTAGCTGCCCGAGCAGCTGGGTAACGGGCCTCTTGCTTGTGCCGGAAGCATCGACGCCAGGGTATAGGAAATGCCGATTTGTCTCATAGCCCAGACATCGCGTGCCCCTCTTGACGCATCGTGAAAACTCGGGCTTTGCAAGGTCGCACTAATTGGGGGGTGACTGGATTCTTATCACATGGTTCACAACTCGATAACAAGAAGAGTAGACGAGACTTCACACACATGCTCTGATCCTCCGCTATCTGCAGGAGGTGCATCCCCGAGATTGATAGGGAGTCCCGCCCATCGGAGTATGTCGAGCCGGGGACGCTCAAGGAGAGTGAGGGAGCTATTCAGGAAGTAAGGCAGGAATTGACAGTCAGCCTCCAGTATGGCAATGCTCGCTACACATCTGATCTCACGTGGCTTTGAGTCAGGTACGTACCGTCCCGCAAACTCCCACACGAACAAGTCACCTGAATTCTGCTTGGTTGTCCTTTTGTTGGTGGTGGTTGGCGTGGCGCAGGTTGGTCCCGAGAACCAAGTGGAGAGGAAGAGCAAACCAAGTGGTTGAAATTGGGAAACATTACTCCGAATCATGGATGACAGCAGCAGTCAGACTGAGGCTAACTCAATCTACCAATCCGAGAGAATTCCCGGAACCCTCCCACTGGGCAGGTCGCTTACGTGCAGAATTAGACTCGGGAGTAAGGTAGTTAGTTTACGGGCCCATACTACAGCATCTGGTTGCCTACATTTGAAACCTATTTGACTATGAAATCCTTTCAGAGAAGCTATAACTGGCTAGGTAGTTGAAAACTGGTTGCTAACAGTTTCAGACAACTCGCCCTCATTTTAAACCAGTTCTCAGACTAGTATTGTACTTTATTGCAACTTCTTCTCTTGAACGAACCTTATATAATGTACAAGAATCCCCCGTTGAACCACTACGGGTTATATCTTCCATCATTGTTGATAGTAGAAGAACATCTTACTCTGCCAACCAGCCTTTTAACTTAATTATCCCCACCAGACATCATTAGTGATTGTATGCGTGAATATATACACCTCACACATCAGACGAGTCACGAGGTTGTGAAACAGGAACCGGGGTTCTGAATTTGGCCAGGACATTGGTGTCATGCTGAGAGACGACGATCCGACCATAAAGCTCCTGTGGTTCCTGGCTCTGCGCCTCCTCCGGGCCAGAATTCCGGTAACGACGGAGCAAAAGCACTGAAACTTTCTTGGCACGCTCCAGGGTCGTCGGCTCCCATCGATCGATCTTGCGAACACGCAAGTCATTCAGAATATTCAGCAGCTGGACTGCACTGGGCGTCGCGCGAAACCATTCTTTCCGCCTCCTGCATACTTTGAGAACCACGAGTAAGAGGACAACAACCAGGTGCTGCATGCTATTAGGATACCAACAAGGAAAGGAGAGGTTCAGGAAACACTCACGGCCCCGTATGCCATGGCGACCTCGGTCACTGTCGCATGGGATCCCCACCATGTTGCGCTCGAAAATGCGAAGGTCGCGATACATCCAATCAAGCCAACCCAGGCTTGTACGGGTTGAATGACTAAGAGAGATCCGCGAGGTGTATATTGCGGCGAGTCTCGGATGAATTCTGGGCGACTTGAATGCCGGAGTTCGGGGTCGTGTTTCTTCAGCCTGCCGCAATCGTGAGCAAATAAGGTCTACTCAAACATGTGCATGTAGATCCCACTGACCAGTAATAATAGCGAAGAAACGCTAGGCAGATAGCTGCCCATACGATCATGATCGCGTTGCTAGCTGAGGTGCTCACCACTTGAACTACCTGAAGAATCCTGTCAGTCATCACGCTTTCGATCAGTACAGAAGCGAATTCTGTACCTGCTGTGTGACAAAGCCGTTGTTGAGTCTGAGAAAAGGCACCCAGCAAAATGCAAGCACCGTAGCCAGTAGCGCTCCTACCGGGACCCGAGTTCCCTGGCTTAGGATGCTGAGCTTCTTGGTGATCCAAAACTCTCGGGGCATAGACCTTGCGATCCCATACAATGTACGCGATGCGACATACAAAGAGGTGTTGGCCGCTGAAAAGGCGCTGAACAGCAAGCAGCCATTGAGAAAGCCAGCCATGGCCTTGCTTTTGGTATTGAGGGCGGCAAGAATAATCATACTGCTCGCTGAACCAACGCTTGCTGTCGCTGAGAAGGTGCTCTCTTGCGTTCCATCATGAAGCCGTGGAAGGCGATTGTCATTCCAGCTGACGGTGAGGATCTCGCCCACGGTACACATTATGTATACAACGACCACGACGTAAGATATCCATCTAGAAGGCCAACGGATTGCGTGTGCATCACGAGCTTCAAATGCTGCCATCGCATACAGCTCAATACCCTGAAACGCATAGGCGGTAATTGGGATGGCGAAACTAAACTTTGAGTTTAGATGATTTCAAAGTAAGAAGGAACTTTAGCGTACCACGCAGCATGGCCATAATTCTCGAAGCCCATGCCAGCCTCGAACTTGGGAGAGGAGGCTGCAATGTGTGAGTATAGAGTAGTATTTTAATTTGAAGAACACAACGTACCATCGGCGATTTCCTTGGTATCGCCTTGACCGCAATGTCAGCACAGCAACATCTGTAGCACGCGAGGGCCACTCACCATTACCAGCAATTGCATAAAGATAGATAGAAATAGATACTATCATTATAAGTTTCAAGAAGCCACCAATCGTCTCCACTATCCCATACCACTGTGTTGTGTGTCCATTAGCTCAGAGTCAACTGGGATGAGCGAGGCATCTCACAAAAACACCAGTCAAATTCAGCAGGAGGAACACAATTGGAGCCAGGGCGTAGCATATAAGCGCCCGCCAGGTAGTTCCTAACCCCCAGTACGCTAACAGCGACCCGGCCATACTATTCTGACTTGCAAAGGAGGCCGCATACGCATACCTTCAAGTCTTATGAGCGCTGTCACTGCAGATGAGCCGGCTTGTACATACCAATAGACGAATCCGATTACCCAGCCCAGGTCATCATCGACGAAAGTGCGGACATATTCAACAATAGCATTGTAAACCGGAAACTGTTGTGTGAGTTCGGCAACACACTCATTAACCGAAAGAACGACAACGCTCATGATCAGCGCTGCAAGAATCAAGCCCAATGGGCCTGAGATAGCAAGAGCAGATCCATTGTTCACAAAAATTCCACTTCCAATCACAGCGCTCAAAGTGATGAACTGGTTGGGAGTCAGACATGATTAGAATAATAGTTGGGAGCTGGGTGCTGACAAAGATCTGAAAACCGAAAAGCTCTTGCCTGGTGAGGAGGTATCAGCCTTGTGTCACAATACCTCGACTTGCAAGTTGAAAAGGCATACTTGAGTCTCTCTGGAGTTTCCCCTCGAACGGGCATTGCAGAAAATGATACACTGGACAGTGATTGTGCCAGCGGCAGAACGAATGAAGTAATGTCACGTCAAGATAGAAAGAACTGCGGCAAGGGGGATAAAATGATATGCATCATGGATAGAGCAACATTCAATTAACAAAGGCTTGCTGTGCCATGGTGCCATGACTGTGACAGGACACTGAGTGCTTCTAACCAGGAATACAGGGCTAAGCTGAGCCGCAAACAACCGATTGGGATTGGATTGGCTGTTGATAAGAGGGGCTGCCGAGCGTCTGCAACTCACGAGCCCGGGACGCAATGTTCGATGATTGTGTTCTTTTGCTGTCTAGCGCGAGTTCTGATTGGCGAAAAAAGCCAAGAAGCACCAGGTTCTTCGTAAAGGAAGTGCATCGGTCGCTGACTCGTGTATGCGACCAAGGGTGTATATAATCACGGTGCCGGGAGAGAGAGGCAGTGCCCGGCCTGCACGTTGTGGCCAGCATCTGACACCATGGCGACCTCCAATAAACTATATCAGCATGTACTTTCTCCCAGCGTCTCCACGTATATTGAGATGGCCGCCGATATTGTGGATTATCTGAAACAAAGATACGGAGACGACATTACGACCGAGGTGAAAGTAAGTCTGCGTTCTCCCCAGATGTTGTGAGTTCTATGAACGCTAACACTGAAGCGGCAGTTCATCCGTCAACGATGGGTTGTCTGGGTAAATCTGAGGATGGACGAGGCAAGTGCTTAGCGCTCTGTGTGACTAGTGAGGTGGGCTGAGCTAACCTTGAACAAAGGAGGAGTTGGAGTAAGGCTTTTGCCATAAATCTGCCTTGGATACAGGGCTGGCTGACAGGGAATGAAACAACTAGACAGATGGCACTCGAGTTGAAGGAGCGCGACGAGGAGGAGTAGGTGGCCAAGTGTGCAGTGCGGAGCCGAGTACGGTAGAGTACAAGGTTAAGGTGGCGCGGGGAAATCGGCACGAAGGCGAGGTTCGTGCGTCCGGCTGATTTGGGAAAGGGGGGGGGGGAATGCTCGAGTCTCGATGAATCCTGGTGGCTGAGCCTCACAAGGTCAGCCAACAAATTGTGAATGTGAGTGAGTGGTGAGTGAGTGAATGAGTGACAGTCACAAGGATTGGCCTGAGGCAATCAAGGCTTAGCTGCATCACTCCCCGATCATTGCCTGATAATCTGTAATTTCGTCATACTACTGCGATGAACAGAGTTTATAAATAGATTGATTCTGGCTCTAGACTCTCCTCGTCCTAGACAGATTTTTCGAATTCAAGGTCCGAGGAAGGATGGCAGCAACCGGACAGAACACGGATATCTGGCAAGCCTATCTGGAAGAGCTGCCCTCACACCATATCTCGTCTTTTCAGAATGCGATTGCTTTGGAGAAATTGCTCGCTACTCGCATTCCTTCAGTTCTTACATCCAAGGAAGAAATCCGCGTCCGAGTGACGGATGTCCAAAACGGTGGCAGTGATTCCATCCTCTGCGAAACCGCGGAAGCCCTGCAACGAGCTTTGACGTCCGACGATAAGGGGCTACGGATCATGTATATTTTACCCTCACTATTCTTGTTATATAGTCTATAATTAACTCAATAAACCAGTTCGATTCACTCCTCCGACTCAATCACCCCATTGAAAATCTCACCCAGGTTGCTGGCGTATTTATTGCGACGATATCACGTCCACCCGTCCTTTCTTCAGGTTCTGCTCTCATTCGGAAGCAACGTCAACGTTTCAGAAGCAGGAAACAGTCATGTCTATCTTGGTGGGCACGAGAAAAACTCATGTAGGTCGTTGAACAATTATTACTCATCGATCTCGTATTGCAGGGGCTCATCGTAGTTGTTGCAGACATCACATATCAGATCAACTACGTTGAGGAGAAACACCACCGGAAGACTCTGACTTGGTCGTGGCGTCATACCGGAGTATACCATCATCACTCTGGCGCAAAAGGTGGGAAGGCGTTTGATCTCTTCATCCTCCTCCACCCAAATGACGCCAGTGTTTTCGAACGAAGGATTCACAATGAGCTGCAAGTTGCAACAAGAATACTTGCGGGATCGAGTGGAGATTCTGAGCACAACAACTATATTCCCACAGCTCTTCACTCGCTTGCCTTGTCCTCATTTACTGGAAACTGGCGATGGTATTTGCGGGACCTAGGGAGGCAGTTTGAGAAACATGTAGGCTGTTGCCTTTTCAATCGCACTCGCTGTATCGTCTTACAAGATCAAAGTGGCTGATGATTCGTCTCAACGTGGAACTCTAATAGAACGACCTCGCTCTTACAGCTGTTCCCGAGGAAGCCACACCCCTAGAGAGCTATGACATGGTCTCTTCACTTCGAGACCTGAACGACTCTGTCCTGCGTGCTCAAGTGTGTTGTCGAGGAAACCTTGAGTTGGTAGAAAAGCTGAAAGCGGCGACAGCTTCTGGGGTGCTGACAACGGCAGATGATGTGTTGAGGCAGATTATGATTGAATACGACGCCAAGGGAACTGAGCTTCATGGCTATCTTGCAAGCTGCGATGAACTCATTCCCCGGATCCGGAACGCAATTGATTTGGTATGCCTTAGGAAGGACGAAACTCCCATTGGACAATTTCTGGGACATCACGAAGACTGATGATATCCAGGCCGGATATACCTTATCTCTTCACAACCAACTTGATACAGCGAAGATCGATCGCGAATTACGAGACCTCATCGGTCATCTCGAGATGTTACAGCGGGACTCGGTCGATGACAGCGCTGCAGTCAAAATCATAACTTTCGTTTCAGCAGTTTACCTACCCGGCTCGTTCATCGTCAGCCTCTATGGCATGAACTTTTTCGTGTTTGACACGGACGCCCGCCAGATCGTGATCGCCCACGATTTTTGGATTTTTATAGCCACATGGCTTCCACTAACGCTTGCGACGGGTCTCATATATGTTCTCATTGTTTGGTTTGATGCATGGTGGAAAAGAAAGCCATTTCGCTTGTTCGAGCGGCCAGTCAGGGCGACCAGAGTGGAGGCAGGTTTGGAGCCGCATGTCATAACTAAAAGCTGACAGGAAAGCTTCCAATGCTTATTGTGTACTGTCTGTGGTTGTTGGAGGGGCAATGCTGGATGTTGATGCCTGGTCTTCTCCCAATTTTATGGGGTATCGCTGAGCTTGACCACGGATATGTTATTCTTGGTGCATATCACAACCGCAATCATGGTTCCGTCCTTGTATGCCTGCATTGACAGTGCATCCTTGCAGACTTTCGGCATTTTACACAACAGCCTGCCTGGCTGGCTCAACTGATTTTGATCATCTGCCCAGGTGAGTGCGTATTTCATCAGACGCACATCGGACCGCACGATTCCAGGGACCGTCATCCCAAGCAGCCATTCGTCGCGCAGTAAACATCCCATAGTTATTTTCAAGTGCTCATTGTGTCGTTCAATGCCCGGAAGACCCGTACTATCCTTGCTTAAAGAGACCGCAAGGTAGTCCTTCCGGTCATGTCTTGCAAGGATACATCCGGAGTGGAAGTTGTATGGAATGATGGTGGTGGGCTGATGGCCACGTGCCTGCTGTAAACTCATTAGAACACCCGAAGACAATCACTAGGAAGGTTGAACTAGGCATACCAGGCTATAGTGAACCACATGACAACGGCTAGAGGGATTGTTATTCTCGATTCTCCAGACATACAAAGACTCTTGTCTGCTCCCAATAGCCCATGCGAACAACATACTACCCTGATCGTTGAATATTGCTTGGGTAAACGTTTGATCCAGCTCTCGTTCGCTGAATAAGCATTGACTCTCAAATTGGGATGTTTGCGACCGCAGCAAGATCTCCTTGTCACGAACCAGAGCAAGTATTCCCTGAGCCGATATTGCCACCGAGCTAATGAATCCTATATCCGATGGAAGCATCGACAATGGGTCAGATGTCGTATCCCCGATGTACACCTGAGATCTGTCAGTAGCATGTCAAATCTTGTAGGATATACGTACACGTCTTTTCATGCTTTTCTTGCAGTCTCCCCAAGCTGCAAAATATCGGCCTTCAATTGCGACTCCTACACTTCCACTTCTCCATTCATCAGGGAGCAAGTTTGTCCTGCATTCATGTGAGCCACTATGTGAGATGCTGATCTGGGTGAATTCAATCCGATTTCTATAGATCATTGCGACTGGCACCGTATCCTGTACCTTAGATCGAGATATAGCAGCGGCAAGTATGCCACTACTACTGTGCGGTAAGACGGTGTGGCCGTAGGTGGAATCGACAGGCGTGTTTTGAGTAGGCGTCTGGCTAAAAGTGCTGGACGCGCTCCGCGTCCCTGTTGTGGACAAGCTTGGGCTGGAGATGTCCGGGAATATGCCTGAAACGTATGCAGGAGTGACTACTAACTCTGGAGGCTCATACCGTCGTAGTAATGGCAGACCTGACTCCTGCATATCGCGGGTGGTCAACATTTCACAAGCGTTGTATAGACCTCCCACAATTTTCTCGAGTTTTGCCGCACCAGGCCTGTCTGCTTTGCTGACAATCAATATCTCTCTTGCGAGCTTCTGGGCCCAAATCCTCACAACAGGATTTGTCGGAAATCTTTGAGTCTGGAGGTCATTCAGCCACCTGGCCACTGCGCCGCATAATCTGAACTCTTTCTTGCCAGGGAATAGCGTATTGGGAGTGATTTCTTCCCAAAAGGCATCCTTCTGGCCCCGTCGCGCTCTCGAGTAAGCAAATTCCTCCACCTCTCTTCGTCCCCCAATCGCCCATGCAAGGACCTCAGAGAACACGCATCCAAAAGACCATATATCGCTGCGGCGCCCTGCGCCTTCGGTTTCAACTGAGTCGCCCTTCATATGAATCCCTTCAGGGGGTTGGTATGTTCCTAATTGCGGGACTGCTAATCTGTCAATTGTCACCTCGCGATAAAGATCTCTGATGCTCAGTGCATGCGCTCGACTATGGCGATCATGCTCAGCGACGGAAATCCCAAAATCTGAAATCACCCACTTCCCCACGGTCGAGCTAGAATCCTTCATGATCAGAATTTTGTCAGGCTTGAGATCCATGTGGGCGCACTTGATATGCTTGGTTTTGATCTTGATTCCATTGTGCAGCCAGTCCAGAGCCGAAGCTAAAGCCCAGCATTGATACAAAAGAGGCTTGTAATTATCCGGTGTCGAGTGAGGCGCAATGAGTGGGAACCGTCGGCGGAAATCGTAAATTCCCGCACCATCTAAGAGAAATTGGTCTAAGTCACCTAGCTCTGCGTATGGAAAGAGGATATAGTACTGCGGCCCATGTGAAATGGTGGTGAGATGTTGCAAGATATGAGCCTGGTTTGTAAGGCTGCTCTTGAGATTTTGCAGGTTTGCCAACTCAGTTTCGAAGTCCTGTAGCTTCCTGACACCTTCGAATCGTTTGCAAGCAACTTTATAAGGGTACTCAAAATCGGCTCCTCGACTTAGTTTCAGGTAACGTGGGGCGATTTTCACAAGCTCTACTACCCCAAAACCGCCAGACCCAATCAATTTTGGTGTGGATAGGAAGGGTAGACGACGACGTGCATCGATTAGTTGCAATGGTGGGTCTCGATCGCAATGTATTTCGGCCGGGCAGAAGGCCCATTGGTAGTCATTAAATAGAAAGAAGAGCTCCGGTTCGAGTGATAAGAGCTGTCGTATCTCCCGATCATGCAGCGGGAGGTTTGTATCGTTAATCTCGTCAGTATAAAGGATGGCGTGAAACCTTCCAATGGTTTTGATTGCTCTGATATAAGTCAGGATAGATAAAACGGCGACGCATTCACGCTGTACTCGGCGTATGTCTTGCGATGAAATCGGATTGGGACCAAGCAAGGTATGCAGCCGCGCCTCGTCTTGCCATATTTCCAGCAGGGCCTGGCGACAGATAAAGCGCTTGGAGGGTTCATCTCCTTGCATGAAGTGCTGGCGCAGCTCTTCGTTGACCCGTTCCACCAGGTCCCGCCGTCGAGCCTTGAAGTCAAGACTGGATAAGGACATATGAACAGAAAGAGGCCAAATTTGTGAACATCTCTAGGACGATAGAAAGGTTGAAAAAGGCAGGTTTCTTGATTATTGTCAGTTGCGTATCAGGTTGAATGCGGTTGACTCACAGGAGAAGGCTGAAGGGGTAGAAAGAACGGAGAAATATTTCGAGCAGAGAACAAATCAAGGCGATAAGACATCATGTTTTGTCAGGTGCCTCGGCGGTGCGTAGACATCGTAAAGCTTCCAATAAGAACATGGCAGCCACAGCCTCGTCCGGCCGTCACATGACTGGAATAATGGCATAGAGAGCACTTCTGAACTTGACATGCCTGTTGCATTTCAGGTTGCTCAGGAAAGCAGTACAATAGACTTCTATACTCTCTACTGGTCTGCAGTATATCTCATAGGACCTGAAATATGGACCTTAGACCATACGCTACAGCTCGAAGGGTCCAGATGAGTATAGCCTCATTCTTGGCGCGGATGTGATCTACAAACCCTACTATATAGACCAATCCTAGATGAAATCATCCTGGCACCACACCAGTTAGAAAGTTCCTTGATGCAGAAACAGCAAGATACCTTTCTCTCTATTGAATATAGGGTATAATTGTGCAGAACAAGCTGTATGATGCCCCAGACGCGACCTTGAAGTGACGCGTTCCTCAGATATCAACGTGAAAACGCGCTAGAGTGTATATCCACGTTGCGGTGGGTTGAATCCTCTTTGTCCTTCTTTATCTTCTTTTCATCCACAATCACCATTCCGCATCCATCAAGCTTTAGCATTCAGAATTTACAAACCAGCCTACAAAGAACATCAAATCCAGTTACTTACTATGGGTTTGTTGTGGGCCTCAATGGTCACAATCTTCCTTTCCATCCTACTGAGCGCCACAGCACAGATCCTCTAGTAAGTCGGCCTCTGTGAGAGGCTGAAGTGAGCTGACACGGTCGCGCTGGTTGCAGTGACCCCGATACCAACATTGTGCTTTGCCGCCAGAATGGTGGAAGTTACTGCCTTCACGGCTCGCTCAAGGGGCCTACTCTGATTAGTTGTGCTTCGAATGTGTCTGTCGAGATTTATCCCTGTAACATCCTGTAAGTCGTTCCTTGTTCCCTGAATTCAAAAGGCACTAAAGGCTCACTGCAAGCGCGACCAGGCTTTCTAAGGTGCTCCCAGATGAGTACAAGCAAGCTGCGACCTGTAAGTCTATCCTTACCTCTTATCAGCTTATACTACTTTTCCCTTAGATAGACTATTGAACTGACGCTTTAGAAGGTCATGAAACTTCTCCCTCGGCCGGCGACGCTCTCTGCGCCTTCAACGGTACCGGCTACGTTCTCTCCAGCCCCGTTCTTCCGGTTTCCGTTCCCGACACTCTCCTCTGTGAGGACACTCAACAGTTTGGACAAGGAGAAGCTCCCAACGTTAGTAGCACTGCTGTTGTCTACGGACCGTCTACCTCTCCCCAGAAAGATTGGCCTTCAAATTCTGTGCCACGACTTACGCGCACTTCGACCGCCTACACTACCATCACAGTCATCGCATTGAGCACAACCTTGGAAGTCCCTACAGCCACCTCTACCACCAATCCCACTCTGTTTAAACGAAACTATCCCTGTCCAAACCCACGCACCGAATCCTCTTCGACCGAGTGGCCTACCCCCACCCCCGTGAGTCTCCATGAGCTGGCTGAACTCTCAACTCCCGAAGCATCCCCCTCCCTAACCTCCACCCGTCACCTGTCCACCTCCACTTCGACAATCTACATGTACAAAGGCTCCGTGGTCCCTGCAACCTTCTCTCCGCAGGAAACCGGCACTGCTAGCCGCATCACGGTGGTTATCACTTTCACCGCCAAGGCGTCAAAAACCACCGTCACTGATGAGAGCCCCGACCTCACTACGCTGACAGGCAGTCATTCCCCTACCCATAAAGGGGTGGTAAATTCCGGCTCCGCGGAGGTGGTCACGGCGTCCCTGTGGGTATTGGGTTGCATCATGGTCTGCATGGCGCTTATCTGCCTGTGGATGATGTGGGACGACGACTGATGCTGTGCTGATGAAGATCCGGCGTTTCCGGTGTTGCTTCTTTTGTGGAAGTTTATTCTGTCTTCTTGCTTGCGGAATGTTTCAGCGGGCGTTTGTGGAGTTGAAAGACGGATTTCTACCGATCTTGATGATGTTTGACTAACATATAATGGAATTTATGGTCTCCAGCAGGAGTTACATCATGTGTTGATAGCACATAAGCAAATCATACTTAAAGCTGATTGCAGTTCATATGATGTGCTCATATCTTCTGAACCTAGCCCGGACTAGCAAGTACAGACCTTGATATGTAGCTGTTTCTTTCGCAAGGGACCTTTACTAACACATCCTGATCAGATGTGCACAGTTTCCACCCACAGACCACGCCTGAGTTGATAAGATTCTATTAACCGAAGTGATACGAGGCACCGTCAACTACCCAGGCGTTGGCTTGCAAACCAAGGTGCATCATCATGTTAATGATCTCAAAATCTTTGTGGCTAAGCAGTCGCTTTTCAAAACAGTTTTGATTATACACATATCGAATATGGAGTATATAGTATGCCCACAACAGTGTTTAGCCTCCAAATCCTTCTTTCACCCCTCTACCCTCTATCAGCCCCTTCTTCATCCCAATTAAAACACAAAATGCAAGCAACATACACTACACTACCCAATCCGAACAACATTACACACCGTATTTATCACCCCCACCTTGCAACTCATAATCACCCCTACCGCCCAGAAGATGGGTAATCTCACTCGGATGAAAGAAGTTGAACACCGCCATCGCCGAGAAAATCAGCACCGCATCGAACAGATAGAGAAAGACCTCATGATGCAACAAATACCCATCATTACCTTGCAAGTACTCGATCAACCGGAAGACCGACCGCACCATGATCAGAAAGCTGGTGAGGTAGAGGATGTTGAGGTGCTTGCGCCAGGGGATGGACGGATCGCGACACCGCGGGATGGGGTATTTCTTCAATTTGCGATCGAATGCGCCGGCTGTGACGATGAAGAAGCCGAAGAAGAAAATCTGCACAAAGAGCCCGGCGACGATGATGTGTTCGCCGGTTTGCATGCCGGAGAGGCCGCCGCTGGCTTGGATGCCGCCTCCTTTGCGGGGTGTCAGGACTCGATTTGGGGTTGTGGGTTTCAGAGTGAAGAGAGGTAGGGGTGAGGCAGACAATGGGATGGCTGAACTTACCCGCGCCTTGGAGGAAGAATGAGAGGACGTCTCCGGTGACGAAGATCTTGGTTAGCCACTTCTTCCGGAGGATGGCGTGGGACTCTGCACCCAGGATCAGGATGATCCGCCCGAGGAGCATGTAGATTGAGGCGGCGAGGAGGGCGGGAGCCAGGAGGAGGAATAAGGTCTGCAAGAGGTAGGGGCCTAGGGTCCAGTTGGGCGATTCATGACTCGAGAGACCACGGCCAATATAACCTACTATTTCGACTGGTGGAAGTAAGCATGTTGTTGTGGGTGTAGTATTGATTGCGCGGAGGTTATTGACTGACAAATGCCCCCTACCACGAATGGAATGAAGAACCATGTTTGCGTCCGGCATAGCTGAGCAACATGCCATATTGTCGTGATTGCGAAGAGTATGGTAAATATGACCGCACCAGCCATGCTGGGGTCGTACCGGTAGAATGCGAACACAGCGGCAGCATTGGTGTTGTTGTTGCTGCTGCTGCTGTCGCTGCTCATTTTCAGTGATTCGGCAAATAAGTAGATCGGCAAGAAGGGTTAAAGAGAATCGGAAGAATAGAAAGAGTCTCATGAACCAGGTATATATGTAAGCTTGAATGTTCTAAGAATGAGTTGTCATGCTGGGCGTAAAGATTGCTAGGGCTGCAAATCGTTTCCACCTCGTATATTCGTATCGCCATGTTTCGCCGCCCGCGAGTCTCTCGTCGCCCAGCCCAGCCACGAAACAAACCGAATGCGAATGCCCAAAGAGAAATCCGAACAATAGATACAGGATAGGTATGCCATTCCGTTGATTCCGAATCTTCCGCCACGACAGTATCCCTTCTCCAAGATTGATTTTATACATAATGACTTACGCCCGTCACTGTACCACGCTCCTGACACCGATGGAAGTACCTTTCTCGCATTCTTTTGCTCTGTTAAATAAGTAACACCATTTCCTATCAGAAATTTCTCAGTACATGTGAGCTGAAGGCGAGGATGTTCTTCTTCCTCTCCTCGCCAACACCGTCGCTGACCCCAGCGATGACGGGTAGTGTATGTGCGGCATTGGACCTCTTGGCCCTCCGTAATAGCCAAATGGCAGAAACAAGATCCAACCTCCAGACAAACTCACTATCAGCTTCAAGTTCATTAGCATCGCCTTCCATCAAGTCATCAGACTCTGCATGTTCCATGCATAGTATGTCGGACACACCATCACCACCACTAGAGGCTGGACCTTTACGGGACCAAGACAGTGGCTCGCGTTTAACAAAGGAAAGGAGGCGTCGCGTCCGACACCATAAATCCCGCAAGGGGTGCTTCACTTGTAAGCATCGGAGAGTAAAAGTCGCAACACCTTTCTCTGACAGACTAGAAATAGATGCACTAACAGGTCAATCCAGTGCGACGAGGTACAGCCTATCTGTGGTGCATGCGCGTTTCGCGGTGAATCCTGTTCATATCCTCTATCAGCACTATCCACGTATGCACATTATCTGGCTGGTATCATCATTTTCCATGAACAAACTAACACATCAAGCCTAGTTCTGCGCCATCTAGGTCTTCTCAACGATCAGACTCCGCAGCAGATCCCTTGCAACCATTGGAATTTCGTCGTCAAGGACTGTCCGCAGAATCCCCTCTGCTCGACCAAGGTATCAATCTAGCCGACTTACGACTCCTATCAAGGTTCATGATGCACACATCAAGAAAAATGACCCTCAATGCGGCACGCAAATATGTTTGGGAGCAGGTGATCCCAGACATGGCGACGAAAAAGGAGTATCTGATGCATCTACTCCTCACTCTCTCCGGCGAGCATGTTCTATATCAAGCCCACGTGGCGGAATCAACCGTCTCAGGCATAGACGACAGCCAGGCTTCTTTGGCTGCCTACAGCCAACAGGAGCTTCAGCTTGAGTATCACCGCGTCATTCAGCATCATCAAAAGGGCCTCGAGGGATTCCGCCAGGCCCTGAACGATATCTCTGCCGCCACCGCCGAGTATGTCTTCTGCGGGGCACTTCTCATTATCGCTATCGCCTTTGCTTCAATATCTACCAGAAATCAAGATTGCACCGCCGGGCTGGCTTTCAGCCAAGCCGAAGATGACCAGAACCCGTACATCCACTGGCTGCATCTTGTACGCGGCCTGACAAGCGTAGTTGAGGGGCACTGGTTCACTCTCAAGCGCGGACGATTACGGACCATGTTGTTCTACACGCACGCAAACGACGATTGGAAGGTAGCTGTACCGGCCATTTCCTCATCGCAGTTTCCCCGCTTGAGGTATGCCCCGAAAGTCTTCCACGTGTTTGCCCAAGGTGCCTGCCAAGCTCTTCAAATGCTTCGCATCTTTGCAGGGACACTGTCCCCGAGCCAAGAGGCCACAACGTCCATTGATGGGGATAGCTTCGGCAGACCTCAGCAGTCCGACAACCACGAACAACCATCACCCAACGAAGCGGCCGATAACAGTCCACAGCACGACCACGAACAAGACGAATACCCAGAACACGACCACCTCCACGCCATCGACAGACTAGAAGAGATCTACATGCGCATCCTCTACGCCCTGCAATTTTCGCGAAGCGAGCGTGACTTTCCGGCCTCCCTCGACATTCAGAACGATATTGAAGACAGCGCCGTGAATTCCTGGCCCTGTATGCTTTCGGATTGCTTCTTTGACAGCCTCAAGCGTTCCGCTCTTGACCACCTGGGAACCGCGGAGGGATTCTCGTACACGATCCTGGCTCATTTCTACCTTGTCTCAATCCTACTTCAAGATGTGTGGTATCTCAACAGCGGTTTTCGCTCAGAGATTCAGAAGATCATCCGGCTGGTGAGCCGACTAGAGAACGAGGCACTAAGTGGTTTATTGACGTGGCCAATGGCCGTCATCGCGGAGTCTCGATGAAGCGAAATCTGCCTCACTCACCTTTTTGACCTTCTCTTCTCCCGGGTTAGGATTTCTCCTTTTCTCTCTCTATTTCCCATTTCCCTCGCTCTCCCTGGTTGGAAGGCAGATTTCATACTTTTCGTAACCCCATCCATGATTCGCATACAATACCATATACCCTCCGCACCTTGTCCAGCATACTCAAAAGTCTGCAGGCTTCTGTGGGGCGAAGATTCGCTCGGGTGGCACCTGAATAACCTTTTCTGCCTCCATTGGCCCTGGTTCTCCACACATGCGGAACCAGAGTTTCGTGACTGGGTGACTTCCTGGTTCCAACTGTAAGCTTCTTTTGAACGAATATACGAATATACGAATCCTTGCAATGTCGTCATAATCGAGTCGGCCATGAGGAACTTTTCCCCAAGTGCAACGAGATCCTTTTCTTTTTCTTTTCCCTATTTTGCCAAGCTCGTTCTCGGCCACTAGTCACGTTAGTCGACCTCGGTAGAAAGAATGCCTCAATAGAATGAACCAAGACGAGCATTTCCTAGTACTATAGCAAGTTTACTGCGCCCGCTACACTTGTTTTTCTTGTATTCGGAAGACAAAAAAGCAAACGCTCCAAGGAAATCAATCTCCAGGGTGATACTTTTGGTCAATTTCAGCACACTATTAGGAAATTTGTAACCCTCGAGAGTACACAAAGGGCGAAAGAAAGAAAGGGGAAAACGGAGAAAGGAGAAAACGAGAAGAGGAAGCTGAAAGCAAGAAGGATTATATGTGTGACAGATAAAGTATCAAACAGAATCGACCCTGTACGCGTCGCGTTTCGGCCCCTCTAAAAACGACCCAGGGAACACAAACCCCAACACCATCCCCGTCCCGGCCATCAGCAACGCGTCAAAGATATACAGCAGATACTCGCGGTGCATGATCCACCCGTCGTTGCCTTGCACGAACTCGACCACGCGGAAGATAGACCGGATGAGGATCAGCGTGCACGCCGCATACAGCGCCCACATCAGCCCACGCCACGAGAGCCGGCCGCTCTGGGATTTGAGGGCTGTGGTTGTGGAAAGGGAGGCACACCGCCAGTGGAAGAGAGAGGCTACGAGCACAAAGAATCCAAAGAAGAGGAGCTGGATCGCGAGGCCGGCGATGACGATGTGTTCGCCGGCGAGCATGGCGGACTCGGTTCCGGCGGCCATGTATCCGCCTCCTCCGCATTGCAAGATGAAGGAAATGACATCGCCCACGACGAAGATCTTGGTTAGCCACCGGACGCGGATCAGGGAGGCGGACTCTGCGTTAAGTTGGGTGATGAGGCGGCCTAAAGTCATGTAGATGGAGGCGGCGAAGAGAGGCGGTGCGACGAGGATCAGCATCGTTTGAGTGATGTAGGGCCCCAGGGCTTGGGTATCAAAGTGCGAGAAGATCCGGGCAATGTAGCCGGCGGCCTCGACTGCAATATCCCAATGGGTTAAGTTAGTGTACAGCTCATCTTCTGGCATACAAGAATGGTGGTCGTACAGATAAGCCCTATCAAGAAAGGGATGAAGAAGAATGTCCGGTGCCGGACTATGCGATAGATGAAGAGAATGGCAAGCACGCAGAACACCACGGTAAAGACCACGGCTGCCGCAATCGAGGGCGTGTAGCGGTACAGGGCAAAATATACAGCATCGTGCTCTGTATTTGGACCGGCCATGAGTGTATAATGCAAGACAGTCCGTAGTGACGGTACGTTTATATGAAAGGTGAATAAATAGTATAGCGTCACCCTTCGTCTATTGCTCTGGTGCTGCAGTCAAAAAGGAACTGGGCCATTTGCAGGACTGGAGGTTGAGAAGCCATTTTAAAGCAGAAAATGTGGAGGATTCTTCCTCCTCGTGGCAATTTGAGCATACTATGGTACCTCGAGCTAAGAAAATATATTTTTGATCTTATTCTCGTAGAACCATAAACCATGGCGCCTGTGTACCTGAGAGGAAGTGGGGCGCAGAACTGAGTTTCCGGCGGGGATCCGAACCCTAGAGAGTCTATATTTACGAAGATACGGATATACGAGCGTACGAACATACGGATACTCATTGCCATCGTCGACCCAGGGTCGGGCCCTTCCAACTTATGAATAACCCCGTCTCAAGAATATTAAAAACATTTACGAATCCACTTATCCGAGTTTTGTGGTAGAATGATAGCGTTCACACCTTGGAGTCTTACTTTTAGTCTATTTGAACATATATTTACGTATAGATGTTCATCTAATCAAAGGTTCCTTCTATTGTCTTATATTGAGGCAGTTGGTCTAGAAAGTGCCTGGAATTGCGGCAATTGAAGCTTTTCACTTTACAAAGATTGACTCAAGATATACCTACTCACGTCTTGATTATGGTATAGGATGTAGCTATTTTATCTGGTGTTCAGATCTCAAAGTCTGATCTTTCAGTATCTAACTTGGTTATAATACATCCGAAGAATAGGTTTTGTTTGTATTTGTTGTTGAGTTGAGGTGGAATTATGGGCGAGGTGGCGGCGATGATGATGCGGGTATGCGAATGAGCGAGAATACGAATATACGAGTGTACGATTGTACAAAGAGAACAGATAATTAAAATGTAACAACCTCACCGTCATCAACTATTGCCCTCGGCATGGGCAACCAATTCCCCTAGCACTTTCCCTCCCCGCCTCCTCGAAAAAGAGCCTTTCTCCCACGAACCATGTCTCTAGGCGAAAATCCGGACAGTCGTGACATCCACTCTCGGTAGCGAGTGTATCTGACTCAGATCACGTGGTTCAAATCGAGAAAAATAGGTTTGTCCTGGGTTCCTGGGTGAACATACTACGGAATATACAGAAGCCTTGTCGTTGATTTGCGTCTTGCATTTGGTTATAAAGTCCTAGTGTGCTTTCTGAAACTTCCATTTTGTATGTATATAGGATACATTGTCCGACATTAGCGTCGGGACCACGTACAGAGTGCCAAACAGTAGCAAAGAGGTCGTAATCAGCAATGTAGTCAAGGCTGAGAAGGCGACTCAAGCTCCAGGCCACGTGGGCCCGATCAGGTGATTCGCGATAACTATTGATCAAGCTCTTTTCGACGGCGCCGGGCATAGCAGCAATAAAACCATCAGTGAACGAGGTACGTAAGTCTGAACTAATTCAATTGCATTATTGTGGTAATCCTGAAGCGGCTAACAACATGGATTCAGGGATAGATGAAGCAAAGGCCCAGTCAATTATGCGCGTGATATTATAGTCGTCATCGACGTATATGTTATTGACACTCAGATCAGCGTGGCACAAGGGAAACGTCTCCGGGATGATGGCTGGAAGTTGACCACCATGTAAAATGTCGCGAAGAGCATTGCCGACATTGCTGTAATCCAGTCTGTTCTCTGATGAGTCTAATTTGCGTCCAACGGTCACGAAGTCGTTCCATAGGCTCACAGCGCCCTTGTATTGCATGCCGGACTGGTAATCCTCGGGCGAAGGAACAGGTGCCACGAAGCAATGATGCGACAACGGCAGAGCCTCTGCGTGCTCCACGAACGCGGAAATGAGGCTGTCCCAGAACTCTGTCTCAGAAGTGAAAGGCCCACGCGAGGTCTCCAGATCGTATCGTTCATGTAAGATGTGACCACGCGAGAGACATTCCTTCATTTGGAAGAACCCCTCTTCTTCGAAAAGTGAGCCGATCCTCTCAAAGCGCAACTGGGAGAGCTTCCAGGTAATGCCGCCCAATGTGTGAGAATCTTTGCCTTGATGGATGTGTCTAGGTCACGCTGAGGAGAGCCCGCCGGCTTCCAGACTTTCGAGATTGGCCATCCCGGCGCTTCGCTCATGAGAATAAATGGGATACCAATATTGTTGTCAGAAGAAGCACTACTACAGATTAGCACAGGTAAGATTGTGTGGTCTGAGAGGGTCTCTTACCGGTAGTCGTACATTGTTGGGACTGGGAGATCGCTATGTGCCCTCAAGGTCAAAGTCGGAGTAAGTAAATATGTCTGGCATCGTATCTCGGAATGTTGTAACCACAGGGATTTTGGTATGGAAGGAAAATCAGGTCAAAAAGAGGTTCGCTGCTCTTGCAGCTGGAAATCGAGTATTGTACTCTGGGAGACGTTGATTAATGGAAGCGGTGAGACCTAGCTTCTCCTCCCTTTTTCACCCTTGATTGTATTCCTTTCTTCCTGTTCTATGAGCAGAGTTCTGATCGCACTCTTCAATGTTGTTCGAGCTACTTGTTGCAGGAGCTAGCTGCTCAATGTGTTTCGTCATTGATAATGTCCAAGGAGAATGATGATCCCCAGCTGCTGGTCGCATTCAGCATCCAGGTTTCCGGTCTGCAACAGCCCTCTCACTAAGATCTTCCTGGATCCAACTTTGAACTTGCGATACCACCTCACCAACCAGCCGATCATAGTGCCCGCCGTTGGGCAAAAACATTGACTGGTGTGCCGTGACTTCGTCCATATGCTCCATCGGCACCGGGATCCAGAGTGAATCGTCTCCGTGCTTCCAATGGTGTGACGGCAAAAGTACGAATTTGCGTGGCTTGCCGGTGTATCTCTCCTTTCTCGTCGGCGTAGCGTTGTTGCGTTGACAGGTTTCTAGACTGATGTTGAGTGAGTCGCTGGAAGCAGCCATGCTATTTCCCTTCGTCGACAGCACCATTCCATCCTCGGCATCACCAGGATCCTCCGATCCTCCCAGGGTGGAAGAGGACGTGGTGAGTTCCAGCTTGTCTGCGGGAACTACCAGCGATTGCTCTTCCGAGAATACACTCCACGTCTGCAACAAGGCCGTCTCCAATGTTGTATCAGCAGGCTCGGTCTGTGCATGACTCTCGTGTTTCAACTCCCGCGGGACCTTCGTTCTGATGGTGGCTGTGCTGAGGGTATAATAATTGATCCAACGAACTCGACGCGGACTCTCCTCCGTTTCCAAAGACATGAGTTGCCGATACCGTCGACGCAACTGCCTGTAGTTGTTGAGGCAGCCAGCGAATCGGTACGAAGACACCATGCGCTTGTAGATCGACCGTGGTAGATGGTGATGGTTCTTGTGGACGAAGTGAAGCATGCCATCAATACGATCTCGCTCCACGAGATGCACGTCATTGGCGAATGGCGGGTCGAATCGTGGCCCCGCCGATGCGGCGGCCGTTGCAGCACAAAGATCGATATCGCTCAGGGTAGCATCTTGCTGGACTATTGCGGCTGCGTCTTGTTTAGGCTGCCACAGCCCGCGAAGCCCCGTTGGGATCACATGTGGATGCAGCCCTAGGAATGGAACGTCAAAGTTGACCAGCCCGAGAATGCGATGCGAAGATTGTGAGGCTAACGTGCTGGGTAGGAGAGCAACATCGGCTGCGAGGATGCCCCCGAGACTATGGCCCAGTAGGATCACGTCGAGATCATCGTCTACGTGTGGTGACAACCTGGAATGTAAGAAGTAATTAGCTCGAGTGTTATGTGAACGTACTCCTGCTGTGACAGGTATTCACCTACCATTCACGAAAGTTCTCAACCGCTGTGCGTATCTCGCCGCGAGATTTATATCGCGGATATATGCGAGTGTATATCAGGTGCGACTCGCTCAAGAGATCAGTCAGGGAGGTGTGTACATGGACTGGGAAATCGGAGAAACTGGCTTCCGAGCCTTCGAAGCCATGGATGTGGATCAGAAGCAACCTTCGCTTAACCAGGTGCTGAGGTGATGTAGGCCGCGGGAGGGACAGACTTGAGGAGGAACTCATTCTGTGGTCGGTGCAAACGAGTTGTGAATATGTGGTCGAGGAGGGATGTAGTAATAGCAGACATGACTGATTATGTGTCAAATCAAGCACGCTTGTCACTCAGATATATGAGGTAATTCTATGCTGCCTGTGGGTGCAGTATTAAGTTCTGTAAGCACAGCCTGGGTTTGGGCAGTGTGACTCCACAGCAGCCAGCCACTCGGAAGGCTTCAAGCGGCAACGGGGTCGGCCCGATATTCCTATATTTGGATTCGAATGCGAATACGAACTCCGGTCGAGTAATTCTTTCGCAAGAGTTAAATCTATGAGGTGTTGTCGGATGAACCAAATTTGTCTTCCCGAGGGAAATTCAATGCAGGCAATCAATGTAGGCAAGAACCATTGTAGACGTAACCGACAAATCACAAGCTCCCATACGCCTGCTACATCCAGCCCAGATGGAGGGTCAGAATCACGCTAAGAGTTTCTAAAGGGGTAATGATTCAAAAAAAAAAAAAAAAAAAAAAAAAAAAAGAAAAACCCACGGCTTCTTTCCTTTCGATGCTAGTATTTTAGGATCTGAATGACCGCCACCCACCCTGATACAAAAGTATTCCCCACTCTGGAGTTTTCGGCCCCTCAAAACCTCAATATCTCTAATTTGAAAAGGGGCTTAAAGATTGATCTTGGCACCCACGTGATTAGAAGAGCTCTAGGGGGGTTAGAAAAGCCCCGGTGGGATTAGGGGGTACTGTAGCATAGTCACATAATCATAATCGCTGGCCCCCTCAGGACTGGTAGCCTTCAGATGAGAATACAGCTAGTAACCTGACAAGTTGTAGTAAGCGGAAAACGGCATTTCACTGAGATCCGTGTATGCTGATCTTTGCGGGGAAGGCCAAGCGCTAATGCATGTACACATTACATGTATACTGCCTAGTCGCAAATGTGCTTGGTAAAAGTGGAACTAGATTTGATGGTTTCAGATCTTCCGGGTAAGGCTTTGTGTATACTACAGTCAACAGTATGGTTGTTTGGTTGGGCTGTAAAATATTTACAAGCTTAATATATATAATGCTTTTAGGTGTGTATACCCATCCTTTGGGGGATTTCCCTTAAATTCGAGTTCGCTCAAGGGCTGAAGACAGCAAGGAGACGGGCAGATGCCTCGCCACGGAAATCATCATGAAGTTGGCCTTTGCGAAATCAGCAAATATGCTGGAGGAGAGCCCCACAATTTTTGAATCGTGGTTTCTTGCTGCATTCAACGCGGTGGCCCCTAGCGTCTGGAAATTGCAGGAGCGGCCACTTGTTTGGAAAGCCTTAGGACTTGTGCCACTGGGGGTCGTCAACCGCACGGATGGATCCCGAGATTGCAAATGTGGTTAAGAAGTTGTAGTTGTCCAAAGAACTCTGTTTAGTACTAATCATAGCTTACTAGAAATCAGGATCATCTAGGCTCTTCTTCCTTTACTATTTTTTCTCGCTATCACAAATGGTTCTTTAGTAGCAGTTATATAATCAAGCAGTCCATTGACGAATGAACAATTCAGCTTGGAAGCTATCATAGAGAAACTAACTAAAGGCTAACGCATGCAGCAAGTAGGCCCAGCCAAGGGGGCCCGCAACTGGAACATGAAATGACAACAATATCAATCGCGACATGCCGTTTGTTCCTCCAAAATCTCGCCCGGACCAGTCGCCTCTGCCAAATCTGGTTAGCTTACAGCTTTCATAAAGTCAACAGGTACAATCACAATGGGCGCCAGGACCGACTCATCTTATCTCTAGTCTTAGCATCAATGCTTTTACCATCCATGCTTTCAACATCTGTCCATTCACTGTCCGTGCTCTCAACATATGTCCTTTCACTGCCCATTCTCAGCATCGGTGCTGGTGCTGGTGTTGAGATGACTTGACGCACGCATTCGCCTCTTCTCTGAACTGATAATCGCGCCCCCAGGTGCTACTACAACGCCCGTGAGAAGTGCCAAACAGCTCGGGAGCCAGTAGGGTCTGTTCGATTGATTCAGCGCCCACATGCACACAGCGAGACACAGACTCCGAACGGAATTGAGTGCATAGCTCCAGACCACCACGTCCATCTTCCACATCGGAGTCGGTGGTCTTCCTGGTCCCACTGCTTCTTCGTCTTCTTCCTTCTCCACCTGCTGCTGCTGCTGCTGCTGTTGCTCCTCCTCATTCAGCAATTCGGTGGCAGCGGAGGAGACTTGATCATCGAGCCTGAACCAGCAATCATGGATCCAGGCGAGAGTGGCCAACACCTTCTGGCGCGTGCGGAGCGAGCCACCCAGTCTCCAGCGACTCCACAGATACATGTTCCGAGTGTTACAAATGGCGAGGGCGAAGCCCGGGAAGTAATTATGAGCGTACATGACCTGCAAGGTAATCTCGACCCACTTCTGGCGGGGGGAGTTGTCGGCGTCGCAGGTGGGGTGGCACATTCTTTGTGGTGGGATCTCAAGTAACCAGATGTGAACCCCCATCCACGCGAAGTAATGCATACAGAAAATGGCGACAAAGAGTCCTCGGGGTGAGCAGGTCCATTGTCGTAACGCTCGGCCCTTGGCCGTCCAGTAACTCGTAGAGACCATGCCTCTAGCTTGAGGTGGATGGTATTGAGATAGTAGATGGAGTGTGGATCTTCGACCAAAAAGTTCAAGAATTCTTTAGTGGAGGGCGAAAGAAAGAAGTGTGTGGATGAGGTCGTCGAGTAGAGTGATTGTGTGCGGTTTCAGAGCAGAAGGGAGATAGCTGACGGGACACCGTAGAAGAGCAGAATGAACGTTATCGAAAGATGAAAGTATCAAGGCAACGGCTGAAAACACCGCCCTCTTGGCTGGTGAGAGCGCGGTGGTCGGAGGTTGTTTCCGTTCGGATTTGTTTGATGGCATAGTATTGCCATCATATCATACTTGTAATAGCCCTAAGGTTGACGTAATGAGCCTACACGGTATACTGGATTTGATCGAGGAACGGAAGAAGAAATGAGGAGAACGGATGTTGCTTAATGTTTCTAATTTTCAACGATGCTCCCGAAAGATGGCTCACCACTGACTTTTATATGAATGCGCAGCACAGTGCAGGGGTCTGGGGAGCCTTATTTACCTCAGTATGCGCTCCGCGAGCCCGTATGCCTAGTCACAGTTCCATCCCCTCACCTGACATCACCTACTGCCTCTCCCCCACCTGGTACTCGATGATATATCTTCCTTCCCAAACCTTTTCCTTTTGCCGTCATGTCCGTTCAGTGGTTTTTGCCGTCCATAGCGACACACTTCCGCGTTGTGAAGTCTGTACAATATCCATGAGTGACCCGACATCTGATGAGCCCGGGGGCATTCCAACACTGGATGAAGAGACACTGCGACACCTCGAAAGGAAAGTGTATATCGTCGGCACCAACGAGTACCCTCTGACCCGTCTCGTGGGAGGGGGTTGGTTATTTGGTGGTTCTACAGGCAAGCTCGCGGTACATAGTGCTGCACGCTTGAATACCCTTTAGTAAATCGACTCTACTTTGATCCTTGCGGGCTGCTGATGCGGATGAATACTTTATGGAATTCTGTACAAGCGCAGGCTTCCTTGCCTGTAGATGACTCCCGCTGCTTGAGACGATAGGAAGTGTTATCAAGACCGGTTTCTGACTTTCAAGACTTTGCAGAGTGCCATGTTTTCAAGCACCTCCTTCGAAGCATCACCCGAGGTATCTCCGCAACCAACTGAGACCACGAGGTGCTCTCCCCCTCAGCAAGTTTCTTAGTTATATCCCCAACAGATAGTTGTGAGTTAAGACATCCTTACATTCTGGTAATTAATCGAAGTCTATTCAGTACTTTAGCTTACTCTAAGCTCAGATAGCTAGTTCAAACTCTTCTTCCTCTCTATATGCCTGGCTATGGCAAATGCTTCGTAGCAGAAAAGGCGAAACCCCTCATGAAAATCCCTATCTCACATATCCCGAACGTACCCCTGCTCCGACACCCCTCCCTTATCCAACACAATATAATACTCCGCATCCTTGATCGCCTCCAGCCGATGCGCGATGGTCACCACCGTCGACTCCCTCATCTCCTCGCGCAGGATCTGCTGGATCTCCAACGAGCTCTCATGGTCGATCGACGCCGTTGCTTCATCCAGAATAACGATGGGACTGCGCCGCAGCACCGCTCGCGTGAGCCCGATCAGCTGCCGCTCGCCCTGGCTCAGATTACGGCCTCCGGCTTCCACGGGCGTCTCGAGACTCCAGCTGTGGCGGCTGCAGACGCGCTTGAGCACCTCGCCGCATTCGGCGTCGGAGTACTCCCCCGTCGGGTCGAGGTTCAGCCGAATACTCCCAGGGAACAGGACGGGGTCCTGCGCGACAAACGTGACGCGGGTCCGCAGCGCCTGGGTCGTGACCTGCGCGATGTCCAGGCCATCGACGAGGATGCGGCCGGATTCGGGCCGCACGACGCTGAGCATCGCGACAGCCAGTGTGGACTTGCCGCTGCCGGTGCGCCCGATGATGGCCGTCGTGGAGCCACCAGGGATGCGCAGGGAGATGTTGCGGAGGGAGGGGTCGAGGTGCGGCGCGTAGCGGATTGTCACGTCCTCGAAGACGATGTCCTGGCCGAATTTGGGCCATGAGGCCGGAGGGTCAATCGTGCCGGGTGGTTCCTGCTCCACGTGCAGCAGTTCGTCGATTCGCTCGACCGATACAAAGTCCATTTGGAGCTGGCCGTATTGCTTGCAGAGGGCGTGGGTGGAGGTGACGAAGTTGTTGGCCGCGATCAGGACGAAGGCTGCCAGCCCCGGGCTGACGCTGGTGTACAGCGCGAGGACAGTAAGGCAGAAGGTCGAAGCCGCGGAAAGGCTCTCGAACCGGTACATGAGCCAGCTCTGCAGTGACCAGTAGAAGTGGTCCATGCCCTGGAATTTGTCGACGACAGCGATGACGCGGTCCTGGAAGCGGCTTTCGGCGTGGAAGGCGCGCACAGTGGTCAGGCCATGCAGAAGTTCGCCGAAGTTGGAGATAAGTGGGCTTAGTGAGACCATCTCCAGGCGTCGCAGGCTCTGCGAGGTGGGGAGGAAACGTCGGAAGATGAGGACAAAGGCCGCGGTGAGCAGAAGCGAGAACCCGAGAAATGTCGGGGTCACAGTTGCGATCACGGCGATCGAGGACACCCAGGTGATGGCTTGGAATGCGATCATTTGGAATTGTTCGCTGATGTTTCCGTCGACCACTCCAATGTCGGAAGTTAGTCGATTCATCAGTCGGCCCACCGGTGTCACATCGAAGAATCGGAACGTAGCGTTGCTCACCCGTACCATCACCTCCTCGAACAGTGTTCGGCCGGCGCAATAAACGATCACCAGCATCAGAAGCTGTGCGAGCAGAAGCATCAGGGACTGAAAGCTGGTAATGATCAAAAACGCTACTAGCCAGGGTTTCACATTCTCCTCTGGCGTGGGGAAGCCATTAAATGGGTCCCGCGGCGCCCAGTGGATATCGTTTGCCATCGTCGAGGCGGTAGTTAGTTCCGGACTGGAATACACACGATTGAGGTTCGATTGTCCGAAGAACAAGAGTATCTGCTTGTATGCCTCTCCCCACTCCTTGAGAAACCATGACTGGCCAACGGAAGACAAGCGATAGATTGTCAACACCGCAAAGAGGGCGAGCCACCAGCGGTATTTGCCAGCTTGGATGTACTTCCAGTACACCCGCGCCTGCACTCCCCATTCTGCTCTATGTTCTTCTTCTATGAACTTCGTGGGAATTGCAGCAGAGGCACCCTCGAGAGAAACTTCACCCTCGTTTGCAGTGTCTGTTCTTTGCGACAGAGCACTTTGCCGGTCATCGCTGCCATGAGACAACACATTCTGGTTAATTTCTACCGTAGCCTTCCCATTCTCGATGTGAACAATCTGGTCGGCAATTTCACCGACTAGGTGGGTTCGGTGGGTGACAAGAACCACAGTCCGGTTGCGCATTAGCGGACCCAGGAAGCATTTGTTAACAACTGCCTCCGCTGTGTTGTGGTCTAAGGCTGAAAGAGGATCGTCAAGTAGCAGTATCCTGGCTGAACTATACATCGCCCGTGCCAGAGCCACCCGTGCCTTCTGGCCCCCGGAGAGACCGATACCATTCTCACCCACGAAAGACAGGTCCCCATGCTTGAAGTTGGAGAGATCCGGTATGAGTGCACAAGCACCCAGCACCAGCTTGTAACGCTGTTCATCAAATGGCGAAGAGAATAGAATGTTATCCCTGATACTCATGCTCTGAAGCCATGGCGTCTGGGCACAGAACCCGACCATCTCGTTTGGGAGATGGGAGTTCCCTTCCAATCTATCCAGCTCGCCCAGCAGGGCTTGAAGCAAAGCTGTCTTGCCAGATCCCACCTTGCCGTGAATAACGGTCAGACCTTGGGGCACGTCCAGGTTGACATTGGAAAGTACAGGTGATAATTTCCCAGGCCAAGCAAATGTACATGATTCCAGTTTGATGAGAGAGGGGCGGTCAGCAGTAATTGGCGTTCTCTCTTTATCAGGCTCTGCCATGAAATCTTCGATTCTCTCCATAGCAATTGAGGCGTTTATGAGCACAGTGATGAGACTCGGAATATCTCTCAGTCGGGTTTCCAGCATTGTGAACAGTTGAAGAGCAGGAAAGATGATGTCTATGCGCAGCGGGTTTCCAGCCAGAAAAGTGTAAGCGTATAATGCGACCACGGGGAACAGCCCACTAGCAAGGGTGTTGATGAAGCGAATAAGCACGTTCCAAAGACTAGTGACAATTCGTAGATTCAACTCAGACTGCCTCGCGTCCATTACCTGACGAAGCCAATGGCTCTGCCAGCCATACCAACGCAAATGCCGCAGAGCCTCAACAAATTGGGAAGATATTTGGAGTCGAGCATCTGTTGCAAGGCGACGTACACGTTCCCAGCGAAGAAGAGTACGAGTGATAAATGCGTTAAGCGTCTGCGCAACCAAAATGGCTATAACTCCCAAAAAGCATGACGGCCCGAGGAGCTTCCAGATGAGAATAGTCGCAATGATAAGCCCCAGCGGTTTGTCAATCAAGGAGTCGATTTCCCAGAATCTCTGGGCTACTTCGTAAACGTCCCCGCGCAGTAGATTGAAGATCTTGCCCATGGAAGCTGTCTTCTTGATCTTCTCCTTGTGCGTAGCCCTTTTGGAGCGCGAGAAGGGCCACCACCACCTCTTTGATCGGCAATTCGATTCTGTCTCGTCATCCGTTTCTTCAGAAGGCTCAGCTCCATCTTCCTTCTCACTTATTTCCTGATCGAATACGTTCTTTCTCGAAAGTGCCTTCTCATAGACCATCATGATCATCTCGCCTCTACTCCGCTCATAGGCACGTCTCCCGTACCACAGATTGAGGACCTGAGCCTGTGCTAGCACCAGGCGAAGCACCAGACTCAGCAATGCATAGGTCAAAGCCGGCCTATTGGACGTGCTTCGATCCTTCATCGCCTGTAATAATTGCTGCAGCAAGACAGGGGTAGAGAAATCTGCATATTTAGTCAGCGACGCGCAGCCCCTCAGCGACAGATTACCAACCACAAAGCATCTGCACAGTAGAAATCGTCGTTATTATTAGCACATCAATTCCATTCGCTTGAAGTAACCTTCCTAGCACGGATCCTTTCAGTTGACGGAACTTTTCGTGCAGTCTCCGATGCTGAAACTCGTATCCCAGAAACCACACATCTTCCTCCTGCAATTGTTTGTTCCTGCCTACAAATATCAGCGGAGCCATCCAAGACACGCTCAGGAACTGCCAAAGTCGCAAGTTGTCCTCTGGGCTGCGGGAGTCGCTGGATGGCTGTTGGCCAACGGCGCTGATGTCGTCCTGCGGGAGACTGTGACTGCGAAAGGGCATTGCAAGGATGACCGTACAGCCGGCCAAGGCGGCAACAGCAGCCACATGGCGGGTGAAGAGTCTAGAGACATGATACATATCATCATTGATGAGATGTGCGGACTCCACTACCAATGCACTCAGAAAAAAGGCAAGCAGGGATGTAGGGCACGATCTCGGGCGCAGCACTGCAACCATGGCAGCAGCCACAGCCTGGTTCCTTGTCAGCGGGCGGGATTTCATCGCGAACCATTGCTTTTCCCACGTACCCAGGATACAGGTAATACGATGCTGATCAAAGACCCGCTGAGGATGACGCTGGTCAATTCAGCGAGGAATCCAATCATTGAGATGGCGAACAGGGCTACAACCCAGCCGACCCGTTGCTGTGGCCGGTCTACGGGCAGCTCTATCGATGCTGGCTGCTCCTGAATGAATGGATGCATCCATTTGGGACATCTCAGCAGAACTCCATGTGAGAGCAAATGGCTCAGTGCAATGACCAAAATAACTATCGCCGGTGCAAGGAAGAGGTACTCCAAAGCACAGAGCGACGGTCGCGCGTGGGGAGAGTCCTGTGGCGGAATATGTCAATAACGGATATTCGATACAAGGATTCGATGAGATATCAGCGAAGCTTACCCAGAGCCAATGGCAGGAACTAGCATCTCCATCATTCATGTCTATCAGCATCAGAATTGACCACCTAGTGACTGAGTTTGGGTAACACAAGACACTAAGGTTGAAGGAAGTAGTTTAGCCATCTCTCATCTCACCCACCCTAGGCTAAGGCGGCCGACTCCGCACCGCCTACTGTTGATGCCTCAGGCATAATACCCGAAAACAGACTAGCACTAGTCGATCCAGGATCCATGGAGGTACGTCTCTCGCTCCGATGCTTAAATATTATTTCTTTGTCGTGAAGAGACTATGAATTGATATGGAAATGGTTCTGCAGTTCCGGAAACTGCTGTCACCATTTACTCTCTTCTGTGGTTTCTGAAACCCTCTAGTAAAACCAAGCTAATCCATATATAGACCAGATCATAATATTAGTATTCATAAGTTCTACTATAAAATATTGTAACCAGTCAAGTTACAGTACTATATATTAAAAAGCTAGTGATTATAATTAATATATTATATATAACTAAAAACTGAAATCTAGTACCTAATTAGATATTAAGGAAAGATATAACTCCGTACTTCTAATAAAAAATAATTTGTGTTAGATACTAAATACAGTTCTTAAATATCTAATATTCTAACTATATTTAATATCTCTCTGTTATTAAGAATAGTAAAGGAACTGATTATTCGGTCATAATCCAGGGTGAGATAAGCAAGAACCATCCAGTCCCAATGTTGTTCGAGGTTTGTACCTTGCAGTAGTTTTACGCTGGTAGGTAATAGCTAAGGTCTTCTACTAGGACAAATTTTGTATTACAGTTATTTTAGTCTGTATGGATAGTATACTAGACTTCTGCTAGGATCTCCCCAGCGCTGCTGCTTCCGAATGTGCCGTATATCATGATTAGAAGATTATAGACTAAAAAAGACTGGATACAGAGTTCTGGTGTTTAAATTCCAATCACTATTATATCTAGGTAGCCGCAGTCGATCTGGCGGTGTGACGATGTAGAGTACCTCTGATTAGAGTAAAGAAGACTGCGGAGCTGACTGGTCTCGTCGGATAGGTTAATAGAATCGCCATATGCTGCGATTGACTTTGTTCAATCATTCTGCCAGGAGTCCGGGACAGATTTACGCGCTTGCTCATTAATATGATTAGTTCTGTTCCAGTCTTAAAACATTTATTGCATTATAATCTGAAACAGTACAGCTTCTGATTATCGATAAGTGATCAACCCACCAAGCAAACAACCGAGAGAAGGTGTAATTTGCTGAAACGCATAATCAGAAGCTGCGCATTGCTTATCACTTCCTCTTAGATATTCAGAGACTAAACAACACCATCACAATATAGTACTGTATAAGATCCCTATTAAAAAGCACTACCAATCACAATCGAATCCCCTTTACAAACTTCTCCATCCCTACCAACCCGTCGGGCACCATCTCCCTCGCCCTCTGCACCAACACCTCTTCCTCTTCCCCGACAACTCCAAAATACCCAAACGCCTCAAAGAACCGAAACATATTCACCACACAGTCCGCCACTGCAGCAACCGGCGGCAGGCACCTCCGGAACATCTCCTCCCCTACAGTCTGATAACGCACCTTCTTCCCTGACGCAACCCCCACCATCTCTGCCACCTCCTGGAAGGAATACACGCACGAGGCAGCCGCTAAGCTTTGTCCTTCGTACGTTTCTGGATTCTTCAGGATAAGCCCCACGAACTTCCCCAAATCCGCCACGATATCAATCCAGGGAATCTTGGTATCAGGCTTGATAACATTTATCATGGTGTATTCATTATTATCATCATCACCTCGTGGCGCCATCATTCCCCGAGGCCCCTCGAGATTCTGCATAAATGACGCCGGCACCACAAACGCACTCCTAATCGGCAAACCCCGGATGAATGCCTCCACTTCGGCACGTACATCAAACGTCGGCACAGGGTATTCTCCCTGCGAGACGACACGGGCATGCGTTGCCGAGCTCCAGATCAGGTAGTCGGCCCCGCTGGCGACGGCGGCGGACGCGAGGGCTTGGGCTTGACGGGTTTCACGAGCTGCAAAGTCCGGCTCGCTGAAGACGGTCTGCGTCATGGCAAAGATCGTGACTTTTTTATATCCGCTGGTGGTGGGTTCCAGAAGGGATTGGAGGACGGAAGGGGAGGAGTCGAGGTCCCCCCTGACGAGCTCGAGACTTTGGGGATACTGGCCAAGGAGGGCTTGAGCGGCGGGCTGGGAGGGGTCACGGGTGATGGCGCGGATGGTGTATTGAGTGGAGAGGTCAGGGTCGCGAAGGACGTGGGAGATGACGGAGCGGCCTTGTTGGCCAGTGGCGCCAAAGATGACGAGTAGGTGGACTGGGTTGGTCATTTTAGGGTTTTTTCTTCTTAGTTGTTGAGTAGGTGAGCTGGTGAGAGAGATGATGCTGAGTGGCTTTCTGGTCGGTGTTTATTGCTTGAGAAGCTGGGAGGAGCAGTTGTTCATTTTATCGGCCTTCCGATGCTGGTTTCTATATAGGATCGATATACTCGGGGATAACGCGAAGTATATCCTGACTTAATTCCGAGAGGTTAGCCCTCACTTCCGGACTGCGAGTTTCATTCGTCTCGCACCAATTGGATTGGAAGATAGTTGGACTCCTTGTCCTTGGGGCTAGGTCGATAATAGCTTTCTCAATCAGTAAGAAGCTTGATTTCTCACCTTGGTGGGCAGTACGGACATAGAAGCTGCGGAGACCGGGTGGGTTATCTGCGCTAAGATCATCTTAAATTTCCCCTTAACATAATTAACATAATCGACGGGCGAACGGGTTATTCGGGCGACCGTGTCACCTCTCCAGCATCTTATTTCTCTATTATTTTACAGTGTTCTTTAGTATTTATAGACTATAAGAAAGACCTTTCTGTTTTATTCCTCTTGCAAAATATTTTATATGTGTATATCCCACAATGATATATATAACTCTTTTTTCTAAGTCTACTTACATGTACTTGTGAGATAAGAATAAGTTGCAGTCAACCGCAGGCTGTTCACAAAGATAGCCTTGCTTGTAGATATCCTCGCGCGATTTCTCATTTGCATAAACAGCCTCCACTTATATAAACAGCCTCGCTTGTACAACTATTCCTTACTCAAGTTCTTACTCACATAAACCACCTCACATGCATCAACGGCCTTACTCGCCTTGGCCACCACGGCGAAAAGGACTGCCACGACCGCAATTCCTCACTCGCATACAGCCTTGCTCGCATGAACCGCCTCGCTCGCATGAATCCTCGGATAAGTCCTCGCTCGTAGGAAGAGCCTCTGACGACGCTCCTCAAGGGCTCACCCCGACTGCCGCCCACCGCCTACCTAGTTCCGCACATATAGCCTCACGTAGCAGAATCAACCACCATTTCACCTCTTTCGCAGGTGTCATCAGCCTCACTCAGACAAATAGCCTTACTCGCGCCTGCCTTGGCTGAGGGCTGCTCACAAGTCACCGGATGGCCAGGACCTCGCACTGTACGAATCAGCCAAGCATATGAGATACGTTGCTTGATTTCTTGTTTCCTGTAAGTGAGGCGAGGCCCAAGAGCATTCATGTACTGAAAGTGAAAGATTGAATATAGTCACGTGGTATTAGTGTCATCGTGAATTTGCATTAATGCTGATCTGAATTTTGAAAGGAAATTAACCATTTCATCTTCATCGGAACCGAGAACTTCATGTCAAGCCTCGTCATTAGTACGTCTCGTCACCTGTAGTCTGCTGCTGACCAGCCGGCATACTGGTTCTGTGTACCACGCGAACCCACCGCCGCCTTCTCCACTCGCCCATTCCTCCGGTATTACCTCTTTCTTCATAGTCTTGCGAGCGTTCCTTGCCCTTCTTCTTCTTCGCAGACGCCTTTCTATTACTGGCGGAATCGCGAACCGAATCACTCCCAAGCCCAGATGCCACGCCATTGTCATCTGTGACGAGAGCAGGAGGCAGATCCCAGACCCAACCCCCAATCTCTCCACCCTCTGCTTGGTCTTCAGCACTTCCCGGTACCTCGAAACCGACCCCCGTGATCATGCGCTCGACCACCCACTCGCGACAGTCTAGATCCAGCTCCCACTTTTTGCCCTTCCATGCCCAACCGCTCGGGGGTTGGACGTCTTCGAAGAACCGGCACCCCTTGGGACGGTCGCCTGCGATGCGAAGTGGCGAGAGTGGGTCATATGGCATCGGGCTGAACAGGAAATGGTCCCATTGAGAATCGGCATATGGTGCCAAAGAGCGATACTGAATCTCAAAGACTTCGACCTCGCGTTCTTCGGTGTCAGAATCCAGGGAGATATTGGCCAAGGAGCCTATCATGGACATGGCACTAGAGGAGGAGGAGGAGGCAGGTAGTGGAACTCCAGCAGCGTTGGCCGCACTCCTGAGTTGTTTCTCGGCCATGGACTCGGTTCCTGAAGGCTGCGAAGAGAGGTCCGCTGTGACAGCCTGGACAAAATGGTTAAAACGAGGATGCAGGGAAAATACAGCTAGATTACCGCCCGCCAGAAAGACCAAGCGCCAAGGAACAAGGTGGGCAGTCAAGAACAAAAGAGCGACAACGAGCAGACACAGTAAGAACACCGCTGACGAAAGCTTCTCGTCGGAGAAATTGGTCACAGGTGCAAAGGCGGAAACCATGGCGTCGTGGGCATCGGAGAAGTCCGCCATGCAATTCTGCAGATCCCGCATGTTCATGAAGAAGTCCTTCGAGGTCTCTGAGGCTGGCTTGATAGTTTTCGCAGGTGCCAGAGCCGGGCCGTCGTACGAGTAATAGGGCATAATACTTGAGGTAGATGTTGACGGAGGGGGAGGGTGCCGCGCCAGAAATGCAGGCACCATGATGAAGAAAAGAAGGATAGAGATAGGAAGTAATACGAAGAGGTGTGGGTTCAGGCAGATAAACGAATAGATGAAGAGAAACGAAAGCGTGTGGGAGGTTTTCTTCCAGCTGAACAGACGCTCAACCTGGATTTGAAACGTAAAGATAATTCCAATTCTGCATTTACCCTTAGCATGTTTAGTAAATTAAGGCTGGGAGATTTAGTATTGTACCTTGCATTGAACCTGCGAAAGTTGTTTGCCATGAGAGGTAGGCTGAAGGCTGGCCGCTTGGGGTCTGCGGCGAGAGACTTGTCTGACAATGATTCCTTATCGGCATCTTCTGTAGGCACTACCTGCTCCAGAATTCTATGAACAGATGAGTAAGTGGGAAAGCTGAGAGTGTTGCGAACAGATCAAAGGACATACTTGGAAAATAGCCTGTCCTGCAGAGACCGCCCAGCCCCCGAGACTGATCGCTTGTGCCCCCCAGCTCGCGGATGCTTGGTATCATTTTTCTGCTTGTCGGAGAATATGACAGGTATAGGCTCATCGCGATTGACGATGGGTTCTGCGATAGTGTCATCCATGACGATTCATCAAAAAGGACGCTTTTGCTGTGATCAAGTCAAGTCAAGTCAAGTAGGAAGAGCATCTCCAATGGAGGGATGTGGAGAAGGGAAGGGTGAGGTCACAAGAAGTTGCAGCAGCAGCAGAAGCACATGCAACACACATGGCTGAATGCCCAGATTTTGGGGTCACTCCGAGCTTATCGGGCGGGAGCTTGTATTGTATGGATTGTACTCAGTATGGATTGTATGAACAGGGTCAGTCAGTCACGGACGGGTATTGCGCAATACGATCATTACGTAGAGTAGTAGAGGACGGAGTGATTACCACTGGGCATCGGGGCGATCCCGCCAAAACGGTAACTAAGGTGGATGTTTGGGTTGTTTGCAGCCATGGAAGCAGGCAAAAAGGAGCAGGGGGGCACAACTAAAGAGGTCTGAATGGGTCTCGGGCTCGAAATTGTTTACCACCTCTTTATTTTTCCATATCAATCCATCCTCTCTCAGTCTCTTTTTCTCCTAACACACATTCATTCCCCCCCCCACTTACTGTCTCAGGCATAGAAGTATAGGGGATTTTCGTTGTTGACCTGTACTCTTTTTCTTTTCTTCTATCACATCACCCATTCTTTTCTCTTCTTCTTAACCACCTTCCTATTTTCTCCCGTGTCGGGCACACTCCGTGTTTGCGCTTTCTCATTCGGAGTGGTTGCTTAGGTATACACAAGCCCGTACGTAACTTTCTTCGACGCCAAGTCTGGCAGCGAACAACCTACTGCTGCCCCAGGCAGAGTTTCTTCTCTGCAGCACAACGCTCGTCTTTCCTCTGGGATTTTTGCTTGCCCGAAAAGGGGCCCCCCAGAACCGCTTTCGCAGACAGAGGTTTCATCTGTGGTTTTGACTCGGTCTAATCGACTACGTACCAGTTCCCTTCGTCGCCCAGCCCGCAGCAGACACCGCTGTTCTTGACCCCCGCAATGGACCGGTAGCAACCGTTGATGGGTCGCGCGACGGTGTTGATCAGGGTTCTGCTTGGTTTGGACACCGAAAAAAAAAATAATAACATTCGCCTTCTACTCCTGAATGCCATTGCGATTGGGCTTGCCCTTGCATCCCCCCCGCTAATTCGCTTCCCCAACCTCTCGCCTCCGGTTGATCTACCTACCTGTCGTCCGGAGCTCTCCCGGTCGCAGTTCGAGGATGATGCCGGAAAATCCATCTTCTCAAGACACTCCAGGAAAGGGGCACTTGCGCAAAGTTCAATCGAGGTCGTCGAGCCCGTCTAGAAATGATGGCTCATGTCCAGAAGGTAAAGATACTTGATCAAGATTGCAATCGTCATTGTCGCTTGCAGGTGGTTCTTTGTTGACCACGGCTAACCCATTGTCACTCGCTTGAACAGAAGGACCCACGCGCAGACGGTTGCAAAAGCACTCTTCGACCTCTTTCCTTTCCGAAACCTCGTCCCACTCGTCCAAATCCATTGCCACAACCCGAACAAGTGTAATGAACCGGAGGAGGTTGTCTATTCGCGATCAGAAAGCGCCGCAAGGCCCACGACCACAGGATCCTTCACGAACAAGGTATTATCGCCTCAAGCTCTCAGTTGCCTCTCCCCCACCTTCCCGCTATTTCGACTTCAATTGTGAAACCATTTGCCTCCAGCTTTATGATCTCCAATCACGCATGTTGATACTAATTTGAATAACATGTAGCAATACACCCGGCTCGTTCTTCCACTCCGGAAACTCCTCGATCGATTCCACAAATGACTCGACGCAGAGCAACAATTCCCGCATTAGCCTACGGTCTACCAGTATCGGAAATTTAGCGAAGGCAGACTACAATCAGATGCCCTCCCAAAGTACCGAGTTCCTTCCCTCGGTCAACTTCGACGACATGCAGAATAGTATCGTCGGCGAATCGCAGTTGAAGTACTTCCCCGTTCCTGGAACTACTGGTTCAGGGTATGAGCCAAATTGGACGAATGGCAGTACCAATGGGGAGGGTACACGCTCCAGGAGCAATTCTATCCGGCGGAAAAGCGTGGTTAATTCGTCCAGCGAATCGGTGTCATCTCGTCCATCAGCGACTTCTACTACGACAGGTCGTAATCGTCGCCAAAGCCTTGCTCAACAAGCGGGCCCGAATGGTACAGCTTCGCGTGCCCCGAGGAAGTCCATAGGTCCGGCCTCATTACCATCAACCGTAACCGGGAGGCGGCAGAGCCTGTCTGCGAGGAAAGCGAGCGCGGATACCACTCGTACAGAGCAGACCAGCTATCTCCGTCCCCGCACGCAGCAATTCGATCTAAGTCGAACCGAAGGTACGAAGCTTTCCAGCAACGCGCGGAATATCAAGGCAAAGTCGCTTCAGCCACCGTTGCGAGAGCCCGACGATAAATACTTGACAGCGTCTGGCCCAGCAGAATATTCTCGGTCATCATCGACTAATGCAGTTCGAACACCAGTTAAAAATGCGGCAGCCGCTCCCAATACTCCAGCCTCGTCCTGCAAAAGAGTCTCGGTCATGCCCCCACATGTACATGGTCTTGGAGCCCGTACCATAAGCCCTACCGATGCGCGTCGGGCTAAACGTATGTCAACAGCTCCTTCGACGCACCCTACGCCCTTTACACCTCCGATCCTAACAGAGCCCATGCCTGTCCGACCTCGCTCGACCGCGCAATCGCCATCGCATATACCTCGAAAGAGTGTCACTCCGTCCTCAAACCGAACCACCCCTGATCCGAATCGCAAGTCGTACAGTTCCGGCCTGTCGCTCTCATCAACCACAACCTACAACTCCGTAAGAAATTCAGCTGGCTCACTGCAAAACCGCCTATCACACAGTTCGTCAACATCCCGATTACCTACTCCTAAGACCCGCTCCGAACCGAACCCGCCTGATGAGGAGGTCCCACCTGTCCCTGCGATTCCCAAAGCCTATGAATCCCCTAAGGGTGATTTTGAGCCGCCGAATTATGTCACTCCGCGCAAGCCAAGCTTAAACATGGAAACAGGTTCCAAACCTAAATTCGAGTCAGAACCGGATAACAACCTGACCGCTACAATTTCGACGGAGGAGGACGCCCCCAAAACAAGAGAAGGACGCGCGATGAAGACTCCTGAATCCAAGCCTAGAACCTCCGCGCTTCTTGGGAAAAGGAACCTTCAACCTCTCAAACTACCACCTTTGAATCTGCTTCCCCTTGGCACACCCATGACAACCAAGATCGAGGCATTGCGAGATCGTGACGATGATCTGACAGTACACACACCATCCGCTCAGATCGCATCCAAGACACCGAGTACTCCCCTGACTGCCTCCAAGGCCAACTTTTTCTCGACGGTTGAGGATGATGATCTTTTGGCAGTTACACAAGCGAGAAGCAGCACGTCACACTTCGCGCTGAGTACTTCATCAACCGCCTCAGCGTTGCGAACCGTCAGCGGATCCAGTGCTCTTGCAGGGTTTGACAACACGCCGACTAATGCAAGGACAGTGTCGCCTTATGTTGCATATAGCCTACCGAAAAGCAACAGCGAACATACAGGCTTGAAGCAGAAAGTCAGTGACGACTATTCGCCCAAAGCAATTCAGTCGTACAAAATGGCTGGTCCTCGACCCCAAACACAGTCTTCTGCTTTCTCATCGAACGCTGAGACGATCAGCCAGCTCTCAACGCCCTCCGACCCGGAGAACAACAGTATATCGAGCTCATCCCTTCGTAACAAGATCACAATGACCCGGAAGCGAAGCAGCTCTAAGACTCAGACAGGGATTGAAGCCAGCAGCGATCTCGTCAAACATGACCCAATGCCACTCCCGAAGATTCCAACTTCGTCGACCTGGAACAACCTCACCAGTATCAAGACTTCCAGCCCCACGCTTAAACCAAGCTATCTCAAGTCCCGACGGCAAGCATCTGTCTCGAAAGCCTCTGGCCAGACACTGAGGAAGCCTAGCTTCAGCAGTGATCAGAGTCTTGCCTTGGAACCGAGCCCTTCCAATGACTCCAATGACAGTGACCCTCCCGTTCCTCAGCATCGGACTGCAAGCTCAATCTTTTCGCCGGTTCACAGGATTATCAGTTCGGCTAAAGCCAGCGTGGCTTCTACTCCAGCTCCCCCACCTACCAGCGATCCCAATGTTGACCCCGATGTTCGTGTTGCTGACGAAGAGATGCGCAAACTTGGCAGTAAACGCAAAGACTTTGAGACGGCCGCCAAGAATCTGGATGATCTACGTCGCAAAGCTAGTCCCAAGGAGCGTGTAAGCCCAGCGCAGGCTTTAAGGATTGCAAACCTAAATATTTTCGAGCGAGGAGAGATCATCGACTTTAAAGATATCTTTTTCTGCGGCACTCAGAATGCCAAGAAACACGTTGGTGATCTCTCCGTCCAAGCCAATTTTGGCTACGACGACGATCGCGGTGACTACAATATCGTCATTGGGGATCATCTGGCATACCGCTATGAAGTGATCGATGTTCTCGGTAAAGGAAGCTTTGGTCAGGTAGTGCGATGCATTGACCACAAAACGGGAGGTCTTGTTGCAGTCAAGATAATCCGCAACAAGAAGCGATTCCACCAGCAGGCCTTGATCGAAGTCAACCTTCTTCAGAAACTAAAAGAGTGGGATCCTCAGCGTCGGCATAACGTGGTCAACTTTACTCAAAGCTTTTACTTCCGTGGCCATCTTTGCATCTCCACCGAGTTGTTGGGAATGAATTTGTACGAATTCATCAAGGCTCACGACTTCAAGGGCTTCTCTCTTAAGCTCATCCGCCGGTTCACTAAACAAATGCTGAACACGTTGGTGCTGTTGCAGGCGAAGAAGGTCATTCATTGTGATCTGAAGCCGGAGAACATCTTGCTGTGTCACCCATTGAGCTCTGATATTCGGGTCATTGATTTCGGCTCCAGTTGCTTCGAGAATGAGAAAGTGTATACATATATCCAGAGTCGATTCTACCGTTCTCCCGAAGTCATCCTTGGCATGTCATACGGTATGCCCATTGACATGTGGAGTGTAGGGTGCATTCTTGCCGAGCTGTTTACTGGCTACCCTATCTTCCCGGGCGAAAATGAGCAGGAACAGCTTGCCTGCATTATGGAAGTGTTCGGACCTCCGGAGAAGCATTTGATCGAGAAGAGTACTCGCAAGAAGTTGTTCTTCGACTCGCTGGGCAAACCGAGGCTTACGGTTTCTTCAAAGGGCCGAAGGCGTCGTCCCAGCTCCAAGGAGCTCCGGCAGGTTCTGAAGTGTGACGATGAAGCCTTCCTTGACTTCATCTCCCGCTGCCTCCGGTGGGATCCTGCCCGTCGACTGAGTCCCCAAGATGCACTTCGTCACGAGTTTATCACTGGTATCAAGCTGGCTTCGCGTCCGAGGCAATATACTTTGACGAACAACTCGCCAGCGAAACGGGTAATCTCGTCCAACCCGTCCTTGGGACGTCCTCTTCCAGAGCCACCTGTGGCCGGCTTGAAAGGCGGCACTCTCGCCCGCACTCGAGACGCCTCGGGCACCTCCCCGGTCAAGCCCGCTGGGAAGCGTCACTCGACTGTGAGCGGGCTCCCGCCGTCGACGCCCGCCAAGCGAAATACGAGCATTAGTACAGGCACTCCTGGATCCGCTTTGCCCCGTGTTGCGGCTAGAAGTATCAGTGGTAAGCCTGATCTCGCAACAGCGGCGGCTGTGACCAGCCTGGTAAGTGAATCTTCCACTGTGAAACACCGAACATCTCGCAGGATGTCGACTAACTCAGTTCATAGAGGACCAAGTGAAGCAGGCAATTTCATCTAGATTTTTTTTTCTTCCCCTTTCTGCCTCACTTCTTTGCATATCTGTAATAATAATTGTTTGATTACCAAGGTTGCATAAAACGGGCTTCGACACATAAGAGGTTCTGCGTGTCCCCGTTCGTCATGATTGAGATTTTGAAACTTTGTCCGAGGCCCGCCCAAGAGAAGAGGAAGCGAACGGACCAAGAGTTTTTTTACCTTATACCCTTAATCGAGCATGTGCATGCTTTTCCACCATGACCTTTCAGATTTGTTGCAAAGTCCTCTTTCAAGCATGTTTGTTTCTCGTTTGTGTGGTATTCGTCATGACCTTGAGGGCCCCTCTTAGTGTTCTGTTGTCAAAATCTTTGCATGCATATGTCAGCATCTTCTTTTTGTTTCCCTTACACTTTTCATATGTCACTCTTTTTCTTATTGTCTGTGATGACCCTGGGGTGTTTTCTTGGGTGGGATGAAGACTTTGATTGGACAGCTAAACGCCCCCCCCCCCTTCCCCCAACCTGTATATCTATTTATCTTTATCTCGAAGACAATCTCGAGGATCGATACCCGGAATTGTACACCCGTGGTTTTGTCTGGCTGTTCACCTCCTGCAGTGTTCGGAAGGTGTGACTGGAGTGAGACGGTAGGACTTAGACAGTTGCTACTACTAGTACATTACTATTATATGACCACCTTGTGACTGGTGCTTCTGTATACTACTTCGAGCACGTGATCTTCGTCTACAAGTACGTACAGTTTGTATATACTGCTGCTTGGGTCTGGTTGTCATGCACATTGTGCATTTTCGAGGGCAATACATGACTTCCACCTACATTTCACAGACATACGCCTGGGAGTCGATGCAATTAGTCCGATCCAACTGACGAATCGCAACTCTGACAAAGATAATTGATGATGAACTGCAGTAAGACAAATGGCATTTCTAAAGCATATTTCAATATGTATCCCGGATTTCTTTTCATCTTGATGCTTTCATGCTAAGAACCAACGCAGCGCTCCATTGTGAACCGTCAATTAATCCTCCGCGAAATGCCGCCCATTCAGCATCCCCTCGGACTTCTCCCGCCGCCGCCGGCGGAGCAACTGGCCCGCCCAGCCGGCCATCTGATACAGCCAGCCGCCGGTGACCATGACGCCGGAGACGGTGTTGACGAGGCGCATCAGCAGGGCCAGGAAGCTGGAGCGCTCCTCGCTGACCAACAGCAGGATGGGCTCGATGTTGTACTTGAAGAAGATGCCGGGGATGAAGTAGGGGCTTTCCGGCAGAATATCGGCGGAGCTGGTGGCGGCGTACTGGTTTGTAATGACCAGGTTCCGGTTGGCCCTGGCGTTTTGTGGACTGGTGTAGATCTCCTGGAGCGCGGCGGTGCCCTTGGAGTAGATGGTGGGCACGACGGAGAGGAAGTACTGGTACTTGTAGTAGTGGTGCTCGGTGGCGGCGATAGTCTTGTCGAGCGGGTTGAGGAGGGTCGGGTAGTGCGGGCCGAAGGAGAGTTCGGTGATCATGTGGGTGAAGTTGAAGACTTTATTCCCGCTCCCTCATTGTCAGTATAACGCTGTACTAGCTTTGGTGTTTGGGGATGCGGGCGTATGCTCTGCTTAAACTAAAATCGGTGATGGGGGGAAACGCACCATTATGATCCAAATGCCCGCCCTGCGCATCATGATACCCGTGGCCGCGCGCCGTGATATGGAAATCGCCCTGCACCTTGTTCCCCTCCAGACTGCCGAAGATGCGGCACGAGTCGACGCTGTCGCCCTTCCGCAGGCGCGGGCCCTTGGGGAATTTCCTCCGGGAATTGCGGCGCACCTCGCCCAGCACGTGGTGGACGTGCGCGTCGGCCTCCTGCGCCGCCAGCCGGTCGGGCTCCTCCTGACTCAGCGTCTGGTACTCGTGCAACGACGCGCGGTTGCGCTTGTCCGTCCACAGCTGCCAGCTGGTGCGCTCGCGCTGCAGCAGCTCCCCGGCCAGGATGCGGTCGCCCGAGGCGTCTTGGATGTTGACGTGCAGCGTGTCGCAGGGCATGCGCACGACCAGGTCCAGGTTCAGCTGCAGGTCGTGCGAGACCCCCTTCTCCACGCTGAATTGCTGGGTTTCCGTGCCCCGGAGCCAGGTCCGGAGTTCGGAGACTGAGAAGACTGTGCAGATCAGGAGGATCAGGACCGTCCATTGGCCGCCGCGGCGGGACGGGGCCGTGTATGAGGTTTTGGTTTTGGCTGAAGGGAGGGTACTGAGTTAGTTGGAGGTCTGTGTGGATGGTTGGTTTGAGGCGGGTTGTGGTGGTTGGCGCATGGGGTTGCTGGCTGGCTAGCTAGCTAGCTCCACAGATATCTGATTTGTAGAGCAAGATTTGTCAGGCAGAAAAACTCACGAAAAGCATCAAACGTCTTCAAGCCGCCCTGCAGCTGAGACTTCTCGCTGAACGCATCCTCATTGAGGCCGTGATCGGCGAACCCATTCATCACGAAAAGCTTCCGTGTCGGAGGCAGACACACCCGTCAATGGACAAACAAGGGCGAACGTTACCCGGTCAAGGCATTAAATTAGCAGACACACAAAGAATAAAAGAGAGCGACAGTAAGACCAAGCCCTTCGCTCTCCAGGGCAGATGGCGGTTATAGAAGGTTGGGCAGAGGGAGGGAAAGGAGGGACGAAACAATGAAACGGGGATAGATGATGGAAGAAAGGCCAAGTAGGCCGAATTGCGCGGTGCAACTCCGCACTCCTGCGTGGAGCACCGCCGCCGCGCTTATCGATAGCACACCTACACTTCAACTTACTGGAAAGGGTTACTCCCAAATCTTTCAAGGTTAGACTCACTTACTTCCAGTTTGTCCTGGTAGGCACTCCCCCACTCTCCCTTACAATGTGGCAAGCCAAATGAACAAAGGTAACACAATGGTATAATGAATAGTCGGCACGCATCTGCACGTATCTGCACGTAGACATCTTTAAATCTCGAAAATCTCGCCCATCCCGACGCCGGCGCCCTCCGCCCCAGCCCGACTGTCCACCAGATCCAACCGCCAACCATGCCAGTCCCTGAGCTTCCTCTTGATCTCGCGCACCCATTCCACCCGCTTGCGAGCCTCCTCTTCTGCCTGCGCACGCGCGAACTCCGCCTCATCGAATTCGTCATCCAGGTTCTCTTCCGACAGAAGCTCCAAGCTACCGTGTGTCCCAGCGGGCTGCTGGTTCGACGAGGCGCGGCCTCGGTTCCCGTAGAAAGTGTTCCCGCCCGTGAACGCGGCGATCCCACTGCTAAGCACAGTGGAGAAGGATGAGTGCTGCCCGTGGGATTTGCTCTGGGCCATGCTGCGGCGGCGAGCGTGGTCGGCCGATGATCCGCCGATCAAGTCGACATCGTCAAAGGTATTCGCCGCCGCCGCAGTCGCGGAATCGGGGTCCCCGCTGAAGGAGGGGTGGTAGTCGGCTCCGCCGGCGAGCTCCTCGCGCTTCTCCTGCCATACACCGCGGCGGAGATCGAAGACCTCCCCTTCCAGATCACGGATCCGCCGCTGCAGTCGAGAGCGTTCCTCGTCCTCGAGTTCGTCGAGAGCATCGTCATCCGCGCCGCCGGCCTCGCGCTTGCGAAGGGTCTCCTGCTCCTCCTTCAGGCGGAGGTTCTCGTTCTCCACGGTCGCGAGTCGCTTGCGCAGGACCGCGGCCTCCTTCTCCACCTTCTCGCTCTCGCGCAGTCGTGCTTGGTGACGGGATTCGGATTCGCGGTGCAGGTTGCCCATGGCTTCGAGCTTCTTCTCCAGGGTCTCGATCTTCTTCTCCGCGTCGGCCTTTTCCTGCTTTAGCTCTTCCACTTCCCGCTGGAGGCTCTTGATCAGAGTCTCGCTGGAAGTTTTGTCGACGCCCTCTTTGACCGCCTTCTCCGAGGCACGAGTCAACGCCGCCTTGGTATCCGCCAGCTCGCGCTGAGACTTCTCCAGCGCGGTCTCGCCGGTCAAGAGCTTCTCCTCCAACGCCGCGATCTGGGCCTCATGTGCGCTGCTCGAAGTCGACTGCGACGAGAGCTGCGCGCGCAGATTTGAGATCTCCAGCTCCATGGCCTCGATCGTCGCGGCCTTGGACTCGAGTTGTTTCAGCAGATCCGCCGGCGGCGACTCGGACTGTCCCGGCGCAGACACACTGGCGTTGTTGCGGTGCGTTCGCGTTTGCAGGTGCGAGTTCTGTCTCTGTAACGAAGCAATCTCCGCTCTCTAAGTAGACACAAAACCCCACGTAATTAGTCAATCAACTCCAATCCCAATCCGACAACCCTTTCCCAGGATAAGAAAATAAAAGTAACTCACCAACTCCTCAATCTCCGCAACCTTCTCCTCCGCCCTGCCCAACTTCTCCTTCAACTCCTCAGCATCCACACTCGCCTCCCTCAGATCCTCCAGCTGATCCTCCGACTTCTTCCACCGGCCCGTTGCCTCCTCGCGCTCCTTCTCCAGCCGTTTATTCTCCCGCTCCAGCTCCTCAATCCGCGCCGACTGCTTCCGGTACACCTCTTGCACCGCCTCGCCGTCCGCACTCAACGGCGGCAACGAAGGCGACTTGAGCATGCCCCCTCCTCCCCCTCCCCCTCCTCCTCCTCCCACGGGCGCGGACGGCGACGGCGACAGCGACCCCTGCGATACCGAGCCTTTCCGGAACGACGACGACCGCATCTTCGACTGAATTGACAACGAAGGCTGGCGCCCGTGGCCGGCGGGACGAGTCAGTGGGGCGTCGAGTCGGGTCGTCCCGGGCACGGAGGGCGGCGCTTCTTCGCTATCTGGCGACATCGTGATGGGTGCGTCGGGCATCGGTTCGGTGCTGGGGGATGCTTGTGGGAATTCTGCTGCTGCTACTCCATCTTCGAGTTCTGCTGTTTCCCCCGCTTTTGTCTCCTCCTCCGCCGCCGGTGTAGGTTCCTTTGGTTCCTTTGGTTCTTCAGTCGTAGTGGTAGGCTCCCCTGGTTCCCCGGTCGCAGGTGGCGTCTCTGCGGCTACTGGTTCTGGTTCCGGTTCAGGCGCAGCCTCGGTCTCAGCAGGTATAGCAGCGGCGGCGTCGGCGGCGGTGCTGGCGGTATCATCAGCAGACTGGGCGTCTACTCCCTCCGCCCCCACCGGAGTATCCGAAGCTAATACCGGCGAGGTTTCAGCAGCAGCAGCAGGAGGTGTATCGGGTGCCGCCGCTTTCGACGAATCGGTGCTGCCCGCAGCTTTCTTGTTGGCTTTCTTCTTCTGCTTCTGGAGCTGAGCGACCTATTCCCAACCCAAATCAACAAAGTTAGTCCATGTACAAGTCATCCCACAAAATCAATTTGTCGTAGACTCATCATTTGTGAGGGGGGGGGTCTCTGGACATGAATTGCGGGCGCGGTTGGACGGGGGCCACAATCCTCCGCGGAGGTGACGGCCATCGCGGATGATCTCGCAGGACAGGAGCACATAACATACCCGTTTCTTGGCGGCTGCCAACTTTTCAGCTTTGATGCGCTCCTCGTCGTCAGCCATAATGGGGCACAGGATGGATCGGGGAGAGGAGTGGGTGTAGGTTGTTGTAGGGAGGGGAGGAGAATGGTAGTGGATATGATGAATGTTGTTCGGAACGGACAGCTTGCCCGCGCACGGACCACTTGGGGTCGGGCTGCCGTCCTCACTATCATTATGTACTATACAAGTTCTTGGTGAAGTGGATTTAATACCTGTTTGTTACTCATTTTCACAACAGAAAATGCATTATGTCGAACTGAAACTCCCATCAACGCAAGTCAAATTATATTAGATACACGAACTGAACATTAAGACCATAGGAATGCCGGCGTGGAGCCTGCCCTTCGCGCCGCGCCGGGCCACGCAGTGCCTGATTGTTGTCATCATCATAACGGCCGTTCGCAATTATTAGGGGCCAGATCCGTTCCTTCGCCAGTTGTAACGCCCCTAGCCTATGTAAATGCAGGTTGAATGCAGTGACAAAACAAACGCCGAAACACACAGAAACAGATCAACACGATTGACCGAACGTAGTAGGGGAGGATCGAGCGGCAAGCCGAACATGATCGAGGTTGAAGAATCAGAAGCAGCGCAAAAGGCTGCGGAGGTGCGGTCAAAATCAGCAGAACACAATTAGACCTCCATTGAGTCGGCGATTTCCTCGCTCATCGCCCGAACGGTCCCCTTACTGCCGGACCGGGATCGGAACTCCTCGTCGCTGAGCACATATGGATCGTACTCGTCTCCAGCATGATGCGACTTCGAAAGATACTCCTCGTCACTTTCACTGTCGAGCTCTACGCCTTCGCCCAGCCAATAGCGAGCCCGCTTGCTAGAGCTGAGTTCGGGGGTCAGATATCCGTCATCATATGTGCGCTTCGTCGTGGGCGTAGCCATTCCCTCACTGGGGGTATGACTCAATATCGGGATGGCTCGGAGATAAAGATAGCAGACCCGCTTGCGAAGCCGGTTGAAGAAGAAATAGTGGAGACTCCAGATCGCTCCGTCATCGGCGTCTGACGGATCCTCCTCCGGCGAGTAGGAATACAACGAGCACTCTTTCAGCGACATATGCTCATTAATTACTCCCCACATTTTCGGCCCCCATGTAGCGGATGCACCCGCGTTGTAAGATCCGGAGACGGTCACAGGCGATGGGGGTGTCAGGTCAATGGCTTCGCGCGGTCGCAGGTTGAACAACGTGGAGTCGATCGTGTTCATAACCCTCTTGAGATTGCGCTCGCGATGGAAATCAGACGGGCGCAAAACATGTGAGAAGTCGTAGTCGGGATGGCTGGCATTCAAAGTTGCGATCAAGTATGCAAAGGTTCGGCGGCTGGAGTGTTCGCTCAGGGGGCCAAAGGGACTGGAGCGGGACAGGTTGAGCGACGCAGCCGCGTCGGATGCATTCGGCGGCGACAACGAAGCCGACAGGCGAAGCACAGATTCATATTGCGACTCCAACGATTGCTCAATATTCCTGTACAACTTCCGATCCGCTCGGGCGGCCTTGGTGGTATATAGGTCACAGCCGCCAACGATATGACAGTCGGCGGTGTCGAAATTCAGCGAACTCGTCACGTCCTCAAACTCGGGCAAAGGAAGGAACTATTCAAACAGAGAGCTTGATTAGCGATCAATATTCCGTAGAGAGCATTTTGGATGGCACGGCAGGCACCACTGTTGTACCTTCATCTGGGGCCAGATATGCGGTGAGCGAATGACGTAGATAAGAATCACGATGAAAGGTGATGAGATAGGAAGTGAGAGAACAGAGTATCAATGTGGCTGAAGAGCACCGATTGCGACAGTAGAAATAAGGTGAATTCCTCAACTATTTGGAATCACGGTGCGTTTGTTGGTTGGTTCTTTGTCTCCTGAGACGTCACGCAAGCAGCGATAAGGGCAGTGAGCTGGCAAATGGTACCCAAGCTACGCTGGCAGGGTGTGAAGTGGAAAATCTGGCGATTAATAGGCAGGAGTTGTAGGCCAAATTGGCATAGTCGTGGAGAAAAGATGAAATAACGAAAGAGATGGAGGAATGGGGGATGAGAGGTGTCGCAATGATACGGCACTTGGGGGGGGATCGCCTGGCCGGGGTGTCGCGTTGTTCCCCGGAGGGGGAAGGCCCCGGTCACGTGGAGGCAGTGCGGCCAGTGATATCACGCACTTTCCTCACGGGTCTTGCGGCTGAACCACGGATTGCCCCAGACTGGCCAACCCAGACTTGCCCGACTTTCCGACTTTCCTGTCTTTCAGATCAACCCTTCCTGGGAAAGGTGGCCGAGCAATTCCTTGGATTCCTGAAAGACGAGCACATAAGTGTCAATGGGGTGGTATTAAATTAGTCGGAAAAATGAAAAAAAAAAAAAGAAAAGAAAAGAAAAGAAAAGACAAGGAAATAGGTCGCGACAGTAGAACACAACGCCTATAGTACGTCCAACGCCGACAGAGCTGGCCCCCGGGGGCCAGAAAATCATGATTTATCCCAAACAAGAGAAACACGGAAACGCTTAACTGCCTGAGAAGCTTCTACATGATCTTCGTAACCACATCTTCCTCGACCTGAGGGGGGGCATTAGCATATATAAGAGAAGGCGACCTGAGGTGATAGGCCGGTGTAACGGAAATAGGAGGGCGGATGTGAGGATTTGCGAGGTAATATGGATAAGACGAGAGGATGCCACAGCGATGGGCAACCCGAGGCGTGACATGGCTCAGCGAAAAGGGGCACCGGGTCCGGGAAACGGATTGAAGACGATCATGACTGCAGAGCAGGTTTCATGAGATGAAGCTTGAAGGGTATATACGTATACGTATATACCTTCCAGCTCTGCATCTCCTTCTCACTTCCCTGCCCGGTGGAAAGGGGGACAGGGATGAAAACCAAAACAAGTATCAACGTACCTCCATGTCTTCCAAGCTGTCCTGTTGACTGATACACCGGAGAACATTCTTCTTGCTACTCTCCTGCATCTCGCCTGCTAGCAACAGCTCGTCCAGGATGAAGTATGCTTTCTGGAAGTTGAAGATAATGTCCAGTTCACAAACATTTCCGTAGTACTTGTCCATCTGCTCGACGTAGCGGTGCACGACCTCGAGGGTGATCAACTCGTTATCGGTGGATGCGCAGCCGGCGATGAAGAAAAGGGAGGCATAGCGACGGTAGACGACTTTGGTGTCTGTTGAGAAGAGAAAGAGCGAGACGAAGTCCCCAGGTCAGAATTCGGAGCTGCGGAGTGGTGTGGCTGGGACAAAAGGAGGGGGAGCTTGGATGCGATGACGACAAACCTTTGTATTCGAGGAAATTGCACATGCGGGTGCGACGCGACAGAACCAGCTGGGTCACATCCTTGATGATCTTGGCCTTCTCCTTGGGGGAGAGAGTGGTGAACCATTTGGCAAGGCGCTGGGGAGTGGGAAATTTGTTTCGATTAGTCCGCGATTCCAGCCAGGTCAAAAGTTGGGTGGGCCACGAACCACTTTGCCTTGCCGTGACAGGAGGATCAAGTAGCTGGGGGGAACATGGTTAGCGGCCTTTCCGAAGAGAATCGACTTGGATCAATCTCACTGGATTGCCATTGTTCGTTAGATTGAGAGGTTGAAGTTGGGAGGAGGTATGGTATGGAGGGGAAAAAGAGAGGAGCTGAGATCGGGGTAAGAAAGGCCACGAGGTGGAAGGGAGAGGGAGATTCCGCCGCCTCTGGAGAAATTCTTGCACGGGCCGCACCGGTGCCCCGCCGTTGCTTGCTTGCCCTCATTGTTGTGACTGCTCGAGGTATTCACAGTAGACACTCTCAATTAGAAGACAATTCAATAATGTCAGGGTGAATTGCTAGAGGCACTATTGAGTGATGGCTGATTTTTTCGATGATGCATGCACCAATCGACCCGAGCCAGCTCCCTTCCCAATCGAGACTCTTTCACCATTGGGAATCAGTTAGTGGAGGTCATATCAGCAGATAGCATATTATGATAACACAGTAGTGTATTATGTTCGGCTAATCGGTTCAGTAAGTAGGGAGCCTATACCACGAATGCTTAAGGCTCCCTCGACACACTATCGTCATAATGACTGCTAATAATCATACATTTGTTTATACAACACTGTTGAGATTCGTCCTCGGTCGTTATGTTGGAGGAAGCTAGTATTATACTAAGAATAGCAAGGATAAATTAATTCATATCTCGATTTCGACAGTAATAATATGATGCTATATATAAGAGACATAAAAGGTTACTAGTAAAGAAAACTGCTAGCTAGAGTAAATGAGGTATCAATTATATAACCACTGATCTTTTTTCGCTTCACAGCCAATCCACCAACACAATACAAGAGCACTGACGGACAATGGGACTACTCAGGTTGTGATTATAGTGCACAGAATAATATCTGCTAACCACTATGGGGCTTTTTAGACATGCTGGAGTACATAGCTGCTTTAGCCTCTCCGCTGACATATTTTTATATTACTGGAAGTTGGAGCAGTTACCTACTGCTGCGTGAATCTGGGCATCAATTACGAACAGGATAAGGTCACACGGTATAACATCAAGTATTAGATCCAAGTATTACATACTATAGGTCACATAGTAAAACAGATAGACATCAAAAGAAGATAAAGGACTGTTAACTCCACCCAATCCGTCCTACCGATTATAGCCCCGTTTCCTTTGCAATCCCAACCATTAACAGACACCAAAAATAAATCCCAGTATAATTACCATTTCAAACGGTCAAATATTTGCATCTCATCAGCCAACGCCCGGCCATCCGAGAGAGATATCAGATAAGTACTCTGACTGTCATTCTTGAGCATATCGTCATGGCTCATATTGCGTCCCATACGTGTTTTTGTCCTTTGAGAGTCGTGTGTCATTTCCCTTTTACCGTTTCATTTTAGCTTTTGTTTGTTCCTTTGCATTATAACCCGAGGTCTGTATGTCCAAAGCTTTCCGCCGCCTGCCGAAAGAAACACTGGCGGAGCAGTGTGTTGACTCCGTTCGACAGACATACTCGACGCACGCTTAGACCTGCGCCATGCTGGGGCGAGCACCACGGGCGGGACCAGTGCGGCCACGGAGGTTGACACCAGCAGAGCGCGAGCCCATGATCGAGAAGACCAGGGAGACGGTATAGCCGACCCAGGCGAACCAGAGGAATGCGGTGGAGGCCTGAGCCTCCCGGCAGCGCTTTTGGCGGTTGTTCGCACCGTTGGTGATCTCATTGTGGAGAGTGTAGCTCTGTATCATCGCAGAGTTAGCATGTGTTTCACAGTTCCCTGTTATTCTCGGGTGACCTTATGTAGGTGTTGCGGCTCTGTTCATGTGTTACGTACGTTGTTGCTGCAGCTGTGGGATTCCAGCTTGGCGGCTAGAGCAATACCAGCAGTCAAGAAGAAAATCGCGTTGAGGGTATCGATGACGATCAGGAAGATAGGGTGGACTGCCCAGTCGGGGTTTAGCGTTGCGGGGATAGTGTAGAAGAGGGTGAACATCGAGAATGCCGAAACGAACATGGCATAGTTGACGGTGGCAGGGTTGCCTGCGAATGCTTCGGCGATCATGTTACCGATCAAGGCCATGACAAGGAGAGTCCAGAGGAACTATATTCATAGCATCGCGCGGTTAGTCTCGCTGCTGCAGTGCTATTGCACGAAATCCTGATATCGCCAACTATAGAGTGTGCAACATACCTCCCAGAGCCTGAGGCCGAGCGGGATAGCCTTTCCGACCATTTTGAATGGAGTCTAAAGCTGTGAAGGTATAAAAACGGGTGGTATAGATCCTCCGGTTGATCTGATAGGCTAGTTCGTCTTAAAATGGGTGAGACAGCAATAAGGATGCCCCGGGCAACAGTCACTTGAGCTTCGAGAAGATATCGTTCGTGTTTCAGCGGACTTCTGATCCGTCTAATAAAGCTGAGGGTGGATCTTCAGATGGTCGAAGGGGATAGTTGCTTAAGTGCGGAATGTTCGGACGGGCCGACGATGACGATTATGCTGTGTTTGCTACGTCATGCAGGGTAAGTTAGCGGGGAGGGGGAGAAGATCATGAGATGAAATCACCACCACACCCTTCGGTTCAGAATCGCTTATTCAACCACTCCCGAGAAAGTCTCCAACGTCGTTAGGTGTGAAGTAGTATCGATAGTGGGGAGGAGCGAAGGAGGAAAATTCTATACTCTTATGTGCTAAAAAAAAAAAGTCTGTCGACTCAAATGTCTGCCTATACCCAAAAGTCTTGTCCGCAGTTCGGGCGCTTCTGCAGCAGTATAATTAGCTCTCCCTGCATTTTTCAATGGTCACAGATAGCCAGGGCTCACTTACCATTCGACACACCACAGCAAATCGACCGGCAGCTCTTCTGCAGTCAACCGTTGTCAAGCCCATCATATTTTCCGCCCTCATCCGATATGAAACGCTGATGCCGTCACACATGACGGTGTCCAGCTACATCGGTCCAGCTTCGCTTATGATTCGATCCCGATCCCTCTCATGAGCTTCGGGTCTCCATCCCCAGTGGAACTGAAAACTTTAAATGTTGCAGCTATGGACTGGTCCATTGACTTTTCAAGGAGCTAGGTGAGTTCTAGTCCCATGAGTGACGCATGCAGTATTGGAGCACTGATCGCCCTGCCTGGTCAATGACTCGTTGGTCCCGAACTATACCGGAAGGCCCATACTTAAGCTCTCGGGATAGCCACAAACTGTATAGCAGAAAGGCTACCCGGTAGAGATTTGTCCGAGCGGTTTACGGCGGTCAGCGCCAGTGGTAGTCGCAGATTCGATGAGGTCCAGCCCGATCTGGAATCCTTCGATGACTGCAGTGCAAGCGCCGCCGAGTGCTCTGATCGATCACTCCGGTTCTGTGGACTGGTCCCACTAAACTCCTAGTAGCCACACAGGAATATACTCAGTACTAGTGCAAGCGGACTGTATAGCTTTTGAAGATAGATCTTGTCTCTATTGGCATTCACTCCCGTGCTTCATTTGTCGAAATGGCTGATGATCGTCAAGCAAAGCGGGTCAGAGCGTAGGGCGAGACCAGTCCGCTGCCGATTTCCGGTGCTGTAGCATATATACACACTGGTACAAACATGCCATGATAGCAGCTGCAATTAGCACAGGCCTTGCCACGAAAACTCAGATAATCTAGCACTCCGACCTACCACTGTAGCAAAAATCAACAGCATCCTGCCGCAATTCAGCCATTGTGCGGTGTAAGACCCGCAAGGGCTGACAACTCCCACAGAAGAAACAAAAAACCCCCAGATCAGCCGATCATCCTCGAACCGCAAACTATGGAGGGCCAGCCAATCTACAGGAATAGTATCTATCAGTTTAAGGAAAGCTAAGTTGGCTCATCAGACTACTTGCTTGGCAAGATCGACGGCGTTGACGGTAGAAGTTTAGTGAGCAACTCGCCCCGCATAAGGCGCCGAGCGGCAGCGCCTGGACCATCTTGGCTCTCTGCCTGCAACACGTGGGTGCGCACTACTACGTTGTAGCTTCATAGCTTCTGCAGTAATGAAGCAGAGGGCTAAGAATTGAGGCGCCCTTCGTTGTCACCAACAACAATTAGAACCTAGTCATGCTATGGATGTATGTATCGTATATATTCAAATGCGACAGCGAATGACAGTGACTTGAAATCATGCAATAGTCCGAACCCCAACTCTACCAGAGACCCAACCTCTGATTCCGCACCAAACTGCAATGGAACACAAATCGCCCAACCCCAACTGAGGATACACATCGACATCAGAATACTACATTGAAGCAGCAACCAGAAAATACTGAGTATCATCCACCGTGCACCCCACAAACATAACGTATCAGTGAACTGAACCTAGGCAAGCCCTCAAGCCTAGGCACAACCCGGCCGAAACTGCCGCTCACCCCAACCGAGTAAACCCATCCCCATCGCCATCCCCACTACCACGTCGTCAACGGTACACTACCTAAGTATACAACCACTCCTTTAAGGAGGCCCCATAACACCCAACCAGCCAGCCAGCCAGCCCTACAGGCCGTAAATCCAGAGTATGACGTCATCACACCCATCCTGAATCATCCGACACGAGAATCCCGAAACGAAAAGCCGAGCGAGAGAGAAAACAAAGAGTATTTACCTATGCACAGGGGTGGAAAGATCGAAGATTCCGTGGCACTCCCGTTCGTCAATGCCAGAATCGGACTGTACAATCCAGAAAACAGCAAGGATAAAAATAGTAGATATATATAATCCAGACAAACCCCTGCGTAGTTCCATCATTCCATATTCACCCATCCACCAAACCACAAAACAACATCTTAACAAATAACCTGACCCAACCAACCACATACAAACGCCTGACGCTAAGCGACCAACCCCCAACCGCCTCAAGAACACCCCCCCTCCCCAAAAAAATGCCCGCCCTCCCCCCCACCCCCGAAACAACAGCCCAGTTCACCACCGACCTGCGCGACCGCCACCTAATCTACGACTACGCGGCGCAGGACGCCGCGGGCAACCCCGAGAAATGGCGCTACGAGATGTGGTTCTACAACGAGGACCGGATCGTCTACGCCATCCACGGCGGGCCCATGGCCGGGCGCCGCAACTACCAGACCGCCAGCTACCAGTGCATCCGGCCGGGGGAGCTGTGGCAGTGCAACTGGCTCGAGGAGACGGGCACCATCTGCTCGCTGGTGTTCGACATCCCCCGCCGCAAAATCACGACGCTGATCGCGTTCTCCAAGGGGCACTGGGAGCGGAATCACGATGCCAAGGGGGATAAGCGCAACCCCGAGGACTTTCAGCGCTGGCGGGGGCTGGCGCGGGTCGGGTGTCAGACGGATCGGATGCTGCTTAGTGAGCAGGCGGATATTCTGGAGGATTTTCGCGGGCCCGGCGAGTTGGAGGGGATTGAGATGGAGTGGCCTACTTTGTAGGGTCTGAGGGTGCTTGGGGAGCGGGAGGGGTTGGTGTCCGGGGGGCCATGGGATTGGGGTTGAAAGGGGGAAGGTGAAGGTGATTCAAGACAGGTGATTACATATGTACAGTATATGGATCTTGGTGTTGGGAGGTTTGGGAGTTATAGGGTTGCGGGTTCTGATTTCAGTTATCTGACATATTAATGACTCATGTTAATATTGATCATGTGTGCCGCTCAGAGTTCGCTTTTGAATCAATAGCGCCCGCGACTTGGGCTTGACAAGAACCCAACTAAAGATGCAAACCGACACGAGAGTACTCCCTGGACTAGCCGACAAAGGCCCTGTCACACGTAGCCTCAAATATGGGAGCGTCCTACAAGTATGCCGCTCTATTCACGTCATACTCGGCACAAGTACATTTGGTGATGATCTGGTCGTAGCAGAGGCTCGCCGATGAATCTGGCTTACGTTGTCGGCCCCGGAAAAGACAGCCTTTCACTGGTATTTGAAGGCGCAAGCCTCGATACCAATCTGAGACCACTGCCTGTCGGCACGTGTTGTAGACATCCAATATCGCCCAGTATCCCTTTCATAGAATGTTTAGGTCGCAAGGTTCAAGCTTGTCGAGTGAACAGGTGTAAGCTGCCGCGACACTGCCATAAGAATGCCGCGCTGCCGGGCGACCGGACACTGTGCGCAATGGATGACCGTGCGCGGCGGTCATAAATGATAGGGCACAGAGGCCATGATGTTATTTGTATGCCTTGGTGTTGCTAGGCATCAGAACTTGGGGAGAAGGAACCAAGTAACCACATGCAGAGGTCTCATGAGCCGCTACTTGCAGATGAGGAGCCCCCGGAAGAAGGGGCCTGAGTGCAAACAAGCTCCACTTGCACATCACCACTCTGTTGGGGTAGTAGGCCATCGTACGCAGGCGCGCGACTAATGATGGCAACTGCGACCTGCGCAGCTTGCTCATGTGCCGTCATGTTGTCGAGGAACCATGTCCTCCACGGGTTGTTGCTCGACCCGGCGGTCTGGAACGTCGCAGTCTGGTCGGGACCAGTCTCTTGAACGAACGCTGCATATGGGATTAGTTGATAAGATACAGTCAGACAGAGCGGCAGCGATACGTACCCATAGTAGGGATGCCACCAACGTCGAACAGCTGCGGGAAACAACTCGGGAGGTGGGGTCTCTTCAAAAGCATTTGGCTCAATACGGTTTGCAGTGGAAATGTATAGTATTCCCCACTGCTGGTGAGGCCGTAGAGGGCCTCGGTCAACAATGCCTTCAGGTCGGTGGAGCATTGCGGGCCCCAGACGCCATCGCACCCATTGTTGGACCCCGAAGGTGTGCCGGTTAAATTGCCCACCCGCAAGCCGATTTCGGTGGTGTGGTTTCCCATGATGATGGAGTTGTCGATGTTGCCTCCATAGCTGAGCCAGTAACTGACCTTGGTCATGGGCTGTTGACCTTTTCCTCGCGCATTGGCATCGAATCCATAGTAGAGGTTGAGGCTGTCGGTGAAGAGCGGAGGGAATTGAAAAGAGACGGCGGTTTGTGCCAGCGCATCAACACAATTACCACTCCAGAAAGAACAAAACTGAGAAGCTGCAGGGCTGATGATGGTCGCCAGTACTATCCAGAAGGCGAGACAGGGTCGTAACAAAGACCCGATTCCATCAAAGACTGCCATTTGATCTCGTCGACGGTCGGACAACGTCCTCGCAGAAAGAGGTGGCCTAACTACGTCACAAGACCAAGCAGATAATCCGAACAGATGTGGAAAGGGCGACAAGCATGCTCGTAATCAGGTCGACAATCAGAAGTGACGATGCTGACCGACAATGAGATACGCGATGGTTCCGAGGTGAACGCCCCTAAAGCATGCCAGAACTGCGCGCGATGGGTCGAAGTAGCCAGGAAGGGCGATCCAACCAACAATGGAGTTCGGTGTTTTCCGATCGCGAGACTAAGCTGCCTCGTAATTCCTCTATAGTATCCGGTTGCTACCACGTCCTGATGGGCTGGCAATCCAGTCTAGAATCAAAGCCGACCGTGGGGAATTCTCTTTCGCCAGCGCTGAGGAAAAGGAATGAGAGATTAGGTCGGTCGAGGATTGGTCAAGCGACTCGTGACGGATTAATGGGTGCAGGTGAATGAGAGGACTGAGTCAGCTTTGATCGGCCGTTCAAAAGCAACAAACAGACCCTGGCGTCAGAGCCTGCGTTAACCCGAGGAAGGAGGTGAGGAGATGATGAGGGAGACGGACGGGGTGTGGTCCGTCGAAGGGAGGGTTGGTTGTATTTGAGAGAGGGGGGTCCCGTTGTGAAAGGTGGAGGGAGGGTGACAGAGGACAGAGGAAAGAGAATGAGTCGGTATTATTAGATTATTGGATGTAATTAGTTAGTTAGTAGTAGTATCAATGGGCGTAGTCAGGGTGTGACGATATAAGCGGAGGTAGCGTCCGTGGTGATGGGTGGTGAATTTCCCCTTCAGGGCGACTGTTATTCTGACGGTTTGCCCTTGGTCTCCAAGAGAGAGCGTGAGACTTCCACTCTTCCGGACTTGGGTAGGACCGTAGGAGTTACTTAGTTTTAGGGACTGACTCCTCCCTTAGGGGAATCAACTAGTCCCTACTTCGTACTTGCTAGACCACTAAGTACTGCTAGACTAGACTGTTAAGGTGTCTTGCCCGTGAAACAAGGCGTGTGGGCCCCAGATCATGGATTGGCCTCAAGAGGTGCCTGGCTTTCCGGTTGCTCCCTGGCCCTTGGAAGGTATTCTTGGCCGTGGTCGGAGTGGAGACGCTAACTGGATCTAACTGAATCTAACTGAGTCTACTTGATTTAACAGGGTATAAACTGGTCGCGGTCCCCGCATAACTGCACCCAAAGCAGTAATTCTGTAGGGTCATCCCGCCCCAGGGTCACAGCCGATAGCCAGTCACTGAGGGTAAATGGCCACATTTCTCGGCTCTGGCGCCGCTCCCTCAGCCTGTCTTCAGGGGCCAATGAGTTGCCTTATCATCCAGCCACCGCTGCAACAGGGGCTCCGAGCTAGTCAAACTTTTTTTTCCAAATTTCTTTTTCTATTATTTTTGGGGGGTTTGGTACGGACACTGTACTTCGTTTGGATTATAGTATCTCGGACTATCTTCCTCCTCTCTCGCTCTCCCCTTTGGTTATGCTTACTTGACAATATCTATTCAAATAAATGATGATCGGAAATAGTCAAAGCCTTGAAAAGCTATGTTGGAACTCAGTATGATATAAGAGGGGAAGAGTGTAACCCTGAAAATCACCATCGCCTCCGCAACAGGAAAGATAGGATTGCCTGCATCCGGAACTGGTCTGATACCCAAAGCGTTGTGGAATGCCCGTAATTTTGCCGGGCTTGATGATGATGATACAACGATCATTTTTCGGTTTCAGGGTCTCACGGTCTCCAGGCTTAGTGTGGTCTAGTCTATTCTTGTCACGCAGGACCAATTGTGCCTTACTGTTTTGGGTCCAGTACCCTGCCGTAGCGGCCGCCCACCTGTTTAGATCAAATTGATCAAGTTGATCAAATTGTCACATTTTAATCTCAGGTGTGGAAACTGGTGCGAAAGTCTCATTAACACTGTCCTAAGACTCGGTACCACCAAGTTCTATCTGTCTATCCTTCAGTCTCCGACAATTTTACCAATGATCAGAGTCAGACCCGAGCTGGTGGTATTTGATTCCACTCAACCTTAACTTCGTACCACTCACTGTCTCGGTGAGCAGCGATACTGACTTCTGACTTAATGCTATGTTGTCATCCACTTGAAGTAAATTGTATGCACTTGCTGGCCAAGACCAAGGCTCGGCTATCCGCTGGGCTTCGACCTCCGTGTTCACAGCCTTGGAACTTGGACTAGTAAGTTCGTGGCTGCAGACCTTCACTAAACGCATCCAGGGTCTCCCGGAAATATTACTATGAGACAAGTTATTCCGCAGGCAAGTACACCGAGGCTATTCCGTGAGCACATCTGGCTGCAAAATCAAATTTCAGCTATTCTACACAAAACACAGGACCGAAGTGTTGTGTAGATGAATCTTGAAAATGTCTCTGCTGGCAATTTAGACCATAGCAGCTCAGCTAACACGCAGATAGACGGTCGGGATCGTTTCCATCGTTGAGTCACTTTTCGACTATTATGTCAACACAGTGATTTACATCTGCTCGGACCGTAATGTAAATCATCGAGAGTCATGCACTTCGGTACGCAATCAAATGAGAGTTGGTTCGGGCCTGTCAAGAGACACGGTTCATTCGGAAGCGAGCCAGCATTGCGTGGGTCCTCTGTTGTTCTCATCTCCAGGGTGTTCATTCGAAGTTTCTATTACCTGATCAAAGTCTGCGTCTGGTGATTTAGCATTCGTTCCAGCTGTCAAGCAGCGTGCTGGGAAATGTGTCTTTCGCTCTCTTGAACCTTAAATATACGATATCTCGCAGCAGATTTGATGTACAATGGTGCTGCTTGCTTACTCAGAATTGTGTGAGTAGAAATGGAATACATTGTAACTAGTGAGCACATATCCTCTCACAGAAGGTCAGGGGCTCATGATCTTGCAGTATGTCACCAGAATAAGGGCCAGAGGAGGATTTGATCCGCTTGAATTCGTGCTATGGAGCTCTTCAATGCGAATGTCCCCGTCCAGTGTGTTGGAGACAGTATTGTACAGTACATAGTAGATGTGGCCCAGGAAACAGGCCCAACGCACCATTGCTAGTGCTGCTAGCGGCCTGGCGCTCCTCTCGCTAGTGCGGAAATGGTCACAATATGACATTCCAGGCTAGACCTGCTAGCTTGTTGTTGCCACCTGTGAATCTACTCAGGACAACTGATGCTGTTAACCCTTCTGCAGGATCGCTTGTCCGCATCCAGGAGAATCTTTAATCGCGCTGTCTGTAAAAGCTACCGGTCATGCTCAACTCGCGTGTACGACAAAGAGCTGCTGTCCCCTGGAACGTGGTGTGGTCTTGAGGAGACAGGCGATGAGTTCGAGAGTAGGACCCCTACCTCAAAACCCTGAAAGCTTGGCAGAAGTGGGTGAAGGAATTCCCGCCGCTTTCTTAGTGCCTCGTTCATTTTACCAATGATGATGATAACGAGTGGTCCCCGTCGGCGTGCAACGGCAACCTACGGAACCGAATACGAGAATTTCTTTTCAAGCGGAAAAGTCAGTGCTGGACTCACCGTTTGGGGACTGGAAGAGCGATGCTGCGATATGACGTCTACCTGAGTCGGTCGTCGGTCAATAAGCAGTACTCCAAACCCACGCGTATAGCTGCCCTCTACACTTAGTGTGTGCACTGTCAACCAATGTACCCCGTAGAGACCGTCTCTTTCCCCTGGCGATACTGTACTAATTGGAAGAGGGTAATAAGCTGGAAAAAGTGGTCAGGGGAAAGGGGCCCAAATTACCTATACCAGTACCACGTTTCCTCAACATATCGACCCGCAAGTCGCCAGAGTGCTTTCAAGAGAAGTGAAAAAGGTCATCTCCTGGCTGAGACCTCCCGTATGAGGTATGAACTATGAAGTCATGTATTGGATCACCTGTTGTCCAGTGCGTCAGTTCCCAAGGAGGTGCTCGGCTACACAAAGAATGCCGGGTTGCTGCCTAGCGGTCGAACATGGAGCACAGCTGGAAATACCGGAAGTCGAAGGAATGGAAAGGGACTACTGGATTGAAGGAAAGGAGACTCGTAGCCTGGAAGTTGTTGACCGACAGGGTCCCCTTCTGGTTCTTTCCCTATTTCGGGTCTTGGCATGCGGACTCAGGCAGATTAGACCCAGATTAATATCCGATGATGTCCACATCTGCCTCAATCCGAACAACGCGAGGCTTGGGGATTGGTTAGCTCTGTATGAGTGGTTTTGAACCTTGCGTCATTGGCTCAAAACATTGATTCGAGGGCATTGGATGTGTATCGTCCTGTAGGTACAATATGTATCATGGATTGCACTGATTCTTGCCATTCTCTTGATGATAGCTACTTACAGAGTACAAGCCTCGATTTGACGTGTCCATCAACTCATCTCTACCGCTATTGTTTCTTCTTTTCGCCTTATCAAGCCCTTATCAAGACTCTCCCGACCACCCGCGTCTGCTTCCCTCCTTTAATTCCATGATTCATCATGATCTCTGGATAGGAGACCCATTCAGTTCTCCTCATGTAAAGCTGAGACAGGGTCTCGAGATTTCTGCAAAGCCTCTGCGCGGGACTTAAGGATCGACGCAGACTCTTTGATCAACCGAGCCAATCGGCGCATCCTTACCAGCTCGCGGTTTGTGTTGACCTCTGCCACGGCCACAATCTTGCGGATAGTCTCAAGCTCCGCGGCCTCCATGCCGGCCAGTCCGCGAGAGTGAGCCCGGCTCTGCTGCTCGAGGCTTTGCTTACAGTATAAGATTCTACTCACCGCCTTAACCCGCGGCGATGTTTTCGGGATGTGAAAAGTCAGCCATGCAGCGTTCTCCGGCGTAGCGCCCTGATGATCGAAGACCACACCCATGGCCGCCGCCCGCTTGGTGAGCTTCTTCAGACTATGCGCTCCTTGACGGACCGGAGCCACATTCGCGTCCCATTCAAAGCTCGGGAGCAGGCTTCCCTCGACGTTAGGATCTGGCTTCCTAGCCTTCCATGTCTCATAGAGGAGGACCTCTCTAGGCGACATCTGTTCCTTAGCCAGCTTCTCCAAATCTCGCGTGGGTGGCGCGACAAGCTCCAGCCCGGTGAAAAGTGCTAAACTGTTGCCCTGCGTGGCCACTTCGGCGAGGTCTTGTAACTTCTTTAACGTCTCTTTGAGATCATCGGTCGCGGCGGGTACAGGTTGAAATCTCAAGTCTCGGCCCAGTCGCGAGAGTTGTGCTGGATCCATTGTGAAATAAGACGATTGCTTTAACCGTCCCCCTTGTAGATGATTCGTTGGTTTGACTATGTGTTTCAAGGTTTGCAGCTGATGCTTTATTGATTCGGCATCCTTTGGCTAGAGGGAATGTGGTAAGTACCGTATAGGGAACTGATTGCAAGATGTGTAGCGATATGTTCAACATCGAAACCTCGTGGAGAGTACCATGGATGCCTGCGGGTACCAGCTGACATCCTCGCTCTCATCAAGTAAACAGTAAACCACATCAACTTGACTACAAAGACGAGCGCTCAGTAGTGTATGTTACAAATCAAGCTCGAACCGGTCACGTGCAAGGCCATTGTTGACAGTGAAGCATTACCACAGTCTAGGATTCACCTAATTGCGCATCTGAGCCTTAGAAGAGGATGAAAGTCAGTAACCTCATTTTGCATGCACTTCCTGCATCTTAATGTTAAGATAATACTCCTCAGGCGCCAACGGTGCTTACAGTCAGTGCAGCCACAACCCGCACCACCCACTATTACAACCTCACCTACCACCACCTTAATGGAGACCCGAGCACAAATACACTATACGCCAAGCACGGCACTCAGCTCTCAATTAGCCTATAAACCAACCGCGCCAGCCTGTACCCCCCAGTACTGTCAGTCACCACAGCCCGCCGGGTATACAACCTTTCCCCATGTATCATCTCAAATCCCCAAACCTACACCCCACAACCATTAGCCAACAGCCTTGCGCCCCATCTTCTTCCCAACGCAGAACAGTATCTTCAGAGTAAAAGGGAACATACATACCTGCTCAGAACACCACCCTCCATCCTTCTTCTTATCAAATACATGCCCCCAGATCCCCTCCCCAGACCCCCTCCCTTCTTCCCCAAACAACCCCCTAACCACAGGCTCCTCCACAAGGAACCCTTCCGAGTGCGTGCATCCATCAAGCTCCACCTCCCCCCTCAAGAACCTCCTCACAACATCCCCATCATCTTTCAGCAGACTCTGCACCTCCACCGCAGGCCTAACCACCCCATCCTCACCACCACCAGCACTTCCCCCTACCTCCGTTAAGGTAGGTACCGAGGTGTCCCCCCTAATATACCGATTCCGACACACAATCCCCCCAAACAGAAAATTCTCTTGCTCGTAAACCTCCCAGTCGAAGTGCCGGATATCCGGTGGCGGGTTGGCGGCCTTGCTGCTGGTTTGGCGGGCGGTAAGCTGGGTTTGGGGGGGGCCACCGCTTGCGTTGGTATCGGTGTGGTGGGCGATTTGGATGGTGAGGGGGGTGAAGAGGATGGTCTTGCGGAGGAGCCAGGGGATGCCTTGCTTTTTCCCCGTAGGCCCCCGTAGGCCCCCGTAGGGGCCGTAGGGTTAGGGTTCAGTTTCTGTCCTCTAGAACTGTAGTTTGACGCCTGTGGCTTTGCTTTGGGAGATTGAGTCAAGGGCAATGCGTACTAGTTCGAGGATTGGGTCCAGGTCGCTGGAGAGGGATTTGTCCTGGTTGCTCGGTCCTCTCCCCCGTGCTCTCCGTGGAGGGTTCGGGGGAGATGGGTGGTTAGTTTTGTGGGTTGATGTCTGGTTAAGGAGGGGGAGGAAAAGGGAATATGTGGGAGCACTTGCTAGGGTCCAGCTGCCGGTCAGGTTGTCGATTGTTGGGGACATTTGGGCTCTGCGTTTTAGGTGGTGTGGGCTTGGGTTTTGGTGGGTGGGTCCGGTTGGTCTTGTGAAGTTGATGGGGAGGAGGGGTGGTTTATAGTGAGGATGGGTGACGGGATGCGAGTCTGAGTGGGTGTACTGTACGGTACTACTGTTTATCATACTGAAATGAACGGGGTGGGTGGGTGTTACACAAGTGGTTCTGCTTTGTGGTCCGCTGTCCGTTGCTATACTCCGGACTCCGATTGAAAATTGAGCTGCTGTTTCTGGGGTTGATGTGCTGCATGGGTGAGTGAGGTGAGGGGAGTGTGAGGGGAGGTGTAAGGGAGGTGTGAGGGGGATATGAGGGCAGATTGAGGCTGGATTGACTTGATGGTAAGGCAGACAGCTTATACTTTGTATACATCAGGGCTCAGCTCAGTGACACAGGCTGAATTGAGTAGCAGGTCAGGTTAAATGGAACTTCTCGATGAAGGTGATCGTGAAGAATGACTCAAGTTTATCAATATTGTACAGAATGTCTCGGGTGTAACAGACAGTAATCGTTTCCTAGTATACACAGCACTTTTTCCATGTGCCTCCCGTGTTCTTTTCCCTGCCAAAAACGTGCTCAAATATGCTGGTGTGAAGATGTGAGATGGTGATCAACAGCAGTAGTAGTCAATCAGAGTGAGGAAAGAATAATCATGTGGGAGAGTGTCCTGGTGATATCAGTAAGAAAATAGAAACAGAAACCCAAACGCCATAGCTCCACGCTGGAATGTCGAAAATATGTTTCTTCGAAGCGAATTGTCTTCACCCAACACTCAAACGCTTCGACGTCAATGTTCATCATCTTCCCCGTTGCCCCTGAGCCAAACGCGCTTCCACGGACCCTCCGGCCCGACAATGGCTTCCCGGTCCTGGCGCATGCCCTCAAGGACAGCGACAATACCACCGCTGCGCAAACGTTCTAGGACGACATTCATGCCCTGTTTACTCTTGAGGATAGCGTCCCGGGTACGATTCAAACCGATCAGCTCAATCGTGCGCTGGATGCCGGCCGTGGAGAGTGACGTGAAGAAGCCTCTCTTGGGAGCCTCATCCTCGATCTCGACCACTTGGTCACCGGCTTCTGCCTTCCTCCGGCCTAGTAACTTTGCTTGTCCGAATCGAGAGTGGAACGTGACCGTTGTCTTCACTGTTGTCTGCTCGCTCAATTTGCCGTCGAGGTGAAGCCCTTGAAGTCGGTCGAGAGCCCCCTCGAGCGGCTGGCGTTGGTAGAATTGCTTCTCCACCACACTCAGGATCCCAGTCCACTCCATGTTGCGCGACTCAGTCCTCATCCAGCCTTCATTGGCGTCAACGACGGTCGTTTCGAGGATGTAGCTCTGCCCGGAACTGTCCGAGCCGCCCATTCCCTTTGGCAGCAACTTCAGAATCCCCGACGGAACCTTAGACTTCTTGAGGTGCAAGCGAATGGTGTGGAGGCGTTTCGTGTCCGGGTCGACGTAACGGTCAATGACATCAGTGGTTAGAACATGGCGAGAGTACGGGTTAGGATAGCGGAGGAAGTAAGCCAGCGACACGGCTGGGAAGGAGTAGTCGTATGTAGAGACATTCTCGAAGAATTTCATTCTTGCAGCTGCTGATGCATACAGACGAATTGATTGGGAGATGGACAGACGGACAAATGGATGGTGGATTGAATCTGAGAGATGATATGATAAGTTCGACTGATGGATGGGATGGATTTATGGGATTGTGAATTAGTTGGGAGTTGGGCTGGGGGTGGCGTTGTGCTTGTGGGAGAGACTGCTTGTTAAGTTCAAACGCAGTCAGTAAGGTTTTGGGGATGATCAGCTCTCCGTTCTGCTCAATCACCTTTCTCAGTGGCCGGACAAAACCGCCCGAACCTCCGGGACTGGGAAGAATTTCTGTCAGCTTCTCAGCTAAGCCTCTTTGAGAATGCGGGGATGCTGACTCATCTGCTTGCGCATCGCCAATCGTTGCATCATCTGATTCTCCCACCTTGCTCGGCCAATCACACGCCCGGTGCTGGTATATTGCGACTACGCGATTTGCCTATGGAAATGGCGAGACTTACACCCTCAGCGTCTCAAGCTGCATCAATGTTCTACACCATCAGATGCCAGGTGTTGATTGGGAGACACGTTTAACACGCTCATACGACTGGTGCAGCGGCTGACGTCAATTGCCGACTCCTTATTGGATGCATGGGCTGCATCAATACCTACTAGTACCTCGTTTGATCCAAATGTATATACCTCCTGGGAGGTTATGCTGTACTGAAAGCCGCTGGCGCTGTGACCCATCTACTTCCCCTCTTCAACTGTGTATGATGCCTTCCTTGACCCAAGGTACTGACCACTCGAAAGATTAGCTAGGATGGCTGCACTCTAGCGGAACATGGAAACGGTACTGTTTGCAGTTACTTGGATAGAGCACTTGAGTTTCACCCCTGCAACTATTCTGCCCATACGGAGATAATCTTGACGATTGTGTGATTCTAGCATTGGCCATCACCGGGTCCGTTCAAGACAATTCTACCACGGATGAAGCCCCGGACACCGTTACTGAGCCAACACTCTTCGCCATCGATCAATTCAGCAGCTTCGATGATCTGCTCGGCACAGAATCCTTCAGCTAACGCATATTGCCTTGTTGTACCTGCATTACCACCACTCGAGAGGGGAGGCGTGACCCAGCCTGGCTCCGTATCACTTTCTAGGCTCTCACCCTTACTTGTAGGTCGCCTGCGCCGGAAGTAGGGTGTGGTGATGCTCCCTTCCATAACTTGACCCTCGGGGTTTACAAGCAGCACCTCCGCCTCGTCTAATGGGGACATGATCCCCGCTCTGACCCGTGCAGCATTGTAGAAATCACGAGCGGTAGTCTTGTGCCTCGTGAACGCGGATGGAGTTATACACCCTGTATCCACGTAAATATTCCATAGGTTTGAATGTGCATGATCTCGATTGGGGATAAGCATGTTCAATGGGTCAATCGATGCTGTCGGGTTGACCTCGACAGTACAAGCTCCGGTGCGGTCAATGACGATCCGGATGCGCCAAGGTTTCGTCTTGTCCAAGATGTGAGTATCAAGGTATCGAGAAAATTGACTGAGGTCATTTCGTAGAAATAACAGAGCCTCCTTCCAACCGAAGCATTCTGCCGCATTACGAAGCCGTGCCTGATGGTAGGGAAGCAGGTAGTATGGCGTGCTGGAAGGGTGAAAAGTGGTGTTCGCGGCGTTCTTGGTGCTCAAATCTCGAAGCGCAGGATCATAGCGCAGAGACGAGATGATTTGGAAGTCCTCTTCCAGCGAGGCGGAAGCCATTGACTGCATCCCTGGGGTGACCTGATCGATCGCGTAGTCTACCACTTCCGCCAGATCCTGCACTGTTAGTAGCTTTGGCTAAGAACAGAGGTTCAGTGTTGCTCTGAGTAAATGTGTTCAGCACAGCGCACAATCAGTGTCTGATGAGACCAGGAACTCTCCTGGGAGGAATTTGCGCTTGATCAAGGAAGAAGAGAATGACGAAGATGCGGTGGTGGAGCGAACCAGAAGCTGACGGAGCATCCCCTTGCCGCGAGCGTGATTGGCCCATAGGAGCTCGGGAAGCCCGCTGCGTCGCCGGAACATCGCAACGCATAACTTTTCAAACCGCATCATCTCTCTCTCTCTCTCCTCGCTCTTTTCCATCTCCACCCCCCTCCCCAACGAAGCAAAGCAGTCATCCTGCCGACGAGCTCTTTCCCTACACCCAGGACGGTTCGTCTCTCTCGCTACTGACTCTTATCTGACCGCTGTCTCCAGCGCTAACTTCGCCTTCCCAGAATTATAGATAAAAAGAGACCAGACTAAGATAACGGGTTCCTCTGCCGGGTCATCATGTCGAGCGCATCACCATTGCCCCAGCCAACAAAGAACGTGGTTCTCGACACCACTTCCCTCCCCGCCTCTTCCTCAGCATCGGTATGGGATCGCATCTCAAAATGGGTGTCGGAGAACAAGGCTCTGGTCTACACCATCGCCGGTGTCGCCGTGGTTGTAACTAGCGCGGGTGTCGTCTACTACCTCTCCGATTCCGGTCGCCCTACCACCACTGCCGCCCCCACAGAAAAGAAGAAGAGCAAGAACCAGAGACGGAAGGAGAAGAAGAAGGCCGAGGAGGAAAAGAAGGCCAAGGCTGCCTCTGTCCAGGAGGGTATGTCTAGTCCATTTACATCCTCCGATCTCGGTCGACCGTCGAAGTTCGGGCTAATGATGATCTCCCAGAGCCAGCCGCAAAGAAGGCAGAAGAGCCTTCCGATGAGATCCCTGAGGTTGACGAGACTACTGTTGAGCAGTTGTCTGAGGAGGTGCGCGATTACCCTTTGTGCTAGGTAAAGGCTGAATAGTCTTGCTGATTGTACCCCCCTCAAATTTACAGACAAGAAAGGCCTACGCTGCCAAGCTGAAGGCTGCCGGAAACAAGGCCTATGGTTCCAAGGACTACAACCGGGCCATCGAACTGTACGGCAAGGCCATCATTTGCAAGCCCGACCCTGTCTTCTACTCCAACCGTGCTGCCTGCTACAACGTTTTGTCCGAGTGGGGGAAGGTCGTCGAGGACACCAGCGCCGCTCTCGCCATGGACAGCGAATACGTCAAGGCCCTAAACCGCCGCGCCATTGCATATGAGCACCTCGAGCAGTACAGCGAGGCTCTTCTCGACTTCACCGCCAGCTGCATTATCGACGGTTTCTCCAACGAGATCAGCCGCGTCGCCCTCGAGAGACTCCTGAAGAAGGTTGCTGAGAAGAAGGGCAAGGATATCCTCGAGGCCAAGGGCAAGAAGCTGCCAAGCCCCACTTTCGTGTCCAACTACCTTCAGAGCTTCCGCCCCAGGCCTCTTCCGGAAGGTCTCGACGAGTCCGCCGACCTGAGCGAGGAGTCTGGTAAGGGCCTTCTTCGCAAGGGTCTGATTGCGATGGCCAATAAGACTGGGGATGGCTACGAGGAGGCTGCTACGTCCTTTGAGAAGGCCCTCGAGGTTGGCGATCTCGGCGACTTCGAAGCCTTGGCCCTTAATATGAGAGCTACTTTCACCTACCTGGTTGGCAACGCCCAGGCTGCGCTGTTGGACCTCAACAAAAGTGTTGAGTTGCAGCCCTCTCTGGTGCAGAGCTATATCAAGCGTGCCAGCTTGCACCTGGAACTCGGTACGTGATTACAACGAATGCTTTCCCTCCTTGCACGTCTAATAACGTTATACAGGAAACAAAGATGCTGCCGCCGATGACTTCGAACTTGCCATTACCCACAACAAGGACGACCCTGATATCTACTACCACCGCGCCCAGCTCCACTTCATCCTTGGTGAGTTCGCCGAGGCCGCTAAGGATTACCAAAAGTCCATCGATCTCGACCGTACCTTTATCTACTCGCACATCCAGCTTGGTGTCACTCAGTATAAGATGGGATCTGTCGCTTCCGCCATGGCCACCTTCCGCAGATCCGTGAAGAACTTCGAGGATGTTCCCGACGTCTACAACTACTACGGTGAACTTCTCCTTGACCAGCAGAACTTCCAAGAGGCCATCGAGAAGTTCGACAAGGCCGTCGAGATGGAGAAGCAGAGCAAGCCCATGGGCATCAATGTCCTGCCTCTCATCAACAAGGCTCTTGCGCTGTTCCAGTGGAAGCATGACTTCCAGGAGGCCGAGAACCTCTGCCAGAAAGCCCTGATTAGTAAGTGTCACGATAAGCCATAATACGCTGCGCCCACTTTGATACTAATTCCATGACAGTCGATCCTGAGTGCGACATTGCCGTGGGTACCATGGCTCAGCTGCTTCTGCAGCAGGGCAAGGTCTCCCAAGCCCTCAAGTACTTCGAGCGCGCTGCCGAACTCGCTCGTACGGAGGCCGAGATCATCAACGCCATCTCCTACGCTGAGGCCACTCGCACGCAGCTGGAGGTGCAAGAGAAGTATCCCCAACTTGCTGCCCGTTTGCAGGGCATGAGTGCCGGAGGTGGCTTCGGCGCTCCCGGTTTGTAAACCCGATCTATTATTTGATCTCGACTTAATCGTCCTCCTCCACCTCCCGCCACCGTCGTTATCATCTCTTTCCGACTCACCGAGTGTTGTAGGCAATATCCGTGCCTGGTTGTGTCATCTTCTACCCTGGTTTTTTGAGGGTGTTTTTAGGGCGCCTGGACCACTCATCCACTGTGTGTATTTATTCTACGGCTTGTGTTAATCTCTCTCCCCACTGATATACTGTGTATGGATCTCTTTTGTTTGGTGCTGCGTTTCCTTACTTCTGCACTCGTGTGTCATTAAAGGATATTCCTCGTATCGAGGCGGGTTTCCTCTTCCCTATGAATGTCTGGTTGCGCCCCGGGCTCTTTTGTCAAGAAAGAATGGCCCGAAAGATGCCGTGCTTTGAAACGTTCTGGAGTGGGGTAAACCTGGTATGGCTGCGTGTCGATACTGCGGCTGGACGACTGTCGTAAGGGAGGCGGATGAGAAGTGTACGACAATGTATTATAGTACTGTGAAAGAGGCAGGAGCAGCAGCAGAAAGAAGAAGATGAAGAAAAGGAAGCAGGATGGTTACTTGTTATGTTATTCTTCTTATCTTTGTAATTCGTAACAGGTCGAAGGGATAGTTGGTCTGCAAGATAGTCTGTAGAGGGGGCCACGCACTGCTGATTTTACATACGAGGGCCTGACCTGCGGGTGCCTCCTTAGACCAAGGTCTTGTAAACTTGAAGCGCCCTTACCGGGCCCAGTAGGGCCTGTGTATTTATGCCTTTTTAAGCATTTTGAACAGAGGTGCTGCGTGAGGCCTCGCTCGGTCGCGTGCTTGTAGAGGTGCCGTGAGATCTTGCTTACTTGACTATAAGTTATGACTAAGAATAATTAGTGATATATCCTTATATAAGGAGTTAGCACTTACTCGATATTGTATAAGTTTCTTATGGGCCGTTGATGTTTGGATAAGGAACGCGCTCTGTGAGAGTGCTGGTGGTATACACGGCCGTTTCGGAAGTGCGTGGCACCCTAAGAGGTAAGTAATGTAGTCTGTGTTGTGTTGTAAGGGAAGAAGGGAAGGAAGCGGACGGCGGGAGGTGGTCCCGACTCCCGGATAAGCCCCGGAATCTCCTCCAGCTCACAAGCTGATGACTTAATTGGTCTTAGTCGCCTTACAAGTCCCTCACTGATTCCTCACTGTGACTGTTCTTTCGTCCACCTGACGGGAAGTCCCCACTTATCCGCCTATCAGTGATCGCCCCTCTCTCCATCTCTCCCGTCATTATCCATTATCGTTGTCGTCGTCGTCGTTCGATACAGTACTTCAATGCTGTGCCGGTTCACCACTTGTTTCTACTAGGTACTGTACTTAGTAAACTGCTGGTACTGGAATCCCGATCCGTCAAATACCGTTTGATCTTTCATTGTTGGTCCTGTATCAGCTGTCTGGGCTCCTCTTTCCTTTGCATTCCTCGCTCTCCCCCCTCCCCCTTCCCTATCATCAACTCGAACTACATAGTTATCAGCAAGAACCGGTATTCTCGGGTTCCCACCAAGTTCACCCCCTACGCTTCCCTTGAAGTTTGGTGTTCTATTTGATTGTTTCAGCCCGATCATTTAGTTGTCAGTTCTTTCCTGGACGGCGACCGCCTGTTGACTGTGCTCGGGCTGATTACATCGGGTACGTGCCCCTCTTCAGCCTGCTCGAGTCTCCCGTCTTCCAACTCCTCATCTTTGTTTCATCATCATCATCATCATCATCATCCACTCCTCCCAACTGATCTCAACACAGCCACTGAGTACTACGTCTATCTAGGCTGAACGATCGATAGCGCTCAGAGCGATCGGCTCTAGAAAACTGACGTCATGCTCTTCTCAGAAGGTATGTGTTTACCTGGACTGGCGTACTCCTCCCCCGGCACATTAGCCAATCCACCACCGTACGGCACCTCGCCGAGCTCTCGCAGGGTTTCAACGAATTCATGAAAGCCTCAGAAGCTCAAGAATCTCAGCGAGTTCTCGAACCCCTCAAAAGAGCTCGAGGATCTCAACGAGTTCCAAAACACCCCGGAAAATCACTGGCTGACTTATCAATATCACTAGCTGTTGTTAACCTTCGTCCGCTGACTCCGATCGATGAGTTCCCCTGCCGATCTCTCAAGTTTACTCCTGATACTACCGGTGTTTGCATCGGCCGAGCGTCAAAGCGGGAGTCCAAGAATCTCGTTCCCTGCAAGGATAATGGGCTATTCGATTCGCGAGTCATGTCAAGAAATCATGCTCAACTGATAGTACGCTTGGATAAGAAGGTACGCGTCTCTCGAGCAACCCTCTCAACACCCGGGCAGCCTTCGCTAATGGTTCTGCAACTAGCTTGCCCATCTTCGAGATGGTGGATCAATGCACGGTACCTTCGTGAACGGAAAGAAACTCGCCAGCCAGGAGGAACACCCGCTTAGTCAAGGGGATCTTATCACATTTGGCACAGAAGTGATTCGTGGTAAAGGTGAGTGGCCTCGCACGGGTCAACAACTTGCTTTGCGAACTTTCATTGGGCGCAACTGACTCATCGTCGGCATCTAGATACGTTCCCACCGGTTCGAGTACGTTGTGAACTTGACTGGCTTCATAAGCCTACACCTACGAATACGTTCTGTGTACCTGATGATGACGATGACAATGACGTCGAAACTGATAATGCTCCGGTGGTATGTCCGGCTGCAAGCTCTGATGAAGATGACTCTGTATTCCGCTCTGACTTTGATGATCAGTCGGTTGTGGAGGTCTCATCACCCTTTACCTCACCCTTGAAAAAGGATTCACCGAACGTTTCCCTCTATTCATCTGTCAACATGCTTAATAACAGTGAATGTGCTGCTCACCACGGATCCCGAGACAGTCCCATCAACCTCGACTGTGATCCGGCTGAACAGCCTTTGGTAACTCCGCGGATGACCCCACCAGCGGCGATAAATACCCTCGATGAGGAGCCTGGTGAGGGTTTCACTCATCTGGATGTCTTTGTGGAAGAAACTGGGCTGGAGTCCTCCCTGGAATCCTCTCCTGAAGGGAGTTCGGACTGGGAGGAGGAGGAGGAGGAGGAGGAGGAGGAGGATGACGATGATGTTTCCTACGGTGATGAAGAGGAGATACACTCGCAGTGCTCTTTGGACTCTGACATGGAAGAAGACCCATGCGTCTTTGACGACTATAAGACTATGAAGGCTTCTCAGGTCCTCGGTATTCGTGACCTGATAGCGTCCGATCCTTCCTTCGACTTCGAGGGAGCAGCTCATCGACTGACTTCTGGTGTTGCCGAGCCTCGCTTCGATGACAACAAGGGAAACGAGGTGTCACCCTCTTTACCCAAGGCTATCCCATCCGACTTGCCTGTCATTGAGCACAACTCCTCAGAACCAATTTCGCACAATGTAAAACCAAGCAAAGCATTTCCTATCCAAGCGCCACAGCCATCGAATATGCTGCCGTTACCCCTGTTGTGTCAACAGACCCAGAACAGATTTCTCCATAATTCCCTCGTTGGGCTTCAGCAGAATCCTTTGGCGTCTCCTATCGATTGGCATCCTGGGAGTGTTTATCCGCTTCCTATCCCAGCTCTCCCAAGGGTGACCTATTCGGATGGCCCCTTTGCCAATGAGCTGACTGCGGCACATAGTACTGCAACTACTTGCGAAACCACCGAGCCTGCTGTCGCGAACCCAGCCGCAGCCTTTCCAGTAAGCAAAGACATTGAGTCGAGCGAACAAGATATCCAGAAAACTGCCGTGGTCTCAGAGCAGCCGAAAACACCACAGTTGCCGTCATCGCAGGGTGCCATTCCTCCGCAAGATCCTGGTTCCACTGTACAAGGAATTAGGCCATTGAAAAGGAAGGCAGATGCTATTGAAGAACCCATGCCCAATCAATCGCAGGATATCCAGGCCTTGGATTGTGTCCACAACGAGGCAGGCTCATCTGAGGCTCAGCCAAGGAAGCCATCGGACAAGCAAGATATTATTCCGCGTTGTCTTCCAGACCAGGTCCCTGCAAATGAGTCTACACCCGCCAGTCAAACTCTCAATGTTCCTACCAGCTCCGAACGACCGCTCAAACGAGCAAAGAAGTCAGCGGCACGGAGCTTCGCCAGCCATGCTGCTACTGCTGCCCTAGGGGTTGCGATAGGTGCTCTCGGTACTATTGTCACGTTGGCCTCGCTTCCTCCCGACTACTTTCAGGAATGAGCTGGCTCCTGGGGTCCGCTGCGGAGGACTTAATGCTTTTATTTTGGTAACATGAAATGGGTTGATGATTTCCTTACGCTTACGAATTATAGTGTGTGTGGCGTTGTCGGCATTCTCGATTTGAGACTGGATTCTCCGGTCATCCTAGCTTGTTTTCGGCTGAACTTCTTGTTGCTTGGGACCATACTCACTTTTGTTCTTTGCTTTGCTTTTCAACTGTTTAACGCCAGGTTAAAGTCATAACTACCTATTTACTATGAGCCGAATGTAACTAGTGCTTCGGCAGATAATTCAAGCAGTCTTCTTCTGTCATGATGCATGGCTATCCTGTGTGACCACCCATCTTGAGGTCAAATCAACGCATTTTCTTAGTATGCAGACCAGAAGCTTCAGCTCGAGCCCATGAGGTGATTCCTCTGCGGGAGCTGATTGACAGCCCTCTTGCCTAAGATCTGGCTTCCTCCCTTGATCCCAATTGGATAGACATGTATGTAGATTATGGCTGAAACGTGCCGCACTCCTATCCCTGAGCGATCATCAAGTTGCCTTGTTCTCGCACTGCTGCCCTTATTTGACCTCGATATCACCTTCCCACGGAATTGCAGACATGGGTGGTAGTTTAGCGTCTGGCTTGTCGGAACACTTGGCTTTCAAGTCAGCTGATTGCGCATTTGTTTCTTCCTCCGACTGGAGCGGCTGAATCTCGCTTTGTGCGACCCTCAGCCCAACAACACCATTAACTTCCACTTAACTCCCGCAGCACTTGCGAGGTCACTTCCCTGCTCTGCTTTCGCGCTCTTTCTAATGAAGAGTCATCCAAATATTACAACTGACTGTCTTGCCTTGAGTCAGCCTAGCTTAACAATGGCTATGATGAACGATCCCCTAGTTCAAGCAAGATCCAAGGCCAGCGCGTGATTCCTGTCGGGTACTTGCATGCCGCTGACCATTTCTTCCCTACTAGACAAGCCTATTACCATCCACGATTGCTGTCTACTATGCAAGCCACTATTCTTTCCCTGTGGACAACTGTGCGAGAGAACAGTCAATTCTCCTTCGCATGGAAAATCTACGTAGCATTGAGCTTATGGTCCCCACATGGGCGGCGCTGGATCGATGACAACCGCTGTCAGTTTATCTTCCCGATGTGACTATTTCTACGGCGCTTTGGCGCTCCCTTTGCGCGTCCTTGGCTCATGCGCTCTCCAAGCCACTTGCTGTTCCAGCGTCCTCATCGATTACCTTTTTCGGAAGAACAGGTTGACCTAAGACAACATGGATCTGCCAAGCTCGTCACTTGCTGCGTCATACCGTTCTTTTCTCAACATGGTCCTGTTTCATATTATGACCAAGGATGCAACAGAACATGTGACCAATCCGCAGACACGCAATCTCTCCAGGCTGGCTGACTTAAGATGCCATTGGTCGAGGATTGGGGAAACAAAAGAGGATTAGTTCGCCCTGAGGGTAAAAAGAAAAGTGCCTAAGGCACTGACTAATAAGTAGAGCAGCGATTGCAGCGGTTATTTCGCGATTGATTCTCCGGGCCTCATTATGCGACCGGATACTTGCAGGCCCATGGAATTAACCTCCCGACATGAGATACAACCGTGTCGCAACCTACCAGGTACAGTACTATCAGATCATCTGATGGCCACACTACCCTACGCCGTTCCATTTCTCTCCGCCGCTATGGCCACGGATTGAGTACCCTTAGAGAACTATTGCCTTGGGCAAACTCTGCGGCTCAAACACCACTGTGGGGTTGCTGTTGTTTTTTGTTCAATGAAGTCCACTGTGTCATGATTTTCGTGGGTGGGTAGCTTAATTTTGATTCTTTGTTCTCGTGAATGGAGAATGCTATCGGGATGCAGGAGTGATAGCCGCCTCGTTGACGCCGCATCCGTTGTTCGATCACTTGTGTGGATATCCACCAAGTATCTAAGGCAGCAAGCTTTCGCATTGGAAGGAAGAATCTATAGTTCTCACATGTAACGGGATTTGACCTTGAGTGTCCAGTCTACCGGGAGGCCGATTGAAGTGGTCTGCAATGATTGGTCTGCCTCTTAGCGAATATGCAGGCTCCATGCATACGACACCCTCGGACCCATTCCAAGAGGGGAGAAAAGCCGCCTTAAGTTCACTCGGGGTTCTCAGAGGTTAGTGATCGGTGTCACTGCTACTTCGGCTAGAATCCCTCTAGAACTGCTTTCTTGTGTCATCTTGAACTCCGATGGCTGTTACTGATGAGATGGTGTCCCAGTCAGACGGGCTGCACCTACCCGTCTCCAGTTCTGAAGCCCTCTTTAATCTTTTTTAGATATCTGTTTATCCGAAATCTTCCAATCTCGCTCCTTATTCTGAGCCAGCGAGGTAGCACAACTCTCCGTGGCTGCCATGCTTCTTGTCTTGTTCCCGGCTATTTGTCCTATTTGGTCTCTATCACACCCACCAAGTCCACCACCTCCACCATCTCCACCACCCCATGTTTTCTTTTTCCTCTTTCTGATTTAACCGCAGTATGCACGCTATATCACTTCTCCTATTTTCATTTGCTTCTCTTTGTCGGTTCGACCCCCCCCCCCCCTCCTTTCCCCTCCATACCATACCAAGATAGACGAAACGATCAGCATTCTCTGATACGCACGAGCAAGCCTCACATGTAGGCAGCTGGGCCGGTTATCAATGGCCGCCGCAACGATCATGTACTGGGTCCGGCCCTACGGGTCCAAGGCATCTACAAGGCTCTCATTCGGCTGTCGTCTTCGTGAATCACCGAGAAAAAAAGCATACTCGCGTGTCTAGTAGGCATCTCTATCCCCCCCCAGAGGCTAGTCTCTGGGGACTGAGCATGCAGAAGCTTTGTGATCCTTGAATCAGGCCGCACTGACCGTTCATATCATTGGAGCGGCTCTCCGAAAAAATATCGCTAGATGTGACCGAAGGCTCACGCTGGTAATTTACTTCGGAGGCGATTACTGGAAGTTGATTCGGTGCTGCCGATACGAGATCCCTTGACTCGCAAGCTGGTCGCACAATCAATGGCCGAGTTGGTCTTACGATTTCCATCTACAGAGAGGTTGCCATTCGCACCGGGCAGGGAGCAGCCTGGCTTGACTGCAGACTGGTATTTTGCTTTTTCTCTCGCATCTTTCCCCAGTTGGTTTCGAATTGTTCCAAGCCTAACGGAAGACAGATAAATCAAGCTTCCCCTCAATGAGAAAATTCAACTTCGAGATCTGAAACAACATTCTACCGATTGTCTCAGTTGGCCACATCATCTTCGCACGTGTTTTAAGTCGTGGGCAATCCTCATTGACTTTTCAACTGCTCATCCTCTGATATCGAGCTCGTTGTATCTTGTTCCTGTTGGTCAGCGAAAACGATGTCTCACTCGGCAGACTCAATCCACCCCCTTGACCCCGATCACAACTCATGCATCGGTGGACAGACAGTGAAGACCTGCCGCAGCTGCGCAGGGAATGCACCACGGTCGGTTTTTCCGCCAACGAAACAAGCTTTTCTTTTTTGTCGTCACCACTAACGCAATCGACAGAGGCTCGATCTGCAACAGCTGCAGTGGCCATGGGTTCGTTCTATACGTCTGCACTCATTGTAACCCAGCAGCCGCTGTGTCGATGTCTACCCCGGGGTCATCTACTCCTGCCAGCCCAGCGTCCTTGAGCCGAAGCTCGTCTACCTCCGTATCATCGCAGAACGATGCTAGGCAGATCCAATCCTGGAGGCGCTTCGGTGATGGCGATGAAGGCCCACCAGGAGGGAGGATCGAAACCAAGGCAAACACGCCCCGTGGCCTATGATCAAACTTCCGAAAGAAAAAGAAATTCTGAAAGTCTGGGGTGCTGGCTGCCCTTTTTGTCTTCGCTTCTCTTTGTGCGCTGAGGTCGTCATACTGCACCTGAATCTTTCGCCACGTTTCGGGCTTATTTCCATTAGCTTTTTCCCTTTCGGCGAAACGGAGTCACAAACCCAGTGATGTATACCCGGCGAAAAGCCTGTGATTTTTCATTGGGCGTTTTTCACCTATATTCCATTCAATATGTGAGCGCTTTTCGCATTCTTCGCCTGCGCTATCTCGTATTCACTGTTTGCATGCAGGTGGAGAATTCAATGGTATTGCGCGATTGAGAACTCAATGCAGAGTACAAATGTTGATTGTTGATGCGGAACAGCTTGTGCTGGCTTGGCTTGAATATGTTTCCGTCCGGGTTGCCCGCAAGACCAATCTCGGCACACTCTCTACCAACTCGTAAGAATTGCGGGACAATCATACCCCGGAGGAGCCCTCTCAGAGATCATCTGACTGCGGGGAAGGAGGCGAGCGACCGGAAAAGCCGGTCATCACAGGTTGCACGGCAAATCCGAGGGGTAGCTCAGAGTTCGGTACATCGTACGTAGTATGGGGGAATGGGGGAAAGTTGCCCCCACAGTCTTCCCGATGACGCCTCTCCGCCGTCCTTATATCTGAGGCACCCACGGCGAAACTTTCAATCACCCCTCAACAAACCTTTTTTTACACCTCTCTCGCCACGCCCTTTCTTTCATTGAGCTTTTCCACAAGCCAACCTTCCACAATTCCTGTCTCATCCACGCACGTACACCTTCATCATGTCCTTATCCTGGACCAATGAGCCCCCCAAGGGCAGGGTTCCTTATGCAATTCCCCAGTTGGAAGGCGAGCGACTCACCATTCCCGGCAGCAAGGGCTCCTTTCGCATTCTGGCCTCGTCGCTGCAGACCAATGGCTTGATGTCGGTCTTCCAGAGCGGCGCTGTTCTCTCGGACGCACCTGGATTCCACTACCACAACCATGCACACGATGTCTTCTTGGTAACCAAAGGGTTCCTGAAGCTATGGAATGGCGACAAGTGTCGCATCATGGGGCCTGGAGATTTTGCATATGTGCCTCCTGTACGTTGCACGGCAGGCCGCCTTGGCTTCTAGAAAAACTTTTCTCTTTACGACCCGAAACTGACCCTTATGTTCTAGACCGTGATCCATAACCCTGAGATGATGGGCCCACACACCGAGACCTACGGAGTGGTCACACCCGGCGACTGGGTCGACTTCTTCCGATATGTCTCCGAGCGCTACGACGGAGTGCTGGTGCCGGAGCACGACGACCGCGATCTCAAGTCCATCCTGATCCCGAAGGTGATGGCTGCGAAGGAACAATTCGACGTGGTATTCCAGCCCCACTACCAGCCTCCGGAGCTCGGAGAATGGACGAAGGATGAGGAGGTACTGCCTGAGAGCCCACAGGGCTACTTCCTTCGGGCCAACACGGGGCCGAAATGGATGTTTGGCGGCGTGATGTCCCGGCCGTTCGTCACCACCGCCCAGAGCAGTGGGGTCTGTGCCATCTCCAGTATAGAATCCTCGAAAGTGTACGGTGATACCATCTTGTCCAAGTACATGACCTTCAAATCGGTGGACCACTGCCTGTGTGTGCAGGAGGGCACGCTGATCGTCAGCCTCGAGGGTCAGTCCGACACCGAGTTCCGTGAAGGGGAGACGGCCGTGATTCCTGCTGGACAGGCATTCGCGTTGAAGTTTGCCAGTCGCTTTGTGCGGGTCTGGTCGTTTACGGATGGCGACGGGATTGAGACATTGATCCACCGGGTTGGCCAGAAATATGAGGGCGCGGTTCTACCTGACGAGGTGCGCGAATGGGACGCGGCGGACGTTGAGTCGGTGGTGGCCGATTTGAACATGGAAATTGCACTGTGAGAATGCCTGTGTGTTTCTGTAGTGGGGCGGATGAGACGCGTACGCACTCACCCCTACACATGCTGCATTGGACTTGGCGCTTTTTGGATTAGACCATCTGCTGTACATAATTATTTAAACTACCATTGACATATGTGAAAGTCTTCTCAGTACTCTCCTTCTTAGGCCTAAATCATGACCTAATTTAAGCAGCACGTGTCGATAGATTAAAACCGAGCGATGCGGGGACCCCGCGGGGGCGAAGGGGCCACGTGATGGTCGGAAAAGCCGGCGCATTTCTGAGTTTTTGGCCAGATTCCACTTCAACCAACAATCCACCACTAACTAATCAATCATCCTCGATCATCCGTGTGTCACCCTTCATTCACTGCACACACTTACTTGCCTTTGCATCTCTCCCCTGCTTACCCTTCATTCCCATCAATCTCAACGGATACTGTCCGATCACAACAGCTTTCACCTTTTCCACATTGACTTCTTCGCTCTCTGTCAGCCCCCAATGCAGTGCACAATCTAGATGGATGATGCAACCTGAGGCTCGCCCATCTCCCGCACCACCGGCTGCCGGGGATGAGAACCTCCCTCAGCCCCGGGCAAAGCGACCCCGCGCAGCCCAGGCCTGCGAACGGTGTAGATCTAAGAAGTACAAGTGCGATGAACAGTATCCTTGCTCTCACTGTAAGAGTATGTTGTGGTATTAAGTCATCTGGGAAGATATCGGTATCTAACCTCGTCGCAGAAAGTGACCTCACTTGCGTGTATCAAGGGAATTACCGACAGAGGGAGAGTAGCCGGTCTGCCAGGTAAGGATGGTCCCAGTTGCCACAGTCTTAGTAGATTGCATTGTTAAAGGGTGGTTCAGCTATGTCGCAGACCTAGAGCGAAAAGTGGACGAGCTCACAACCAAGCTACGCTTGGCAGAGTCGGAAATCACCTCGCAGCCACCCCAGAGAGTCGTTCCCACGTCATTCGCAAGTCCCGGAGCGGCCCAACAACCGGTGGTGCCCCAAGCTGCCATCGATGCGACCCCCGTATCCCTGCCCCGCAACGAGTCCACTCCGCGGGAAGAAGCGCCGGCCCTCTACGACCACCACGACGAGGCCGGGGACTCGGTCGGGGACGAAATCAGCGAACTGAATCACCACACCAACGGCATCGAGTTTCACGGTAGCACCTCGTCGGCGGCCCTGCTCGGACACCTGCAGAAGGCGCGCGAGCCACAGCGGCGCCTCGAGGCACAGCGGCGGCAGCAGCAGCAGCAGCAGCAACATCAGCATCCCCACGCCGAAAAGCCCGCCGCTGGGTACTCGATTGTGTCGACGCTGCATAACCCAAGTTTCTCACCCTCGTGTACGGCGGGCTCGGCACAGCCGGTGGTGATGCAAGAGCAGAACTATTACTTCGAGCAGGCGCACGCCTTTATCAACGGCTACTTTGAGAATATCCATTTCATTCACCCGCTCATCGATAAGGAGGACTTTCTGCAGCGAGCGCATAATCTGTGGTTCAACCGGAATGTGCAGCCGGAACCCAGTTTTTTGGCTCTGTATTTGAGCATTCTTTCCTTTGGGGCCCTGGTGAGGGTGTGGGATGAGGAGAGGCTCGGCGGGTTGACGAGGTTCGAGTGGAGTCGGAAGCTGTTTGGCGAGGCCCAGATGTATTTGAATTACCTGCATTTTTCGAATACGCTGGACACGGTGCAGTGTCTGTATCTTATGGTGAGTGTTGAAGGGGTTTAGGACTTTGCGCACGCTGACTTGGATAGGCGAAAATCTGTCAGAATGAACTAAATCCGAACAGTGAGTTGGTTTTTTCTCTCCGTTGCAAGGAGATTACTCATGTTCTATGTTAGTGGCCTACATGTATCTGGGGCTCGCAGTGCGTACGTGCCTGGCTGCTGGCTTTAATCGAGAGGTGCGGAGCATAGACGATCATCGCGCTGGATGGATCTCGAAGACTTGGTGGTAAGTCTGATAGCCTTATGATATGTTGCTAGACCTAATGTTTCTAGGGGCCTCTTTTCCTTGGAAATGTAAGTTTTGCCGCCAATTCTGCCAGGTAGGTCACTAATCGCACCAGTGAGATGAGCTTCTCAGTCGGTCGTCCAGACACCTTAGGCATGGATGAATATCACAATCGAGCTCTGCCGGAAAGAGACGAGTCTGAATATGCCATCATTCCTTGGATGGTCGACTTCGCGCAGATCATTCGCAGAGTCTCCGTACAGATCTATCATTCACGGATCACATTACAAGAGAAGCTACACCTAGCTCTCCAAATTGAGACTGAGCTCGACCGCTGGATGGCGCGCTTGCCGGACCGGCTCAAGCCCGACATGATGGAACGGGCAAACGGGGGCGCCTTGAGAGACCCCAAGTGGGCGCGTCGACAACGACTAGTCCTGGGTATTCGTAAGTCCTACCGCAATACAATGGCAACATCATACATGTGGCTAATTGTATCAAACCATACAAGGCTATTTTAATGTCAAAATGCTTTTATTCCGCCCCTTCCTGAGCCACTTCACCCGCAAACTCCGCCATCCGCCCATGGAACTCGAACAGACCATCGCCAAGTGCCTCGATGCAGCCATGAAGACCATCGAGGTGATCTACGATATTTATCGCATCCATGAGTTCTTCCGCTGTTGGTAAGTTCTTTCTACTCTTTCCTTGGCTTTCTCCATGTCGGAGCTCTCATCATGCTAACGTCCCGAGTAACAGGTGGTACAATACAACCTACGTCATGTTTGCGACTTCCACTCTGCTTTTACCCATGTCCAAATTGGGCCCTTGCCCGGAGACCGTCCCGCTCCAGCGATCCGTGGAGATGGGCGTCGAAATCCTTGAGGCGATGGACGAGTCCATCGTCGCCCGCAAGTCCGTCGAGATCATCAAACACTATCTCCGGGAATTCCGGTCGTTGCCCTCGTCCACTTCGTCGCTGTCACATCTGCACCAGCAGCACCTTAATCAGCACCAGCTGAATCAGCAGAGTCTGGCATCTTCGACGAGTAGTCACGATGGTGGTGGGAGTGGGAGTGGGGGGAGTGGTGGCGAGTATGCGGATACGAGTCCGAGTGGGACTGGATTTGACATTCCGGTGAGCTTTCCTTTTATCTCTCAGCCTTGTTCCTGGAACGGCCCTGGTGCTACTTTCTTCTGGTCGTTTTCATGGATCCAGGCTAACAGTTGTTGGGGATCAGGAATGGGCCTACGGCTTCGGGTTCCCGGATTGTTCCTTTGAAGGCATAGCGAGGCTCTTTGACGATTTGGGCGGGCTGCCGATGCTGGATAACTGATTTCTTCATGACCGGTGAACGGGTTCGATGAACATTGAGCCCGGGTGTTCGTCGTACATATTATGTCTATATGGGAGGTCTTCGTCCGTTTCGTATCAAGGGTTGGTATGTTCCAGCGGAGCGGAGCAATGCAATGTTTACACGTACGATGATCACCAACTCGGCCCCCGGAACCAAGCTTCCCTCACTTTAATCCTAATACCATTAGTAAATTAGCTATCAAAACACGAGATACATGCCCCAGAACCAACGTCTCGTCAACAACAACAAAACCAACAATCCATGACTCGTAACCGCCATCATCCCCACTTTCTTGCCTGTCTATTCCAACCTCTCCTCCATCACCTCCGTAAACCTTGATCCACCACCTCCACCATAAGCCCCATCTCAAGATCCTAGAAGTCCTCGTCCAGAGCCCGGCAACCCTTCTAGTGCGAGAGCGCGCCCGCTGCGTTGTGGGCGTTGCTTCCCGCATTGCTTCCCGCGTTGCTTCCCGCGTTGCTTCCCGCGTTGCCCTTGCTGTTGCTGTTGTTGCTGGCACTGGTATTCGCCTTGGTGCTGCCCGCATTGCCATTGCCACTGCCACTGCCACTGCCACTGCTGCCAGAATTGCCCTTGCCATTGGCGCCGGCGTTAGCGTTGGCATTGCCATTGGCGTTGCCATTGGCATTAGCCTTGCTATCGGTAGCGGGCGATGTGGTCGCGCCGTGATCCCCGCCATCGGTGGCGGGCTTCTGGCCCTCGTTGGGGGTCTATCGCTCACCACCAACCAGCATGATTCAGTAAGCGCATAGTCCGTTATGTATAGGGACCGTCCCCGGGATCTATTGTAATTTGGGGAATGGGGGTGAGGGTGTTATTCCCTTACCGCGACGTGGTTGTATGTGCTCCCACCAGCAACGCCAGCAGTGCCAGCAGTGCCAGCAGCACCGTCCGCGGTGGCGGGCTTCTGGACGAGCGTGGTGGGGTGTGCGTTGCCTGGCGCGGTCGCTGGTGCGGCTGCTGTTGCTGCGGCGGCGAGACCGCTGAGGAGGAGGATGGAGAGGAATCTCATTTTGGTGGTGGTTTCTGGGTGGAAAAGATGGGATACGAGGAGTTCGATGGTGTGTTGGGGATTGATGAGGATTTAATCTGGGTGATGGAGAAGAGATCTAAATGTTGCTTGGGGGTGAGGGGTGGGTTTATATGCTCTTCGTTTTGACTGGAACTTATGGAGGTGTATACCTACCTGGCAGTGTCAGGAAAGGGTAAGATAATAGTTGGGGTGTGTCTGGAAATGGTGAAGGATGAAATGTATAGTATCTGGAAATGGTAAACGGCGGAGGCTCTGGAATGCGCTATCTACTACAGTACATCTAATTCTGGGGGTGGGTATTTGGCCTCTGGAATGTGTCGCCTGGCGGAAGTGTGTCTCCGTGGGGATTATCTTTTGAGGCTCAGGACGCTGGGGTGGCTGCTAGTTGATAGATTACAATGAACCCTCGCTATTTTGGACCTCGCTTCATCGAATCTCTAGACAGAACGAGTCCTATCCGTCAATGTCGCCAGATTCTCTTCTCTGTACCATGCACCAAAGTGACGTTCCCAATTGAGTTCATTATCATGAGCATTTGACTTTACTACGAAGGAAGAGAAATGCTGTCGCTTGTCATGCAGGATGCAAGGGGTGAAGCGAGCTTGACTTCTAAGTTGGGATATGACCTGCGAGCGTTGAAGCTTTTTCTCTAAAGATAGTCACTGGAGTAGATAGTCACTCTTCATCACCCCTGCGAGGGTATCTCCAATATGAGGAAATGCGATTCCCTGCAACACATGCGTATTCCCTATCGGCTCAACTCCTAATAATCGAAACACTGGATACACAGAGATACTAGTTAATGGTCGAATTGACCTCATCAGAGGCAATGACAAGCATAAATGTATCCTATATTGCAAATTGACTGTACAGAGATCCCGCTCCAAGAATTCGGACAACAAAGAGACATTCAAAGAAGCATTCTACAAATTCGCCGTGACCTGCCCACTGCCACTGAACAGCCCCGGATTCTCCGCCACAACGTTCTCGACCTCCTTGATGGCGTCGTAGCCGTATAACCACGGTTGGACTTCGGGACAGGTCCTATTTATTGGTATTGCAGTGGTTAGCTATGCTCCTTGTCTTGGGGGAACGGTGGAACGGACCATCGACTCGGGAACGCCCCTTTGAGTTCCTTGCCTAATTGAGACAGGAAGACTTGGTCGCGCTTCTCTTGTTCGGGGCCGTTGGGCATGTGGAAGTCGTTTCTCTGACCCTGGGTTAGTGGTGGGATTCATCTAATGGCGACAAAAGTGATGAGTGTGGGGAAAACGCACCTGCTTGAACGTTTCTCGGACAATAGCCTCCCCACGGGATTTACGGAGCTTCTCGTAGAGTCTCAATATTTGTGGGAGGTCGGATTTCTGCTTCATGTGACCGAGGAGGCCGCCGAGGACGGCGCCGTCCTCGAGGGAGGAATTGGCGCCCTGTGCGAGGTAGGGGAGCATGGGGTGGCAGGCGTCGCCGCTGGTAATGCAGGTCAGAACCTTCGCGCATGTGAGTGAGAAGAGCAAGGGCTAGAGCAGATCGTACATGAAGACTAGGTTTGATTTGTCATTGATCCAGGAGTCCATTTCTGCGTCTGTGTTCGGAGGTCAGTGCATATTCTCGATGGGGAAAACAGAGGAACTGGCGTACGATGCATGAGGCGCCATTTATCGACGCCATTCACGTAAGTCAGGAACTTGGTCAGTCTGTGTCCATCAGTCAGTGGGCTGCTGCTGCTGCTGCTGCTCTTCTTCCACAGACGGGAGGACATACACCGGATCCCACCCCACGAACAGCCCGCGCATCTCCTCCACCGACCCGGCCTGCCTCGACACCCCCGGCGGCAGCGTATCCGGCACCAACAGCACGATATTAAACATCGAGCCGCCGCGCAACGAATACGCCACCGCGTGGGCCCCCGGCCCGACCCAGAAGTGCACGGTGGGGTTCTCGACCCAGGCGCGCAGCTCGGGGTCGTCCGCGAGCTGCTCGGCCGTCAGCACGATGCGATACGCCAGGTCGCCCGTGGGCAGCGGCTCGTCCTTTCGGCCGTAGAAGTTCTCGCGGCACCGCGACCACAGCCCGTCCGCCGCGACGATCAGGTCGCCGCTCACCCGCCGCCCCTTCAGGGTGGTGAGGGTCGTCGTCTCGAAGTCGATCGCGTCGACCCGCTCATCCAAGTGGAAGGTCACCCCCAGCGCCCGCGCCCGCGCGTACAGCGCCTGCTGCAGATCCACGCGGTGTAGGTCGATGAACGGCGCCCCATACTTGGCGCGGATGTTGCGGTCGAAGTGCGCCTCGTGCGCCAGCGTCTCCCCCGTGTACCGGTGCACGGTCAGCGAGGTCGGCTCGGCCGCCTCCGTCCAGATCTTCGCGGGCAGCTGCCAGTGTGTGAAGAGCCGCGAGGCGTTGGGGGTGATCTGGAGCCCGGCGCCAACCTCGGCGAGTTCTTGCGCTTGTTCGAGCACGGTGACGGTGTGGCCGGCCATGGCGCACGAGATGGCCGTGGCGAGGCCGCTGAGGCCGGCGCCGACGATGATGATGTCGAGTTGCGAGTCTGATGAGGCCTTGTGGTGGGTCGATGTTCCTTGTTAGTTCATGCGAATTGGATCACGAGAATCGATGGGAGCGAGCGTTTGTCGATTCGGAGCTTCGGGCCTGCTTACCATTTTTGAGGAGTCGGGGGCACCGCTGATGAGACTGTTGATAATACCCATTGTCACGTACTGGATGCTGAGATATGGGGAGAGGCTAAAGAAGGGAGAAAGAGATGAAGGTCAAGGATTACTGGAGAGGTTTTAAGTCCGAGGCATGGGCGCAAAACAGCTTCCAGTTACCGGATTGGGGGTTCCCATCTACGGCGTACAGAAAGGTGGTTGCTCGGCTTTGCCGGAGGGGGTCGGGTTATCCGGGGCTTATATCCGAGGTGCATTGTAATCATTGCCCCGGATTCTCCTCTCTGTTGGTCTTGGTCTGGGAATTCCACCCCCGCATGACTCTGACAGTTCGTGTTGCCTCCCAGAATTCATGGCTTTCTCCACCTCGCCTGCATTCCCGTTGCCACACATTTTCCAGTGTGCTTTTTACTCCAGCTGCTTAGTGGGAGGGAAGGCTCGAACCCGAGATGGTTGAGCTAAGGCCGTCTTAGAGAAGACTTTGCCTGTCACTGGTCATGTTGGCCACTCCAGTATCACCACATCTCGCTTCGGAGACCCGGTGGGCGAGCATGACTTCGCGTTATAGCCAACGCGAGGATTCCAGACTAGTTTGATTCTGATACGAGGAAGACAAAGCTGATCATATCAATGAGCTTGAGGCTTGACAATATCCAGATCTCGTCCACATAGGCTTGGCGATGATCTGCCCACGTGCTTGTTTCATGCACGTCCTCTGGCGTTCACGGTACTTCCTATCCTCGCCCCCTCCCCGATTACAAACTGTCACAATGACCAGGATCTCACACCGTTAGGAGACTCTGCTGCATACAATATATTTGAGACCCCGCCATCATAAGGGTCTGAGCTACGAGCGAGCCTATAAACCCATGGTATTGGGTTATCAGGACGCCAATCAATACCGTTTGATAAATGAACCACCACTTCAATAGGCATAAGTCATGGCGATAAGGAGCATGGACCACCATGACCTGCACTCTTCATTGGTAGAGTCCTGTGAAAGATTGGGTAATCCTATCTGGATTCGTCCGCAAAGAGATCATGTGGAGCCGACCTGGTCGGTTAAGCCGAGCACCACATCCCGTGCACGAATCACAACGGGAGTTTCGAGGATACCACTTGGGCAATAATCCGGGGTCGATACTGACAGCCGAGGGCTAAAGGCCTAGCTGGGGCTTGGTGCGGGTTTTCCCCATGGGGTATGCCACATGGGGTATAAGTGTCTCGATATGTCCCTCCCCACCCTTGCTCTTCTGTCTGGGTTCTCAGGTCTTGGGCTCTGAAATTCACGGTTTGTTAAGTACGGCGTGGGTGACCGCACACATATACCACCATGACAACGAAACTCGATCCGAAGGTTGGTGACCTGAATGGAGTCTGGCGAGGTGGCAGGGCCATTGACACTGACATGCTCTCTTCTCATAGCTTTACCCCCGTCGGGTCCGATATGCAGCTCTCCTGACGGTCAATGTTTTTGTGTTTATGGGGAACATGTACTCGGTATGACTTTCCTTGTTCTCATCTGTTGCTTCACTGAGGGGAGATTCTGATCTCGGGAGACAGTCCGGCATAGCGACGGGTTTTGGGTCAATGGCCATGGACTTGCACGTCAGCTATCAGAAGCTCGCCGACCTTATCTCATGGTCTGTCCTCAGCATGGGCCTCGCCAATCTCTTCTGGATGCCATTGGCCTTGGCGTTTGGCAAGCGGCCCATAGTCCTGATCTCCATGGCGATGTTCGTGGCGGGGATTATTTGGACGGTTGTGGCGAAGGATTATAACAGTTTGATGGGCGCTAGGGTGTTTGCCAGTTTTGGTAGGTTGTGTATCATGCCGTGCGCTGCTCATTCGTTCCAAACGGAAACTAACATCTGTCAAAGGCTACGGCTCGATTGAATCGTTGGGTCCTAGTATTCTAGCCGGTATATTCTCTCAGTTTCCCAGCTGGTAGTATCAGGTTGCTGACCAGGACAGACATGTTCTACGAGCGCAACTACTCCAGCGCAATGGCCATGTACGCCCTGTTCCTCTCCGCCGGGTCCCAGGTCGGACCCGTCATTGCGGGCTACCTGGTCGCCGCCCGCGGCTGGCGCTGGTTCTTCATCGTGTGCCTGATCGTGGCGGCCGTCAACCTGGTGACGACCTTCTTCTTCCTTCCGGAGACGACGTACGAGCCCGAGTTCGAAGAGGAGCAAGACGGTGGTGAATTCCCCGAAAAGAGCGATGCCACCCACAGCCACATCGAGAGTCTCGCAGCCTCGACCCCGACCCCTCCCGACCAAGCGCAACAATTCTCCTACACGGACTACTGGCAGGGTCTCTTCCAGGTTGGCATCTCGAGCGAGGCGAAGAAGAAAGGCGTGGTGCGATTCCTGGGGTACGCGGCCTGGCTCCCGATTCCAATGCTGCTGCTTCCGGGAGTGCTGCTGGCTTCGATGATGTATGGAGTTGTACTAGGCGCGTGAGTTCTCCTTCGCTTTCTTTCCTCTCCACCCCCCCTCGACCAGCCACCACTAACATCACATTTTCCAACCCCACCAGAGTAGTCTCCATCTCCACGCTCTCCTCCTCAATCTTCAGCGCCCCGCCCTACCTCTTCAGCTCGGGCGCCCTAGGCCTCTGGACGCTCGGCAGCTTCATCGGCATCCTGGTGGTCGCGCCGCTGGCGGGCCCGCTCACCGACGCGCTGTCCCAATTCCTGCGCCGCCGCAACCGCAACGTCCACAAGCCCGAGCACCGGCTCCCGGCGCTGGTCGTGCCCTTCTGCATCGCGCCCGTCGGCCTCGTCGTCTTCGGGTACACGGCCGCCCACCAGATGCACTACGCGCTGCCCGCGCTGGGCTCCGCCATGGCCGCCGCCGGCCTCACTCTCGTCCCCTCGGTCATGCTCTCGTACGTGGTCGACTCGTACCCGCACGCCAGTGGCGAGGCCCTTGTGCTGGTCAACGTGAGCAAGAACGTCGTCGCGTTCGGACTGAGCAAAGGCTCTGTCGACTGGATGACGCAGCAGGGGTTGGCGCGCATGTTCTACGAGTTTGCGGGCATCGAGTGGGCTGTGCTGGCGCTGGGGGCGCCGTTGTATTTCGCGGGTCCGTGGCTCCGGAAGCGCACGGGGAGGTTTTTTTAGTTGGTGGTTCGGTTTGGGCGACCTAGTTTAGCTGGGTGGTTGTAATGGGTATATGGGGTTTTCTTTTCTTTTATGTACTGTACTTCTCAAAGCGAAAGTGAAATGGGAATCATGATTGGCGGTGCTGTGCGATCTTTGCTGGAACAGCATGGGATTGGCGAACGCTGTTGATGTGTAGAATGCATTGGGGGTTCATGTACCTTTACATCCACTGCACGAACAATATCGATCTCTATAACCTCTGCCAACACCTAATAAGAGCCGTATATCCACAGCCGTAGTTATTCCCCCCTAAATCCAGAGCACAACCCCATCAGCCCCCTCACCATCTCCGCCATCACCCCGCTGATCTGCCACCGCGCCACGACCGTCTCCAAGCAGATCACCAAGAAGTTCAGTTCCTGGAGCAGGTGCACCGCGCCACCCGAGCCGTCCGCATCACCAAGGAACCGACGCTCCATCGCCTCCTCCGCTGCCGCGGCGGATCTCTCCGTGCAGCCACCGTGTCCCCCACCGTCGTCACCTTCCTCTGTCCCAGAGGGACGGATCCCCCATACCTCTGCCCAGTTCTGCTCGGCCAGAAAATCTTGCTTGTCCGCGGCGATGAATATCTTCTCTTTCTGGTGGGAAAGACACCATTCCGCTATCGTTACTGCCGTGGCGAAGATGGCGGCGGGGATGTGTGGGCTGTGGGCTTGGTGGAAGGGGAGGCGGTTGAAGAGGTGGGTTATGGTTAGGGCGTGGAGGAGGGCGCGGAGTGGTGGGGGGGTTGTGGTGGTGGGGATTGACGGTGGTTTTTGGTTTGGGTGGTCTTGGTGGTCTGGAGGTTGGGGGTTCACTGAGGGAGTTGTTGTTCCCGGGACTGTGGAATTGGTACTGGTGCTGGCTGCGGCTTTGGACTGGTGGTCTCCTATCGTACGGGGAAGGTGAGGGTGACTTTGGCAGAGGGAGCTGTAGAATCTAGCTGTGGGTAGTGCGAGTTCGAGGCAGACGGTGTGCCATCTGAGGAGGAGCTGGAATGGGTCGTCGGGTTTATGTGGCGGGAGGCCGGATGATGATGATGATGATGATGATGGATTCGAAGGTGAGGGCAACGACCCCGAACCATAGCGGAGGTGAACCTTGTAGATGTTCAGCAGGGCTTGGATTATCTGGCGCTCGGTGATCGCCCCGATTGCCGGCTTGCCTGCCCCGATTTCATGAAGATCAGACACCAAGCTCTGCAAGCCTTCGAGGATCACAAAGATCGAAAAGTCGGACAGGCTGAGCGGGTGAGATGGATACTTCGAGGCAAAGACTGAGAAGTATACCTCGCTGAAAGGCATGTCCGGGAGGGATGACGCTGGTTGTCGTAGTTGGTCGAGCCAGTCGCTTGCTGTGTGGGCTTGGAAGACGACGTCGGAGCCGGCCGTGCGCAATGAGTTGATGAGGTGGCGGGCGGAGGCGGGGGCGCCGGATGTCTGCGAGATCAATCCGTCCAGAATGTAATGGCCTAGGATGGCCCGTTTTTGGGTCTCAACTGTCGTCCATCGGTGCCAGTGCGCTTGTAGTTCTAGCGGAGGGCAGGGCATCGGAGGCGCGGTGGGAAGCTCGGCGACGGCGTGCATCCCGCACGTACGAGCCCAGTAGAACCCGAGCCCGTGCCAGACAAAGGCGGTGGTTCGGATGCTTTCGTTGCTAGAGAGCAGAGCAAAGAGCTGGCCCAGCAGCGCCGTAAGCACGAGTTGCACCCCGTCGCATGCGTCGCGCGGTCCCCGATGGGTGATGAGCGTTTGCCAGGAGGTAGCCACGGCCGAGTGGCCGAGACGCCAGAGCATTTCGCCCTTGCGTGCTGAGTTAGGGAGGCACACGAACAAAGAACCCAGGGCGACCATGTTGAGAAGAAGCGGTGGGATGGTCTCACGGGGTAAGAAGGTAGGCCTGTGAATGACCGGGAAACAGGGGGAGATGCGATCGAAGAATTCCTGGAGGCAGGCGTCTAGGAAGCTGGATGTGATGCCTGAGTTGTGCAATTCGGCATTTAGCCGTTTGGAGAGATCCTCGATCAGTCGATAGCTTTGTTGCATGGCTGCTTTGCCAGCCCCGGTTTCCTGCCCTACTATTGAATCGTCAAGAGGCAAAAGTCCTGTCCCCTGGATCGATTGTAAGTGGATTGGGTCCAAAGTCTCGAGTAAAGGGAGAGACGAGGAACCCCAGAAGTCAGGAATAAACCAGTCTAGTATATCGGAGTCCAGTGTCGTGCATTGATCTTCCGAGAAGGGAGCTTCGAACGGCGGCATGGTGAGAACGTTCTCGTTCTGTGTTGAGACATCGGAGCATTTTTGGAGAGCGTCATCGCCTTGGTTAACTATAGGCTGGCTAGCCTTGTCTCGCGAACGAGCATGAAGTCTCTTGTGTCGTCCAAGAACGTCACCCCGCCCAAAGCTTCTGCCGCACTCTTCGCACCGGAAGGGTCTGGTGTTGGAGTCTACAAACGTATTAGTATCGACTCTGTCGCCGAGGGCATACTGCACTTGCGGGTTCTCTCATGCCTCTGTGGAATGTCAGAACCAGATGTCTAAAACGAGAACACATGCTTACCGTTAGATGTTCGAGCTTTGTGTATGCTCTATTGCATTGGCGGCATCTGAATCTCTTGTCACGATCCATTGGAAGGATGAATGACTCGAGAGATCCTTGAGTGGACTTTTTCGCTGGGAGTGCGGAGGTGAAGGTGCGGAGGGAAGTAAATAAGCCCGGGGGAGGTGGAGGTGGAGACCTCGTCCCGACGCCTGCCGGACTCTATTCGGTCCTCATCCTCCCTTGTTGCTCCACACTTGTCAATATCTACTCCATAGGTTGGTTGATGGTGATGATGGATTCCTTCTCGCTTCTGGCAGCCATATGGCAGCAGTCACTATGACCAGCCAGCAAGTGGCGCAAACTCCCTCTCTCCATATACGTACAAAGCAGCCAACCAGCCTAATTCCTAAGCTGCAGAGGCAATTGATACTGGTTCTGGGATGAAATGCCCAAGGTATACCCCAAGGCCAATCCTCCCGGTTTGCATCTGAATAGAATCTATTCCATAAAGTGATTGATTGATTGATTAAACCTGTTCCCCGAATACAGTCCACTCCGCGAGGCTCTTCCCGGGTCGTGAACGGCCGACCGGGGTGACTGCGGTGTTCTATATACAGGAAAGTCCCACCAGTTGCCTTCATCTTCCCTCACATGAAGCCTCTGGTCCCTTGAAGCTAACCAGCTGGCCTTGATTCCTTGGTGTTCTGCCTGCCTGAGTGGAACTTTGACGGCTCTGTCTCCACATTGGCGGATTGCTCTGAGTTTGTATGGGGATCCTCGAATCTCCGCCGAACTGCCTGGACCAGTTGGTGGTTCTTCCAGCTTTTTTCCTCTCCTGCTGCACGCAGGCACTCGCCAGGTAGCTCTCTCTGCCACTTGGTCACCTTCGGGTAGTTGTTTTGGTCATGGGAGAAGTGAGAAGAAGGGAAGGGGTGAAATGCAGTCAGGTAGAGGCAGCTGCCACCCAGTGCCGTGCCGAAATAGCCCCGATCCGTCGCAGTTTCGTTCCGCTGCTTCGCACTGCCTTCCTAGGGCCACTGCAGTCCTGGTTTGTTAAGAATCGGCTTGTTTCGGTCTCCGTACGAGGGGCAAAAAGGATATATCATGAAGAAGAAGAAGAAGAAGAAGAAAAAAAAAAAGAAGAACGATGCCCATGCAACGCTCTTAAATCATATAGATTTCATGCAAAACAAGCTTTCCGCATCAAGCTGAATATACAGTGAATATAACGCCAAATGCCACCCATGGAATGCTCCAGAAAGCCCCTTTAACGCCTTTCGAATTCCAGCTGCGTTGATTAGATTAACTAGCAGTCGCTAGCTGAGCCACCAAATCCGAGGCCACGTCAAGGAATGGATAAGGGCTCGTCACTTCTTTCTCCTTGTTCCGGAACCGTTTACTGATAGGGTGCCATTCGCTGTCACCTCCACCTCGAATCACATTCTGGTACCCATCACACTTGAAGTCGACCATGTAGTTGTTTTCTTCCAGTTGGTATAGCTGGATGTCAACGAAAACCCAGACTCCGTACGAGATCCGCGAGATTGTGTGAGTTTGGGTCGCCGAAGAAGGATTCGAGATACTCGCGTGCTCTGGGGTGAGGCCCTTGTCATCGGCCGAGAATGGTCCGGTGGAGAAGTTGAACCGCCGCCGCAGGTCTTCCAGGTTCAGGTCGCTTCGGCTGCTATGCACACTGGCAGTCTGCCCCGGCGCCTTGACTCCCTCCTTCAGAAGACGCGCTCTTATAAACCAGGGGTCCTTTGGGATGTAGTAATCCGACGGCAGGTCTGGGTACTTGCTTTGAAGAGGCATAGGCTGGTCCGGGGTTTGTTCGCCTGTTTGCAAGCCATCTGAGAAGCGGTCTGTTAGCTTTGAGGCTCACAACAAATACTCGTCATAAACTATACCTGCTCCAGTAGGTGCTATTTCCCAGATTCCTCCCTGGGCTGAGATGGCTTTGTATAGATAGAGCATTGCCTCATAAGGTTGGTTGCGAGAGCGAATGCCGAACTGCCACTTTCGCGACCGTTTGGGCTGGTGCGGGGCACTACGACCTTCGGGGGGCTGGAGGCGCAGTTTTTCAAGGTCCACGATGCTGCGGGAATGGGGTTTCAGAGCCCTTGCAGTCGCCTCCTGCTCCTCCTGCGAGCGCCCCGCTTGACCATTTCGATTCAAGTCATCCTCGGCATCTGGACCACCATGCGCCTGTTCCTCAGATGAACGCTCCGCAGCACGTTCTCTCTGCTCACGTTCCCGCTGTTCCATGAGTTGGTCATGTACAAACGGCACACTTGTCGGCAGGATTCGGACATGGCTAACTCGCGGCGCATCGGGATCATCGGCATTACTCTGCTGAGACAATTGGGACGGTTGGCGCTGTGATCCACTTCGCGGTCTCGTAGGGGAAGCTAACGGGGATCCTGGGCTCAGCGGAACAGTTGGTCGGCCAGCCGTGGCTGAAGCTTGAGGGATTCGATCGGGGGGTGGTGAAGGGGCGACGGGAGGACCCATCAGGTTGTCGTCTGTTGGCGCTGTGGGTGAAAGTCAGCATCAGCGTACTAGTCAATTGGTCGAGGCGAAACACAATTGACCTAACTTACAATTCGTCTGCATCATCTCATTCTCCATGATGATAAAGAAAGCATCCTTGATGGCGCTCGGTTCGGGATTCTTTAAAGCGTCTTCAATGTCCTCGCGCGTATATCCCATGCTCCGCTCCAGTTTTGAAATGGCGACCTGATGAATCTTGTGCTGCACGGACAGGGGCTTTCCCGGCGCAAGTTTGCGTGGATCAATAGCCTTGTTTGGGTCCACACCGGTAGCGATGAATTCCTCCGGAGGGGGCTGCAGATACTTCGGTAGTTCTTGTAGAAACCAAGGATCCTGGCGAATTTCTGGAATGGTTATCCGATGAACCGGATGAACCTGCAACATCGACCGGATCAACCGAGCAGCCCCGGAGGATATGTACGCAGGCATATGGAAGTTTCCTGCTGCTATCTTCTTGAAAAGAGCTGGAATATAGTCGTCATCGAAGGGAAGACGTCCCACTAACAGCACATAAAGAATGACGCCGCAACTCCATACATCGACCTCTGGTCCTGCGTAGAGCTTTCCCGAGATGACCTCGGGGGCTGCATAATTAGGGCTACCACAGCTAGTTTTGAGGAAATTCCCATCCGTCATAATGTTGCTCAGGCCGAAATCAGCAATCTTGACATTCTTCTCCCGGTCAATGAGCAGGTTCTCTGGCTTCAAATCACGGTGGACGATCTTATGACGATGACAGTACTCTACTGCACATATGATCTGTTGGAAAAACTTGCGAGCTTCGGCGTCGTTGCACCGGCCCCGCTTCACCAGGTAATCGAACAATTCTCGCTCGGCATATTCCAAGACCATAACAATATCGGTCTTGGTAGCAATGACGGTATATCTTTCGAGGTGAGATCTCCATTAGCTTCTCTTCGCGATTGTCTCGGTTCTCGGGGGATGTGCAGAGCTCCTTACAGCTTAATAATATGAGGGTGTCGTAACAATTGCAAATACTGGATCTCACGTTCGACACGACCGACCATGTCTCGAGACAACAATTTGCGACGGGAGATGATTTTGAGGGCGACCTGCCGACCACTCGGCTGGTGGATTGCTAACTTCACCTTGCCGAATGAGCCCTCTCCCAGTATCTTCACCGTTTGATACTGATCAAGGCGCTGCATGTCTCTGGTGGTGGCCGGAGACTGCATCGCGGCATCGCCGCCTTTTCCGATCGGGCGGGACGGCGGAGGCATCGCCATGGCAGGGAAGTTGGAATTGGGGGGAGGAGGATTGGATGCACTGGGACGACGGTCACGAGGGCGATCGGCTTCGAAAGGAGGGAGGGAAACGGAGAGGTCTTCGTCGTCAAAGGCGGCAGCCATTGTGACCCTTTGGGGGGGGGGGGGGAGGGGGGGGGGGCTTTAACGTAGGGGGGGGGGGGGTAAGGTGTGGGAGATTAGAGCCGACGTCGGTTCGGCGAGTTCGGGGGAGGTGGGATCGAAGGACAACGTGACGTGATGGATTTTGGAGCGGAGAGAGCGAAAGAGGGGAGATTTCCGAGTTTCTGTTACGAAGGGGAACGGGTTCTTCTTGGTAAGTTTTGCAGAAGCCAATAAGGGCTGGTAGGATGGCGAAGGTCGACGGGTTGGACTCCCCCACAATTTGGCTCGAGTGGAGTTGGGAAGGGTTGGTTGGGCGGGCGACAAGAGGAGGTCAAGAATAGCAGCGAGGGAACGGAGTAGCTGTCCACCAGTTGGCTCTTCCTCGGCGGGGCGGAAGGAAGGGGGGCGGAAGAGCCAGACTCAGAGCTGTCTTGGAATCCCTGCGTCACCGTAGGTGGGCAGTTGGCATGAGTGATATTGATTGATATTGGGTCAAGTCAAACGGTGATCAGCGAGAATGTGTCCGTCCTAGTCTAGAGTGAGACAAGTCAGAGAGAGGAGGGGTAATAAGCCTGGAGATGAGAGATGATTACTGGAGAT